AATATAATGATATTTATCTCCCCTAATATAAATTAATATATATTGGTGAAAATAGGAAATAGGATTTTCACAAATATATATTAAGAAGCATTATATATATATCGGTGAAAATAATTTTTCCTATTTTCTCTAATATATATTCATTAAATGCATTAGTGAAAATAATTATTCCTAAATTCACCAAAATATCATATCGGTGAAAATACGAAAGGAGTAAAAAATTGAAAACATTGAAGAAATTGATACATATTGATAATTTTATCAAAGCATAGATATTACGAAATAACTAAAATTAAATTAATAAGAATATTCTTAATTGGTTTTTATTTGTTTTCAATTAATTTAAATATCAATTTCTTAAACTTCGTGATAAAATTATATCTAAGAATTTGAGATCTTAAATTTAACTTTTTTTAAATATCTAGTATATTTAGATAGGTTTAGAGTTCTATCTCATTAAAACTGTATGCTTAACTCAATTTAATACACAATGTTATATTTGATTTCCAAAATTTTTCTTTATTCCTATTCCTTTAAACTTCTATTTAAAATTTCCTTCTTTTAATAATCTTATTATGATTAATTTGGTAATTATTCTGAATTGCGTTATTGAGCTTGCCAGCTTAAAAGATTCCACAGCAGAAAAATATATATCAAACAAAGTTGGAAAGGAAGCATCACACTTTTCACTGTTGGCATGATCAGAAATTTTAATTTTAATCTTTAATTTATATTGAGGTTATTTATCTATTGTTCTTCGAATAAACTATAGAATAGGAAATTCAAAATTCGTAAATAAATCTGGATCACCTTTCATCATATTCATCTATTTATTGCTCAAATTCTTTCTTCGTTTTTCTTAAATAGAGATTGAACATCTCTGATTGTTCTTATGGGGATGAAAAGAAAGGTATTTTCTTTTTTAGAATATACTAAAGTTAAAGAATCTGCTTCTTAAATAAGTTAAAAATTGGGATACTTGTTGGATAGGATTGATTGCCTGACTACATATCGAGATAAATCAAAAGATCCTCAAATCTAATTAAGGATAATAAATTATAGATCTAAATCTAACTCAAAGAGTACTAGCATGAATAATGCAACTTTAATATTCTATTTTTTTAATATTAAAACAAAAAGCTTTTGATAATTTTTCCAAGTGCCCGAGCCGTGCTCTAAGTTAATATTTTATTATCTAAAATGGCCCTTTTGTGTCATCAGAAAATGGGATGCCCTTAAATAAAAATTTATTAAGAAATTTATATCTTATATACTGTTTTACTGATATTTCTTTATATTTTTTAAATTTCAAAATCACAAAATTTTTTTTCTTCAAAAAGAATTCTATAAAATCTTTTAGGAAAAATTATGTATTATTTTAATGTTGCTGATTTGTTTTAGTTTATATTTTTAGATAGACATTTGCCAAAATATGATTTTACATAGATATATTTAATATACCTTCGGAATTAGAGTAATTTATTTATGCTCATTCACCAAAATGATTGTTTAAATATGAAACTATAAGAAGCCTTATTAAACATTTGTGAATATGGAAGAATGAAAGAGTGATTATATAATTTTATAAGGAAGCTGAATTGCCTTTAATTTGATTTATGCTTTTATATTATAATTCAAAGCCCTATCTATAATTATTGTAATTGTGGGAAAATTCTATTTCTTTAAGGATAGTAATTATCATTATTAATACATATGAAACCGAGATTTATTTTTTGAAAGGGCAGAGCACATTTAGTATAAAAAATATATAAATAATTTTAGAATTTAATATAAACAAATATATTTAGCCAGCAAGATAAGACTATTTATATTAACACAAGATATAATAAATATATTTAGTATATCTTGAGTTAATATAAATAGTCTTATCTTGCCGGCTAAATATATTTGTTTATGTTAAATTCCAAAATTATTTATATATTTTTTTTTACTAAATTTTCTTTAAAACATTAAATTTAGCATTAATAAAAAAATACATTAAACGAATCAAAATTAAACATAAAATTTAAAATTAATAAAAGTTAACCTTCTTTTAAAAACCTTCTTTTAAAAAGCTTCTGCATACAAGCAAAGTATACCCTCAGACCAAGGTTTCCTGAAATGGTTCTAATCCATTTCGTAACCTCGCCTAGGAGTAATAGCGGCTCCGGTTAAAGGTCGTTATGGGTTAGGGAGCCTATAATTAGGTTCCTTTTAATACATAATAAAAGAAATTAGCTCAATTCCATCTTGAGATGACTCATAACAAGTGAATGGATACTTCCTTCAGGTTAGTTATCCATCGGAAAGGGTACATGTACCATCCATTATCATCACGCTACGAATGAAGTCAAGGTAGGCTAAGTTGAGCTATAAAAGAAGAATTATTAGAGCTATTAACTTTAAATTTACAATTCTCTTTTTTTAATCTTATATAAGTAATGGAAACCTAAGAACCTAGGTATAGATCCCTCATAAAAATCCTTGTAGGGATGAGGGGGAGGATGAGTATTAAAAATACTCATCCCTTAGTCTGTACTATAAATTTAAAAACAGAAATTAGATAAGAACAGAGGAGAGCTAAGATGAGCAAATAAGTGGAGAGATACTATGGGAGAGTTTTCAGTTTATTTAAAATTTTAAGCTAGTGTTTCTTTACTTATTAATTCATTCTTGAATATAAAATCTTACATTAACAAGATGTTATGTGTATCAATCTAAACTTCTTAACTTCTTTTTCATCTATTACTTGGGATAATTTTTCAAAAATCAAATTCCTCATTAATTAAAAAACATTTTTCAAATTATTCATCCACTTTTTAAATAAAATTATATTTATAATTGCTTAGTTTAACTCAAAGAGGATATATCCTTACCTAATTTCCATTATTTGATCGATGAGAAAGGAGAATATTCAATCAGATTATAATGATAAATAAGTATAATAAACAAAAGAAACCATAAAATATTTTCTAAAAATGAATAGTTGAGTCAAAACAGATAGTTACTAATATATCATGCAGAATTGATATGGAAGTATTTGAAATAAAAAAAATATTAGTTTTTAGCTAAAAAATGATATCCAAAAATTTTAAAGCAAAGCAAATATACAATCTAAAAATGATCTAAAGGATGATATTTAATGAGCATTAAATTAGTCGGCATTTAATTGTTTTACTACTCTGAATTATTAGTATTGCAATTTTCTTATAAAGTGATGACAAGGGTAGTTGCTTTACAATCCCAAAGAATATAGAGATTTTATTAATTAGAAAAAAATAATTTAGCATTTAATCCAACCATTTAAAATAATTTTTAGACAGCTATAATTGAATATTTCATTCTGTAAAAGTGCGCATATTATATTAATCAGATTTTATTGGCTTAATTGAATTTGATTTTTGACACCATTGCTTTCATATATCCTTCTAAAAATCATAGATTGTAATTTATTATTAGAACGTCAAAATATTAACTAGAATCTAAATTTGAAAATAATATAAAAAAATTTTAAATCGAAATTAAAATGGTTTATTAAACCAACCTCATATTATATTAAAATATTTATCAATTCTGTAAGTACGGTAACCGAACAAATAAAATGCCAATGAAAAAAATTTAGGATACAGTTTTTCTCCATCAAATGACACAACTTGGATTCTCATTAACTATATTTGATCTAATCAATCTTATTAAATAAATTTATGTTTTTGATTGTGTCAGCAATTTAAATATTGTTAGCCCATGCGAATTGGGTAATGATTGACTAAAGTTTTGTTGATGGATTCACTTCTAACAATAGTTGGGATCTATCAAAATATTGTGACTATTTTGATAATGATGAAAGTTTTAGAAATAATTCTTGCTAATCAAATTCTATAAAATATGTACGTCTAAAAGATGACAGATAAAGGATGGATAAGATCTACTAGTAAAAAAGTTACTAATCAGAAGTAATAGTTGATATCTTTTTTGATAATGCTGGTGATACATCTGGAAATCAAGCTTATTTCACATTGAACTTAACCTAGAGTTCGTCATCAAGAGATATTATGTAATAAAGAAATTATATATATTCTGATTTAACTCAAAATGCAAGATAAATATGCAATAGTTCAACACCATAATATTTTGATTTCATAACATATGTAGGTACATCTCCTGTATTATATAAAGAAAAATTTAATATATCTATAGGAATTGAAACTGATGAAGATAATTAAATTCTGGGTGTTAGGAATGTATTTGTTTATGTCAAATATTGTTCACCAACTTGTAAAACGTGTTCAAGTTCGACTAGTTGTCTAACATGTGTTTATGGTTCTCTATAAACAGATGGTAGTTGTACTTGTGACCCTTCTCATTAATTTGCTTAAACTGGAATTGGATGTAGATAAGAATGTGAAAGAGATTACTTTATAGCAAGATCAGATAATATTTGTGTTCCAGATAGAAGAATTAAATCACTTGTTTCGTATTTTGAATCTACAACTTTCACTGCTTATTCTCCTTTTTAGTTTGTTCAAGATTCTGCAAATTCAAGAAGTTCTCCGTCATAAATTTTCGATTGTTCATCTACTAAATATGTAGGTAGTTTACTTTATAGTGAGGGAATGAGTTTATAATTGGCAACTTCTTAATCCTTAAAATTTATCAGACTAAGGATTACATTTTACTTATAAGGCTTTTTGACTAATAATAGAATATAAATATTGTTAGATGACTAAATATAAGGTGAAATAATCAAGACTTCGTCTGATTATAATTTTGAGAAAATTAGAAAAATTTATAGGTAAAGTGTCATATGCACAAATACTTATGATTTAATTCGAATAGAGGCAATTCTTCGAACTTACTCTAATACTCCTAAACTCATTTTAAAAGGATCATAGCTGACTTAAGCAACTTCGACATGGGGATTCAGAAATATAACAATTGATAGTGGCAATTGTAAAGAAAATTGTGCAGTATGTGCTGACTTTTCAACTTGTCAACAATGTATCAGTAATTACGTGTTATTTTAAAATGGTTGTGTCAGCGATTGTCCAGTGCATTCTGCTAATTGTGTTGATTATGCAGATATGATACCAAGTAATTTTAATAATTTATTTTTAGACTCTCGATACTTAGCAAAAGGATTTTATAATTTTAATATGACTACTTCAGATATAAACAAATTCTTCGATGAAATTATTCCAACTGGTAATAATTTCTTAACACAATAAAAATTTTCAATATTTCCAACTAAATTTGTTTTAGGAGGTGTAATGGTATGGAATAATGCAATATATAAAAAATCATGGAGTATATCCAAACCACACTATGCTGTTACAATAAGATTTAACGTCATATATGGAGATTAATATGCTGGAAATTTTTATTATACCATTTAAGGAGTAAAATCAGTTGCTCATCCCAAACCATCAACAAGTGGTTAAAACATTATTGGTATGAGTTTAAATGAAATAACTAAATATTTTGAAATTTTCCAGAATCCATTCACATCGTCTCCATTAAATATTGAGTTTCAATGTACAGATACAACTGTAGATCCAAGAGACTAATTTTGCGCAATTTCTGATTACTTTATTGTTGTTCATTATGTAAATATTTTCATTTAATATTAAGTGTCTCCCATTTTGTCAAGATTGCAATGATGGGGTTTCTTGCGTTACTTGGGAATCTGGACATTTAAATGAAAATTGCGATGTTAATTAGTTTCTATAATTTGATTCTATTTCAGAAACTTATAATTGTATTACATGTAACTAACCTGGATGTTTAACTTGTAAAAATTTGGAAGAATGCACTTCCTGTGATTCTTCAAGTTAATATAATACTTTAATAAATGGAGTTTGCTTACCAATTAATCCTCCCTCACCTCCAAGTCCATCATTATAATGTCATAAATATTGTGAAACATGTACAGGAGCTTTGATAACTAATTGTCAAACCTGTGTTTCTGATTTTCATAGGATTTTATCCAACAATTAATGTTTATGTTAGTCTGGGTTCTATGATGATGGAATAAATGTAATTTGTCTTCCTGTGTGTGGAGACCTTTTAATTGTTGATGGAGAAGATTGTGATGATGGTAATTCTAATCCATATGATGGATGTAATGATTGTAAATTTAGTTGTGATGAGACTTGCGAAGAATGCTTTTGGGGAATTTGTTTCCATTGCCAAAAAGGCTTCTAGATTGTGGATAATCAATGTGTTGCCATTTGTGGTGATAATCTTTTAGTGAAAACAGAGGAATGTGAAGACAATAACTAAACTCCAAATGAAGGATGTTATAATTGTAAATTTTCATGTCCAAATCATTGCATTGATTGCTAATTTAATAAATGCATAAAATGTGATGAACTAAATGGTTGGTATCTTGATAAAAACATTTGCTAACCTATTTGTGGTGATGGTATAGTGGCTATTTAATTGGAGTAATGCGATGACAAAAATTAATAAGAGTTTAATGAACTGTTAAATAAACAATTTTGTTTTTAATGTCAATAAATATGTTAAGATTCTTGCTCTACTTGCTACAAAGGAGAGTGTTATTAATGTAATAAAGGATGGGTTTTGAACACAATTTAAAAGAATTGTCATCCAATTAATGGAGATAAATTAGTAGTAGGAAACGAACAATGCGATGATTGGAATGAGATTCCTTATGATGGATGCTACTTATCCCAATATTCTTGTGATTAAAATTGTATTGACTGTCAAATGGAAATTTGTTATATATGCGAATTTGGATTTTATTTGAATCAAGGAGTGAATTCTTGCGTTAGCAAATGTGGCGATGGATTAGTTGCTAAAGATGAGTAATGCGATGATGGAGTTGATAATGGATGTATAAATTGTTAAAAAGAGTGTCAGAAAGAATGTTTGAGTTGTTATTAAGGATAGTGTTAAGTATGTGAAGGAATAGGATGGGAAATTGATATAGTATCTGGAGTTTGTAGATCTAATTGTGGGGATGGCATAATTGTTGGAAAAGAACAATGTGATGATGGTAACGAAATCGAATTTGATGGATGTCATTAGTGTGAATTAAGATGTTTATAGTAATAATGTACTAAATGTTTAATTGGAATATGCTTAGAATGTGGTAATGATGGTTGGTATTTATTTGAATACAAATGCATTTCTTTTTGTGGAGATCTAATTGTAGTAGATAATGAAGAATGCGATGATGGTAATATTATTCCATATGATGGTTGTTTCGAATGCAAATTTTAATGTTAAATTGAATGCACTGATTGTAGATCTGGAATATGTTATGAATGTGGAATATAAGGTTGGCATTTAATTAATAATTATTGTGAAATAATTTGTGGAGATGGTATTGTTGTTCAAGATTTAGAAGAATGCGATGATGGCAATTTTATATAGTATGATGGATGTTATTAATGTTAATTCTAATGTTCTGAGATGTGCACTGTTTGTTAACAAGGTATTTGCTATGAATGTGATTACTTTGGTTGGATGATTGATGATCATATTTGCAAGCCATTTTGCGGAGATGGAATCATCACAGGTAACGAATAATGTGATGATATGAATAATAATTAAAATGATGGATGTCATTAATGTCAATATGCTTGTGATGAATATTGTATTGATTGTTAATAAGGAATTTGTTAATAGTGTGAATTAGGAAGATTTATAGTTTAAAATGTTTGTATATCTTAATGTGGAGATGGAGCTTATGTAAAATCAGCTGAGCTTTGTGATGATGGTAATATAGAAAATGGGGATGGTTGTGACAAAAATTGTCAAATAGAAGCTAATTACATATGTTAAAATAGAGAAGGTAGGTTCTCTTTATGTGCTTACTCTAAATAACCCTAATTTAATGTTAAACTTCTTTCAACAAATGTTGAAGATTTTTAGGATGTTTAAATAACATTTGATTAGAAAATGAAATATTATGGTGGAGATTAAGATAAATTATCCTAATTAATAATTTCTAGTATTATAGATATGAAAGATTCCCAATATGATATTGTCTATTAAATAATTAAATCGGAATCAAAAGACGAAATAAGCGACATAACTATTCTACTGAAAGTGAATTTTAATGCTCCAATAGAGAGACCATAATTGAAAATATAATTTTTGAATGATTCATTTCTTTCAGAATACAATTTACCTCTTTAATAGTTAACAAAAACAGTTTAATTGAATACACCTTCAGTACTAAACTAGGATTAGATAAATCTAGCCTAAAGTACTGTAGCTTATAATGAGGCAGTGATCTATTTCTTAATTGGCTTATCTGGTCTATGTCTAATGACAGGTTCTTCTGAATTATTTTGGAATCTGATGGATCAATTGTAATATTTATCATACATTAAATACGTAAATATTAGATTTCCTCCAAATCTTAATATTTATTTTGAAGTTTTTAAACTAATTAGTATTCAACCAGCAATTTCAGCCTTGAAAATAGATAATTTGTTTAATTTTATTCAGCAAGGAGAGAATAATCAAATTCTTCGTGATGATAAATTTAAGCCTGATGATATTAACATAAGATTTCTTGATAATTTTAGTAGTTTCATATTCTGTCTTATAACTGCCTATTCAGGATACTTTTTTTTCAAAATCACATATATGTTATTGTACCAAATGTAACCTTATTTTTTGTTGAAAATGAACTAAACAATTGCAAAAGGATTTTATTTAATTAGAAAACAATTTTATAAGTCTTCAAAAGAGTTTCACTATAATGGCATCTTAAGAGTAATGATGTCTAATGCATATGATATTTCTTTTGCAATGACAATATAACTTAGTTATTTTTAGAGTAAAAATATAAGTGAGACAATAAATTCATATCTTTCCCTTGCTATATTTGCTTCATATTTAGGAGTTTCGATTTATATTTTTAATATTATGCAAAAGTTCTCTCATTAGAATACATTAAGAGCTAAGAAATAATATGAATCTTTATTTGAAGGAATTCAAGAAGGCAAAAATGTCTGGGTTTCATAATATAATACAATTTTATTAATTAAAAAGCTTACTTTCATAAGTATAATTGTATTTATGTAAACAGATGGAAAACTTTAAACTCTGCTAATTGCAATAAATTAATCTTTATTTCTATTTTTTTGTATTGCCAATAACCCATTACAGAGTCATTATGAGTACTACAAAATTCTTATAACAGAGTCCCTTGTTATTTTCAACACAATCACGTTTATTCTTTACGATTATTTAAAGGATATTGGTTTGAACGAAAATTTTAGTATAACTTTAGGATGGGTTCACATATCCTCTTTTTCAGCTATCCTAATATTCTCATTAATAATTGATATTTTTTAACAATTACAGGTCATGGTGATCAAATTAAGGTAGTTTTGTTGTCAAAATAAGAATTAAGAAGATCTAGGATCATAAGTAAGACTATTTATTTGAATTTTTATTTTTTAATAAATCATTTTATTATTAAATCAATTTTTGTTTCAAAACTATGCATAAACATCCTTATTCACATTTATATAATTTTCTATTTATTTAAGAACAAAAATTATTCAATTTACATTTTCAGCTTAATTGTAAAAAATAATTAAAATAGAATATTAACTAGCTTTATAATATTTTAATAAGAAATTTTAATTATTTATTTCCTGAAAAAATCTGTAGAAATGAAAAATTAGGAATTTTAATAATAATCAATTGAAGATTAAATTACTTTATTTATTTTAGGAGATAACTAAGTAGGTAAAACAAGTCTAATTATTCGATACACTCAAGATATTTTCGATGAAGTTTATAATCACAAAAAAACACTTAATTGCAATAGTTTATTAAAAAATGATGTATCAAAGAGCATATTTATTGAAAATTAATGTGTTCATTTATAAATTGTATGTATCTTTAATTAATTTAAGCATGATATATCAGGTCCAGAGAAATATATTTTTATCGATAGAGTTTATAGGTATTTATAATTGATAAAATTAGAAAAGCATAAGGAATATTTATAGTTTATGATGTAACAAATAGATATTCGTTTAATAGTATTTAATAATGGATAAGTTAAATTGATAAGTAAAACTATTAAAATATTTATAGTATTGCTAATGAAGGTGTTATAAGAATACTTATAGGAAATAAATGTGATTAAAAAGATAATCGAGCTGTGACATTTGAGGAAGGCAATTTGTTAGGTATATAGTAATCTAATCAAATTAGCTTAATAATACGGTATACCATTTTTTGAAACATCTGTCAAATTATCAATTAATATAGAAAACTCCCTTATATTTTTAATAAAGTTGATTATGTAAAAACAAGAATAATAATAATAATAATAATTAATTATAAAGAATGAAAAGAAGAACTAAAAGTTAAAATTGAAATAAAATAATTAAAGTAAAAATATTCAAAGTTGCATTTGAATTTTATTTATTAATTTTGAATAGATATAATAATTATTATTTTATTTACTTTTCATTATAAAAATATATTTATTGTTTAGAAATACAACTATATTATACAAAGTTATAAATGATAATTTATAATTATATTATGATACTTAATAATATGAACATTAAATCAATACAAATCGCATACTAATGGGAGATGATCACTACCTTCTTCTTAATTTACAATGGGATTTTCTATTAAATATTCAATTTTAGGCATTTATAATATTTATGAGACTTGCAATTTATTGATCCAAATGTAATCTACACATCCTACTTATGATGAAGACATTGTTGTAATTAATGGTTCATATGTAGACCATTTTGCATAGAAATCATGCAAATCTTTACTTTTCATTTTCTATAAATCTGCATAAACGCTTCTAAATTGAATTGGTGTTTCTACAATTGGATATGGATTTAATTAAGCTTAATGAAATTAAAAATTATCATCTATAATTTGGCATCTCAAAGCTTGAACATACAGATCATAATCATAATCAATGTCTTATTATTCATATTGTATATTAAATTCACCACACTTTTTCTAAACATTAATTCTATCCTACATATAATCAGTAGGATGATAAGAAATGGAATATTAGCCACTTATTCTTTTTGGATTTAACTTACTAAATTGTTATTGGCCTTATGAAATATAAGAATACAAAGCACTATTAGGTGTTAGATTAAAATCACCACACCATACAATTCTTGAATTCTAATATTTTAATTGTAAAGATTAAAGTGTGATCATAATTAATTGAAGTTGACTTAGTTTTAAATCTCCTCTGTTTTTATTAAATATCAAATGAGAATTAGCAACTATGAGAGGATTTCCATCATTACAATCTTATAATACTGTTATAAGACATATATTAGGTTTATCCATTTTGGCTTTAGAGTTATAAAATAGATGTTCTTGTTTTAAGTGAAGATTATAGGACTTGATTAATTTGAATTTCTATTTTAAGAAAAAGAGAGCACATCCATCTTTTTGATTTTCTTGACTTCTTTTTAAATAAAGCTTTTCATATTTATCATGAATTAATAATTAACTTAAGTCATTTTCATCACAATCTAATTCTTAAAGACATAGAATATCAGGCTTATACTTTTTTATTTAGGAAAAGATTAATGGCCATCTGTTCTTCCATTCATATTATTATAATTGCTTTTCATTTTCTTATAACAAAGAATCAGCCAAAATATTGTAAGACATTAATCTAAAAGAGTTGTTATGTTTAGAACCTAGCCATTTTCTTATAGATGTAATTTATTATTGCATGTATTTATTAAATAAAAATATATGTGAGAGAAATAATATATTTAAAAATTACATAATAATAACAATATTAAATAATATATAAAAATAAGGAAATGGAAATGGACAAAGAACCATATGATTATATTTTTAAAATAATTATTATTGGAAATGGTAGTTGTGGGAAAACTAGCATATTGTATCATTATTTGAATGGGAAATGTAAAGAGATGTTATGAAAGAAATTAGAACCGAAGAATGTAGCTTAGACTGTCGGTGTTGAATTTTCATCGAAAATGATTTAAATAAAAGGGAAATCCATTAAATTGTAATTATGGGATACTGCAGGTTAAGAAAGATATCGATCTATTGCAAGAACATATTATAGAGGTGCATTAGGAGCAATTTGTGTTTTTGATGTGACAAATGCAGAATCTTTTTAGAATATGTAATAATGGATAAAAGATGCAAGAGATTTTGCAAGACCAGATATATGTATATTAGCATGTGGGAATAAGATAGATTTGATCGTATTAAATTTATTTTAAAAAAGGAATAAAGAAGAATTACAGAAAGTTAGGTTTAAAAATTAGTAAAAGAATATTCAATAGATTCATACTTTGAAACAAGTGCAGTTACAGGGGAATAAATAGAGAATATGTTCATGACATTATCAGGAAAATTAGTTTAAAGGATAGATAATGGATTAATAGAGAAAAACGATTTAAAACCAATTCTATTAGCTACACATTCCTCGAAAGAAGAAGCAAAAGAATAAACTTGTTCTTGTTGACTTTGTGTGTACAATTATATTTGCAAATTACACATTTAATATATTAATTCATTAATTAATCTAAATATATTTTTATATTCCACCTTCAATGAACTATGATGGAGTTTGATATTCTTGATTATGATTATTAGTTTTATATTTCTAGATTATATTCTCTATTTTAATCAATTCTTATATCTTTAAGGAATCTGATATCTCTAAGGATAATTGAATGAATATTCCATCCAAATATACATTTCTAATTGTTCAAAATATTTCATTTTAAAAAACTTAATCAAAACTTTATTTTTATTATTATCTAAATTCAATCTTCAAATAACTAAATATCGTTTGATTTTATACATATAAATCTTAACAAAATATGTTTGTTATTATGTAATACATATATATATTTAGTCTAAAATATAATAGTTATAATATAAAATTTATTAATAAATATAATTACAACAAAATGAATGTAGATGACATAAAAAACAAATTAAAAGAATTAAATAAGAAACAATAAGAAAGTTTAAATAAAAGAAAAAGTTTGATAAAAGAAATAAAAAGCATGCCCTTTTAGTAATTTTTATTTAATATGATAATAGAAAGAATAATCATAAAATTAAGAAATCTAAGGATGAAAATGAAAAGGTAATTTATAGAATACGAATGTTTTGAAGACTTTTGTAATCAATCTTGAGGGTGCAAAGGAGGAACGTGCTGAAAAGTAAAAGTAGCTTGATCAAAAAGTACCCATTGCCTAGAAAGAGAAGGATAGAAGAATAGTAAAATTTCTATTTGGAAACCATTTATAAAGAGCAAAATAAGATTTAGAAGGAGAAAAATAAAAAGTAATTTATAGTATCATATCAATTTAGTTGGATAAACAAATTGAAATCAATAAAAGACTTGAGGATAAAGACAGACAAGATATAATGGCTTTTAAAGAAGATTAAGATGTATATTATAATATATAGAAAATAGAAAAGAAAGGAATAATTGGTGACAGAGAGAAAACAATTAGAGAGAGAATTGGCAGCAGATGAATTTAGAAGACAAGTAAATATTATAACAATTATATATAGTAATTATTATTGGAGCTTTAATTAAAAACTATGAGAGAGTTTTTTATCACTAAGTAAATTATATATCTTAAGAAATTATTAGAACAGCTCCATATATATTATGGTAACCAGTTAAGACAAATGAAGGTATGAATCCTCTTAAAGAATATAGTAATGAGAGATTCAATGTAAGAAATATATTAAATTTTTGATTAGGAAATGGAAAAAGACCTAAAAGAGAGATTATAAAGAGCATATTAATAATTTCTTGATTTTTAGAGTCAGAAAATTAAAGAGCAGCCAGTTGAATAAGAGCATGAAAGTTCTCAATCTGAAAGTGAGGAATCTTAGGAGAAAATAAAGGAAGATGGGTAAGAATGATGAAAAATTATAGGTATTAAATTAGAAATAAGATTATAATTCATAAAAACTGTTCTATTTAAGTAGAATTAAAAAATATATAAAATAAATAATTGTTTTTGATTTAAATCAGACATGTTTACTAAGTGCAGCCTTTACTGATTTTGCAATATTAGATTATTCTTTCTTTTCATCTTCATTGTCTTTTGGTTATTGTTATTATGGCTTTTAAGTGTATTTTAACAAAACATTTCCTGTTGGGGCTTATTATTAACTTAATAATGAAGAAAATATTTACTTATCTTAAAGTTTTTTGAATTGAACACTTGGTGAAACAAACTAGTTCATATTTGGAGAATCTAATGTTTGTTTATTAATATACCTTCACATCCAACAGTTCTACCTGTAATAACAGGAGTTCTCATAATCATTTATTAATCTTTATTTTATACTTCTTTCATTTTATTTGTTGCTTACATGACTGGAGATTTTAAGGGTGAGTTAGTTAATTGATTAATTCTAAGCATATCAAATTTGGCAGCTCTATTATAAATTATAAGATTTTACTGTTCATTGATTAATTATATTCTAGCATTTAATCCAGGTTTATCATCAACTTCTCCAATATCTCCATCTTCTTCTGATGAGATGTTTTATTGAATTCCTTCGCATAATTAAATATATTCAAATTTCATAGCATCTCTAGCTGTAATTCTTTTTTTTGGATTAGGTTCTAACATTTATTTTAATAATTCTAATGCTTATGGTGGTACAACATCAAACACTGAACTTTTAAAATTAACTTTAGCCTCTTTATTCTATTGAACAATAGTGTTATAACTTCTTCCTGGGAATCCTGGTTTTCCTGTCAAAAGTATGTGGAATACCAATCCTAAAGAGTAAATATCACAAACACTATCATATGTAGTTGACATATCTGTAATATTTATCACTTCTGGTGCTACAAAACCAGGTGTTCCACATCTACAATATAAATAGATTGGCAGATTTACAAATGTTGCTAAACCAAAATCAGCTATCACTACAGAATTGATATCACTATTATAATAATGTTTAAATTAACTTTTATTCTTTGAATAATATATTCTCTAACTTCAAATCTCTATGCATTATATTTTTGGAATGCATGTGTGCCAATCCATCTAACAATCCTTTCATTATAGATTGTATTTATTTATTGTTTAATATTACTTTCTTCTTCATTAAATCATAGAGTTAGCCTCCCTATAATAATTCTAAACCCATATATAATGAATTCTATGTCTCATAGACTTCATAGAGTTTCATAATATTTGGATGATCTAATTCTCTCATTATAGTAATTTCATTTATGAGTCCTTCCTATTTTTGATATGTATAATCTTACTTTCCCATTTTCTTCAGCATAAACTGCACTTTTTGAAAATGCTTTAATTGCCATCTATTAACCATCTTCTATTCTCTCTGCTAAATACACACTTGCAAAATTGCCTTTGCCAATCTTTTTGAATACTTTAAACATATGATGAAATCCCATCTGATTTATTTTTTAACCAAATAGTTTTCTAAATGTTTTCAGCGTTTCTTAATCACTAGTGAAATCCCAATGTTTCTCTGATGTTTCTATCTATAATCTTATATGTAAGATATTCCCTAAAGTTTAAACATCCTCTGGTTTAACAATGTCAGGTCTATTTGAATGAGGAGTGTTTGGAGTTGATTTTTTTGTTTAAGCATTTGACTTTAAAATAGGAGCATCTCTAAATATTTCAAATCTAGTTGAAAAATCTAAAGGCAATAATTTATGTGCAAATTTTCCATTTTCCTTTTTAATATAGTTTCAATTACTTTGAATAATAAAATATGTTTATCAGTAACTACAAGATGTCTTTAATGTTACTTTTTCCCTAATTTTGTTACAGTTGCCTCATATTTAACCTTTGTTTACACAAAATCCTTAGGAATAGCTTACCATAATGGTCCTTATTCAATTTATTGCATTTAATATTTAATTTTAGAAATTACTGAAAATATTAATAAATAATTTAATCACAATTCTTAATTCATAATCAATGATGATGTCCATGATGTCCGTGATGTCCATGATGTCCACGATGTCCATGATGTTTATTACCTAAACTATTTAAATGAAAATTATACCAACTACAACAACATTTGCTGAATGATGATGATGATGACCTATATTTTCAATCATCCTAACAGTTTCAATAGCTGCAAATGTTCCTAAAGCAGTTCTAGCCATAGTACCTGCAAAGCCAGGGCCTTATTTTTAATAGTATTATTATTATTATTATTATGGTTATTATTATTAATTTACTACAATAACTTAATTGGCTCCTTATTATGGTGTAGAGTAATATTATTAATTATTTGGATATTATTAGTATGTTTGATATTAATTAGGTTACTAATATGGATTTCCATAAGGAGGCATCTAATTTGGAGGAACTACCGGATTCTAAACTGGATAACCTTATTATAATTATGGTGTCTAATTTTGTTTCATTGAGTAGATTATTTCAGATGAAACCACTGGCTACATCACAGTCTAAGGTTGTTATTCATATTATTATTATGATTCTTGCTCAAAATTAGTTAGAACAATATTTTCATATGGATTATCTGGGTAGATGATTTCAAGTAAAGGAGTAAACTAGATAGTATATAAATGACATACTTGCTAAGCTAGAAAGTCTCGAGGTAGCTTGGCAACTCTGAAAGTTAGAGATTCTAAACATCCTTTTTTATAAGAACCAGAACTTGCTGTAAAGGTATATCCCATGAACATATAACTAAATTTATAACCTTAATCCTTTCCAAAGATGGCTTGTTATCCCTTATAAGTTATTATTCCTAATTAAGTAATTCCAGATTCGTAATATCCGAAAAGGACCTAAATATAATCATCTGAATTTAAATTTTATTATTACTTAGACCTATTTCGAATTCATATTGACTGATGTTTTTACCAGTTATGCAAGTATCATTACATATTATTTTTCTTCCATTTTTAATATTTTAGTAAGTAAAAGAGATTCCGCATATTTAGTTTTCATTTAGACTAATTTTCACACCTGAAATTTTGAATTCATCATTGCCTAATTACATCTTATCATCAAATTTTAATAGATCTTATCTATCCACTCCAAGTGTAATTAAGGCTGGAACTTTATTTGTCATAATTTAATAATTGTTTTTCTATATTAAAGTTTTCTATATAAATATATACAAAAAAGGATAATTAACACAAACAATTTTATTTATAAAATGTTATAATGATACTACATATTAAATTTCTTAAAAACATTAATCTTATTCAATAAATCTTAAAATTCTTTAATTTATGCTTAAATTTGTTTAAATTTATAGAATAAAATCGTATAAAAAAATATTAATTGAACTGAACTTCTTTATAAAGCTATTTTACTATAAATCATTCATATTACTTTATTTTTCATATTATATGTTATTCCTACCAATAATGAGTGAAAAGGATAATAAATATGATTAAGTAATTAATCATTTTGTTATTATATTAAATATTTTTATTTAATTATAAAGAAAATACATTAATTTAGATCTCCAGATATATTCATACTATATGACAATTATCATATTATTTATCAATAATTTATTACTCTTTCAATTAAATATCACTTTATATAAAATAGAAAGAATTAATAGAGAGTATATTTTTTAATAATTAATCTCTTATATGTCCAATCCTTTTGATAACTTAATCAAAAACTTTATTTATTTAATTGATAATCTTAAGATAGATAAAATAAAATTAATTATTGATTTCAAATAGTTTTTTTAACTATAATATTAGATTTGTTATTAAAAATTAACATAAATAATAATAATAATATATATGAAATTAAAATATTATTTTGTTTTTCAATTTTGTTTGTTTTATTTCTATTTATTTACAGGTGATAAGAATTATCCAATATATTGCATATATGTATTTTTAATTTAATCTTTAATAGTTGGAGACTGAGATCTTTAAGATGTATTAATTTCTGGTGGTACATTCACAGGTTTTGGAGACTAAGATCTTTACTTTTTATCGAATTCAGCTTTGATACCTGAAGGTCTAATATTTTCTAATTCTTCTAGAGCTCTTTTAATAGGACTTATTTCTATATCACAATTTCTTTTATAAGTATATCCATGAAAATATTTTTTATTTTCATTAATTAATTTATTTTTATCTTAATCTATATCATTTTAAATATTATGAACAACATTTTTCCATGGTTCTTTTTCTTCAAATTTATCAAAATTAGATGTTAATTTCTTTTTATCAGGTATATATGGAGGTTATTGATTTCTGATATTAATCCAATCAATACCAGAAAAAAAAGGATGTTTTTTTATTTTATTTGGATCTCCTAATCGTTCATTAGGATCACAGATAAATTTAAGAATTAAATCTTAACATTAAGAAGATATTTTAGGTTCTTTGGGTATTCGAAAATGTTGTTTCCAAGATATTATTTTTTTACACGTTTTTTATGATGTATCACTATAAAATGGTGTATAACCTATGACCATTTCAAATAAAATAACTCCAACACTCCACCAATCAACTAATTAATTATATCCTTTTTATGAGAATATGTCTGGAGCTATATAATCAGGAGTGCCTACTGTAGAATATGCTAATTAACGACGTGAATTATTATTTTTAGATTATATTTCTTGAACATTATTTTTATATGGGATAGACATATCATAATGTACACCTAAATGTTTACAGAGACCAAAATCAGAAATTTTAAGATGACCATTTGCATCAATAAGAATATTATCAGGTTTAAGATCTCTATGTATATAATTCATACTATGAATTTCTTCAACTGCTAATACAAGTTCAGCTATATAAAATTTTGCATGTCTTTCTGGGATTATATCTTTTTTAATCAATAAAGTCATTAAATCTCCTCCACTTAAAAATTCCATAACCAAATAAAGATTATCATCATCTTAAAAGGAAGATTTTAATTCAACAATCCATTTACATTTAGATTATACTAATAAATCTCTTTCTGCTCTTATATGTCCTAATTGATTTTTAAAGATCATTTCAGATTTCTTAATTTTTTTTATTGCAACAAATTCGTTTGTACTCTTATGTCTACATACTCTTACTTCTCCAAAAGCACCTCTACCAATAATGGCAAGGGATTCAAAATCTTCAACCGTAATCTTTTATCTCCTAAAGATTAAATCATATTAACTTCTTTCTTAATATCATTGCTTCTTTACGTTGTATTTCCTTTTTTATCAACTCTTATTCTATAGGAGTAAAATTTAAGCTTTTAAGAATTAACTCCAATTATAGCCAATCTTATATCTTTTCCTTCTCTTCATCCATAAACACTTTATATTTTCTTTCTATATAGGCTTTGCAAGCATTGACTCTATCTTTGGTTTTATTACTAATTTTGATTTCTGCCATTTAATAATATGTTTATAATTGAATACTAATAGATAAATAATTATATAAATTTAAATGGTCATAATCTGAACATAAACGTTGTTTTAGGTTAAATCTATTATTTCTTTTACAATCCCATAAAAGATGAAGTTTTTTTAAGTTCATAAACTCTATCATAAAATTAATATGCATATTATTATAATGAAATTCTATCTTAAGATCTATTAGGAGATGTATCAGTTCTTGTATTTAATGAAAATCTTTATTCATAATTTTTTTAATTTCTTCTTTATGAATAAAGATTCTAAAAATCAAATGTAAATTAAGTTTATATTCTGGTTGTATTTGGTTATCCTAATTTATTATTAATATAGATATCAAAATCTTTTCTTAATTTTGGAGATGAATTTTTATGTTCTGGTATTCCATTAAATATATTTGTAATTCTATTTTACATATTTCTAAGTTTATCTTAAGAAATTTCAGCTTTATTTTTTAATAAATAAGAATGTTTTGGTGGTGATATTTTTTTATTATAATTGAAATTATCCAAAAAATTAAGAGGTCTTTATTATTCATAAGTAGGTGTAATAGTTTGAGTAAAGTGATTAATTTAGAAATCACCTTAAATATTAATATATTTAGTAGGTGAATTTCCAGAAGCATAACTTTTAAATAGATCAGAGAATTATTAAGTTGATTTTTATCCAGATGATGTTAAAAGTTATGGTTCTATTTCTTATTTATTTTTTTATTAAGAATTTGAATCAATTTATGTCCAATGAGTCTCAAATTCATCTATATCTATAGCTCCAGATTTTGACGTATTCAAATATTCAAACAAATATCTTATGGTTCTATTATTGATATATCAATCAAAAAGTACTCATCAGATTTTATATTATGATTTCTCTTTAATTCAGATTCCAAATCATCAATTTCTATTTCTCCAGAATTATTTATATCTAAATCATAATATGCTGTATTAATATCATTATATTTCTTTTTTAGAGTTTCTATTATTCCTTTCCATATTTTCTATAATTCTTATTAATCCATAATAAAATTTTATTTCTCTAATTAATTTATTATATAATAGTTTCATTGTATTAATCACTTTCTTTACTTGATTATTATTAATTATAATAATAAAATGAACATATATTTTATAATACAAAAACAAAATAAATAAAATTAAATATAAACAATCAAGTATTGTTATTGAATATGCAATCACTTTCAGAATCAAAAAAAAGGATTCATGAACAATCATATGCATAAAAGGTATCCCATCCTATAACTCCTGATAAATCTCATATTAAATTGAATGAATCTTTATTCAATGCAAAAATTGTTGCAAAGAAATCTTGTTCATTAATTAAAGATGTTCAAAAAGATGTATAATTGACAATTAAAAAATATGATGAATTCTTAAAACTTTCACATACTCCTAACAAAATTCCTGATTCAATTACAAGTTCTCCATCCATAATGAAACCACATTAAATAGAAGAAACAACAGAACAAAAAGATGATGATTAAGCTCTTCTTAATCAATTTTAAAGATATACATATTCTCAAGAATTAAGAAGACAATCTCTACCATTAGAACGATCTGAATTGAGATTATCAAGTTTTAAAGCTAAAGAAGAACTCTTTCCTGTTGAAGACATTAGCCCAATCAAATAACAAAATAATAGTAATTTTGTATTTCGAAGGAACTCATCTTAAATCATGACTTCTCCTCCTCCTCGTAAATAATCTTAATAATCTATTCTCACAGATTATTATGGAAGTTATGCTAAAATTCATTTACGTAAATCTCCAACTGCTCCTAAAATTGAGATTAAACAATAAGAGAAACCATAATCACCTCCAGATATTGCAAAACGTAATTAGGAATGGAAATAAAGATTAGAAGAAAAAATAAATTATGAATAAAAAAGAAAGAGTGAAAAAGAAATGAAAGATTGTACATTTAAACCAAAATTAAATGAAACAAAAATGAGTGAGAAATCTAAAACAAAGATTACATAAAAAAATAAAAAGAATATAAATAATTCTTAAACTCCTGAAGTTAAAGAAATAATGCATATCATTGCAGACTTAAATTAATTTAGTAAATAATTAAAAAAGAGATTGTGATGATTGAATAAAGACAAATGATTTAGAGATATATATACTATTAATATAAAATATAATCATATAGTGATATCAATATTAGTATTTTTGTTTTGTTTTTTACTTTATGATTTCACTTAAAACTTTTTATTCAAGAATACTTTAAATTCATCTAATTTTCTTTTTTCTCTATTTCTTTTAAATGTAACCTCTTTATCTTCACGTGAAAAACTTCTAGATATCCTTTATGATAAATCCTTAATTTCACTTCTTTCTTTATCAAGCTCCTCTATTATTTAATTGAATCCATATATTTCTGCAGGTTGATATTTTTAATTGACTTTCTCAAATTTAGGTTTTTAAAAGAACTTTTAGACTTTGATATTTATTGTGACTCTTTTTTATTTCTCTTATGATTATTAAAATGCCTTAAGATTACTAACTCTTAAGACTTTCTAAGAATATTTATCACTCAATAATTATGATATTGGAATAGAATTAGTAGTTACAGTAGTTGGTAATTAGTATTCTATATTAATGATAGGTTGTTTTTTAAGAAATGTTTACAAGGTTAATTATCTTTAGTTCATTTATAATTATAATATCAGATGTAACCCATTTTAGCTGCAATATCTTCTTTTGTCAAACCATCCTTATCTTTACTTGCATCCTAAATGAATTCAAGAATGTCTGCATCACTTATTTGAATATCCAAATATTAAGCAAATACATTCTTTATTTCTGATAATCCTACTTTACGATCCCTTTAATTTAATTTTCATTTTTACTTTCTTACAAACAATTCATAAATTTCATCTATTTCATCATCTCTTCCTTTATTTTCAAACCACTTTCTAGATATTAATTAAATAACATCTTTTAATGAAAAACTATCACGAGTTCTAAGAATAAAAGGATATAATACTCTTCTACAACATCTCTTATTTCTTCTTCTATGTCTTTTACTGTTTTATTAATGAAACCAAAATTGCCCAATATTGATCTCATATTTTAACGATTGATGAATCCTGTTCTTGATGGATCATAAAAATTGAAACAGTCTCTAATTTCTGATTCCTATTATTATTTTTATATCATAAAATATAAGTTACCATATCATCTGGAAGTTTCTAAGTGACTTATTGTTTTGGACCTTTACTTTAATTTTTGGGATTTTGAAGAAGAGTTTACTTTTTTTTATCTTATTTCATAGGGTAATTTAATTATTATTTAATTATTAAATAATATTAATGAATAGCAACAGCAAATCAATATATAAAAATGTTGAATTCCAAGATGAACCATACTCAACTAATAATAAATTTGCCGTGTATGTCCCAAAACAAGAAATTCCCAAATATTCTGCATCCCAACAAGTGTTTTATAATCAACAACAACAGTAGTCACCCTAAAAACAATTAAAAGTAGAGTTTCAAGATGAACAAGAAAATCGTAATCTCTAAAATCAGATTGAGTAATAACAATTTGAATAGGAATATTAGTAGTCTTAAAGCAATCAACCAAAGGCTGAAATCCATAACCATAGAAATGTAACTTAAAATAGATACAGATTAACAAATCAAACTCCTAAGACTGCTTAAGGGAAGGATTAATAGAAATTTTATAGTTCTACTCCTTCTCAAAGCATTATTAAATAGAGGACTCTATAATAATTCAAGAATAGTTTGTATTTTGATGAAAGAATCAACAAAGTACCAAAATCAACAATAAGAAATCACATTATTGACAGTATTGTTAGTGATGCTGATTTATTACTTTAAAGAAGAGAATTAATGACATCTATTTATAAATTAAAACAACTGAATCTATTAAAAAACAAGGAATTTGCAGTGTAAACTTAAAATATCAATTTAGGAATCGTCTTCCAGGAGTTGGAAAATCAAGTTTTGTGTATAATGATTATCACACTAAGAGCACAAATAATGGATACTCTAGAAATTTCGGTGGAGTATTTTATACTAGATGATTAATATATCTATTATAAAATAAGCATTATAAAATTATATTCTTAGTCCTGAATCGTCTATGATTGAAATTCAAGTAATCCTATGATTTCCATCAAAAGAATAATATAATATTATTATATATTCTATCAATAATACTATTTCACTTATATTTACAAAAATGATCATGAATGAATGATTAATAAGCATTTTGAGAATAGACTTCATAAACAAAAATTAAAAATTTTTTTTAGTAGATAGTAAAATATTGACAGAGTTGATGTTTATAATATTAAATGGAGTGATTTGATAAGAAAGAGATGGATTAAATGAATAATAAGGTTAATGTTTATTGTATTCTGTGAATTGATGAATAATTTTATTGTAGTTATATATGACATAAATTAAATAAAGATATATTTATTTTTAAAATGGTAACAAATATCACTAATAATCATGTTAGGGAGTTGATGCATATAAGAAGACAAGAGTATAAAGAAATGTTTAAAGAAAGGTGACCTCAACAAACCTTTATTTGAAATTGTTAATCAAGGTATTTTAATAATTGATTTGAATCTTAGTTATATAAATTCTTAGCCAGAAGAACAGATTCAAATTTCAATGCAACAATTTTAAGAAGACTCTAATAAACAAGAACTGCCAGATATCCAATTAGTGTTAGCAGACTTGTTAAATAAATTAATACAGCCAAAGATAAGACAAGAACACTTGTTGTTGTAGGCACTGTCACAGATGAGTAATTATTTATAAAATAGCATTTAGTGTACGACTCCTCACTGTTCCAAAGATCAATGTTTGTGCTTTAAGATTCACTGAAACAGCAAGAAAGAGAATTCTTGCAGCTGGTGGAAAGGTCTTGACTTTTGATCAATTAGCACAATAAAACCCAACTGGTATATAAATAATTTAATATTTAAAGGCACTGGAACAATCTTATTAAGAGGACCAAGAGTAAGAGAAGAATTGAAGCATTTTGGTAGAGCTGCAGGATTACCAGGATCACATGCTAAGCCATATGTCAGTCACACTGCAAGAAGAGGAAAAGGTGCAAGATGATTGTTCTTTTTAAGTACATTAATATATAAAAAACATCGTAATCATTTTATCAAAAAATTAATTATATTAAAAAAATAGTATTTATTCTCCATTAATTTTAATATATGAATAATTCAATTCTTTATTTAATTATATTACTTAAATTCATTTTGTTCAAATCATCCATATTTTTAAATAATCTTTTCTTTGTTATTCATTCCCAATTTATATAAAAGAAAAATTAAGTTTATTTCTATTATTATTTTTATTATTAATCTTTTTTTTCTTTGATTTAACTAAATGATATCAAATTTTAATTTAATATTATATTTAAAATTTATATTCCAAACAGAATAGATATTATTAATTAATTATTCAATTAAAAATAGAATTTCATATTATTTAATAAATAGAAGTTCAAATATATTCACTATTAAACATTTTATAGATAAGATATTATAAGGCCTTTCTTTTGTTTAAATTCAACATCACTAAAGCATTTAATTACTATTATAATAGTTAAAATTTCAACAAAATTTAATAGAGATATTTAATTAATGAATTAAAAAAAAAAATAACGAAATATATTAAGTCATTCTATTTGTTGATGTTTCAATAAATATTAAGTTAAAACATTATCACTTTATAAATTTAAGAAATGTCCTCTTAATTAAGCTAATTCAAGCCAATGTTACCATGACTTTTTATTTAATTCTTTATTGCCACTATATCTGAATCTTGTAATCATCATCTTCCAATGACATTCCAATTATAGCATACAAAATTTATAATTTGCAATTTCAGTCAATCCTGATATTTTAATGATTTATTATAATGTGAATTGTACACTATGCATTAATAATTTTGGATTTTAGAGTATCTTTTCTATGTATAATCTAATAGTTTCCATCAATAAAGCTTCTTCTCCAGGCCATAACCTTCTATTTTTGCCTTATCCATATAATGTATTTAATCCATCAATAATTTCATGATATGCAATATTTCTGGGAATTGGAAAGTTCTTTTTATTTTTTTCTATTTATTTCCTTTCATCTTAAGGTAATGTTGGTATCCAAGCCTATAAAATTGATTAATTTGTCTTATTTAAAAATGTTTAACCTTATGGAAGATATTTTAGTATAACATCTGATTGATCCTTTGTATGATCCAATAATATAGGTTATTTATTAATGTCATTCATTAAAGTATATTATCTATGAACATTAGAACTTTTATTCATAAGCATTGGTTTTCTATTCTAAAATTCTTTCTTTAATAAATCAACTGTTTAAACACATTAAACATCTCGAGATTTCCGAGTTCTTGATATACTAACAATAGCAGAATCAGCTAGATTGCTATTTTGATATAATAGACTTAAGTCTAATTATATGGTTGCCTAAGGTTATGTAGGTCTTTTTCGAGGAGTTGAATTTCTTCTGTTAGATGATGGGCCTCGTAAACATTAATAAAAGAATGAGTTATTCTAAAAATTAAGGTCCATTGTAATTAAATAAATATATGAACATTAGTTTTATAATCATTTTTCTACATCCATTTTAGTTCCTTTTATTAATTATTTTGATATTTCCTTTGTAATTAAATGATGTTTCTTTTTACTAATTAATCTTTTTAATTAATCTTTATGATCTTATTTAAGTTAATACAATTCACAGACTCTCAAAATCATTTAATGCCAAATAACTGGCATTTCTCTTGAATCATTTTCATATCTCATAAAATATTTAATAACTTCATCTAATGCCTAAAATATATATAATTAATTAATACTCTTTCTGGAAGAGAAAACTTCTTTTCAATTAAAACTTTCAATATAACAGCAACAGGTCCTGTAAAATCTAATTAAGCTACTTTAAAAATAGCTATTGAACCATGAATAGGTGGAATATGTAACTAAATAATATCAAATTAATAATTATTACTTTATGTATAACACTACCTATAATTTATGCTTCTTTTAATGTAAAATCTTTTTCTAAACACAATGGAAATAATATTGATCTAAACCATGCTTATGGTTTATACATAGCTTTAATTAATGCATTATATAAATGAACATTTAATCTTTTATCTTCTTAAATACTTAATCTGACTGCAGGTAATATTATAGTGGAATATAAATATTCAGTTTGTTATCTATCTAAAGCAGATGAAAATATTTTAGTAGCTGCAAAGATAGCTTAAGGAGACCATTCTTTTGGTTTAGTTAACTCAAATACTTATTTCCAATGTTCTAATTTTGGTATGAGATGGAATGGTTATGGTAATTTACCTGATCTATATGTTTTCATTAATTCTGCAACACTAGATTTAATTATAATTTTTATACTTTTCATATACACATACTACTTTTGGATTATTCATAATATTTTCATGATGTTTTTTATTTTCATCATCTTATAATCCTTTTTAAAAATCTTCTATAATTTAATTAGTTTTAATATCATTTCCAACCATAAATTATGATAATATTTATTCATCTTCAGGTGATATTTTTAATGAATCAATTATAAATGTATTTGGTAATTCAAGTACATCATCTTATTCTTCAAGTTATTCTTATTACTTATTTTTTGGTTTTCTTGTTTATTTTTAAGTTTCTCGTTTGATTTTTCTTAATTCTCTCATTCCTTTCTTTTTTTCTCCAAGTCTTCTTAAAAGCTTTCCTGGTTATTATGTTAATGCATTGGTACTGATAAAACCAACTTTTTTATTTGATTATTTTAGAACTCCTTAAGATGTACGTAACACTCTTTATTTTTTTGTTGTCTTTTTAATTACCATTAATTATATTAATATAAAATGTGAATGAATAATTCAAGGCAATATTCCATTTGTTCTCTTCTGAAAATTATCATATTAAGCTGTTCTCCAACTTGATAAACTTTAATTTATCAATCTATCTACTAAACCCATAATCTATAGATATATATATAAATATTTATACTTCTTAATCAGTTGCATTTAATTAAAATCTATTAGTAAATACCTTTAAATCTAAATTAGCAAAACAAGGCAAATCTGATTTTTCAACCATTATTTTAAAGAAATTCTCAATTTCTATTACATATTTCTTTAAAGCTAAAAATCCTTTTGTCATTAATGATTTGAAATATCCAAAATAATCACTTTCTCTACCTTTCATTAATTCCAAATATTCTTAAGTCAATTTAAAAGGTGCTGATTCAAAATTAACACCACCTGGAGATGTTTACAATAAGAAACCAAAATCAATATGAATAATATGACCTTTATCATCTATTAATAAATTTCCATTATGTCTATCTTTAATCTATCAATTAAATAAGATTGATTTATACCTACATCAAATATGAAAATAAAGAATAACTGGCTAAACTTTCAATAAAATTCTTTTATGCTTCTTCAAATGAGTTTCCAAATACTTCTTAATATATTTAGTATAATGTTTTAGTACCATTTCCAAACATTTTCTTAAGTGAATCAATTGATATTGTATTTGGAATATATTCTATTAAATGTTTATATATAATACCTACAATTCCAGAATTAGCTGAAGTAACAATAATTTAATATGGTCTTAAATAGAGATTCAAATCTGATTCTTTAAATATCTTATTGAATTATTTCATCATTTAAATTGCAAACATTTCTTATCTGAGATCATCACCTCCTTTAATTATAATAGGTCTAATCTTGAAAGATGGAAAGTTTTAGTATCTTGATTCTTTTTTGTAACTTTTTATTTTTTCTTCCCAACTCTTTTTTAATTATATAATGAATTTACTTATTCCCATAATAGAAAGTTTCTTTTTTTAAATTTATTAAGCACATATAATTTTTCTACTGGTAATATCATTTATAATTATTTCTGAAATTCATTATGTTTTTCTTCATTCTTTTCTTAAGATCTTGATTTTCGTATATTTTAAGGTAATCTAATAGTTTATAATGATAATAATCGTTTACGATGAAATACATCTTATTATTATTATTATTATTATTATTCTGTATTCTTTTTGTCATAATCATCAGAGATTTATTATTTCTATTGTTATCAATTGATGTTACTTTCACTTATTTTTACATATATTGATCAATACTTTACATTATCTAACTTTATCGTTTTCCTTTCTTTTCCATCTTCATAATTTTCTCTAAAGCTTCATGATATAATTTTTATTCTTCCAAATCTATTTATGCCATTTATCTTTCAAATCCTTAATCATTCAATTAAGCCTCAATATAACCAGCTACTTCAATATTGGCCTACAATTATGCTGGTATAACCTGATATTGATTCATTTCTATGGGACTATCTCTAATAAACCAAATTTTTACTTAATTGTTTCTACTAATATCAAATAAGGCACTCTTTTTTTTGTATGAAAACAAATTTAATGTTTTTCCATAATATTTACAATACAATTAGAATTATTCTATTATTTATCATCATCATAAAATGGTAATGATATTCCAAGTTAAAATTTCTTTACTATTCTCTATAAATTTTAATTTTATTTTTTTATAAGTAATTTTAGATGATGTTTACGATCCTCTTTTGCAAATTCTTTCAATACTAAAGAATGTTTAATCAAGGTTCCCATAAATCTTTATACTTCTGTAAAATATTCTTATCTTAAGTCTTTTTCTTAAAAATCTTTTAATAAGATTTTATTCTATTCTTCTTTATCTAATTATTCAAATCTCTTTTCATTAAATTAACCATTTACCATTGACATTTCCATTTACTAATATTAATTTTACACAAATACTCTTAATAATTGATCTATCTTTTACTTCTTCTTCTTATGCTTCTCCAATTATAGATATGCCCCCAATAACCAATACAACTTTAACGTTCATATAAATTATGTACATTAAAAAACATTGACATTGATTGATTACACAACCTCTTAAAGAAATCAAATAGTTATTAAACTTCTGTCTTTATAAGCAATTAACAAAATTAAGGTGAATAAAATGTTATTGTCTTCTCTGGTATTTTAATCATACACTCAGCTAATAAATTTAAAACATCAGGTTAATCCCTATATTTTGAGATATTTTGCAAAAGCATCTCAGGTGTAAAGTATTCCGAATCAAAGAAATTCTTTAAGCTCTTTAATTTATCAGCATTCATTTAATTATTAATAATATTATATTAAAGCTCTTTTTATGAGATATCAAAATAAGAATCACATTACTTTCAATTATATTTAATAATAAATTATATAATGACTCAAAATAATTAACAATTCCCTTTCAATCCATTTAATCCTATAAGAACATACAGACTCTATTCCTAAAGGAGCTAAACTACTCATCAAAAAAATAGATAAAATTCTGTTCATTTAATTTAGAAATCAAATGTTGCAAACAATCCCTAAAATAAAATGGGAACACATAATTATGAATTATTTATAAGAAATATTGAAAACAAAGGATTAAAATCAGATCAAAATTTTCAATCTTACATTAAGAAATTGGAAAAAAATAGAAAATTTTCTAAAAACTTAATTCATTAAACAAAATAACAAAAAAAACTTGAATTAATATAAATACCTTAATATGAAGATGATTTAAAGAAGATAATTTGTAGTCCTTCAATTAAAAATACAGTTAAGGATTAAAAGAAAGAGAAGTTTTAACATCAGATTACTGAAATGATTACTGAAATAAAGAGTCCCTTTTATAGAAAGGGAAGGTATTTATTGAATGAAGATAAAGATAAAGAAAAGAAATTAGCTAAACCTTTATTTTTTGGAATTCAAAATTAGATCAATTAATAAAAAAAGTGTAAACAAGTCTAATCTTAAATTGATATCAACAAATGTATAACAATATTGTATTTTAGTAAGATATAAGATATTTTTTGATGATTATAATCCATTAGCATAAATTATTACAAGTTAATAAAGTGTTTAGAAAGAAGAAACAATTAATGAATCACCATCAAAGACAGATTAATAATTATTTATTGAATAATGAACTATATTAATATACTTTGTAATTTAAGAATTTTCATTGTGATGTCTTTTTTAACTCTTCCAATTCCAAAGCTTTTTTTAAAGCCTCTTATTGATGTCTTGATTTTATTCCTACTTATCCTCCTCCAATTGTTCTTAAAAGTTCATGATTTTCATTGTAATGTTATCTCAAATCACGAGCCTTATAATTATATTAATTTATTACTAAATTATCAAATTCAGCTTGATCCTCTTTTCTGACATCAGTCAAAGCAACACAAGTAGCTGTTTTTTAATGAACCAATGCTCCCAATCTAGCCTTATCTAATATTATAATATAAACATTAATACTTTTTATGAAACAGAAAGGAACTTCTTATCTTCTACATAATTAAGGTAACCATACTACTAATTCAATTGGATCTACATCATAAGCTATTAAAACTAATTTTGCTTTTTTAGTTTCAACCAATGTAGTAACATGATTAAGACCAAATTTCAAGACTTATACTTTTTTTGATTCACCTTTTTAAGCTTATGCTTTTTATTCAGCTAATTTTGTTAATCTTTATTTCTTTTCAGTTTTTGTTTCTGGTGAATATTTCTTCAATAAACTCAATACTTTAGAAGCTGATAACTTTAAATGATAGTATTTTACATTAATTTTTATCTAATGTTCTGCTGAATTAATGGATTGCAGCTGGTACTTTGATTCTTTAAAGTAATATTTTCTTTTATCTATGAAGTAAAATATATCTAGGCCATCTAACATATCTAGATAGATCTCTTTTTGGTTAAACATCATTGCCAATTCTGAAATTTTTAGCTTCCTTAACAAATAAAGGATTCTTTTTTCTATCTGCAACTCTTTTTTATAATTTCTTAGCTTTAGATGTTTTTGCTGCTTTAGGCTATGAATATCAATATATTTAATACCATTTAATATCTTTTTTAAATTAAAATATAATATATATAGATAATGATTATTCATATTTAAAGAAGTATTATATGAATTGATTGGTTTCTATATAAGTTCTTAAGGAATTGGAATAAATAGGGGATGTATATAATTATTAAATAAAATTCTAATAAAAAATAAAGATTGATATTAATAAATAAATGGATACTAATAAGTTAAGAAGTTCAGGTTATCAATTATCAGATAGAGTTTAATTTGGTGGTGTTTTTGAACCAGAGAAATGCAAATAGATAGCAAAACAAGTGATGGAGTTATATGATTCAAACAAGGATGGTTATATTGAATAAAACGAGATTGCCATGATGTTATCAGATGCCTATAGAGCTATGAATAAAGGATTTAATCCAACTTCTTAAGATGTTTCTAATTGTTAGGCCATTTTAGATAGTAAGTTTATAGTTATTTTAAGGGAAATCGACTGGACGTGTTCATACAGAGGATATTGAATAATTGGTTTAGAAGTACTTTTCTGGACAACCACCAGCTTAACCAGTAAAGAGAGTACCAGAGAAGTTATCAAGAATAGCACAAGAAAGATTGGAGGTGGCTAGACGTATCTTTAAGTTTGTGGATAAAGATGGATCAGGATTTTTAACTGAGGAAGAGGTAAAAGAATTGTATTTATAAATTAAAAGGTACCTGAGTTATTGAAAGAAACTTATAAGCATATGGGAATGAATGATTATTAACCAACAAAGGAGGATGTAACTATTTGGATTTAGATGACTGATACTGATGGAGATGGTAAAGTGACTTTAGAAGATTATGAATAATTGGTATTGGATTCATTAAGAAAACAAGGAATCAGTTTGGAATGATTAAATAAATAAGTAGAATATATATAATAGTAATTGCATTTCAAAGCAATAATTAAACTGGACTAATTATTGAGGGTGACTCTAAATAACTATTTATATAATGGTTGAGTTTTAATTTGCGTTTCTGTTGGAATTATTTCATTTTTCTGCATTCAACATATAATTCTTATTATGAGTAATTGCATTCTTCTAAGAATTGTTTCATTTCAAATTCTTTGAAGAAGTTTTCAAGATCCAATGATCTATGTGTATTTGACTTATAACTAAACTCTGGTAAATTGACTATTTGAAGTGACATTAATGTTTCTGTTAAAAATTAATTATTAAATTATTATATCTCCAATTAAGCAATATATGCAACATACTCCTCTTTGTTAGATTAATTTTTATTATTAATAAAACTAAAAAGAAAATGTATATGTTAACTATATTATTAATTAAATATTTGAATTTTTGTATATAAAGACTATTCATCATTAATGAGTACCTTATCCACCATTTGTCAGAAACACATCAAACATATAGAAGGTATCTTATCAATAAAATACTTAGCATTCTGTTCCGATGATTGTTCTTTATTATGTATTAATTGCATTCTCTACGATGGTCATAAAGGCCATTAGTTTCAATCACTAGAAGATGTATTCCCTATCCCTCTATTTAGAGTTTAAGATTAGAATTAAATAGATTCTACTCCATCTCTGAAAATGTTCAATTAAATCACTAGAAAGCCATTAAACAATTTCAATAGTTAGCATAAATGAATGACCAACTCGATATAGACTATCAAAGACTCAACATAGAAATCACCAAATTCTTCAATTCAATTCGTCAATCCATATAAGAGCGAGAATCTAGACTTCAAGAACAAGTATACTACTTATCCAACTATCTATTAGTTAAATTAGTCACTCATCAACTAGAGACAATAGATTTCTTAAAATCAATCAAAGATCCAAGTTCAATTATAGGATATAAATGATTATTTACAAGAACTATCTGAATTAGATGAAAAGTCTTAGGATCCTATAAAATTTCTATAGACAACTCAAAATAGAACTAAACTCATTAATAAATTACCTAAATCCATAGTTACAATTGATTAGACTATAAAATTCCCTGAACTTAATAAAGAATTAGAGAATTAAAACCTAATTAAAGTTTTATCAAAAAAAGTCAATTCTCAATAAGTCTTGCCACCTCCACCTACATAATAGACTGCATCCACTCAATAAAAAATAGTTTAATCTATAAAAAAATAGAGTAATAATAATTAGTAGTAACAATCTTATAATGCTCAATATCAATAATAATAGAATTAAATTCTTTAATTATAATCATAATAACAAAAAAAAATGAATTAATCTAAAAAAGTACCATTATGTGAAACTAATGGACCTTGTGCTGTTTAAATTAATTTAAAAAAAAAGGTTGAAGAAAAATAAAATAATTAAGTGAGATTAACAAACTTTTAGGAAGCTAGAAATTAAATGAAAGAAAGAAATTATGATAAAAGTATAGAAAGAAGAAAAGATAGAGATCATAGTACTCCTAGAAGATTATTTAAGAATTAATCAAAAGTTAGTTAAGATCCTTAATCTCCATTTTTAAATTAAGATGATTCAAAATAAGAAATGAATACATTTTTAAATTCAATTCATGATTTCGAACCTGAATTGACTAATGTTAGTCATATGTCAATGGATTATTAATATATCACAATAGGTGGTTTTGTTGATAGTTTAAAATAAATAGTTGAAAAATATGATATAAAAACAGATTATCCTAGTGAGAAAGATTAATTAAAAAATAATAGATGTAAATTTGGAATTGCACATTTAATTAATGGAAATGTTTTATTAATAGGAGGCAAAGTTGATGGAGTTCGTATTGATACTTGTGAAGAATATAATTATAAGGATAAAAAGGTTATTCCATCAAAAATAAAATTACCATCTTCTAGAAGTGGATTCGGAACATTAAATGTAAATTAATTTATTTATGTAATTGGTGGTAATGATGGTTAAGGTAATTAAAATTATTAATTTTTTTAGAAAATTTAAAAGATTTTGATTGTTTTAATTAAATTGATAATAATTGGATTAAATTTCCATCAATGATTGAAGCTAGAGATGAATTAGCTGTTTGCATGTATGAAAATGCCATATTTGCCATAGGAGGATTTGGAGGTTAATGTATATAAATATAATTATCTAATTTAGTCAACACTTGTCTAAAAACTGTTGAAGTATTTACTTCAGGGAAATGGGGTCATTGTGCTCCATTAAATATACCAAGAAGAGCATTAGCAGGTGTTTCATTACCTGATGGTATTTATGCAATTGGAGGGTTTGATGGAACTTAATATTTAAATAGTGTAGAAAAATATGAGGATGGTAGATGGACATTAATAGAGTCTATGATTCATCCTAGATGCACATTATCAGCATTACCAACTCCTGATAATTAATATATCTATGTATTTGGAGGATTTGATAATGGTCCTCTGGATTCAGTTGAAAAGTAAGATTATATATTTAATTAATAGATATTCAGTGTTGAGTGGAAATTGGGAAGAAATAAATTCATTAATGGCTAAGAGATTTATGCATTAAACTTTTATTACACTTGTATGATTCTTTTAAAATAAAATCATATATATATATATAGTTAAATATAATTAGAGAATGTAATGGATATATATAAATAATAATCATTTTAATTTTTGTTTATTGACAACCTAAATTAAATTAGTAGTTTAATCTATTTATTTAGATTGTTATACTTAATTCACAATTCTTCTTTCTGTCAATAATTTTTTTTGTAAATCAATACTTTGAGCATAGAGATTGGAAAGTTTCATCTCTTTCATTGATTCGAAAGATTAATCACAATCATCAAATGCATATAATTCTGAAGGTTTATCAAAATTTGAAAGAATATGATAACTTTTTTTATTTCTCAAGATATTTCCGAAATACTCTTTTTAATCATCTTATTTTTATTAAAATCTTTCTATTAACATCTATCCATGAATATATTTAAATAATTGCACATCCTTAATTGATGGAGGTGCCTTCTTATTTTATATATTGATATCAAATTCTGTAAAATATTTACGATGCTTTCTATCAGATATAATTTTCAATTTTGCCTTTCTTTTTTATTTAAATTCAATAGAATGTAAGGCATCTTATTATTATTTAAAATACTATTCAACATGATCTTAAACTTCTAAAGAGGCTGCTTATTTCAAACAATATTAGGTTTAAGATTTAATAAGCTTTTATTTCTTATTAAATTTTAACTTTATTCCAGAATTACTATAATCATAAAGTTTTGTTGGTTCACATTATCTAACTCCATCAATTCTATCAGTCAATAAATCCTTTGATTTAATTTTAGCTATATGATCAACTATATGGTTATTTAATTGAGAGAACATTCTACTTCCTTTCAAGTTAGATTCTAGCTTCAAGGACTAAATTAAAGATATATAAAACTGTTTACTTCTCTTAATTTAATATTTGTATTAATCAATGTCCTTACTTTTGCAAATCTTCTTTCCACTAATTCCTTTCTTAATTATTATTCCTCTTTTTGTTTATGGAATTCTTATTCTAATTATGTTAATCGTTTCCTCTTTGTTACTACATTCATATCTTTTACCAATTTATTTGCAGAGTACTTCCCATCTAAAAATAATCGAAACTTCTATCCATTAATCTTATCATATTAAAATGCATTAGGTATATCAATTGGACAATATTTTGCCATTTCATCACTATTCCATTTTCTCTTTTTTTATTGAATTGCCTATCTCTCTGCTTAAGGACTGTTAATTTCAGAAGGATATTGTTTCGAATGAATAGTTGTTTAAAGTTCAGATTCTGCATTCAAGCATTTCATAAGTCAAATTTTATAATTAACTAATATAAAAATTAAATCATTTATTTAAAGTAAATAGTTTTAAGACACTTCAAGGTACAATTCATTGTTATTATTTACAAATCATTAAAAACAAATTCTTTATATGAATTTATTGATAAAAATATTAATTTTTTGTATTAAATTTCAAAAGATGGGTATTTGTTCAGCAAAGAAATATGGAAGATAGGAATATTAATATCTTCCTCATTAAATAAAGAATATGGAATAATAAAATATATCAGAATGTTAAATTGAATAATAATAATAATAATAGCTTCCATCAAATATTCCAATAGAACACATATCAACTATTCCTACAATATAGAGCAACCTAAATAAATTTCATCTTTAAAAGGAATAAAATATTAAAATTTAGAAAGATTTATCTGCTAGGTAATTGTAAATAGATTAAGTTTGTGCAGTTTGTAATAAACATGTTAATCAATAAAAAACGATATAAATAAAAAAATGTAAACACATTTACGATATTCATTGTTTTACTAATCATTTTTAAGAAAATAAAAAATGCTGTTCTGATGAAAAAATAATAATTAATGAAACAGAATATCCAAAAGCATAAGTTAATGAAATAATGAAATATCAATTGAATCAATTAATAACAAAAATTTAAGATAAAATGATAGTTGTACAATGTCAAACATAATTTTGTTCTTTTCTATTTTTTTATTTAAAAGTATAGAATTTATAATAGAGCAAAAAATTCTATTGTATTAGATGTAATTAAACAATGAAATATGATAAAAAAATGTGTAAATTTATTGACTAATAAACTGCATTTAAGAATTAAAATTAAAATGATGCATAGGTATATAATAAATTAGAATTTGAATCATATGAATGTTAAATAGAAGATCATTTAATAAAGACTAATATTTTAATTATATTACCTTGTTCTCATTAATGGTGCAAGATATGTTTATTTTTATATTATAAAGATTGTTTGAAAGCAATATGTTATTGTGGGGAACGTTATCCTACAAGTATTGTTAAATAAATAAATTAAGAAAATGAATGGGATGATATATATGAAAAATAATTAGATATAATTTAGAAAGAGGCAAAAATAAGTTGGTAATTTTGTAAAAATAATTGTGGTTTTTTTTCAGAGATTAAAAATCTAGATGATTCATTTTATTGTATTAAATGTGATCCAATTAAAATTTGTTAAAAATGCTAATAAGATGTATAATCTTAATATGTCACAATGAATTAATGTTAACATTATTATCATTTATTATGTTCACTTGAATTATTAATGGAAAATTAGCTTAGCAATATGAAATGTTTATGTGGTGTAAAATTAGATGAAGATACAAAAAAAAATGAAATGAATATCATATGTTTCTATTGTTAGAAATATGATGATGATTTAATCATGTTATAATGTTGTCATTTTATACATAAAGAATGTTTAGAGGCAAATTTAGAATTTTTTTCATCTTTTTTATGTCCACTTTGTGATATTCCATTAGGTAATATATTATTTGAACCAAAATTATAATTAATTGGACAAAAATTGATTGATATGCATCAAAATTAAAAAGAAGATAAATTAAATAATTATTAATGTAAACATTGTTCTTATCATTTTAAAATGGATAATAATTGCTATTTTTAAATGCATTTATAAGGTAATTAATAAATTAAATATGATGATAAAAAGGTTATAAATAATGATAATAGTTACAAATGAATTGCTTATGATAAACTTTTTTTTAATTATCTATTTAATTATAAAGAATTTAAATAAATAATAGATATATGTTTAATTTATTAAAATATATAATTTAAACTATATATATATATATATTTTTATTAACAAGAATGCCACCCAAGAAATAACATCTTAAAACTTAATCATCAGAGTTATCAAATTAAGCTCTTATAAATTATCAATCAAATCGTGAGGCTTTGAATATAAGAATGTCTAATTCACCAATATTCCAAATAGAATGCAAAGTATTAATTTGTCTTTACTTAAGAGTAAATAAATTGGTCTTCACTAATCTACTATATTTAAATCCAATGTTTCACAGCCAAATCTCAAAATTACTTTATAATAGTACTTATGGCTATAGATGTAGATAAACCTAGCGGAAAATATAATAATAAGATTTACTAAAATCAAAAGGATTCATGTCTCCTAAGATCACTAGTTAAGAAAGAGTTAATCACAAAACATAACCTAAATCTAGAGGTAATCATATGAAAACTTAACCTCAAACTTATTCCAATTAGAATTCCTAAACTAAAATGAAATCTGTAGAAAGCATATAAGATGACTGTAAACTTTAAATTCTTAATCCTAGCTCCAAAATAATTATTTAAAAATTAATAATACTCACCCTTAGCAAAACCAGAATAATCCTTTAAATAATAAAATTCTGAAACAAAATAAAAATAATCATCTGATCTCTTAGCTAGATTAAATTTCTAAACATCCTTGATTGTTTCTAGTGTCAAGAATTAAACTAACTAGTTTTCTGGACCATAGATTTATTAACTATAAAATCATTAAAAATCAAATAGTGCTTAATTTATTGAAACATAAAAATTATCTACACAAACTTCTTCATAACCTCGAATTGAAATTTAGACAGAAAAAATTAAAACTATTACAACTAGGTACACATTTAAAATGGATTTAGAAAATTTTAATAGGATTTTATTTAAATCATCTTACAATTTAAATCTTTAAAATAGAAAATGACTATTGATATCTCGACTAATAAAATATAATACTTAGTGGAATTAATCAAAGAAGAACTTAATAAAAAATTCGTTGATAATGATTCTCTCTAAATAATTGGAATTAAAACATACAATATTTCTATACCTATTGATTATATACTTTCTTCAATTGATAGACCCTTATCTTTACTTTCCAATTGTCCTAATCAACCTTTAATCATAGAACCTATTTTATAAACAGAATAAGAAAATAGATTATCAAGAGTTTGTTTAAAAGATTTCGAATTCATTAGATGTATTGGAATGGGTGGATTTTCTAAAGTATATATGGTAAGGGAAAAAAGATCAGGATAATTTTATGCCATGAAATTAATTGAAAAAAGCTCCATTATATCATAAAATAAACAAAATATTATATAAAATGAAAGAGACTTAATGAGTAATTTGAATCATCCTTTTATTGTTAAAATTTAATATGCTTTTGAATCCAGAAGATATTTAGTTTTTGTCTTAGAATATTGTTCAGGAGGAGAATTATTCTTCTTATTAAGAAAAGTAATCCATTTCTATTAATCTTATATTAGGTTAAAAGAATGAATGAAGAATAAGCATTTTTTTATTTTGCAGAAATCTGTTTAGGCATGAAACACTTACATGATAGAAGTATAATTTATAGAGATATTAAACCTGAAAATATTTTAATCGATTTTGATGGACATGTAAGAATTGCAGATTTTGGACTATCAAAATAATTAGATTAAGAAATAGCCTATTCTTTTTGTGGATCTCCAGAGTATATGGCTCCTGAAATGTTATTAAAATAAGGACACAATTTACAATTAGATTTATATTGTTTAGGGGCATTACTTTATGAATTAATAACTGGATTACCACCTTTCTATTCCAGGAATACAGATGAAATTTACTAAAGGATTTTAAATTAGAAATTAAGCTATCCACCATAAGTGTAGATGTCTTCTCTTCTAAAAGATTTATTGAATGGATTATTAGCTAAAAATCCTAAAAACAGAATCGATAGAATTGAAACTCTATTAAGACATCCATGGATGAATTAATGGGGTGACAAATACTTGTACAAAGAATTACTGTCTAAAAAGATAGATCCTCCTTTTAAACCAGATTATTACTCATTTAATTTTGATGAAGAAGAATTTGGTTAAGGAGATGCTGAATTTTTACAGTAAATTAAAACTCTCTAATAAAATATAATGGAGAATTTTCCAAAAGAAACAATATTAAAAAACTTTTATTACAATCCTAAGGAGATTAATTGTGCAGAAAGCACAAGAGGTACTAATTTAAGTACTAAATTATTGGAGGAGTAATAAGTAACTTAGAGATAAAAATCAAAAAGATTCAATACATATGAAGATGATATTTCAAATTATGTAAATGAATAAAAAATTTTGCTATTAAAATAATTAAGATTATAAACTGAGAATGAAATAAAAAGGAAANATATCATAAAATAAACAAAATATTATATAAAATGAAAGAGACTTAATGAGTAATTTGAATCATCCTTTTATTGTTAAAATTTAATATGCTTTTGAATCCAGAAGATATTTAGTTTTTGTCTTAGAATATTGTTCAGGAGGAGAATTATTCTTCTTATTAAGAAAAGTAATCCATTTCTATTAATCTTATATTAGGTTAAAAGAATGAATGAAGAATAAGCATTTTTTTATTTTGCAGAAATCTGTTTAGGCATGAAACACTTACATGATAGAAGTATAATTTATAGAGATATTAAACCTGAAAATATTTTAATCGATTTTGATGGACATGTAAGAATTGCAGATTTTGGACTATCAAAATAATTAGATTAAGAAATAGCCTATTCTTTTTGTGGATCTCCAGAGTATATGGCTCCTGAAATGTTATTAAAATAAGGACACAATTTACAATTAGATTTATATTGTTTAGGGGCATTACTTTATGAATTAATAACTGGATTACCACCTTTCTATTCCAGGAATACAGATGAAATTTACTAAAGGATTTTAAATTAGAAATTAAGCTATCCACCATAAGTGTAGATGTCTTCTCTTCTAAAAGATTTATTGAATGGATTATTAGCTAAAAATCCTAAAAACAGAATCGATAGAATTGAAACTCTATTAAGACATCCATGGATGAATTAATGGGGTGACAAATACTTGTACAAAGAATTACTGTCTAAAAAGATAGATCCTCCTTTTAAACCAGATTATTACTCATTTAATTTTGATGAAGAAGAATTTGGTTAAGGAGATGCTGAATTTTTACAGTAAATTAAAACTCTCTAATAAAATATAATGGAGAATTTTCCAAAAGAAACAATATTAAAAAACTTTTATTACAATCCTAAGGAGATTAATTGTGCAGAAAGCACAAGAGGTACTAATTTAAGTACTAAATTATTGGAGGAGTAATAAGTAACTTAGAGATAAAAATCAAAAAGATTCAATACATATGAAGATGATATTTCAAATTATGTAAATGAATAAAAAATTTTGCTATTAAAATAATTAAGATTATAAACTGAGAATGAAATAAAAAGGAAATCTGCATGAATAATTATTATTTAAATATAATACAATTTTAGATTAAAATTTATTTTGCCTTATTACTTTAATATTATATATATATATATGTACTAGATGATCATATTCATTATTGTCTTCTTTATCCTCTTCTTGGTTATTTTTATTATTTTTCTTCGACAACTGGTTCATCAATGGGAATATCAATTTCTAATCCAGCCTTTTCAAGCATTCTTTTGACATCTTAATCTCCTCTAAGGTTATCAATATCAATTGAAGATTTTTCAGGAACATAATCCAATCTTCTTTCTCTTTCCTCCTCTTGAATCTAAGTTTTTTTATATATTATTACTTTAAGTGAGATACCCTTAACAGATCCAGTCTAAATTCTCTTTAAAAGATGTGTTGCGAATCCAGCTATTTTATTTCTCAATTTTTTTGATGGCACTTATCCCACTTCAGATAGGATTTTTTTATTGAAGTGAAAATCTGAAGTTAGTTTCATATAATATTTTTCGATGAGAACTTTGGCTGCTTTCTTAACTGTCTTATTTCTAACTCTTCCCATGATTTAATTTGAAAAAAATTTATATCTTTAATTTATGAAAATAAATCACATCAAAATAATAAATACAAGTAGATATAGCCATAAAAATAAACAATTACAAAAATTATTATCTAAAATGGTTATGAATTATAATGTCCATATGTAATTGAGTTCTAATAATAATTAATATATTTATATTTTATATAAAATATGGGCAATACTATTTAACACAAAATAAGAAATCCAGCAAATTGTTTGGGTTGTATGGGATAGGAAAATGAGGGATTCGATTTGAATGAACTTCAAATAGGACTAGATAATGACAAAGCTAGAGGTTTTACTTGAGTTTATGTGATTTAGGAAGAATCACCTAACAATCAACTGCTTACTTGACTGAAAATGAGAAGAACTTTTTTAAAGCTGCATCAGGTAGAAATTTAGGTTTGATTCGTTTTTACCTTAATAATGGGATCAATATCAATATTTTAGATGAGGATCGTACTTCTCCATTGTATATATATATTGATATAATCTTATTAGACATATAGCTTGTAGATATGGTTCGATATAAGTAGTAGAAGAACTAATTAATAACAATGCCAATTTAGATATCACAGATATGGCTGGCTGGACTCGTACATTATATATCAATTTAAGCATTACATGTTGCAGCATTTTATTAAAGAGCTTAAGTTTGCTAATTACTATTGAAATCAGGAGCTGATTTTAGAACAAGGAATCGTGATGGTAATGTGCCTTAAGATTTGGTGAGAGATAAGATGACAGCTGAAATATTTAAATAATCATAAGATCATCTACAACTCTTTAGTGATAGATAAAACAAAAAATATGATCCAGCCTAAAGATAATATGAAGAGTATTTTCAATTACTTAAATTGAAACGATAGTAATTCTAAATTATTAAAGTTTAGAAAAAATAATGAATGTAATAGTTTTTGTGAAAAAGTATCTTAAAGTAAAATGATTAGTCCCAATTCAACTCCTAAAAAATTGAAATTAATTGAAAAAGAAAATATTGGTTTCCAAGATGCTTTGTCTAAATCTAATATTTCTGAATAAGAGTGTAAAGAAATTATTGATTTCAACAAAGAACTTGGATTCAAAATAAATAAAAATTTAATATCACCTTGTAATTCTATTCCTCGATTCTTTGATGAAATTGTATTTTATTATATTGATGATATAGATTTCACTTAATTAATTAGTATTATGGTAAAATGCATCTAGAGAGAGAGTTACATTTATTGATTAGGCTAAATTTATTAGGCATGATTATAGTACTGAAAATTTGGCTATTGATTTATTTAATTATTCATGCTTAATGGGAATATCTTATATGATTTCTACTTAAATAATTAAACCCACTCCTTAATCAATAATCAATTGGTTATTTTAGAATATAGAATAAAAAAATAAATATTAAATATCTAAGTAATTCTTGATTAATATATCTAGATTATTAACTAAATTGAATCTATAAGAATAGTAAATGATTTTAAAATTGTTTGTTGATAGAGTTGTTAATAATTAAAATTTAATCAATTCTTTACATAGTCTATTTAATAAATTATAAGTTTAAAATGATCCATATATACTTGATATTATAGTAAAAGAATTTAGTAGAAGATATTATGAATTGAATTTTAATTAAAAAAGTTAATCATTTCCATTTAAATCTGAAGATTCATTACATATGTTCTGTTTTGCCATAGTAATTTTAGATATTGAAAGCAATAAATATGATAAAGAGAATGCTATTAAAAGTTTTTTTAAGAATATTCAAACTATTAATAATGGTGATAATTTAAATTCAAAATTTATTTCTGATATTATTGAATAATTATAATAAAAGTCAATTGTAAATTTAGTAGATGAATCTATAAATGAATCACTTAGTAGTAAATTAAGTACTTATAATAATCCTATAAGTTTGATTAAATAAAAATAAGTAATTTATTAATATAATTTAGACTCATAATATAAATTGTAAATTATATTCTATAAGTGATGCATACTTATTAACGTCTGATGGATATTTAAAGATATTTGAGAAATCAAATAGTTAAATAAAACAAATAAATAATGAAATACACATAAGAGGAAAATAGAATTAATAATTGTTGTATGTGATTTGTAAGGATGAACAAACATTTATCTTTAAATAGAAAAACATGAAATTTACATTAACCAATCTAAACGATACTTTTTGATTTATATTTATATGATGACAATTTAATTACATAAATTGATAAAGAAAGAAAAGAAAAAAATATAATTTAATTTATATATTTAAAAAAACGAATATATATGATAGTTGTGTTATTAATAAGTGCCATATTTTGTGCAGAAATTAAGTTAAATATGAAATCATCCCCAAAGGATATAAGAACAATAAATGGAAGAGCTGAATTTGATTGTAAGTGATAACAGTTGAATTAGTATTATAGCATAAGAATATGAAACATAATGTCAATGTGAGTCTACTACTACATAACTTCATGTTGGTGAAACATTCTGTGATCCTACAAAGGTTTAATTACATTAAGACTTTGCTGGTGATGATGGCAAAACTGCATCATTTGAATAAATCCGTCATCTTATAGGACCTCTTAATGAATTATAATTTGGAGATCCTAACAGCTATCATTTTTCATGTTTGGATGGAAGAAATGAATAAGGTGTATTGGGAACTCCAGGAGGTGATTCAGGTGAGTTCTTATTAGCTTTATAAGTATATGAATAAACAATCAATACTTCATTGACTTAGGATACTGTAGATAGCATTTTAAGCAATTATTTATAGTATATGAAATAAGATGGATTTTATATGTGTACAGATGATGATGCTATAAAACATTTAGAAAAGGAATTAGGAATGACAATGACAATAGATGCTTTAATTGATCCACCTAATTCAGTAATTATTAAATTTTATTCTAGTTTAAAGATGATCTCTTAACTTCACTTTTAAAATCAGAAAATACAGGATGCATGCATTTAAAGAGTATTTTAAAGAATCCTGAAAGTTATGACATGAGACCAGATTTAGTGAGATATTTTATAAGAAGTTATTTCACAATATTATGGAATAAGAGTAATCCTTTACATCATAAATTGATACTTGAAGTGATGGCAGGTAGACATGAAGAGAGAGCATTTCTTGAAGTTAGAATCAATGAAGCTTGTATAAGATAGAATATGGCACCTCTATTAAGACCAAAAAGAAGAATTACTTTGTCAAGTGTTCCTTAAGGATCAACCACAACTACATTTCATGATGGTGGTGCCACTGAAATATTTTAAGCATATGTTAATCATATTGATGCTGCATCAATTAGAAGAAAGGTATTATTGTTTTATATAATTATCATAGGAACTATCTAAATTCTTTGCTGAGAATTCTAATTATAATGGTATTCATTTTGAAATTGATGTTATGCATCATAGATTAAATAAAAAAGGATTAATGTATCTAGAAATTACTGGACAAAAAATTGCAAGATATTTACCATTTTATACTGTTACAATTGTTTGATATATAAATAAAATTTATATTATTATTACTGATTTTATGTTATTACTAGAATCACTTGATATTAGATTAAATTCTTTATAATCTATTTATTATGAATTATTAAAATTAAGTTAAAGTTATTTTATAAATAAAAAATCTATTTTATAATTAAAGCTATTTAATAGGATTCATAAAGATTTATTCATTATTTTATTTAACATACATGAACATAATTCATTTATTTAATTTATTAATATATTATTTATGAATATATATTTTATTATATAATGGACCATGCACGGATTCTAAAATTTCTAAACTCTTTATAAAATTAAGCTTATATGATAAAGTAAGAGGGTAGAATTGATACTTAATAAACAGATTATGCATAATGTCCCAAAGAATCATTAAAGAGTTTATATGAAAAATTCACAAAAGATTATTCATTATAAAGAGCTAGAGTAAATTGGATGATGTTATATATTTAGACCTTAAGTAGAGAGGAAAGATTGGCAAATCATTTGACATCCAATTCTCTATCATATGGTGAAATAGTAAGTAAATATGTTTTAAAACAAAAGGAATTCACATCTTTATCTGTTGTCTTTCAATAAGTATAACCAAAAAAAGGAGGAATCTTTTATGATTTAGGCAGTGGTATTGGTAAGAGTGTGATTGCTGCATCATTAATGCATTAATTTGATATTTGTAAAGGAATTGAACTTTTACATTCTTTGCATGAATAAGCATGTAAATTAAAGCAAGAAGTTGAAAAATAGAAAACTCTTATTGAAGATGAAATGGAATAGATTGGAATAAAAGAATATCAATAACCTAAAATTGAATTTATCAATGGAGATTTCCAAGAAGTATAATTTTCATTCACGAAATCAAGTTAGATTGGAGTGATGGTACCTTCTTGTTTGCTTCAACTACTTGTTTTGAACCAGATCTAATGAAGCAATTAAGTAAAAAGGCTATAGATTTAAAGGAGGGATCTTATTTTATAACTGTTACTAAAACACTAGAACCTTAGACTTGTTGGAATCTTATTAAATCTATTTAAGTGCAATTGTCTTGGGGATTAGCTACAATTCACATATAGCAAAAGAAAATGAATTAGATTTAACAATAATAAAAATAATTATGAAATAATCTCATTCTAAAAAGAATATAACTAACAGTCTTTATATTGCTAACAATTAACATACAGAACTAATAGATTATCTTAAATAAGAAAATAAACAATTAACTGAATAAATGAATGAATTAAAGGGATTACTATAATTAAATAAAAAGGCATTGAGAATAATGACACCTCAAAATAATGATGAATAAAATAGAGCTTTATTGATGGTTATGAAAAATTTATAAGAAGAAAATGCTAAATTACATAATCAAATTGATAAACTAATTGAAGAAAGGAATCAAGCATAAAATTAAGTATTAATAAATTAATAAATCACTGAAGAAGCTTAACGACATGAAAAAGAATTAATTTTATCATTATAGAATAAAATCTAAACATTATAAAATAATCTCAATAAAACAGAATAACAATTAAGTAAAATGGAATAACTCAAACCTGAATATGATGAAATATCAGGAATTGTCATTAAATACAAAGAAATATGTGAACCTGATAAAATTGCTATTAAATTTCATAATCAAATAGAAATGCTAACATTTGAATTAGTAGAATAGATTAAGAAGAATAAACTTATTGAAGCTGAAAAATAAAAACTACAAGGATTTAATTTAGTATTATATTTAGATTATTCATTTAGAAACTAATGAGTAATCTAGTTTAAATGAAAAATACAGCTATGACATATCATGGTAATAAACTCATTATTCAATAATAACAGTTTTAATAAGGACCAGAATAATTAATTAAATGTAATTACAACATAAATATTATTATCTTAGTCTAAAATAATTTGTTAAATGTTATGAATAAATAAGAAGATGAAAATTCCTCTTAAGATGATAAAAATTCTTCAGTTGGTAGTTCACCTTTGATGTCACCTTTACCATTGAAATAGGAGAATTAAGTAGTGAAATAAATGAAGGACATTCCTAAATTAGATCTCACTAGAGCAAAATAAATATAAGAGATAAATGCTAAAAGATAGATATAATAGATGTAAGATATTAAAAAGTAAATTGATCCTAATTTTGTTGATAAATTAAATAAATATGAAAGAATTATAGAAGAATTGAGGAAGAACTATTAAAGAGAGATGTTATTAAATAAAACACTTGAGACAGCAAATAATTAATTATAAAGGAATTGTGATGATTTAGAAGTATATTATTTATAATAATTTAGAATTAAATTTAAATATTAATAACTTCAAATTTAAGACATCAAGAGAAATTATAGAAAATCAATAAACAATATTATTTTCTACAATAATTTTATATCAATAATAAAGATTAAATAACTACAACTCAAAGTCATAATAGAAGATTTTCATAAAGTCCAACAGAATTATCTTAGGAAATGATCTTAGATACTTCTTTTATTGATGCAAATGGAGCTATAATTTCGAATGAAATATAAGAACAAAAATATTTATAACAACAAATGTTTGAATAACAATAATAGTAATAATAATTCTAATAACACTTTTACTCCTTTTATACTCCTAATAATATTGAAGATTCTAAAAAGTTTCTATTGAGTTTAGCTGAATTAATTTATTGTGGATTATAGGATAAGATAGAATAATTATAATAATAATAGTAATAATATTAACAAGAAAAGAAATAATAGAGATTCAGATCTGTAAGTGATATAATCGATTACTAATACATAGGACTTTAAAAATATAATTATATTTAGCAATAATGATATATTTATTTCTCTTACAAATAATTATTATATATGATGACTTAATATTAAATCACTTAATCATTTCTTTCTATAAATTGTTATTTCTTATTATTTAAAATATCTTCTATCATCTTCATCTACTAATATCAAATTCAATATATATTTGACACTGAATTTACCACTAACATTTTTTACAGATGGTGTCACATCTACTCCACTTAAATATAATCTAATTGGAATCACTTCTCCTTTCTAAGGACATCCATCCATTAATTCATATTTGACTAATGTCTCATTATCTGTCTATTATTGAGGTCCTTATCCATATTATTCCTTTCTGATTACTGCTAATTCCATATATTTAATTTTGATTTTGACCAAATAGAAATTCACTTTTCCAGTCACTACATCTCTCAAATGATATCTACTCTTAAAATATTCAAAATCAATATGTAAACATTCTTCAATACCAACCTATATTAAATTTATGTTTATATATACTTCCAACTTTAATGAAGTTTATGGTTAATCCTCTAATTCTGGTTATGGAATCAAAACAGCAAAGTCTACTTCTTTCTATACTTTGCCATAACTTCTAGTCATATAAACTTTCAAATAGTATCTTAATCTAACTGTGTTTCCATAATAACTTTCGTATTGCTTCTCAAACTTCTAAAATTAAAATTTATATGTTTTGTCCTCAAACAAAAAACCTTATGGTTCTAATTCTCTCGACATTGACATGAAATCTGAACTTTACTTTTGATCATTGAGAATTTCTTTTATTAATATATAATACTTACCGATACGTCCAATCAACTCTACACGAATTCCTAGATGTTCTATTTTTTTTTATTTGTTCATCTTTACTTCTATCACTCCTGATATATCATCATCTCCCTAATTAATAAAATTTATTCAATATCAAATACAGAATAGACTGGTAACCTCAAAGCCCCCAATTATTTATCCTAAAATCTTGTGTGCTTGCGTGTCTCTACACCATCTAATGTCACTTCAATTAGAGGTTGCCCTTAAACCATATTCAAAAGAGAAGCCTATAATATGTGGAATTGAAATCCTTACCATTATATGCTAATTATTAAATTATATAAATTATTAATCTATAATCACTAATTCTAATCATTATTCAGTATCTTTGAAATACATCATCTAATTTTATATAATCGTAATTACATTAAATGAATATCAATTATCATATTGTTTTTTATCTAGATCTTATATCCTTTTAATATTACTTCTATAAAATAATTGAACATATATGTCTTTATTAATTCAAACATTCAATTCATTTGATCTTATTCTGAATCAAAACACATCTGATGTTCTCTGAATAATAGGTTCATGAAGAATAATTAAAAATATTTATCTTATTTTCGATATTATTTTATGCAGTAAACTTGTGATAAAGATGATTATAAACTCAATACTTTTTATTTGAATTACTTAATATATTGAAATTCTGTTTTTATGATAATCTCAAATTTGTATTTCAAATAAGTTTTTGAAGTGAATAGGATTCATAAAAGATTAAAACACTATTTTCATTTAACTAATTTAAATCATAATAATATTTATAATCACTACATAAGTTTATATGAAATGAATCATCAGGAATAGAATAATAATTTAATTTCAGATTTTGAGAATTTGTTAACATGTATAATTTTATTTAAATATTAATTTTATTTTTAATCAGAATAATTAATTATAAAAATCATGTATTGCTATTATTAAAATGTAATTTAATTTTTAGATAATATTTGATTATAACATATGATTTAAATTCTCAAATGATTTATTAAGATTGAAGATGATTTTACATAAAATTATAAAAATATATCAGTCCATTATTTATTTTAAAATAATTATTAGAATTTTATTAACTGAATTAAATTTTAGTTTAAATCTAAAACTCGCATCAAAAATTCTAAATTTTTTATTAACATTGAATAAATCAATCAATAAATTATCTTAAATATATTTAGATTTAAATGGATGATAATTACGATTTTTATTTAACCTTACTAAAAATATATAAGTATAAGATTTTAATATCAATTTAATCTTCATTAATAATTTAATATACAATTTATAATAATATATTCTATTTGTTTTTACTAGAAGTATATTAATTTCATTGTAAATTCTAATAAAAGTGGGATTTTTATATAGAATTTGAATGATGAAATGACAGATAGACTTTAAATTTTGATTTTAAAAACACCTAAAATTAGATTTATTTACTAAAACAATATTTTAAAAATATAATGAATAAATAACATATTCCAGCAAAAGCATAAGAAAAAATATTTGGTTTAATACTGAAACGACCAGATAATTTAGTGTGTGCTGATTGTGCTACAAAAGGTCCTAGATGGGTTAGTTTGGATTATGGTATATTTATTTGTATGGATTGTGCAGGTAATTTAGTAATTATTATTATGATAGGTGCTCACAGAACTTTGGGTCCAAGTGTTACACGAGTAAGATCAACAAATATAGATGGATGGTATTAGGAAAATATTGATATTATGGAATCTATTGGAAATGCAACAGCAAATTCATATTGGGAAAATACAATGCCTAAGGATTATGTGTAATATATTATTTCTAATATATAATATAGCAAACCAACAATTAATACAGGATTAGATTCTTTAATTCGATTTGTTTAAGAGAAATATATCAAGAAGAGATTTATACCTTAATAATAATGTCTTGATCCAAAATAATAATATATGTTAACCAAAACGTATATAAAATTTAATAACAATTTAGTACTGTTAAACCTTTCTATTTTAGAATAGAAACTAAATAAGAATAACCAAAAGTTAAATTAGGTGATTTGATTGATTTAAATGAGTAATTTGACAATTTTTGTGTTAAAGACACTAAAATAGAAATAGTGCATGGAAGTAATACATAATATGGAACAACTCATTCTTTATCACCAGAAAAAGATAATACAGATTTTAATTAGACAAAATAATAAGTAAATCATGTAATGCATTCATCGCCATAACTTGATATATTGAATCTATATAAACCAGATTAATAATAGAAATAATAAATGCAATCATAATAAACCATCCCTTAAAAGAATGCTAATTATGCTTACTTACAGAATTTAGGATAGCAATAATAATAATATAATTATCAATAATACTAAAATAATAATACAAATTTCAATTAATAATAATAATAATTTTAATAAAATCTATTTCTATAGTAATAAACTAATCAAATTTAATAATAATAATAATATAAATAAAATGGACCCATTAACATTATGGAATTATATCAAAGATGAAATTATACAAAAAAAACAATTAATTAAAATAATCAATATTTTTTACTTTAAATTTAAAATCTAATTCATAATTCTTCCATTTTTCATATAATTATTTTATAACAAATATTCACTAATATTTTTTAATTCTAATATACTTTTACAATATCTAAAATATTCCATTACAAATTTAATAACCTTTTTATTTACATCCATATACTATTAATATATTAATAAAATGTGAATTATTGTCTCTTATATCTTCAAAAGATAATTAGTTTTTGTTTGACTTCATTAATAATAAGATGATCATTATGTTCTTTACAATTAATATATTTAAGATGATAAGTATACATTTAAATAAAGTAGTGTTTTCTCTTTGGAATTGATAATTTAATAGTTATTACACAAAATTTATAAAATCTAGTTTTTATGAGTTTTGAACCATATTAAGAAACAAAGAAGAATGTTAAAGTTGCACCAATAAAAATAGTGTAAAATAAAAATGAGATGAATGTCTCTTAAAATCAGATGTCAACATATCCTTAACTTAATTTAGAATTCCCATTTCATAATAGATGTACTAATTATAAATAATTCACTCCTGCTGTAACAATTCCTTTAAGCTTTTTGCAATAACTCATTTAATAAGCATAATCAAATAAGATATTGAATCAATTGATAGAACCTAAAATACCATTTGTAAAATAAGAATAATCATAAGCTGTTAATAACCTCATTACATAAATATAATATTAAAAATTAGAAAATATTAAACAACAAGATGGTAATGTTTATGTTTATATTTAGAAGATACATAAATTAAAATGTATTTGATAAAAAGTTAAATGAAATTTATAATTGAAGATTTTGTATCCAAAGAAAGAGTGCAACTTTATTTTGCTGAGAATGAAAATTTATTACCTCATTTCTTAAAATGGATTAAATCTATTGAATTAAAAGGCTTAGAAGAAATGTTAATATTATGTTACACAAATCCCTCAAATACTAAGAAGATTTAAGATATTTTTAAATAATTATTTCAAACATTATCAATTGAGTATTACTAAAACCATGCTTATGCTTAAATACTGAGATCCAATCTCTAAGATAAAATTAGATATTTATCAGCAATAGGAGATATCTTAAATAAAATTATAAAACCTTAGGATTATTTCTATTTTAATAATGCATGATAGATAAGAAATTTTGTTATCATATTAAAAATATAAAATACAAATCATCAAATTATCATTTCCCTTATTATTTCTCTTCCTCTTCCTCACTAATTTGAAGTAAAGGATTTGATATTTACAATTCATCAGTACTTCTTCTCTAAAAATATATTATATATCTATAATATTACATAATCATTATTTATTTGTTAATTTAAAGTAATAATAACATCTCTCAATTAGTTTTGATTGAATCTTTATTAATCTTCACTAATTCCTATTTAATCATAAAATTGGTCCACTTTGAAAAGTCTTCTCTTCACTCATCAACCTATTTGCTTATAACTTTTTTATATCAATCCAGATTCTGTTTTAATCATATCCACTACCTCCTATACCTAAAAAAGATTATTTGGTTCTTGTTTAAATTGAGAATTGTGTGTGTGATTCTATTTCTTAGTAATAATAGGTATCAATAAAGCAAACTTACTTTATTATTAATTTTGGATGGAGAATATTTTAAATATTGGATGAACATTAAAAATAAAGGATCCTTTACTTTCTGATATATCTGGAGACACTTACTTTAAATAATTTTACAGGATTAGAATAATTTATAGATACAGTTGATTACTATAATTTAGTTAAATATACTAATTAATTAAAAGAATCATTATGTTAATGTATATTGAAAACATTATTAAAATCATAAGTTTCTTAGTTTATTATCTCAGAGTTTTATAGAGATATCAAAATAAATAAAATATAGATATCTAAGTTCTTTAATTTACTCTACAATTTCATAGATGATCTTGTAAATAAGTCAACTATACTTTTATAAATATTTATTATTAACTAAAAGGAAGGTATTTAAGTCAAAATAGTTTTAACATCCATAATTTCTCATAAAAATGTATAGTTTTTAAACAAATAAAGGTTTTAAGTAAAATACATTTTAAAATGTTCAAAACTAAAAAATTTATCTCATCCCTTTAATTAAATTGTTAATATCCTGGTTTTTATTAAGTAATTTTAGAAAACCATTTGATTGCATAATCATAATCAGTTTATGAGAATCTAATTTTTCTTTAATTTCTTTATCTCTTGATACACATCCCCTCATAGATATAACAATAATTAATTTATAATATATTTTCTACTAATTGTAAATCAATTAAGTAATTGGAGTAATCATCATTAAAATTAATAGAGAGTACTCTACGCCAATGATGAACATCCATCATCTTCCTATTCTGGAATTGCTATAATATAATATATAATGAGATTTATTACCATTCATGTATGAATCAATTGGATTTTATTTAGCTTCTTATGAGGCTTATTTGATTTCCATTTGGATTGAAGCAAAAGCTTTTTATAAATCATTCTTTTTAGAAGTCATACTAAAATCAGTATAACAAAGAGGTTGTTTATTTTCTACCGATTTAGTTAATTACTGATCAAAAATATGATATTAATTTTATTCTGATCTACAGGATTAAGTAATTGATTATTATTAATGTGTTTAATATTATCCTGGAAGTGCTTTTAATTTTTCTCTTGAAACTAACCTTCTTTTCTTGCTATAATTTAATAATTACATTTAAAGAAGATTCACGTTATGGTAATTCAATTACATCAGTCCAATTAAATTATTTAGTATTTGTTCCTGCACTTGATACTTTTTATTTACTATTATTTCTTTATTAATTATCTCCTGTCATTGTTGGTCTCCCAGAACTTCCAATTTATTCATGTCTTGCAATAATGATCTTTTTATCAATATGTATTGGAGGTTTTGTTTATTTTTAAGGACTTTTCTAAATAAGTAAATCTAAAATAGTAGTTACAATATGAATCAATTATTATTAATTCTATGTGAGACTTAGCGATGCCTTAGATGAATGTTAACTATTTTGACTAGATTTAATTAACTTCTGTTAAGGAATTTATTGCTCAATATTATTAGCATTAACAATTAATCTTTATTTTTGACTTCCTGAAAAGAGAGGCTTTCTTGGAGGTAAAGGTGACTTAACAGTTGTCATAGGTTATCCTGATCCAGGTCTTTTTCTCTCTACTTCTTCAAATGCTTATTTAAATATATCAGCATCAGATTTCATTCTACCATTAGAAAATTGCCTTTTCACTATTGACATTATTAAATATATTAATATTTAAAATTATTAACAACTGAAGTATCTCTATTTTTTAGTTTATAAATTAAATAAACTTATACAATTAACATATATTCTGAATATCTTCTAAAGATTATATATTGATTAAAGATTTTTGAGTTTTATAACTTTTTAAACTTATTATTTAAATAAATATATAATCAAATCACACTATGATTTATTTAATGAAATTAATAAAACTGATCACACACATTGGTATGATTGCCAAATATTGTATTTATTTATTTTGATCTTTACTTATTTCATTCAAAATGTATGTATATTAATATAAACAGAAAATACATGTAGTTAAAATAATGCATGGCCAGATCACAGTCATAGTATAGTCGGTTATTAGTATAATAATATGGTAAAAAAATGTAAAAATTAGTAAGGATGTTACCCAAAACCAATTAAATTTAAATTGCAATTGTATTAGTGTAGTTATCTCTGTGTATATAATAGCAATGTAATATAGAATAATTACGGCTACCCATTTCTTAGATCCTTAATTATCATCACATAATCCAGGTATAATGAAAATCAAAAATGATAACAGTAAGATTTCCCATGTAAACAATGGAAATGCTATTAGAATGGAATTCTAATTAATAATTTAATCCAACTGCAAACAAAGAAGCAGAATAAAAACAGGTATAAGTCCAAAAGTGGAATGTTGGGCTATTCCTAAGAACACTTTAGCTATTCTTGGATATTGCTATTAAACTATTAAAATAAATATTCAGTACATAACCATATACTAGTTAAGATCCATATGATAGTATCACAAATAATGAATACTATTGCAATATAAATCCATTATATCTAATACTCTATCCTTAGAGCCAATATTTGAAATATTAAGTATATCGAAAATGCTATCGATATGCGTATACACTTAAATTACATCTCGTCTGATCTTTTAACGATTTCAGACTCTGAACCTTGAAATTCATCTCTATAATTATCATCCATTATTCGTTTTTTTAATATTATATATTATTATTTATGATTATGTTTTCAATCTAAACTATTCATTATGACTAATTTCTATATGTTTTTATATTCTATCAATTTTAAGAATTTTTAAAATCTAATCGCCATGACAAAATCACTCTTCATACTATTTTTTTTAATTAAATACAAATATAAGCAAAAAACTGAAATTATATAAAACTCAAAAGTTACCAATTTTTATTTAATCTTACAAAATAAAACTCAAATTCTTTTCATTTAGACTTTAATCATCAAACTTTAATAAGATTTTAATTAAAAATAGAAATTGATGTGTTCATAGAAATGTCCAATTTTATTATTTTTAAATAACTTTTAATAATAATATGCAATAAACAATAAAATAAATAACAAATCATTTCACTTTATTTTTCCAAAATCAACATCTCTCTTGCACACAGGACAATGTTTTTCTCTAGATAACCATTCAGAAATGCATTCCTTATGAAACACATGTCCACATTCTAATTGAATTTCAACAGGATTTCCACTTTCTTCTAAACATATTGTACAACTATAATATTAGACCTTAATTGCTATACCAATCAACTGTTTTATTTGTGATAGTGCATTATTTAAGTAGTATTTATATTTGATTTTCCATCAATCCTCTACTGACAAAACCCATTTTATCTTAAAGTTCTTGTAATTATTCATAACTCATTTCATCTAAATCAACATTATTTTGCATTCTATATTTTATATTATAGTATTTTTTACTATATTAAACGATTTTAAAATTCCATTTCTTCTTGTTCTTAAAGCATTAAAGCAAAATGAAGAGATTTCTCTTCTTCATTCATTTCTTATAATGGTTTTTCAACTGAAATTATTTCTTGATTTTCTTCCTCAATTTAGAGATTCTACTTTTCTTTTAATTGTTATTCTAACTCTTAAATCCTATCCTTTAATTCAGTAATAGTATTTTTCAACTCATAATTCTCTTGGCGCAATTCATTTATTAAATCAGATTTTGATTAGTATTTTTATTAAGATCTTTAAACATGTTAGGTAGGCATCTTGAATAATTTATCAAAGACTTCCTTCTATTCTGTAACAGACTTTAATTAGCTAACCTTAATTGGGCAGTCCATTTCTAAGATGTTTTAACAATAAATTTATTAATAATTTAATCAAATACAAATTTAGAGTTTTGAATTGTATGAATTTAATATTTAATTTAATCAATTATTAAGAATAAAATACATCACCTTAGAATAAGTTAATTAAAAACTATTTAAAAGTTCATTAAACATATTAAAAATGAATATAAATAATTAGACTATATTTTTATAATATTTTTAATATAGAATAATAATTATTATTATTATAATTATTATTATAATTATTAAGACATTATGAAATAAATATATTTTTGCTTTCCTTACATCATAATAAAATATATCCTTCAAATTGTTAGTAAATTTAATCTATTTTTATTGAAATAGTAGAAAAGAAAACTTCATATAATCCTCCTGCTTATTTAATTGAATTTAACTATTTTATTAAAATAAATTTATATTACTCTAATTTGGTTTAATTAAAATCTTATTTTTTAATTATTTCGAATCGTTATAATTTATTGATATATTTCTTTGTTTTTGTTGACTATCAAAAATGTATACTACATTTGATGTTTTACCTTTATAGTTGGCTTAAGTATTAATAACTAATATTTCTGATATCAAATACTAAGATAACCTTGTTTAATTTAAATACTTTAAGGCTATTATTATTTAAAGTTTTCTAATAATTATTTAATTTAAATTATTCTTTATGTTATTTACTTTTGTGGAAATTCTATTGTTTAAATTTCTTGATGTATAAAATCAGTTTTTATTCATTTATTAAAATATTTGGACTATGATGACCTATTTATCTCATGTAAATAAATGAATATTTAAAAATATCAATAAATTTATATCTTATTGTCTATAAATATAGATAAATAAAAAAAGAGTATAATCTTTGGATTAAGTAGAATTCTTATGTATTAATATAAATTAGAGAATGAATCTTTGCCTCTAGTCTTATTATTACTATATACATTTCTATTATCTTTGCTGTTTATTATATAATGAGAATGATGTTAATACATAATTATAATTAAATTCACTATTCTTATTTAAGAATAAATGCAACAATATATTGAAAATTAATTAACTTTTATACATATAATGAATATACAGGAACGTCCAAATTTGTTTATCTTGTATCCCTATCCATTCAATAGAGATGCGAAGTTTAAGTATGTAGAAATAAATTATTCGCCTTCATTTAGTGAGTATAGAATTCACTCAATTTTATAAGAACCATGAAATGTATGATGGAAACTATACCAATATTCAATAATGACATGGACCCTGCTCAACCTGGATTTATACCACTTATAGATTAAGTATTAATTATATTGATTTAGCCTCTTCATCTATAACATAATGATCAATATCAAAATTAATACTAAAAAAAGTATTAAGAATTGACTTAAAAAAATAAAGTGCTTGTAAGTATTTTTAATGATATCAGCACTTTCCCAAACCTAAAAGCCAGTCAAAATATTGTAATGTTTGTAAACAACATTATGAAGATTATTTAGATGTATTACTTTACTTAAATTAGCATATTAAATCTAAAACACACAAGTCATAATTTACAAAAAATCAATATATTAAGAAAATCTAGACATTAGCTAAAGAAGTTTAAGAAAAAGTAGTATCTACAATCGAATAGTAAGAATCTACTGAAGTTTAACCTAAGAAAATGAAAAAAACTAAACTAAATTGATTATTTATAATTATTATTACTCATTTCATTTAATTTTCTTATTTGAAACATATCTGGAACCTTCACGTTAAGTCTTTATGTTCATATAGAGATATTAATCTATTATAAATATTATTACAATTCTATTCACTTGTAATAATTATATTTTTGTAATGAAATATTCTTGTTAAATTCTTAAATATAAAGTTTATTGATATATTTGCAAAATCTAAAAAAGAGAACTGCATTTTTAATTATTTATTTCTTAATGTTAAAATTTCTTGAAAATAGAGATAATCATAGGATCAAAAGAGGACAGGATTATATGCGTTTTGAGAGTAACAGTCATCTACCCAATAATAAATAATTTAATAGTCCTCTTCATTAAGATATCCTTATACATCATGATAAACCATAATATTACATTACCAAGAAATTGCCTCCTATTTCTATTTACAATCCCTTAGTTTAATTAACAGATTAAGTAGATAGACCAGAATATATAGTGAAATAAAAAGAAATTTATCACTCTCGTTATATGGAAGAATATTAATAAAAGGGCTTCAAAAAAAAGTAAGGAATTTTTGAATCATTCCAACATCTACTGAATTAAAATCATATTTTGATTTAAGGAGTTCATCCTGATAAGAAACCGTTGTCTATTCAAGCTTTAAAGGAATAAAGATAAAGGAATTATAGATCTTTAAATTAAGATAGATAACTTTCTTCCAGGAGTTAAGATAGTTCTAAAGTGTAGCAAAGTAATTTAGATAGTAGCAGATCACATGCAAACAGTTATAATAAGAATTATAATTATAATGTATCAGAATAAAGTAAATTAAGGACTGAGAATAAGAGTATTCAAGTCAGTTTAGAAAGAATGAGTGTTTCTAAGAAAACAGAATAATCGAATGAGTTTAGACCAAAAATATTGCACTCTTATTTGATTAGACAAGAAGAAGAAGCAGAAAAAGAGAGATAGATGCATTAATTAAGCATTTTTGATAAAAAGATCAAAGAAATTAGAATTTATTAGGATAAATATGGCAAAAGGAAAATGACTATCGAATAGAAATCTGATTGATTAGATAATATTAATAATAACTCTACTTCGAATATAATTTAATTAATATATTTATTCTTAATTTGCATAAATGAATGTAATATAGCCACCATAATAACCAATTTAAATAAACCAATAGTAATAAATACCTTAATATCCAAATTATCCACCTCCTGAAAATTAAGTTAGATATGATCCTAGAACTGCAGCAACATTTTTAAATCCTAAATCAATTTAGAAAAAAGCTAAATTTTGTCCAATTTGTGATTTTCCTGCTAGTGTGAGAGTTGTTATTAATCCTTGTAAACATTTTATGTGTTATGAATGCTATTATATTGATGGTTAAACATTTTGTAAATTTTGTAATGATATTGTTGGATCAGTCAAAAGATTAGATGATACAGAGAAATTTTATTCTTGTGATCTTGATACATGTTTTAAGTAGAATTATATTCATTAATTCAAGGTATTTTGAATCTGAATAATAATTGGATGAACATAATACTTAACATTCTATAATATTAGGTTGATTTTATATATTATATAATAATATATAGATCTATTTAAAAATAATATTAATTTATTTTTGATTTATCATTTAAACTCCAAAATAATCTTTCCTTATCCACGAGTCTATGATTAGAGTTTATACAATTCTTCACCTGAAATATCTTATGGTTTAACAATCTGATATACATCTGATTTAAATATTGTGTCTAATTTAGAATTAATATAATTAAAGGCAACCTCCTTTTATTATCTTGTTAATGAAGTATAATAATTGTGCATCCAAAATCCTTCAATAGATTTACCTTAAAAGATCAACTAATTAGGATTTACTTTTCCTATAAATGTAGCTGTTGATGATCCATAATTCACTAAAACACTATTTGCTGGCAATGATGTTAAGATAGTTCCAGCCTTATCTCCAGATGTTGAATCAAAAAATACTGTCTTATCTTTAATGTTCTTTTGAATATTTTATAGTAGATTCTCATCATCCACTATTGTATTAACATAATCCTTATTCTCTTTTGCAATTGCCCAAACATCTTTTCCTAATTCTTTAAATAGTTTAATTCCTTGGATTGCAGTGGATGATCGAGCAGATGAAAATAAGATACTTTTAAATTATTTAGCTCTCTCTTAAAATCCAAGAACAGTGAATGGATTAATTATGGCCATACTACCTTATATTTCATTTCCCACTTCATAAATATCTGATTCATTTGCAGCAACATATTCTGCCCAACTTCCAACTGATCTTGCAGGTAGAAATGCTACTAATTTGCCTTTGTGCTTTCCTTCAACAACTTCACCTACTCCTTCCATTCCTAATTGAGTTGGAAGAGCCTTCTTAATTCCGTAGATGCCTAAAGAATAATACATATCTGCTGGATTTACAGGGGCATATCTCACTTTAATCAGAACTTAATGTGATAATAGTGAGGGTTTAAGAACTTATTACCAAAGTGGTTTAGTACCATATTTAGATATGACGAATGCTTTCATTTAATTAATTAATTATTTTTTATTATATTACGGAGTATTTATCAATATTATTATTATAAAAATTTTATAATAATCTACAGCTTTAAATAAAGAATTATGAAACAGTCCATATTTTAGTTCTTGATTAAAATCACTAAAGTACAATTAATTAACATCACAATATAATCATAAATTATGAATTGACTTTTGCATATTTTATGAATTATTTTTTATTTCTGATTTAATGATTTTTATTAATGTTTTATTATATCTAATATATGGTCTATCTATATTCTAAATCTATCGATTACTAAATTAAGGTGCATATTTTTATTCATATGAATTAGTTTAACATCTATAAACTTTATTTATAGGTAAATTTGGAATTAATGTTGAATTTCTATAATTTCCTGTTAAAGAAGAAGATTAAGGTGTAGTTACTTATATTGTATATGCCTTTTTTCTTTGTACATATTCTTTAACTTCAGATGGTTTTCTTAATAAAAAAATGGTCATCTTTTTATCTAATTATTTAAATTGTTTCTCTTTTTATGATTCTAATTTTTATTTAGGTTATTATTATTTAATTATTATTTATTTTGGTGGTGTCTTACAAGATGGTGGTCTTTCCAAATTATCATATTCTATAATTATAATAAAATTTAATCATACCAACCAAAGATTCTTATTTCGATAATTATCTTAAGAGACTTTGTCTTTTAGTTGTTCTTTTTCTTTTTTTTCTCTCTAAAATATCAGCAAAACTTGTTAATGCAAATCTTTATCCATTAATTTATTTATGTTATTCAATTTATGTTGGAATATTCTCCAATTATTTTAATGTCAATTCACCAAAACATTCACCATATGCTGATTTTCTTCTACTCTATTATTCTTATCTTAATTGATTTATTTTCTCTATAGCCTTTTTTAAAGGTTTTAAATTTATAAACTTTTTAGTTTACATTTACTTATCTGTTATTTATGGTATAAGTTCATCTTATTCACGTTCTTCACGCTCTTTTAATAATCTTATGAAATGTGAGAGTGAACTCTTTTTTGTTGTTTTTCTTAAATCATCTTAGATTATTATTTTAGATTTTGATTATGGATTACTACTAATTAAAACTTGATTGCTTATTCTTCTTTCAGTAAATGGGAATGAAGAATACTCACTTTGTTCTAATTACAGATATATAATTACATAAGTAGTTTATCATTTATTTTATAAATTAACAAATAAACTTTATTAATTACTAATATATAAATATAAGTTTTTATTATAAGAATTATTACTATATTAAGTAATAAACCTCTATTTAAATATAGAAAATTATTATTAATTCATACAATTATTTAACCTTTATTTAATAGTATTTTAATATTATAATTTCTTAATTTTAATATTGAAAATTGTTTTTAAATATTAACAATAATGATATTAAGGCAGACTAATAAATCAAATATCAATTAGTATTTAATTCCACCCTAATTACAAATGCAAATGTTGCAAATATAAAAGTAAATAAATTGAGATTATTAAATGGATGTTAAATTAATTGAATTATTTTTAATATAATAATAATTTATAATACTTTATAAATTAGAAACTAAGAAATCTATTACAACAATAATTAATATAATTTAATTAGTTTTTTTACAATAAATGAGATATATTCAATTTTGTGAATATTGATTATAAAAAGCAAAATATTATATTTAATTTTGCTATCATAATTTAATCAATTAATATATGAGTTATCCTAATATTTAAGAGTTTTTGGAAGATTTTGAAAAGGAGAATGAATTATTAGGAAAAGGAACGTATGGTGAAGTTTATAAAATGAAAACGAAAAGAGCCATCAATCCTGATTTAGAAAAGGTATAAGAAGGATAAGAGAATTATAATGGATAGTAATATGCAGTTAAAATGATGGATGCTAAAACAGAAAAATCATTTTCAACCATATAAAAAGAATTTCTAATACTTAAAAGTTTACCAAAATCGCATCCTAATATAATTAGACTTTACAAAGTAATTATTTAATGATATAAATAGAGTTATGCATGGGCCAATTAGATAACAAAAACTTATACATTAGTATTAGTAATGGAATTAGCTGATAAAAGTTTAATGAAGGAAATTGAAGAGAGGATATAAAATAAGAAATATTTTTCTGATGATTAATTACATCATTTCTTCTTATAATGTATTTAAACATTAAATGATATAAAACTTCATTCCAATATTTATCATAGGTATTTAATTAATTAAATATAGAGATATAAAGCCAGAAAACATTCTTTTAAATAAAGAATAACAAATACTATTATCTGATTTTGGAGTTTCTCGAAAACTAATGAAGGAGAAACTACCAACAATTAATGGTACTTTAGTTGGAACTCCTGCTTATTTATCTCCAATATTATGGAAAGCTTTTGAAGAAGGGTAATTTTAGGTTTCAAAAATTAATAAAATAACTCATAATGTAGAAAAATCTGATGTTTATTCGTTGGGTGTAACACTATTATAGACAACTCTGTTATTAAATTCAGAGATTTAAAAACTAAATTCTGTAAATTTACATAATTGATTCAGGGAGAACAAGGATAGCATACAACAAGAGAATTATTGAAGAATGTCTAAAATCCGAGAATTAAGTTTATCTTAATGAGAATGCTAGAACATGATGAAAAATAAAGAGCTTCTTATAATGAGTTACTTTAATTATTAAATGAAACTATACCTAAGCAGATTGTTTAGAATAAGAAACCTATATTTTCATATGTAGAACCTAAATTAGGAATTAAGGAATAATTTAGTTTATAGGCAAAAATAACATTTGAAAATAATTGTAAATAAGAATTGCATTAAAACTAATAAATAGATACATAAATAGATATTGAAACTGTTAATTAGAGTTAAATGAGTCAATAGATAGAAAACAAAATGAAAGAATAATGAAATTCATTGCATATCTATTTAAATAAAAATTAATATAACTACATAATCTCAAGATTTAATACTAACATTATTAAGAATTATATTTAAGATTCTAAAGAGACTTAAGAATTTTAAAGTATTTTGAAAATGAATACTATCAATGAGGATATATTCAATATTAATCAATTAGTTTTATTGTATAAATAAGAAAATTATGATGTCATACTTAATAGTGATATTAGCTATTCTATAGACATTTGCTGTTAATCCTTTGGAGGATAAGACAGTGTTTCCAGACTGGGGGAATTATAGCTTCAATACTTATTCTGGATATATTCCAATTGGCTCAGGATAAAGGTAAATGTCTAATAACATTTTAGATAATTACATTATGTATTTTTGGAAAGTTAGAGTGATCCATTAACAGATCCAGTTGTATTATGGTTAAATGGTGGTCCAGGATGTTCATCATTACTTGGATTAAATGAAGAAATTGGTCCATTTGTAATGGTTGATGATGATAGAGTATTTAAGAAGAATCCTTATTCTTGGAATACCATAGCAAATATACTTTTTATAGAATCACCAGCAGGTGTAGGATTTTCTATTAATAATGATTCATCTTATATTTACAATGATACTAATACAGGAGAAGATAATTATTAAGCAATTTTGAGTTGGTTTTAAGCTTTTAAATAATTTTAAGGAAGAGCATTTTATATTGCAGGAGAATCATATGCAGGTATTTATTTATTTGTAAATCGATAGGAATGTATATACCATATACATCTAAAGCTATTTTAGAAGGTAATAAAGTTAGTTCCTTAAAAATATCTTTAAGAGGAATTATGATTGGAAATGGATTATTAGTATCTGATCCTAAGAAACGTTTCTATGCATTACAAGAGTATTTCTTAAGAAGAAATTTCTTGCCCCCAACAACAATGAATACTATAAGAAAGATTTGTTAAGTGGCTCCTTAATCTATAAAGTGTTTATTGGCTCAAAATCATTTTGAAGAGGTATGTTTAGGATCAAATATTAATATTTATAATGTTTATGGATATTGTAAAGAAGATACTACTCCAGATTTTCTAAAATCTAAATATCAAACACAAAAAAAGGTTAAGTATCCTTATGTTTCATGGTTTGAAGGAAATAGAGTAGAAAACAAAGTTAAGGATAATGGTGCTCCTTGTACTGATTTTGGACCTATTACTGAGTATTATAATAGAAAAGATGTGCAAGAAGCATTACATATTCAAGATTAACCAGTACTTTGGAATGCTTGTAATCTTTAAATTAATGAAAATTATCATATAAGCGAAGAAGGTAGTTATAAAATATTAGCATAATTAAGAGATGATTATGGATAATAAATATTAATATATTCTGGTGATTTAGATGCAATAGTAAGTGTTGTAGACACAGAATAAGCTATACTTATGATTCCAAATATTAGAGAAACTACTCCTTGGAGACCTTGGGGAAATAAAGATTTAGATCTTGCTGGATGGGTTACTTATTATGATAAGTTGACCTTTGCAGTTGTTAGAGGTGCAGGACATGTAAATACTTATTAATTATTTAGATGGTACCATAAGATTAGAGATAGAATAGTTTTGAATTATTTTAGAACTTCATTTATAATTTAATATTGCCTGAGCATTTCGAACAGTTATGAACAGATTGATTATTATAAATAATTTGAATGAAAAAATCTTAAATTCTATTATATACAAGATTGATTATAATAAATAATTTGAATGAAAAATTCCTAAATTCTATTAAATTTTACTATCATGGGGTTAGGGTCTTTCTCAATGTCTAAGACTCTTCTTATCCTTAATTCTTAACCACTAATTGACTCCGTGTCTTCTTATTATATTTACAATTCAAAAGGTATTGTTATTCCTACTCTTTTTCTATTTTTATATATATATATATATATATATATATATAATACAATATTCTTCAGCATCCATATAGCCTTCTGAGTTTCTAGTTGGGGATGAATAGGCATTCCCTTCTTTAGATAATCTCTTGGGGCTTAAATGAACTCTAAATATATATCTGTTATACAAAGTATATTATTTTTATTGTGGGTTTTCTGTTCCTATTTATGTAACATCATCAGCAATTATAATTTATCCTTCAAATTTAACTTCATTATTCATACAGAGGTTTGAATGCATTAATATTATTAATGATTATAAAAAAAATAAAATTTTCAATCCCAATTTAAATAACAATGTTAAATATTCTATGTTTATATAAAAAAAGCTATAATAAATTAAAGTAAAATAAAAATATATACTTGTGAAAAAAGGAATTGTGAGATTTCCTTTATAATCATAAATCATAGGTTATTTAACTTTACTACTATTTTTGGTTACTATACAACAACTTGCTTATTATATATATCTATAGTTAAACTTTTGATTATTAATGATCATTAAATCAAACTATAATAAATAAATTTTATGATCCAATCAAATTTTAACTTAATATAGTTAAGTTATTTTTCATTAAGATTGCAACGTTACAGATAAGCAAAAGAATAACTATTTTAAAAAAGTAAATTATAAATAAGATTTAGATAATAAATCTTTTTACTTTTATGCTTTAATAAACTACTTTTAATCATACTCCCCCATTTATTAATAAAAAATAATAAATTTTTATCACCAAACGATATAATTAAATCAATATGATATTCATTCAAGCTTTATAAAAATTTACTCTAAAAAAATACTATTGAATTATAATAATAGTTATATTTTTTATTTGATTTTCTATTGATAAAATAAAAACAAATAAATTTAATAAATAATTATTTATTTAAAATATTTGAAAACCTAATTAGATTATATATAGGTAATAACTTAATAATTGTTTCATTACATTAATAAATTTTGAGATTAAATCAGATATTTTAATAATCTTTAATTATAAATTTTTATTTTAGCATACTTATTTCTTGTAGATAAAATTAAAGCAATATAAAAATCAAATGAAATAAATTATATTAGTATCATCATCATTTAGAAATTTTTCTTTAAATTTTTCTTAATTTAATAGACATAGTCTTTACATAATAAAAGAAAGTATATTTATTTAAATCGTCTAATTGTCTTTTTCTTTATTTTGTTAATTTTTTTGGGTTTTTCTGGAATTAGATAATAATTGCTGAAATATTATTTTATGGCATATAATCTTTATAATTTCTCATTTGATCCAAATGTAGACAAGTTTAATGATATGATGCTAAAAATAAATCAGATTAAAGTTTATTTAATGATTAAGAGTGAAATGAATTATTTAATATATTGTTATGAGATTTAAATTCTTATTACAATACGGTCATTCTTTATTTTGGCATTTATGCTACTATAGAGGGTCTGAATTATGTTTAATGTCTTTTTTATTGAGGTGAAATAGCTGAAACAAAATGAGTAGGTTGAACATAATCTTAATCAGCTATAATAATTTTAGATTTAGGTTCATCAGATGTATATTTATCTCTATCTTCAAAAGTATTTCTTTAGATATAGCCAGATTGATAATCAGAAATTTAAACTTTAGATTCATTTTCATCTTAAAATGCTTTGATTGATAGTTCTATGTTTTTACTAAGTTTTCTACAATTTGATTTTTGCAATGATCTTTTATAAAACATTCTAAAATTTTGATTCTCTTTAAAAGTTGCAACTTTTATTCTTTATTCTAAATTTGGTTTATACTAAATTAATGGGCAATCTATAATTTCGTGAGTAAATACTCTACAATTTTAACAACTTGATATACATTTTGAATAATCAGAATTAAGTAATATCTAATCTTTAATATTGTGAAATCTCTAAAAATCTTTTTAATAATATTATATGATTTATAAGAACTTTTCTCTCTATATTTTATATAGTATTGCATCACTCATACATTTAGCAGAATATTTTGGATAAAGTCCAGTAAAGAAGGAGTATTCTCCAAATTTCTCACCTCTATTTAATGTTGTTAAGATTTTGTTAGATTTCTCTTCGAATATGGCTATTGATCCTGATTGTACAAAATATCTATTTTATTATCAAATAAATTATACAAACTAGAATCAGTACATCCATTCTATTAGAATACAATATCATTAGTCACTAAATATTAGGTTTCTAAATATCTAGAGATTTCAGTCACTGCTTGTGTTGAAAATAAATCTTTAAGAAAAGTTATCTAATTAAGAATTTTTAACTGAATCGATTTTGTAATTTAATTTCTTAAATCTTCTGGCAATTTTTCCATAATTTTATTGATTTCTTCTTAACTCTCTTAATTTTCATTTTAAAATAAATGATGCTTAATAAAATTTCTAGCTCTCAATTATAAAGCCATTTCAACATTATTCTTATCCATATAATCATTAATTCTCAATAACATTTTTTTATATTAATACTTTGTATCTTATATATTCTTTAAAATAATTCCAATTGAATTGAGTGAATATGCATAAACACAACTTGATAAAAACATCATTATTATTGTAAATACTATTTCTATCCAATTTTATGGTGTTAAATCTCCATACCCAACTGTTACAATAGTTGTTGTAGCCCAATATATTGAATAATTATATTTCATCATTATACTTTCATTCTCAATCTCATATTTTTGTAACCAAGATTTATCTAAGAGCATATCACTCTTTTCTCCAACATAATACCATAAACATGCTGTAATATGAGCAAAGAAGAATATTGTTATAACAAGAGAAAATAGATCTATCAAATTTGAAAATTATCCTTTGGAATAGAGGGATTCAAAAAATTTATCAAAATTCGTTATTACTTTTTTGGTTGTAACAATTATTTATATTATTTGAAACACTTCGAATACTAAGCTTTCTTTAGGTTTATTGAATATGATAATCCAAATCATAAGACTTATTATATCTTATGCTCCTTATCCTTTAAGATAATGTTTTATTATTTAGCTTCTTGTAGTAATAATTTCTCCAAATGATATTGTCGATCTATTTAAATTGACCAAAATTTCCAGAAATAAATACAATATAATTGTAACAATTAATATGATTGGTGCTTGATAAGTGAAGGCTGCTTAGAAAGGGCTTAACCACAATGAAATTATATTTATAATAATTCCAATCAAATCCCAATACATTAACAATTAACTTCCAGGTTGAAATATTTTGATAAATTAAGGATTATCTCCTTAATCTATAGATAATAGAATATACAGTACTCAATGTTTATGTATAAAAAGATGTGCCTCTAGATATATACTCATCTTAAAGTTATTACTATAATTTTTAAGGAAGTACGTATGAGTTTCTGAAAAGATTTTAAATAAATCTATTAACAATAGCTTTGCTTTTGATTTGTTTTAAAAAGTTTGTTACTTGTCCTGATTCATTAATTTATTTTTTACTATTTTCCACACTTTTTGAAAATAGTTTTTTCTAACCTTAAATATGCATAATACTTGAAATGAACTATATATAGATTAAGCCCTTGATTATCTTTCCTCACAATCTTATTTCAATTATTTGATTGAATCTCCTGGGTCTTTTGAATCTGAATAGATTGAACAATCTGAATTTTATTTTCTATAATGTATATATGAAGGATTTCTTGTGAATGAAGGTCCAATACTATTTCTTCTAGAGCTAAGTTATCTTTCACTTTAAATTAGCATAAATATTTATGAGATTAATTGATTTTGTTTATCTAAAAATACCATACTGGATTAATTTGATATTTATTTAATATCACAAAAAAAAAAATAAAGAAATTATAAGAATAAATTTTGTTACTTAATTAATTAAATAAGGAGTTTTGAAATACTAATTAAGAATTGATTAGAAGTGATTTTGAAATACAGGAAAAAAATTCACATTACAATAATTAATTTAATATTATAAAATTCTAAAAATATTAGATCCAAAGAAATTAATATCATATCACAAAAAGTCAATAGAATAGGGATTGAAAGAGAATTATTTAAAATAGATTCTGACTAGATCAATCAGAAATATAATAATCTGTATTTGAATTTTATTAAAACATAAACATAGTATCTCATATTTATTCTTAATAATCATTTCTAATTGTATTATTAATGTATTATGGATTGTTTTTAATTTTCTTCATATTTTTGGATGTTATAATGCAATCAAAATTCAACTTATAACTAATTTATAAAAAGGAAGATTAGAATATATTCAATATTGAATTCAAATTAAAATTTAATAATATTTAATAATTTTAGAAAATCAAAAAGTTTTAGGCAATCAAGAATTATGATATTAACTATACTTATTACTATAACTTATAATGTAGTCTAATAATAAAAATACATAAAAAGAGTTGATCAAAGTTTTTATAGAAAAGTAAGTTGTTGTTTATTAATTATAACATTATATTAATAAAAATGGTATTAAAAAAATTCTATTTAATTTTAATTCAATCTTAATTATCCATATATATATATATAATCTAAATTTACTTAGCAATATATATAATATTTATGATAATTATTAAATTTAGTAACTAAAATTCAACTGAATAATTTAGAACTATATTTAATTATACTACTTATTCATTTAATTAAACTCATTAGCAAAATAAATATTATGGATAACTCCATTCCGATTATAAGAAAAAAGAGTAATCTAACTGATTAGCCATAAGAAAAGAATAGGACTATTCCTCCTATGATAAATTGTGATAAATTGATTACTAATCTATAAAAGATTACATTAATGGATATTTTAGATCAATTTGCAAAAGATTCTGAAAGCAAGAGTATTATAGAGATATTAAGATCTATTTTTGAGATTGCAGAGAAACCTCATAAAGTTTAAGATAAAACATAAATTGATTAATGGAGTATTAATAATTACAAAGATAACTAAAAATTTGAGTTTAATGATGAATAAAAAAATAAACAAAATGGTTATGATAATTAAAATACTAAGTAGAAGGATCATAGACATAGAGATTTAGAAAGAGGTAGAGATAATGATAAAAATTATCATAATGATAGACATGATAGATATGATAGATAGGATAAATATGATAGGAATGAGAAAAGAACTAAATATGATAATAATGAGAGATATGATAGATATGATAGATATGATAGACATGATAAATGTTAGAAATATGATAGAAGGGATAATTATGATAAATATATTAATGAGAATAAAGGGAGAAGAGATTATCATAAAAATGATCATTAAAATGAAACAAAGGATATTAGAAATGATTGGATTATAAAGATACCAGATACTATTATAAATGGGTAATAAATAAATGGGAAAGTAGATAATTTTAATTAACCTAATATGTTATCTATAGCTACTCCTAAATGAATAAATAATTTATATAAATTATAAAATGATATACGGACTTTAATGCAGAAAACATCCGAGTATTTAAGTATCTTTTGTATGCACAAAAGTGAATTGTAATTATGGTAATCTTCTTTGCTAATAATGTAACTTCATTTATTGAAATATTAGGTATAAATGGAAATTTATAACATAAAAATGAGCACAAGAATTATTTGAATTAGCTTAATGAATTTGTCTATCAATAAAATGGAAAAACTAAAACTGTTTTGATTCCTAATATTAATAGTACACTTTAAGAATTAGATAAAAAAATAAAGGAATATAATGCATAGATAGATAGAGAGGCATAAGAAATTGATTCAGATATTTAACAATTGTTCAAAATATTTTCTGATAGTTCAGAAAGAGCTAAGAAATAGATTTAAGAGATTATTAGAAGAGACTTATGTGAATAATAAGTCAAAAATCTAAATTTTAAATAGCAATTACAAGAAATATAATCTAATGAGTAAAAAAGAAATGACAATAACAATTATTTATTCAATTCAATATTTTCTAGAGACCAAGATAAAGAATTACCTGTATCTGAATAATCTTTGATGTAGATTATCAACAAGTATAAAATACTGTAATATGAAGAAATGGAAATCTGAATTAACTACGATGTGACATTCTAAATTGCTTAAATAATGTAGTTAGTACATTATAACCATCAAGTAACAGAATTCGCTACAAGAGCACCTAAAATTAATTGTAATAATTCAATCTTCTCAAAAATGACTTCACACAAAGTTTGAATTTTCTATTCTAGAAATTAGCAGATCTTACATAAGATTTTCATACAGTTGAAGATATGAAACGTAGTTTGTATTAATTTGGGTCTTTAGAGGGTTCTTAATCACTAAAATAATCATAAGTTGTATAAAGAACTTTAGGATCATCTCAGTTCATAAGTACTGGACACCAAAGTTAAAGATTTCATAGATCAAATAGTTAATCTTAAATTATGAGTGTAAAGACTCTAGAATCATTTCCACCTTTATCTTCAATGATTTAATAAATTTTGAATAAGATAAGTCATTTATAACCTCCTTAGGCAGATTCTTTATTGAATAATATTGAAACTGTGCCTCCTTGTTTATTCCCTGATGGCATAATTTATGAAGGTCAGATATAGAATAATTAGAGATTTGGTTGGGGAAGAGCCATTATAGGACAAGACTATTATGAAGGATATTGGAGAGGTGGATTGCCTTTTGGATTTGGAAGAATAATATTAGCATCTGGAGATTATTATGAGGGATTCTCATAAAATGGTAAAGCACATGGTAGAGGGATATTTTGTTAGGGCAATTATTCATATGAAGGAGATTGGGAAGAGGATTAAAAACATGGGAAAGGATTAGAGGTAGTATAAGGAAAGTATGAATACAAAGGAGATTTTAAGAATAATATTAAGTGGGGGGAAGGGAGATTGGTTGATTTTATAACAGGGAATATATATTAAGGGGAATTTTAAAATGATTAATTGTAAGGAGAGGTTACAATTGAATATAAAAATGGTGACAAATATTATGGATATGTTAAAACAGAGGATGGATAGATAAAAAGGCATGGATAAGGAGTATATTAATGGGTAGACTCTAGGAAATATGAAGGACAATATGAAAACGATAAAGAACATGGAGATGGACTATTTATATGGTATTTTTCATTTTCATATTGAATTGATTAGGCCTGATTAATGGATGTATAAAGGATAGTGGTAATTTGGGATGTAACATGGTTAGGGAATCTAATACAATCCATAAGGGAAAGAGAGAGAAGGAATTTGGTATAATGGAGTATTTAATAAATGGATTAGTTGAAAAGGGTGATGTCTATTTAATAGCTTATAAAATATTCAGTTTAAATTGATAATCTTTATATTTCATTTCTTGCCATATGAAGTTTAGTTAGCCATTTCTAATACTTGTTATTTAAAGATATGGATCACTTCATCAATGATGGCATTCTCCTCTATTGATATAATTAAATTGAATACCATTTCTTCTATTCAATTCAGTATCATAGAGATCTCTCAACTCTTATAAACTAGCAGTGGCAGCATTAATAGCATTTTAAGAATCTTTTAAGACTGAATTGGCTTTGGCTTAAACAGCAAGAGCAGCTTATTCTTACTAAAGATATTAAATACTATATAGTTACCACAACTAATTTATCTTGGAGTTGAGTCTTTCTTTGAATTTCATCTTACAAATGAGCCTTTTCAGCTTCAGAATCAGCTAACCAATCAGCTAATTGATAATATCCAGCAATTTCATTTTATTCTAAAGCAGACAAAGCTGATTTCAATTGATCTTCTAAATCACTTAATGCATTATAAACTAATTGACCAACATTGAGTCCTGGTTATCTATCTCCTCCATTTGTACTTTCATTCTCTCCCAAAGCATGTAATTCAGCATTTCCTGAAGCCTATTCAGAAGCTAATTATGCAAATTTGCTCATGGCATCTTAATTAAATAATTAACTGTATTGTTTCAACTTGTCAGCCACATTTTCAACTTTCAATTCAACCATTGAAGATGGAGCTCCTGTTAAGTATCCACTAAGAATTTTCTATTTATAATATACCTCAAATCATTTTTTAATATTCTTATAACTCCTAAAGCATCATTATGTTATTTAATAGCTCTTACAAACAATCCATTTGAAAAACATCTTAGTTCTTCTAATTCAACTTCTCTTCTGTCTATATCAGCTAATCTTTATGTAGCCCAAGCAATATAGTCTGTTGCTTCCTGAAGTATTATATTAAATCAATTACTCTATATTCAATTCCAATTTATTCTCTTCTTGCTTTTGCACTTGCCCAAGCTTTTTGATTTAATTCATTCACTTTTGATAAAGCTGCAATTCTAGCTTATCCAATTTCTTCATCTGAAATGTTTTTTTCATCTGCTAATCCTTATGCTTCAATATTGCTTGTCTTTAAATCATTCAATAAATCATAGACTGCTTGAACAGCATCATTTGATTGTGATCCTGTCTTTGAAATTGATTGCAATTTATTATTACCTACAACAACAGTGCAAAATCAATATCTAAGGCTTGAACACTCACTAAAGCAATCAAAGCTACGGTTATGAACTTATTCATCTCAATAAAATTAATAATATATTTCCACAAAAAACGGGTAAATCACTTAATTAAAAAATTTATATAATTGAATATGAACAAAAATAGAAAATAATAAATATAAAATCATTCTACTTCTCAATCATTAATAAAAAACTATTATATGGACTATACATATATTAAGCATATTAGTTTTCTTATATTCTGAAGTACTAATATGACTTTTAGTAAATGATTGTGATCTTTATTATCTTATTATATAATAAAATAAGAAGATTTCAAAATATTGTTTATAATTATATATTTAAAACTGTAATAAATTCATATTTATTTGTATAACTTAATTATTTCTCTTATAAATATCAAGATAATAATGATATTTCATTTAATACTATTTATAATTTATATATTGTATTTTCAATAAATAAATTTATAGGTAAAGATAATCATTTAAATATATTTAATATTTGATTAATCATTTATTTTGATCATAAAAATGATCTGATATTGTTTTACAATATAAAATCATCATTTCCTTTGCAAATGCTTTATTCGCTATCACTTCCTATCTCTTCTAAATTAGCATTAACTTTTTCATTTGGTGTACCATATGCTGTATTTGTATTATTATTATTATTATTGTTTTCAGTCAAATAAATTAAAACTGAATCATTGTCAACAGCTTCTATAATAGCAGTTCCTGGTAGTTCATATGTCATATCATTAATAACTAATTTAAATTTCTTTGATCGCAAATTCTCAATAAATTTAGCACATTCAAATGGATTAAAATCAAGTTCACCATCAGATTCTTATTTTTCATAGATTATTTCTTAACAGAATTTTGAATTATCTTTATTTTACTTAATTTTCTTCTTATTTTATACATCATCAATATTATTTGTTGGTTAAGGAACTTTTTTAAATTATTTTTTGATCATTTTCCATTCTTCTGAAATTAACTATGTTAATTAATTATGATTAAGTTCAGGTCTTTCTAATTTAATTTCTTTTAATCTTGAATTATAATAGGATTTCCAATCATCATTTTTATTCACTTTAGATTCTTTATTTACTTTTTTTAATTGATCTTAATTGCTCTCTTTGTTTCCCATCTATTCAAAAATATCTTCTGCACTTGATTCATTAAATATTTATTCTTTATGATTAGTCTATTCAACTTTAACTAACTATTAAAAATATCATTAAATATATACTTTTAATGAAGGAATTTACTTAAATTTCTTGTCTTCAAATAATTCAAATTGATTGCAAAATATTTGCTTCTTTTTTGAATTTTACATTTTTTAATTTATAAAAAATTCATAATGGCGGTAATGCTCTTAAATTTATTTAAAGGTTATCAATACAAAAACGAATCAATCAGAGAAGACATAATTATAGTATTTTAAGTACATTAATTACATTAATTACAAATCTAAATTAAAACTAAAAAACATATATGTTTTGTATAATATAAATCTTATATAATAATAATATATTCTATAAAATTTAGAGAATCTCATATAGATTTCTAGAATTAAACATTATGTGACTATTCTCTATCATCTATTTCTCATCAATATCTTTTAACATTATTATTTTTTTATTAATTCATAAATTTATCCTTGATCTCATATTATTCATCTTTTTCTATAGATTTTCTTATTACATCTACATTATTTATTTAAATGCAGACCTTGACTAATTAATAAAATTTCAATAGAGACATATGTAATTTTTCTCAATTTATGAATGAATGGAATATTAGAAACTGCTTTTGTGTCATTATAAATGATGAAACAAGTTAATTAATCATCTGAAAAATTTTCAATATATTTAGTTGCTAACATCTTAACAAAATTAATCTCTTTATATTATTTGTCTAGCTAAGTTTCAAAGATTCAATAATGTAATATTAATAAATAGAAAGAACAACAAATCGATCATTTGATTTTACTTCTTATTTCAATTATTAGAGTCTCTATATATATTATAAAAGAAAGACAATATTTCTTTAAATTTGATATTATCTTTTGAATTCATCATCATCAAAAGAAATTATCATCACTTTATCTAATTTTTAAATGACTTATTTTTAAGTTTCTGCTAGAGTTCTCACTTTCTCTCTGTCTACATAGTATCCATGTTTAAAATGGATATCTTCCCAATCTATAGTTAAACCATTATCCATAGATTATTAATTTTAATTATTTCATTGACTTCATATTCCATATTTCTAATACACATACATAAGAATGATAAAACTTAAAAATATATAAATGTATTAGTATTGGTCTATATAATGATTATACATATTTCAATAGAATGAATTACGATTCCCATTGTAATAATTCCATTTCTCTTGATCTTGTTAAATGTTTCCAAATGTATTCGGCACTTAATTTGTCTAAATTTACTAAGTAATATTTTTCTACTCTACTGGAATACCTATGTAATATTCTTCTACATTTTCTTATCCTATTTTTAAATATTTATATGTTACCTGATTCTTATCTCAATTTTTAATTATCCACTGTGTCAAACATATCATTATACATTGTGTCAATACTATTTAAGGCATCATCTAATTCCTTATTGCTTCCTGGTTCAAAAGAAAAAGGTGCAGGTTTCTTTGGAGGAGCAACAGGTTTAGTTTTTGGATATTATACATATTATTATTATGGAACTTGTTATCCAGGATTTATTTATTAAGCATAAATTTGTGGATATTACACATAACCTTATTATGGATATTAATTTTGAGGGTAGGGATAACCTTAGTTATTTGGAAATTACATATTATAAAATAAGAATAATATTAAAACTATATATACTTTATATATAAAGATTTAATATTCATTTATATCTGATAAAACTTTTATTTTCTTTTCATTATATTATTTATTTTGGTTATTACTTTTCCTTATAAAAAGAGTTAAATCTGATAACAAAATAAGATAATTATCAATAACAAAACCTATATAAATGTTACAAAATTTTCTGGAACTTAAGATAATTTAAATTTCATTTCATGATGAGAATATGTTAATATATTATTGAAATGATTAAATTAAGAAATTGAAATTATAAATAAAAAATAATAAAATATTTTACCTTTTAATTGAGTAAGAGTTCTAGAAATACTTATTTATTTTACGTTAAATAATTTAATTTTGTGGTTCAGTAGAAAAATATAGAAAATGATTTTAATATAACTCTCACCATATTTTAGTTTTATTTATTTATATTTTTTAATAAGGACAGATTATTAATTTTGAGAAGGAATAATCACTTATTTTAATTATGTTTCATAGTTTTTCTTTATTGATGTAATAAAGAATGATATATTTATATTAACTTTCTTCATAATATTTAAATTAATAATGGATAGTCTATAAAAGTTGGTTGCTTTTGAATTATAAATTCAGATTTAATTATATTAATTTAATAGTTTATGCAGCAAAACTTTATAAATTCATAAGGAGGTTCTCGATTATAAAAAGGATTTGTGTTTCCACATCAAGAATGTTATAAGGAGAAAGATGAATCATTACTATTGTCATAATTATCTGACATAAATATTAATCAAGAAAAAAAATCAATTAATATAGAGTTATAAACATCAAATTTAAATATGAAAAAATAAATGATTAAGTTACCCATTTAAAATGTATTAAATACTAAATTAAGTAGGTTATTTATTCACCAAAAGGAATGAAAAATTAATAACATAAAATATAAAAAGATCAACCCTCAACTATTGAGAAATTAATTATCAAAAATAAAATAATTAATCGATTTAAAAAGAATTTACTAGAACAATCATATATTTTATAAAAGGATATAAAAAGTAAAATTGAATCAGTACTAAGATTAGCCAAAGTTAAATCAGAATAAGTATATATATTAATAATAATATTCAGTATTAAGATGAATCAGATCTTCTTCCATTATTGACATCAAATAATTATTTAATATTTTGTTGGGACATTATAAACTTATTTCTAGATTTCATAAATCTATGGTATTGTGCATATTTAGCTACAATCTTAAGTTTTTAGACTTAACACACCATATTAGAAATCATCCTCTTATTTAATAATGGTTTTGAAATTTTACTTAATTTTCATCGATCCATATTAATAAACGGAGAATATGTCAGAAATAGGGGTATAATTACAAAAACATATTTAAAAGGAGGATTTATATTTGATTTTTTAGGATTCATGATTTGGTTACTTTAAATCTTAGTGAATGGAGGTGAGTCTTATTTTGAGATAATAGTAGTATTTTAAATTTTACTTATTGTTATTAGAATAATAAGAAAATATTAAAATAGTACATCATAAATATATCTAAAAGAATACTAAACTAATTTTTTAGATCTTCTTACATTAATGCTTATTTTATACTTTTTTGCACATATTGTTGCATGTATGTGGTATTATATTGGAGAGAAGACATCAGATTTAGGACAAAGTTGGATTCTTAAATATGGATTTAGTGATAAATCAAATGGTGAAAAATATAATGCTGCTTTTTATTGGGCAACTATGACAATGGTTACAGTTGGATATGGAGATATTACAGCCACTAATTATTATGAAATCTTATTTTCTAATTTTATGATGCTAGTCTCTAGTTGTATCTTTGGATATTCTATGAATTCAATTGGAATGATTCTAAAAGCTATTTAAGATTAAAATAGTAGATATAAGTAAAGTATTAAAATTATCTAAGAAAAACATTGCAAATAGTTAATGCTTACATGCATGCTAATAATGTTATTGTCTTAATAATTAATATTTTAAGTCTAATGAATCCATTTAATATAAAATAAGAAATTATTTACAAATACAAAATGAAAGAGAATCATTCGAAAATGCACAAGCACTTGAAAAGATTATTGATGAATTACCATCAGAATTAAAACTTGAATTATAATTAAACATTCAACAAAAAATAATAGCCAAAATAAAAGTATTGGGAGCATTATTCTCTAAATCTACATTAACATTAACTGCCTAAGTTTTAAGTAAGAAATTGATGTTTCCTGGATAACTTATATTTTAATAAAATTCAACTTAAGATGATAGCCTATATTATTTATATTAAGGTTCTATTTAAGTAATAGAAGAGAAAAGTTAAAAGGCTTTGAGTATCATTAAAGCTGGTAATACTTTTGGTGAATATTCATTTTTTAGTGGATTCTAACCTATAAATACATTCAAAGCATTAGAATTTTGTTAAATTTATAAATTAGATAAAAAATAATTCTTATAAATTATAAAACGAAATCATCGAGATTTTGAAACATTTCATCATGTGAAAGATTAAATAAATTTATATAAGGATTACTCAAAATTAATAATTCAATGTGATATATGTAAAGAATATTCTCACTAAGAAATTTAATGTCCAAAACTTACTTATTAACCTAATTTTGAATAACGTTTAAAAAAGTAACAATTTCAAAGTGAATATAATACTCGAAGCTTTCATTAGAGAACATAATTAAAAATCAATACACTTGATGTACTCAATACTATTTAAACATCGGTTAAGAGTTATTTATAATAAGAAATTTCTCAAATTTTAGGTTTTAATTTTAGTGGTAATAATGAATCAGCTACACATATTTAAAAAGCCGAATTTTAATCAAATACAATTAATTTAACTGATAATGAACCTTAACAAAATATCATTAATTTAAAATCAATTACAATAAAATCATAAAATTTTGATAATGTTGCTACTATTCAAGGCAAGAATTTGAATGAGTATATTGCTGAAACTGAAGTTAATTGCCTTATGGAATTAGAAAAATAACAATTAAATGTTTCATACAACATTGATAAAATGTATCATTTTACAGATTATATGACTCATAATAATTTAAAAAATGTAATTTAGAATATTGGTAGAAAATTAAGTAAGAAAGAAAAGAAAATATTATAATTACAAGGTAAATATACATTCTATTTTAATGTTAAGATAAAAGCATAAAAATTAAGAGATTCTTTGAAATATTTAAATTAATCTGATTGATTTTTATAATACAATATGTATTCATAGACCATCGTGTACTCTTCTTCTTCTTCTTCTAGGCTTAGCTCCTCCACATGGACAATTATCATCTCCAATTCCATCTTTCCATCTACATGTAGAACCATCTTCACAAGAGCATTCACCATTATCATTATCTGTGCATTATAAATGCATATATGTGCATTTGAAATCTTAGGCCAATTGCATGCAATCTAATTCATAATTGATTTATACTTGCATTCACATAAGTTATTTAAAGCAAAAGGAGGAGTGCTCCAAGGAATATTAATTTCTTCATAATTATAATAATTAATGAATTTATTTAGTTGTTAATTTAAATTCAATTATAAATTTATGCTCTTGTATTGCAGAATGCACTTATAATATAATATAAATAAAATTAGAAATGGGAAAATATTTTAATCTACATTTTCACAAAAATAATTATATATCATCTTATATTTATTCAAATTTGGAAAGATATTTTACATTTTCTACAAAAATAGTAGAATCAGATTCAGTAATTATTGGATCTAATTTAATAACTTTAATCAGAGCTTTAATATCATAAGAAGGAATAAGAGTATTCTTACATTATATGTAAGTTAATATGTAATGCAAAGGAAAATGAGTATCTTCAAATTAATCAATATCTGTTCTAGGAAATAATAATCTCCTTTCTACATCCTTAATGTATAGATCTTCTAGATTATATTCTTAAAGTAAATTTTTTACTTAAATAACAAAAGTACTATTAATAAATGGCTTAAGGATTTATTATCTAAATAATTCAGCTTTAATGTCCTTTATTCTAGAGTGTAATGGCAATGCCACATACTCTCCAACTAAATAGGGGAAAAGTCCATTTTTAATGGCCACTATAAATTATTCACTTTCAAATCTATGTGTCTGTAAGAATTTATTATAAGCAACACTTCTCAACAATCTCAGCATTAGATCCTTGGCTAAACTTGAATAAAAACTATTATCAAAAAGTTTAGTAATAAAAGGAATAGGTTTTTATATTAAATATCTGTACTCTTCAAATTAATTGAGAGCTCTTTCAATAAAGAGATAGTTGTAATTAGCCTTAATTAACACTTGAGCTATGGCATACTTAATATAAAAAATTTCTAGATAAGTAAATTGAAGAGAAGTAAAAAATGAAATCATCTATTCGAAATTTATAATACTTTCATAATAAACCCCTTTAAGTAATTCCTACAGTATATTTTTTAATTAGTTAAGATTAGCATTTTGAAAAAACATTTTCATTATATCTTAAGACAAGAGATAATCAAATACATCATTATTTAATTAATCAACTTAAAACCTGTCAATCCTCACAACATTATTTCCTCTATCTCTTTCCCATCTATTTGTAAATGATATTTCATCATGTGAAACCTTTTTAGATGTATGTTTCTTAGAAATGTACTTACTTATTTCATTCTATGGTTATTATAGTGAAGGTAGATGAGTGTGATTGTCTTATTATAATTCCAAGGAGTTTCTTTTAGTCGAAGTTAAGTCCTTTATAGCAATATTTCTAGATTGATGTTCAACTTTATTAGTTTTATAGAGTCCATTAAAAAATCCTTGCTATTGAGAACCATCCAAATTGGATTAAGATTTGCGATGTTGATATTTACTAACTTAATTCAACTAAGGATTGACTATTGATTATTAAATGTTATTGGTTATTTAATCTATAGATTCCTGCTTAAATTAAGAATATTATTCTTTTAGTAAAGAAGATTGTCTTTGACTAAGTCTGTTTGACTCTTAATAATAATCAGATTATAAGGAAGGCAAGAGAGGGTTCAAATAAATTTTTCTGACTGCAATGCTTAATCTATCTTCTGATCTTTATTTAAGTTTAGCTCTCTCATTCAAGTAACGTTAATACTTTTCAACCACTTACTTATATTGTTAACTAGTGGTTTCATTATTACAAAATTATAACATATAAAAATTATCATAATTTACATTTTTTCAATTTTTTATTTATTATTTTTGTTAGTTTCATTAATTCAGCCACATAGTTCTTTGATAGAGATTACACTTCTATTGATTAACTATTTTCAACCTTATTTCTTAGATCAACTAACTCTTTCAATGATAACTTATCCATTAAACTAGATTTCAATGGCTAAGACATGACTGGCTTATCAAAAAAGCTTGAAGTGTGTTTACAAGTAGATTATTATCTTGGTTCTATTTTGGTTTAGGATGAAAATCTATTTGAAATATGAAGAGTCATCCCTATCGATCTTTGAGATAGCCTATTTTAAGGAGGATCTCTAAATTATTCTATTTTGTTTTGCATACTAGATCTCAAAGATCTATCATTTTTTAAATTAATCTAAATCACATCTTTCTAACCTGTAATTTTTTACAAATCTCATCAAATGAAGGAATACTACAAATAATAAAAGTTCAAATACTCTCCAAGTGATTAGTTCATTGTAGGCTTTTTAGTAATTGATGGAGCTGTTCCTTTAACATAGATTTATTGTTATTCTGAATTACCAAATTGCTACATTTTTGTATAGATGCTTTCTCTAAATTTCCTTAGATTGAATTCTGATTCATCCCCAATTCTTAGACTTTAATTTTTTAACTATTATTCTTATTATTATTGAGATATCTTTCTTAACATCTTAACGAATTTAATTTAAAAAATAACAATTTATAAATGAAGCATCAAAAATGTTTTTCCATTTGATTTTTCTTATGATTTGTTTAAATAAAGACCATTATATTATGCTTTTCACATTTTATCCCAAATTATCCCTTTTATTTCTAAACTAACTGTTACTTTTATTTAAAATATACTATTTCAATGTAAACTTCATTAAACATTTCCAATAAAATAGTGGAAAAATGATATTTATTACTAATTTTATTATTGATTTTATTTTGTATTCACCTAACAATTAAAAATTAAAAACAATAAATGTAGCATGTTTATTTTTAAAAAAGAACCTCAATGTAGAATTTCTCTTTTAAAAACACAAATACATATTTATAAAAAAAAATTCTTTATTGTAAAACATGAAAAAGTCTAAATTAATCCAAATAATACAGTTCTAGTCATATTATCGAAAAAAGAAAATAAAATTATGTAAAAGCTTTTGAAAATCATCAAAAATTAATTTAAATCTAACTGAAAATTTCTATTTTTAATTGATAAACAATAAAAGATATGAAAATTCAAAAATTTCATGAAATTTATATTGAATCAATTTATATCATTAGAATTAGGTATCTAGTTTATAGATTGTTATCTGAATATGAGAGGAACATATTCGAGAGTTTTAAATAGTTTTTTTCATATATATTAATAAAAGGGCATAATATGATGTATCTATCCAAAATCTTAGATTTTTTCAATTGAAAAATAAATTATAGATTAATCAATCATTTAAGAAAAGAGAATATAATCGTTTATAAATAGAAATAAAGTGCAAAATAGTCTTATTAACATTTAAATATTGAATAACGAGAAATTTATTTACAATAAATTTTGGACATCTTAATTTAATAATAATATAAATATCGCTATTATTTTTATATTGATGAGAATATGTTATATTTAAGTATTCTTATAAGATTGTGCATCTAAGTAAATAAAGAGTTAGATAATATATTGTTAAATTAGATAAAAAATGCATAACAAAATGATTAAGATACACATTTATATACTTATTATGAATAATATCATTTAATTCAAGGTTTGGATCAATTAAGCCATTCTGTAAACCTGATTTTAGCCAATTTTATCAGAAATGAAATCTCTTTACAGGATTATTATAGAATGGATTAACTTTCTTATACCTTTTTGATTGATATATATTATCTAAATAATGTTTTTACTGAAATAAGTGAAACAATATTATAATGAATATACTTCAAGCAGATGTCAGATAAAATTTTTTATGAATGATATAATTATTCTGAACAGTCAATTTACATGCAAAGCGAGATTTACTTTAAATAATTCGACAGTTTTAAAATATTGAGTAATAAATTTAGAGATAAAAAGTATTATTATTATAAAAAATGCAATTTGACCAAGAGTTTGGCCCTTGGAGCAACGATTAGATTAGACCAAGATCTCGTTATAATTACTAACATGAGACTTCATTAAATAAAAATATAAGTGAAATTAGAGTTGTTCATAGGATTTCTCATTAGATCAACTCTATTAAGAGATCTCAATATCCAAAACTTAAAATAAATAATATTTCCCCTCAAATAAATACTAAAAGATCATAAAACTATGAATCAGTCAAGAAAAGGGAAGAATACTCAGAATAACATGTTTTACCTAAATTATTAGAAAATAAGGCTTTATTATAGTTAAAAATACCAAGGCATAGACATACAGATATGAAAGTGGTTTAAGAAATAGAAAAAATTATTAGGAGAAATCTATTTTACATTCCAACTCATAAATATTCGATTGTTGATTGAAATAATTAATTAAAAAAATAGAAATCTGGATTCTATTAAAATATTCTGATATAATTAAATAGTTATTACATAATTTCTAAATATTATTTAAATCTATTTTGCATTAAAAATTCTAAATAAAAACATATTATTATCATTAATATTTTTTTTAAATGCAAGAAAATATTCACAAAAATAAATATTATCTAATATTAGTTATTAAATTGATATTTCAAATTAATAATTTGAATTAATCCTCCTATTTATTTGAAAATTATTAAATAAAATTCTATTCTAATAGAATTGATTTTTGGTTTGAAAAATAAATAAACTTAATTATAGATAAATACAATTATTTTTCAATCCTCTAGTGACTTATAAGATTGGAAATATCTATTAAAATCATTTTAAATTCACTTTTCTAATTTTTTTATAAAAGTATTTATTCTAATACTTAAATTTAAGAGAAGATATTCAAGTTTTAGTGATACTACAACATTTTTTGAATTGACAGAAAAATNTTTACTGAAATAAGTGAAACAATATTATAATGAATATACTTCAAGCAGATGTCAGATAAAATTTTTTATGAATGATATAATTATTCTGAACAGTCAATTTACATGCAAAGCGAGATTTACTTTAAATAATTCGACAGTTTTAAAATATTGAGTAATAAATTTAGAGATAAAAAGTATTATTATTATAAAAAATGCAATTTGACCAAGAGTTTGGCCCTTGGAGCAACGATTAGATTAGACCAAGATCTCGTTATAATTACTAACATGAGACTTCATTAAATAAAAATATAAGTGAAATTAGAGTTGTTCATAGGATTTCTCATTAGATCAACTCTATTAAGAGATCTCAATATCCAAAACTTAAAATAAATAATATTTCCCCTCAAATAAATACTAAAAGATCATAAAACTATGAATCAGTCAAGAAAAGGGAAGAATACTCAGAATAACATGTTTTACCTAAATTATTAGAAAATAAGGCTTTATTATAGTTAAAAATACCAAGGCATAGACATACAGATATGAAAGTGGTTTAAGAAATAGAAAAAATTATTAGGAGAAATCTATTTTACATTCCAACTCATAAATATTCGATTGTTGATTGAAATAATTAATTAAAAAAATAGAAATCTGGATTCTATTAAAATATTCTGATATAATTAAATAGTTATTACATAATTTCTAAATATTATTTAAATCTATTTTGCATTAAAAATTCTAAATAAAAACATATTATTATCATTAATATTTTTTTTAAATGCAAGAAAATATTCACAAAAATAAATATTATCTAATATTAGTTATTAAATTGATATTTCAAATTAATAATTTGAATTAATCCTCCTATTTATTTGAAAATTATTAAATAAAATTCTATTCTAATAGAATTGATTTTTGGTTTGAAAAATAAATAAACTTAATTATAGATAAATACAATTATTTTTCAATCCTCTAGTGACTTATAAGATTGGAAATATCTATTAAAATCATTTTAAATTCACTTTTCTAATTTTTTTATAAAAGTATTTATTCTAATACTTAAATTTAAGAGAAGATATTCAAGTTTTAGTGATACTACAACATTTTTTGAATTGACAGAAAAATGTTATTAGTATTTTTTTATCTATCATTTTATAATATTATTAATATTACTTTCTAATATTGATCCTAAGTTAATAATAATCTTATCTATTTTAATTCATTTTTAAGTTCTTTCATCAAAATAAAAAACTCTTAAAATTTAATACACTCATAATATATACACATATTAATTTATTTAACTGAATGAAAGAATAAGGCAGGTATAGTAAATTAAGTGAGGAAGAAGCAGCTGCTTAATTTGAGTTAAGGTACTGATTGTGATTTACTTAAGAAAATAATAAATTATGGGCAATTTGCTTGAATAATACCAGAGCAGCCATAAAAATAAAAAGACATCTAAAATATCAAAACCATAAGAAATAAATTAATAGGAATTCATTGTGTTCAATCCAAAGAAACCATTATCAAAGAATCCTAGGCAGAAATAAAATCAATTGAAACTTGTTAAAGAAGAATCTCCCCAATAGAATTCTACTCCTACTCCAGAAGTAGAAGTAGAATAGATTGAATAAATTGTGGAGCCAACTCCTATTGAATAACATCCCTCTATTGTTAAAATAGATAGTGCCAACTTGAAAAAATTATTGTTGAAAGATATTGGTAATATAGATTTGGAAATAAAAAGATTAACAAGAGAAACAAAGGATTTTGAAATGGATAAATTAGCAAATAAATCATAGTTTTCTTATTAATCTTAAAGCACCAAAGAAGTTGCTTCTAGGAACAATCCTCGATAAACTTCATCATAATAATAATAATAATAATCAAAAGTATACTATGAATTAAGATAAAGACCATCAAGTAAGGAATCTCGTATTTCTGATTCATCATATACAAAAAAAGCTGAATGTTTCAAAGGAGTTCTAAGAAGCTCAAGCTTAAAAAAGCTACCTTAATAATAATAATAATAATAATAATAATAACAATAATAATAACAACAGGAATAAAAATAAAATTAAAATTTAACTTAATAAAAACAGGTAAATGAAAAATAATCTATGAACAAAACAGTAACAATAGAATCAGAAAATAAAGAACCAACTACTAATAAAATTTCATAAAGTGAACGCAAAGCTCCTAGACCAATGATATAAATTAATCGAAGTTAATCAAAATAAGATTCCCCTTATGTTGACAAAAAATCAACTCCTCCTGTAAAAGCTATGTTGAAAGTATAATTTAATTCAATTCCAATTGGATCTTATTCCACTAAAAATAATAGTGCATCTTATGTATCATTTAATAAATTATATAAGTTTCATCACCATAAAGAATCTTACAATAGTTAAACTAGTTTTTAAAAAAATAAATGCGTTGAAGCATAAATTGAAGAAGCATTTTAATTATACAATAATCTAAAGTTTTTAATGTAGAGCAAATCTAGTGTTTTATAGGTCAGAAAAGATGGAAATCAGATGCCTAGAAAAACAGTTGATTTTTTTGTAATTATTTGTTATTTATTAATAGTAACATAAAGAAATAGCTAAACCAACTTTATTCTGATAAAACAATTTTGATAATATAAGTTTAGCATAGTTTATTTCTAATTAACTATCAAAATGAATAACAAATTTTTGTTATACTTTTTATTAGAAAATTCAAAAGGAATTATTCAAATTTTTAAAGCTTTCATGGCTTCTTACAATTATGTTTCCTTTTCTTTACCTTTGGTAATTAAATGTTATCTGACTTTTTCATATTCATCGATTTCTTTTTCATGAGATTTAATTATTTCAGCAACTTCTTTTGCAATATCCTTTTTTGGTTTAAGAATGAAGCTGTTAATTAACTGAAATCTATTACCATTTACCAACTGGTTAATATGTCTTCTATTAATCAACACTACCAAGTTCCTTTAATGTAATTTGACATTTCTAGATGTTTCTTTTAAGCTAAGTCATTGAAGCTTCATATTGTCTGACTTTAGCCAAAGTATTCATTACATCCTTTTCTAACTCCATATATTGATGATACTATTACTCTTTCTCCTTACTAATTTGCTACATATTAAAATTTAATTTAATTTAATCATTATTGTGATGGTCTTTTAGCAGTTCCAGGAACAATTGCTGATGAACGCCGTGCCTATTTCACTGATTAGGGATTTACACTTATTTGACTCGATTTCATGTCTTGGATATCCATGTTAGTATTTCTCTTGGTAAATTTATGATTACCAGAATCCCTTTGTTTTTCTTCCATGATGGGCATCATATTGATGGCCTTATTGTTCATTAAAACACTACCTCTCTTACCTTTATTTTTTTGAGGATCCTCTTATATTAATCTTTTTGGAGGACTACTTTTGGGTCTTTGGAAGTCCTTAAATAAGGGCACTCCATCTTCTCCATACTCTACCTCTAATATCTTGTTTTCCAAGATTTCTTTGCAAGATGGTCTATCTTAAGGACTTGGGGATAACATCCTCTATAATAACATAGTAAGAGAATGACTTGAATTCAATTCCTATTCGACAGCCATCCAATCAATTTTCATATCCATATTTGCTTATTTATTGGCAAAAAGTGGTTTGCCAATCAATAAATAATACAAAATGCAACCCAAAGAAAATATATCACATTTCTCATTATATGTTTTTTTCGGATCTAATTCAGTTTCAAATACTTCAGGTGCCATGTAACCTGGTGTTCCAGTGTATTAATAGACATTGAGTTTTTCTTAGACTACACTTGATACACCGAAATCGCTGACCATTATATTAGGTCCCATATGAATTAATCCATATCTTTTTAAGGGAACAAAATCTCTAAAGAGAATGTTATCTGGTTTTAAATCTCTATGCATTATATTCTTTTCATGTAATCCATTAAGTCCTTCCACTATTTAACGGAATATCACTTTTGCTGATAAGAAAGGCACTGGCCCATTTAATACTTTGAGTGCATATTCAAGTGAACCTCCTCTGGCTAAATCTATGATGAGATATATTTATGCTTTATTCTCATAGACTTCATGCAAGTTTATTAAGTTTGGATGGTTGAGTTGCCTCATGATTCTAATCTCATTTTCGACTTGTTCCTAAACGATATATTTTTTAAAATACTTTTCCTTTTGGATCTTGGAAGAGTGTTTTCTTATAAAATGCCTTGGCAGCATACATTTGATTATCAAATTTCGATTTAGCTTCATAAACTGAGGCAAATGTTCCTTTACCGATTAATTTAGAAATATCATAGTTCACTTAATAGTCAAGCATGTTTAATTTGTTTCTTAGATTGTCGAACCAATACATGGTTTAGAAGTTAAAGTTGTAAAATTCATTTGCATCTGTGTCATCTCTCTCTAAAGTAAATTTGTATATTTAAGTATGAAATTCATCACCTTTCATCTATTTTTGAGTCTGTTTATTAGTTTATTCAGCTTTTACACTGAATCTCAAATATTAAAGGGAAACCTTATAAATCTTCTATTTCTAAAAACTAAGTAATTGAGAAATTACATTTATTTTGTAGATGTGTTCATCACTGCATAAAAGTAGCAGAACTGATTTATGATTAGTGCACTTAAAAAATTCAGTCTTGAAAATGATTTATTCATTAGCTGGTTCTGATTGACATTTTACAAACAATTTGTTGACAGATTGCATATTAAAAAAATTAACCCATATACAAAAATTGATATGTCAATTATATTTATAATAAACTTATATAAGTGAATATATAATGATGAATTTTAATGAGTACGATAATTTAATATGAACTCAATTTTCGCACTACTGATATAGAATTGATTTTTTATTGTATTTTCAACTTATATAACATTATATATGTAAATAATACTTTTATTTTTATTTTTATCATATTCTATATATTAATTAAATGAGATTACTCTTTAACTTAAATTTAAAGTAGCATTTAAATTAATTCACAAATTTAAGAATTATTAATTAAATATACTAACTAACATTTAAATAAATCAATCTATAATTATAGGATCTTTTGTTTGTTTAGTAACTTCAGTAATTTCAGAATCATTGTCCTTTCTTTTTTCTTTATCTACAGGTATAATTTCTTTTTATAATGCTTATTCTGTGTTTACAAATTGCTGTTTAGCTCTAATAAATTAAGTAATTTTAAAATTTTTATTGGTTTCAGGTTTCTCCAATTTATATCCTTTGCGAACTCTACAACAATATATATAATGTAAATTACTGCTTTTATTTAGAGAAAACATTCTAATTAGAATCTTAAAACATCATGTGATTTATCATTTAATTATCTTGTTCAGTTAATTCAATCCCTAAATCTTAATTGATCTCCTTTTATTTTCTACTGTCCATCATAATTGATCTATATTCTTAGGATAATCGTTTTTCATCAGTGTAATTCTTAAGGAAAAACTCAAATCCCTAATAAGGATGGATTATGTATTACTCTTTATTTAATATGATGAAGAGTCACCATATATTATGAAAATTAAGTAATATTATAGATTTTATTACTTTTTCCTGTGTTGTTCTTGACTACTTTTTGCAATAAAGAAGGTTGAATACTCTTAACAAATTGATGCATTTCATTGAAATTAGAATGTAGAGAATAAGGAATTACATATCTTCTATTATCTGGCATTTAATAACTGGTAGTATTTGCCCAGCCAGTTGCAGTTATGGCAATAGTATTTTTTTCTTTGAGTCTTGCTTCTACTTCTCCTTTTCTAATGACTTCAATCCAACCTTAAGATTTATCTGTAGTGAAATATTCAACATAGAAATTCATAGCTGTTACAATTTCATATCGTTATTCATTCACTACAATAATAGTTTCATAATGTTTAGCTAATTCAACCATTAATTCTTCCTTCCCTACAGAATCAACGCATAAGAAAACTCTATTATTTGGATTTTTATCAATGATCTCACATAACATTTTAAAAGCTTCATCTCTATTGGGAAACTTAAAAATTGGATCACAATAAGTATTATCTAGAATAAGTTCATCAATATCAATAGAACACTTTCCATTTTCATTTGAAATATTTTGAGGAGGGTAAAGATGCGGGTTTTTTGGAATCATCTCCATATTAAATCTCATATCTCCAGTATGTAAAATGGTACCAAAGTAACCTTAAAAAAGAATCATCACAGCTCCAGGACAATGGTTAGCATCTAAAAAGGTTACTTTAACTTTATATTTTTTGCATAGTTCTATTTCTGTTGGTGTTTTCATAGGAATAGTCATCTATTTATATGTTGATGAGTTATTAATACCACTCCTTTGACTCCAGGGAATTTAACTAATAATAAGGCTTTAGTGACAGTGGAACAAAATATTTATCCGTAATCCCAACTATTGCTTATTCCTTAATAATGATCAGAATGCATATGGGTTAAGAAGTATATGTATCGTTTAAGGGGATTTCTTCTTGCAAATCCAAAATCATCTACAACAATGTTAGTATATGAAATTAATACCATTTATATTTATAAAAAGAATGGACGAAGTTAATAATCGACAAACCCCAAAATTACGATTTAGATAATAACAACTATAATAAAAAGCCATAGAAGTAAATAATTTTGAAATATATAGAGTGATCCAAAACAAACACAAATTACTAGATTGCCATCAGGTTCAAAAAATGCAATTGCATTACCTCGTTTGGATAGTAGAGCTGCAACTCAATCTTTAGTTATGAAAGATGTGGATAGAGAGATGAATTAATTGGAACTTAGTAGCAAAGTTAGAGATTTAGAGATTTTGATGATAGATTTCAAAGCTAATATTGAAAGAAGGATATAAAAGACTATTGAAGATAATCCTTAAAAGTTTATACAATCAATTAAGTAACTAGAATCATAGGAAATGCATTTATGGAAGCAAGTAAATGATAAACAGGTCATACTTCAAGATGCTATAAGTCAGTTACGAAATTAAGGAGAAAAGAATAGAGATAATCTTTCTTAAATGATACTTGAATTATAAAAGAAGTGTAATGATCAAGAACTTAAATTGAGTGCATTAATAAATTAATAGGAAGGTATTGAATTGAAATTAAATGTTTCAAAACCACATGCAGTCTAACCTATTTAGGATAATCTTGAAGTTAAATTATTAAGAGAAGCATTTAATAATGAGAAAACACATAGAGATGTAATTGTTGAAGATTTGTAAAAGTAATGGCAGGATTTTCATTACAGATTAGTTAAATAGGAATCTGATTTTTATAATAAATTGAAATAATAAAGAGAAGAGTTTTTAGAATAAAATGAGAAAACTAAAATAAGTATTAAAGCATTAGATAATATGAAATTGGCTAAAATAAATTAAGATTAAGATTACATAAAGAATTTGATTGGAAGTGTAGAAGCTAGAATTGCTGATGAAGTTGAAAGACGTTTAAAAAGTGAATTTGATTAAAGAAATTAATTAGAGAATAAAATATAAGCATTTAAAGAGGAAATAAGAAATGATGAAAAATAGATTTTATTAGGAGAATAAAAATTTATGAAATAGATGCATGATAGTGTTTCATCATTAAATTAGATTATTAAAAATACAAAGGAGTAATTAGAAGCTAATTTGGCTGCATCTTAAACTATTGTTACTGAAAATATTAAATCTATATCTAAAACAGTTGATATGATTAGAGAATCATCTTTAGCAAAGGTAGCTTTGATTGAATAAGGTTAAAAAGAATTAAATTTCAGAGTTGGAGAAACAAGATAAATGATGCATGAACATGCTAATTTAATAAATAATAGTCTTTAAAAGGAATTTTAGAGATAATAGGAATAATTATAAGGTTATGAATCATAGATGTAAAAGTCTGTAGAAATGTAAAATAAATTATTGAATGATGAAAGATCATTAAATGAAGATTGGAAAAAATAATTTGCTTAGAAAAATTTAGTTATATTTACTGAAGTTAGTACAAATCTAAAAAATATAAAAGGAGAATAGATTAAAGATAAAAATGAACTTTAAGAAAATTTAAAAAAGATTTCTCATGAAGTTGAAAATAATGATAAAAAATATTTATAATTAATGAAAAATTTAGATCAAAAAGTAACTTAAGGTTTATATTCTTAAGAATTTAAATTAGATTAATTAAGAATAGAACTTTCTGAAATCATTAAAAATATACAATTATAATACAATATCTAATTGCATGAATAAATACAATTTGCTATTGAAACTGCTAAAAAAGATGCCACTTAATAAATTTTAGAGTCTTCATAATAAATTAATGATAGAATAACAAGAGAAATAGAAATGGCTGATTAATAAACAAATGCCAAATTAGATAGTTTATCAATTTAAATTAAAGATCTTATTAGAAATAGAGAAGAATATATTTTATAAAGATTATAATCTATGATTGATGAAGAAAAGGAACTTAGACAAAGATTATAAGAATTGATTGAAAAATATGGAGATATGGTTAGAAAATTAAAAGAAGATTTAGATTATGAAATTTAATAATTAAAAAAGGATTAAGATGAAAAATTAAATGATGCTATATAAAAGATTGAAAGAGATTATTAAGAAAAACTTAAGGATATTGAAAGATAATTAAAATAATAAATTTTGAATTCAGAAAGTAAAATGCAATAAAATTTGGATGTGTTAAGTCTAGAAATATCTAAAACAATGGAATAGATGAAAGCTTTTATTAAAAAGATAGAAAATACTCTTAAATCATATGTATAATAAGAATTAGATTAAACTAAACATGATTTAAAAATGATGATAAAAGATATTGAAGATGATGTATTTAAATTAAGAATTTGGACTATTTAATAAATGGAAAAAATGGATTCAGCAATGAAAGAAATTCATATTTAAATATAAAGTGAAATGTATTTGGAAAGAATGTACACTATGACTACACTTGAAAACTTTTAAGAACATATAATCAATATATTAATTAAAGAAAAATAAGATAGATTATAATGGCAATTCTCAATGGAAAATTAACTTAATTAATTAGATATGTCATTAAATAATAAAATTGATTCTGTTTAAAATAATTTATAATAATAATTGGATGATGTCAATTCTGAATTTAAATAAGCAATATAAAAATTAAATGAATAAATAAATCAATAATTTACAAAATTAGAAGAAGATTTCAATTAGAAATTAAAAGATATGCATGAATAAGTATAATAAGCAGCTAAAGATTTAGAGGATAAAATTAATGACTAAATTAATAAGATGAATGAAGAATTTAATTAATAATTGATTTAATTTAAGAATGATGTGGAAACTTAATTTTAAGAATTAACTGAAAAAATTAAATAAGATCTATAAGATCTATTTGATGAAATTAGTTAGAAGCTTGTTTAATTGAGAGCTGATACATAAAATGGATTGACTTAAGTTGTATAATTATAGATAACATCAGGAAATCAATTAAAATCTTAAATCGATTAGAGTTTTGCATACTTTTAATCGAAGTTTTATTTGATTGAACAAATTCGTTAAGCTAATGAAGAATTAGATAAAGAGAGACATACTGGAATTATAGGAAAATTATAATTATTAGTTAAAGAAATGGAAAGATTGGAATAGAAGAAAAATTAAATAAAAAAAGATTTAAATGATTTTGTTAAAGGAGTTTAAAATAATTTTAATAATATTACTGATGCAATTAAAGCACATGGACAATTCTTAAATGAATTAGATTCAAAATTAACAATTGAATTAATGTTGTAATAGACAATTAATGAAGCATAAGAATATTAATTATAGGCTTAATTAATAGAAATGAATAAAAATTCTGAAGGTAGAATTTAAGAATTAGAAGAAAAATTGAATAATTTTGATACAACAATTCATAATTAACTTGAATAAATTTAGGTTGATTAAGAAGAAACAAATAATAGATTAGAAATAGAATAAAAAAATCATTAAGAATAAATAAAAATGTAAGAAGAACAATTAAAAATTTAAGAAGATTAATTAAAAACTTAGGATGAATAATTAAAACTTAGCTTTATTTAATTATAATAGATTGTAGGAAATATATAATTAATGAAAACTATGAATGGTGCTATGGAAATAAATCTATCTGATTATGTGAAAACATAATTTTAATAAACTTTAGAATTAATTTTAAAAAATAATTAAACTAATTTAAATAATATGGTTAAATAAGAAAATAATCTAAAATTATTAATTGAAAGTAAAAATGAATAAAATAATTAAAAAATTAAATTAATAGCAGAAGATTTAGATAAAATAATATAGGATACTTCATAAATGTAAGTAGATATAAATACTGAATTTTAAAAAGTAAATGATAAAATGTCATAATTATAAGCTGAATAAGGTTAAGGTAAAAATTAATCAAAAGATTTGGATTAGAATATGGCAGCATATGGAATTGCCTTAGAAACAGTTAAAAAGGATTTAGAAGGTGAAATAAAAAGATTATAGACATAAATTGATAATTTAGGATAAAATGTTGCTTTTTAAAAATCAGGAAATTAAGATAAAACTTAACCATAATCAGATAATAAAATGAAGGAAATAGAAATAAGATTAAATGATATTGAATAAGAATTAGAAAAGGAATTTTAAAAATATGGAACAGATATAGAATCACTTAAAATCTAGATGAAAAATTTATCATCAAATAAATAGATTTAATCTCCAATATCATAAACTCCTAATAATAAAAGTTAAAATAATTAATAATAAATGGATATGTTTGCTAAAGAAATTGATAGAATAGATTAAGATATAAATAAGCTTAAGAATTAAATTTCTAAATTAGGTTCTGGAGTATCTGGTGGTGCTGCAGTTGGTAATTAAGATGCAACAAAAGAAATTTAAGAATTAAAAAATTATGTAGAAGACTTTGAAAAACAAGTTACTAGTGAAATTTAAAATTTTAGAACTGAAGTAGAAAGCATGAAGAAAAATTAAAATAAAGGTAATAGTGCTGCTGCTGGAGTTACAGCTGAAGAATTTCAAAAATTCTAAAATTAATTGGACGAAGAATTTACTAAACTTGATGGATAGATTTAGTAAATTAATGGTGATATTGGTATCATCAAGAAATAATAATCAGTAATTTTACATTGAATTATTATATAGGCAGGTGTTGGTGGTGCAAAAGCTGGAGATAATAAATAATATGAAACAAGATTTAATCAAATTGAAAAATAACTTGATGATTTTGCAGTTGATATAAAAGATATGCAGGATGTTATAGAAGAACATGAGAATAAACTAAATGAAATTGCAAAATGAAATATATATATAATTAATTAATCTATTTATTGCGTGTATTGGAGTTAGTTGTATTTCATTGAAATTAAATAAAGTTTCTTTTTAAAACATTAAAATAATGGCTGAAGAAATTAAGGAATTTCTTAAAAAGAAGGATTACTATGAAATATTGGGAGTGTCAAAATCAGCCACTGATGAAGAGCTAAAGAAGGCTTATAGAAAATTAGCTTTGAAATTCCACCCTGATAAAAACTAACATGAAGGTGCTCAAGAAGCATTCAAACGTGTTGCTTAAGCATATAATTGTCTTTCGAATCCTGATAAAAAGAGAGTTTATGATCAATATGGAACAGAAAGACCAGAAAATTAACGATAGCATCATCATTAAGATCAAAATGGATATTATTATGAATAATGTTATGGTGATGATTTTGCTAATGTACAAATATAATAATAAAGATTAGGAAATCTTTAGAGCCTTTTTTGGTACACCTAGAGCTCAACATTAAAATCGATAGCATAATGGATAAATAAACTTGTAATTAATGCAAATTCTTCCTATAATAATGTTGATACTTTTTTCTTCATCAGGGTTTATGTCACTCTTTTAAAAAGCTCCAATTTATTCTTTCTAAAGATCATATGATTACCCAACTTCTTAAACCACTAGAATACTATAAGTAATGAATAAATTTAAAATAAAAAGGTTAAATATTTTGTAGGATCAGATTTCAAGGAAGAAATCTCAACTAAGGAAAAATTAAGAGAGCTTGAATTGGAGATTGAATAGTAATATGTAAATTAGTTAAAGCATGATTGCAATAATGTTTAATACAAAAAACAAATGTATGAAAGTTATGCAAGCAGAGCTTTTTATTAAAGAGATCGTGATTCATATAGAAATGCAATTAGAAGATTAGACTTCTCATCATGTGATTAATTAGATGAACATCGTAGAACTATTCCTAGATTTGATCAATTATATTGATTTTTAATTAATATATCAAAATTTTAGAAGTAAATTCTAAATTATTAATCTAAAAAGTATTCTTATCCACTTAAGTTATTCAAATACTATATTTAATTTAATATCATTTACTTTTTTGTTTCTTTTTTTACAATATTAGAAAAGAAATATAATTCCTTATCATTCTATATATATTCATACTAGAATAGATTAACTAAATTAATGTTAAATATGTATTCATTTTTTAAAACATTAAGTTTAATTAAATAAATTAGGAATTGTAATAACGTTGTTTTATTTTTGAATTCCTTTTAGATTAATTATTACTTATATTATTACTAAAATTTTAATCTTAGAAATGAGATACTTTTAATATTAAAGGTTTTGGTATAAATTGTGCTAATCAAAAAAAAGAGGATTATTCGAATCACAGAAATTATATTGAATTAAATATAATATTTTATATTAATTATACCGATAAAATGGATTTTAAGTAATTGTATGATGAAATGTGCCAAAAATATTAATAAATGGAAGAAGAATACAATTAATTTATAGAAGAAAGCCAAATTTTAGAAGATTAATAATAAAAAACTATAGAAACTTTAAATAAACAACTTGCACAGACTTAAAATCAATTATTGTAATAAAAAGAAGAAATACAAAGAGCAAGAGTAATAATTATTTATTAATAATTAAGAATGAATTATAATAGACTTAAAATCTATTAGAAAAGCAATTAAATAAAAAGGAAACTCAAATTGCAGAATTTTAAAAAACTGTGCAAAGTCTTAAATTATCAATCATAGACTTAGAAGTTGATTAAGACCTTAATAAAAATAAGATTAGGTACATATATTTATTAAAAGTAGGTAGCTAGAAGAAACAAATAAGGACTTAGAAATTAAATTAGATAAAGTCTTAGAGTAATTAGCAATGGCTTAAACTGATTTAGAGGCTAACAAGATATAATCTTAAGAAGAAATTGAACGTTTGAAATAAACATTAAAAGGTAGATTTATAATTAATTGTAGAAAATCAAGATGAGTTATTTGCTGCAAAGAATTAAAGAGTTTTTGTTACAACAACAGCAATTCCAGAAGTTGTAAAAATGCCTAAAATTGATTCTTTAAGAGCAAATGCAGCTGGATTTAACAAAAGTCTGACTTTAATATAAGCATTGATTAAAGATCTTGATGACAAAATGACATTAATTAGATAACCTAAGGCATGAGTAATTATGCATTTTTTTCTTATTTTATAAATTAACACTTAATTGAAAATTAAGAAGGTTCTTTCATTCTTTCTTTATAAAATACAGATTTAATACAACTTTCATGTTCTATCAATTTAGAATATACAATATTCATATAAGTTTATGAAACTTACTTAAAATTACTTATAAATATCAAAAAATATAATCTATAATAATAGTTTTTAATTTAGTTTGAAGAGTAGTGATTTTCTAACATTCTTTATAAATAGAATTATGAGAATAAAGGTGAATCAGAATATTGAATTATAAATTAATGTAAATTAATCTATTATCAATATATATTTTCTATATTTATTGTATATTTAAATTATGAAGTTAGTAAATTAATTTTCAGTTCAATATAAGTATATACTAAAATAATTGTTAAATATTGATAAAATTAAGATTCCTTATGACTAGATTATATTCAATCCCCAAATAAAAAAGAACTTTTTAGTTATAATATTCTGTTAAATAGAAGTTCAGTATGATAAAATATTATGCAAGATTAATTTGATAAAATTTCTATTATGAATTTATAGGAACAAAATATATAAATATTTTAAATATATGAGTAAAGGCAAATTAATACACAGTTTTCAAGAAGAAACAAAAAGAGAGAAATGTTTAGATTAAGACACAGATGAAATTCCAATTAAAAAAAAAGTAAAAATAGAGGATAAAATAACTATAAAAGTACCATTTGCTGATATACTTTCATCTGAAGAAGACTCTAGTGACAGCAGTTAAATTTTAAATGGTATAAGAACAAAATTTATAAATGATGTTCCAAATCTAGATTCTCCTATTATTATTAGAAAACAAGATAACAAAGAGGATTCTTAATTATTTTGATTAAGTGATTACTTATTTGTATATTATAATTGACTAAAATCTTATTTTGCTAAAGTATTATGAAATGATGAATGGAGAATAAATATATGAACAATTATAAAATTACGTCACATATATATAGTATATATTATGATAATGATTTAAATATTTATAAATATTATATTAGTAATAAAAAATATTGTTTATTATAGGTCTTTATTTAATTTAAATGTTTCAAGTAAATATATGGATTATTATTATAGGCCTATTTCATGTGCCTCAATTTGAATAATTGATATAATTTGATATAATATTATGATTTTAGCTTTAAATCAATAAATTATAAGTATATTTAAAATTCAATTAAGAATTGTGACAATTTCATCTTCATCACTTCCATAATAATAAGACTATGCCAACTAGTAAAATGTATGGGTTTCTGTTAATGCAATAAAAAATGACTCTCCATTCTCAGATTTTGATTATTTTAACTAGATAATCATAATATTTATATTACTCTTCTCCACAAATCTAACAAATCTAATGCATTTTTTACACAAAATGATATTGCCATAGATGGATCAAGTTATGTTCTATCTATTAATTGAATATTTTAACAAGCATAAGATGATTTATCATTTTCCATTTCCTAATATGTTTATGCATATTAAACATAATGAGGATCCAAATAGATATAATAATCTCCTACCCTTCCTAAGATATATAATGCTTTATTTGGAAATCCACCTAAAATTCCTTAGAATTATGGGTATGTCATTATTTCATTTAAAACCTTTAGATATTCTAGATTACAAGTCTCCAATCCAATTCTTGTTAATATAAAGATTGAGACTCCAAATTAATGTGATTAATTTTAACCTTTTTATATTTATTCTTTAAGCCATTCTTCATCACCTCCATTTGTATTGAACATTAAACTAATTATATCACTTAAAATAAATGCATTTTCATGATTTATATATATTCTAAGATTCTTTTAATCTATTTTATAAATAAATTCATTATACATTTAGAATATCGAAATAGGTATTTCAATACAAATAAAATATCGTTTGGTTTGTACCATTCTCCTGGTAATTTTTAAAGTTCTTATTTTGTTTAAACTACAATTTTTTAAATAGAGAAAGGTGATTTATATTGAATTGTCAAATCCCCATCATTACGATTTATAAATTAAGACAATTCTTCCTCATCATTATCTGCAAATTGTTAAATTAATTCTGTCAATTCCTATTAAGTGTTTAAATTATAAAAGTATTTGATCTATTAACATAAAGCCATCTATCCTACACGTAGCATACATCCCCATCCTGTATCTGATGTAAGTGTACTATCTTAAATCTATTATATAATTTAAACATTATAATTAAGGTATTTTGGTTCTATATGAAAACCATATAGTGCTTTCAAATAAAGTCTTTAATTTCTCCATCTTTTACTATCAATTAATATATATGTAATTAAATTACATCTACTTCAAGTTCATCATTTATTAAATGATTTAGGATATAAATACTATTTGATATTTGTCTCAATCTTTTCTCACTATCTTAAAAATAAGAATTAAGAAAGAATCTAAGATTATACCATCCATCTATGAAGGATCCATAAATATATTACATATTATTTATTAATAATCATAATTTCTAACCAATAAAATATATATCAATATCTCCTAAACATTTCATTAACCATCCAAAAAAGCAAGGATGACTATGACTATATATAGATTTGAATGTTTCAAATGTAACTATGATATCATCATCTTTTTATATTGGTAATTTATAAATATTCTCTTCTTTATCTACAAATTAATGTTCTTTGAAATTAGAAATCATCATTTTTTTTTTAACTTAATACATATCTAATTTTTATTTACGTAATTTCTCAATAATCATTTCCTATTCTCTCTTATATCTTCGAAATGTTAGATTAGGAATCTTTAATAATTTAGTATGATAAGTATTATAATTGTCTCTTTAATTTAATTCTTATCTCTATCTTAATGTCTTAGTTATAAAATTTGCATCATCTGAAAAACATTACTCTGAAGTTAATAATTAAAATAAAGAGTTTGAATCTAATATTGCTGAATAATTCTCTTAAAATACATAAAAACTGTAAAATAGAATATCTAAATTTAAATATCATTTACCAACTTTAGTCCAATCATTAAAACCCATTATCATATCACAATATTATTTATAATTCATACTTTAAGGAACTTATAAATATCTAACTGTTTTCATAGCTATCTATTCATTATGAAAAATCTATATTAAATATTAATAAAGTCGACTTTATTCCAATATTGGTATTCCAGCTATGGGTTTAGCTAATTTACGGAATATATCTATGCATTTTTCTTATAATTATTCTTCAGAATACATCATCATTTGATTAATAACTGAAATACGTAATTTAAGCCTTCTTCTCTTTACCTAAGAGTTTTTCATTGTTGTATTTTTTATAGGTAAAGTCTAAATCCGTTAATTTAAATCTTCTTTTGTCTCAGTTCTTAAAATCTTTACAGAATGATTCATTCGTGTTTTAGGTTCATCTACAATATCTGTTATTGTAATATTATGTAATTTTGCATTATAAAATAGTTGCATTTTATTCTACTTATGAGATTTATTTGATTTCATAATCTATATAGTCTAAAAATGCTACATTTGTGGAAGATTGTATAATAGGTTTCAGATTTAGCTCTAATCCTTCCTCAAATATTTTCTAAATTGTATATTATAATGGTTAGTGAAGCGAAAGAGTTATTCTATTTTTTCTATTTTTTATTTGATGTTCATCCATAACTAGTATATAAAATAAATTATTATAATTTAACTTTAAAATTAATTACATCAACTATGTAAAATTAAATATATATATATATATATTAATTTTAATGATTAGAAAACAAATTTGTACATTAAATATTTGATAATTTACTTCTTATTAATCATTTATAAACAATTAAACATTACTTTGATTCTTTTAAGCTATGAACCAAAAGGAAATCTCCTGCAAAAAGTATATTAAAAACTATTTGTAACAATTTATTGATTGTTTACTATTTATATATACTTTCCAATTCTTATTAAACTACATAAATAATCATTTTAATTGTCTTTAAATATGATAGAAAGACCCTTATTTAAATTTTTTATTCTAAATAGGTTTTAAAAATAGACCAATTATTATTCTCATTATGTCAAATTAAGAATAATATATATTATTTATAAATGATAAATTATTATTTAATTATTGAAAGATATATAAATTTATTTTTTTACAATTTAAATTAAACATTCATTATTTGAAATTTACTGGTGATGATCTTACTATTCTAGAAAAAGGTCCCATATATCCATCAAAAATATAAGCCAATAATGTATTTACATAATTTGTATGACATGGTAAATTTTCATAGTATTCCGGAACCATTTTTCTTAGTAAAGGTAATCTAGTCCAGGGAATCATGTGGAAATCATGATGTTCAGTATGATATCCAATATTAAGTACAAAGAAATTAGCCCAACCAATATAATCATAAGTTTCCATTCTATTTATAAACTCATAATGTTCTGCTATTAAGTGAACAGCAAAAGGATGAACACTAAGTTATAATAATTTTGATACCTTAACCCAAAATAAGTAGATAGTAAAAGCCAAAGTAGTGCTTGCATTCCAATATAATGAACTATTAAATAATCAACAAAAAAAACAGAAACTGCATTAATTACTTCATAAGCATTTGGTTTAAGTGGTCTTAAAATAACAGGTCTCAAGGCATAAAATAAGGGTAGAAAAGCCACAAACAAAAATTTCATTACTGGACCTTTAATATACTGTAATTCTAATCTAGATGGAAGATCTGGGTCTAATGCTTCCAAATTTAAAAAAGTATGATGGTCTGCATGATATCTAAATACATCTCATAATGTATTTATACCTGCCAAAGGTGATGGCTGAGGGTACTCCCTGACCGAAATTTGCCCAAATTGCCATCAACTTATTAAGTGTTATGCTTTCAAAACATGTAAAATGGGTAAAATCATGAACCAAAACATGAAGTGCATGACTCAATGTTGCACCAAAAACATAAGCAGTTATTAAAAACCAAAACAAATTTAGCTAGCTAAAAAGAGTAATGAAGCTAAATTGAATTAATACAAATGTAATTCCTAACCAAGCTGAATTGATGTCATTTCCAAATAGCACTTATATTTCTGGATGATTTTTCAATATTTCTCTTCTTCTTACAGCATGGGATTCCTCATGACCTTTATAATCTTAAGTATTATATTTTACCCATAATGTGGAAATAAGTAGTATTTTTGTCAAAATTTGTTTATTTATAAATTTCATCATTCTTCCATGATACATCATTACTTTTCTTAATGAGTCCTGGTTCTGTTATATCCTCTAGAAGTCCAAATTTATTTTTTTTCATTTCAAATAATTAATATTTTTACCTTCATTCAAGAATTAAGTTAAATAATATTAAAAATAGAATTCCGAAAGTCCTAAAATATTTATTTAATTTGGCATAAAAATGATAAATCTATTAAGAATTAATTTAATTCTTAAAATTGGAAAAAATCATAATTAAATATATTTAATTATTTTAATATTCTTTTTGAAAATTTTTAAACAAAATAATTTTCAATAAAATTCAAATTATTGTATTATTTCTAAATACATATTTAGCATTAATACCTATTGGGAGTAACTTATGAGAAATACTAATGTTAAGATAGTCTAATTTATATTTTTAGAATTGTTTCCATATTTTTATTTAATAATTTAATTTAATTAAGATAAACTAACTAAGGTGGATAAAGATATCTATAAATATAGTTTAGCATGAATTAATTTTAATATAATTCATCTAAGTTAATATTTTAATTACTAATATTTCATATTAAGATAATAAATACTTAATTTTGATAATAACTTTATAAATTTAAATATCAAATATAAAAATATATAATAAATTATTAATCAACATTCAATCTTAGATTTCAAATAATTGTATTATTATTATAAATAATAAAATAATTATGAATATTTTATTCATTTATAATAATCAAGTTTTTTGAAATATATAATAATAATGCATAAATATTAATATTATGAGATTTTTATTTTGTGGAGATAGCAATTGTCCAGAATGGTTTTTGGCTGAATCAGCTCTTCTAACTAAAATTGTATTAAAGATGTATTATAAGTTTAGGCTTCTGTAAAAATGAAATTAGTGACATAATACATTTTATAGAATATAGTTGAAGGAATTGATACTTCTGCTAAGATATTTAAGATGTTGGAAGGATCAGGTTTTAATTAATAAGAAATCAATTCTACTATTGCATGTGTATCATATATTGTTGAAAACTCTGCAAAATATGATGTTTCAGAATAGATATTAATAAAAGAGCTTATTGATTTGGGTTTACCTAAAGAAAATTGTGAATAATTAAGCAAGACATTTAAATAATACAAAGATAAATTATAATAGATTTATGAAAACTAAATAATAAGAAGTATAACAAATAATAATATTAAAAGTTGGAAAGGCTGTAGAGTTTCATTATGGAATAAGTAAATTTATAGTATCTGAGAGTGTGGCTCCTTAGAAATAGATTGAAGGTAACAGATTTATAGACACAAACATAACATTTTAACATGATAATGGAAAATAAGAATGCTGTTAATTTGTTATATTTCCTGAATAATTAGAAGATATGCTTAATAGTTTTAAAAAAGCTTAGAAATTAATGATGTAGTTGTGATTGTATATTTCACCAAATATTTATGATTTTATATTCATTTTTCATCTTTATGTTCATAAATCTCCTTGAATATACTTATAAATTATTAAATAATCTTAATTCTTTGTGGTTATTAAAAAAAAGATTAATTTATGATAGTAAAATACTCTATTGTTCTAGTAATATATTATATAGTAATACTATATCACAATCAATTCATTAGTAAACAAGTATCAATATTCATTGTGTCCTTTTTTAAAAATGACATAATTTAATCATTAATTTATATATCTAATTCATATCTTACCAAAAATAAATTTAATTATATATCTATAAATAACAAATATCTTTGGAATTTAATAGTGTTTTTAGATAAATAATTGAAAACAATAATAAAAAATATAAAATATTAATAAATTGATTTCAATTTTTGTTTTAAGAAAATAAATTTTGAAAATCTTTTGTTTTTTATAAAAGAATATGAAATGAACACTAAGATTAGGTTTTAAAGATCATTAATTAAGAATTACTAGTTATAATAGATAAGATAACCAAATAAATATCCTAAAATGGTTATTCTGATTATGTCTGATAAAGTATCATATTAATAAAGAAATTATAATATGAAATTAAGAAAATATTGATAATTTCAAAGTAATTAAAAAGCTTTTTAAATGATTATTTTTGTTAGAAATGGAGAAAGAGATCATAAAAATGATGGATTAAGTAAAATAGGATTGAATTAAGCATTAAAAAGGGCAAAAGAAATCAAAACTTAAATTTAAGATTATTGTAATGAAAATCAATTAGAATTATCTGATATCATTCTTACTATTTGTTCATCTCCTTTTAAGAAATGTTTAGAAACAGCAGATATTATAAAAAAGAATATAGAATCAAAGGAATTAAAGTTTAAGAAAAAAAATGATAAAATATTCACATAATACGAATTAGGAGATTATTAGCATCCAAATATATGTTCAAGTGAAGAAATCAATTTAGATTATGCAGGCACTTATTTAAAGGCTGTAACTAAAGAAACTTTGATTGATCCTAAGTTATTACCTAAAAATAATTATAAAAAAGAGACAAGTGAATAATTAGAAGATAGAATAGGATCAACCATATATTAGCTAACAAATAAAATATAAAATAGCAAAGATGAAACTAAATAAGTATATATCATTATTACTCATAAAATTGTACTTGAAATATTAGTTGATATTTTTGAAGGGAGTAGAGAAATTTCTGAATCAGGATTAATTAGTATTAGATTAAAACCTGATTCAACTTTTGCAATAAGTTTTGTTGGAAAAGTATTTAAAATAAAGGAGAAGAAATAAATAGATAACTAATTTGAAGATTTTTAATAAAATTTGTCAGAGAATGAAGATTAAGAAGAATAATAAGATGAAGAGAATGAAGATAGTATTTGATACTTTTTTTATTGTTTATAAATCCATTAAATTAAATTAAATTTTATGACAATATTATCTATTTATTTTTTATATGTTTCTTAAAAGAGATTAAATAGTAATTTTGATATTTTTAATTAAATTCTCACTAGTAATTTATTAATAAATATATTATTTAGGATTAACATTCTGAAAAAAATATAGAATAATTATTCTTATTTTCAATAAATATATATGATATTTTTAATGTTATTTTATTCACTTGATTATAAAATCTTATTAAATGAAATTCCAACAAATATATATTTAATAAATATTCAGAAATTAGAAATGAAAATTCTTTAATTAAAAGGAAAATATTCAGAACTCAATATATGTATTTGATTTAAAAATCTTGATTTTAATAATAATATTTAATCTTAAAATAAATTATCTATTTCTAATAGTAATTTGTAAAAAGTAAATTTGTTATTTTGGAAGATTTTGCAATCAGAATCAGGAGATTCAAATTGAATTTAGATAATATAAATTATTAAAATTAAATTAAATGAATTATTCTGCACTGGCTAAGGAAGTTTTTGAATTACAGAATAAAGTACGATAAGACCCATCCCTAATGATTCCAGTTCTAGAAAATAGGCTTAAATACTTCAAAGATAAGATCCTACACTTACCAGGAACTTAGGCTACAAATACAAAAGAAGGTGCAAATTCTGTTCAAGGTAGTTCAAGTATCTTAACATAGAATGCATTGATTTTCTGAAAAAACAAAAACCTGTTGGGCCCTTGGTTTATGAAAAAGGATTGGAAGAAGCAGCTAGGGATCATGCGGAAGATCTAGGTAATACAGAATATGATTGTAGGAACTAATGGTATGACTGGACATGAGGGAAGTGATCATTCAACTACAAAACAAAGAATAGAAAGACATGGTTCATGGAAACCAGGCACTATTGGAGAGAATATAAGTTTTGGAAAATCCACAGCTGAAGATAGTAAAATTATAAGTTTTAGAATTTTAGTTGTAATCTAATTGATTGTAGATGATGGTGTTCCAAGTAGAGGACATAGATCTAATTTCTTTGAGCCTGCTTATAAATAAGTAGGTATTTTTGGAGCTCCTCACAAGGCCTTTAAATATGTATTTGTTTTTGATTTTGCCTCAAAATTTTCATAAGGAGGTAAATAAGAATAGGATGGAGATCAAGAAAAAGATAAAAAAAAGAAATAATAAGAGAAAAAAGTAGAAAAATAGAAAGATGATGATGATGATGATGATGAAAAAAAAGATGGAGGAAAGGAAAAATTGATTCCAGGGGCAAAGAAGGTTTAAAAGAAAGTTAAAACTATAACCAAAGGTGGTAAAAAACATATTATAACCACTAAAATTTATACTATGAATGATGGTACAACAAAAGAAGAAGTCACTGAGAAAGTGGAAGATGCATGATTATTGTATGAAATATATAATGATGGATTCAAATTATTCATTCTATTTGAGCTATTATATTATCAGGTAAAAAGATCTTAACTTCTCCATTTCTTAAATAAACCTAAAAAGATCCATTTTACACTAAAACACAATCTCCAGCGAATAAAACATTGCATAATTTAGTTCCATCAACATAAGGATGATAAGTTATCTTTCTTGTAATATCTCTATCATATTTACTAGTAAAGGCAGCAAATAATTGACCTCTAGTAAATGCATAGAAATCATTATCTGCATATCTCTATACTTATTCTTATGCTCCTGCATTAACTGCTTTTCTTGCTTAATTTATCTTTTTGATAAATTTATAAGTATCAGAATTTCTAAAATAATAATTAATTAAAATATTTACTAATTGAAAGAATTCCACATTAATTCTCTATTTTTTGGATCTCCACCACCAGTGAATAATTATTCAGATCCATAATACATTATTGGAACTCCAATAGATGTAAGTGTAAAAGCTGTAAAAGCTTTAAATTAAATTATTTTAAGTGCAGATGCTTCTATACCATTAACTTCATCACTCAAAAATCTAGCATTATCATGATTATCATTAAATTAAGCCATAAAAGGAATATTATTCTTACCATATGTTTATAATTAATTATAATAAAAGCTTTCTATTCTATACATATCACCCCAATGTAAAAATACATCTCTAAGTGTAAAAAACAATGGATAATTTAATAAACCATCCATAGGTCCAATAAATTATTTTAAGAATCCCATATCTCCATCAAAAACTTCTCCAATTGAATAAATTCCTGTTGCTTCTGTAAACTTTTTCCAAAATTCTCCTTTCACCATCATTGCTGTATCTATTCTAATACCATCAATATTAAATTCACTAACTACCCATTTAATCCAATTAATCAATTCATTTGCTACATAAGAATTATCTTGATTCAAATCAGCTAACATAAATAATCTACATCTTTCTATATTTACTAAATTATGTGTTGCAAAATCTTTATCTGATATCTCACATAAATCATGAAAATGAGAAGATTAATTAAAAGGATAATTACGTGAAAAATCTAAATCTTGATTTCCCATATGATTAGCTACAATATCAATCATAACCCAAATATCTTTCTAATGACATGCATTTACAAGATCCTTTAAATCTTATGCTGTTCCAAAATGTTCATTAATTTGATAGATATTTTTAGCAGCATATCCATGATAAGCTCCATCATAATTTTGAACTATAGGTGATATCCATATAGCATCAAAACCCAAATCTTTAAATCAATTAATAATGATACTTTTTATATAATCCAAATTGTTTTCTATTCCCTTGAAATTACCACCACAATAGTTTCCTAAATCACAGCTTGTACTATTAGATTTTGTGGAAGCAAATCTATCAGTTAACAATTAATAGATAGTTCTATTTTTCCATTCTTCTTTTGTTCTACAATAATGTAGTGATATCATCATCATTATACATAGAATCTAATTAAACATTTTTTATAAATATAATAGTAATTTAACTATGTATAAAATTTAAATCACTACAAATTATTCATAAAATTCTGGCCTTGAACTCACTTTTTTTCTTCATAAAATCAGACAAATTTCCATTATAAATCTATTTAAACAATTATCTATGATTAATAAAATTCATATTAATGTAAGGGGACTATTATTGTGTCTTTTCAACCATCTAATTAAATTATTTAATACTTAATGAGATGTATTTAATTTAGAAGTTTTTTCAAAGTAATTTTATCCTTCTTCATTTTTATTTGGTTAAGTTTTATTTCTTTATCTTACTTAAGCATAAATACCTTTCTAATTACTTAATATCTCTTCATTTATATCTGTTTTTATTACTTATTCTAAATCTCTTCTTTAAATTAATTTAAAAGGTGTCTAATTTTTAGAATTTTTTCTAGATTAAATTCTAGATCTTATTTATTTATTTAATTTATAAATACTTCTAATCTTAAATGTTTGGTGTGTAAGTATAAGGATAATCATAATGTTTTTCTTAAACTGAATTAGTCTTTTATCTTTAATTTTCTATTTGAATACTAACTCTTTTGGATTAAACTGATAAATTAAATTTCTTGAATTTTTATGAATTCTATGTTTTTAAATAAGGAGAGTTCTCTAATTTTTATATTATAGATTATTTAATTTTATCAATTTTCTCTAGAATAGGTGATCCTTATTAAGATGATTACAATTTCGAAATTGTAAATCGTTTTTAATTGATATCAAGTTTTAGATTACCTATATTTTAAATATTTTGAAAAAAGCTTCTTCTATGAGGTTAATTATATTTTTTTTATAAAAGGTAATATATTGTAGTTATAATATTATGCTTATTAGATTGCAATTGGTGTATAATTTATTTCTATTGATATCCCATTTCTATCATTTTATTAATTATTGTTTGGTCATTCAAACTAAGATTCTTAGTTGGGATTGAAGTTTGCAACTAAAAAAATGGATGTTATTTTATTTATTCAAAGTTAAATCTTTTATTTGGATCTTTGACTAAAATGTTTGTTAGTATATCTATTGCATTTTTGGATAAATGTTCAGGTTTTTCAAAATCACTGTTCTTAATTAATTCATATAATTATTATGTATTTTCATGTTCAAAAGGTAGATATCCACATAACATAGCAAATAAAATAATTCCACAACTCCAAATATCACTTTTAGTTCCTTCATAAATTTTACCAACTTTTTATATTTAAATAAATACGAAGCATTTCAGGTGCAGCATAACAAGGAGATCCACAAGCAGTTTTAAGATATTCACCTTTAGTTTCGGATATAAAACTTAAACCAAAATCTGCAATCTTTAATTATCTATTCTCATCTATCAAAAGGTTTTCTGGTTTCAAATCTCTGTGAGTTATATTTTATGAATGCAAATATTCAGTTGCAAAGACTAACTACTAAAAGTAGCGTACTGCTATGTTTTCTGGTAGTCTAATTTCATTTAGTATTCTGATTACTATTTCTTCTTAATTATGTATTCATACAATTCTCCACCCTTCACATATTCCATTACTAAATATACACATGACTCTGATTCTAAGATCTTGTTTTGATTATGATAGAATTACCTCATACAATTTTATGACATTTGGATGACATACTTTTCTGAGAATAGAGATTTCCCTTTAAATTCTAGTTAAATCACATTGTTTCTCTATTCTACTTTTTTCAAGAATTTTTATTGCTACCTTACAAGTTTAAGTTTAATATTACGTATTCATCTGCAATAATATGATAACCTAATTTGACTTTGCCAAATGTTCCTTGGCCTAATGTACGCTCTTGTTAAAGATAATATATTTACATAAAATGTAGTTCTACACTTATTTGTATTCTTCATCCTCCATAATGAATTAAATAATAATTAATTTAACAGTATCAATTATGAAGAAATAAAGTTAGAAAGAAGAAAAAAGAGTTGAACCTAAAATAGGATTACTAGGGATATATGATAATTTATCTAGAGAATAGTTAATTGAAAAATTATTAGTCACTGAAGAAATGTTAAAGAAATTATATAAGGAAAATAAGGAACTTAAAGAAATGCTTAATAAATATTAAAATTGATTAATATTATATATATATATATTAAGTATCCTTTTGTATTTATATATTTATTAATGTGTTTCAATTTATTATATACTTCTAGATTGTTAAATTACTATAGATTATATATATTTGAAAAAATAAATTGAATTTCATAAACTTTATAAATACTAATAAGAATGAATTGAAAATGAAATATTTTATAATTAAAATTACCGCCAATAATTTATGGATAGAGATTTTGATTCGGAATCGAATTTTGAAGAAAGACTTATTGAAGATGAGGAACGTAATGATTAGAGATATTATACAACATAATTGCTACTTTCAATTTAAGGATTGGGTACTTTTACTAAAGTTGATAATATGAATGTATATGCCAAAGGAGAGAAAGCTGAAGGAGCATTAAAACACCTATGTCAACAATGTAAAAAAGATATACCTGATAAACCTATCGCAAGAATTTATTTAGCTAAATACAGAGCATTTTAACTCAACTTGATCAATCTATTAACATGTTATCCTCAAGATAAGGTACTTTCTTATTATGTTGTTATTTTAATGGAATAATTAACAAATATAGATAGATCAGGTATTAAATTATAAACTTCAAATGCTCCTCAAATGTTAGACACTCTTTAAGAATATAAACTATATTTTTTAAAACCAATTGTATTATAAACTTTGGTTAATCATTTTGCCGAATGTATTTAAATAGATTAAGAATGTAGAACAAAAGTACATAATGATATGATAGAATTAATTGTTTTATTATTTAAGAATCTCCTTTCTATTCCTGATATTGAAGAAACTAAAATTGGACTTGAAAGTGGTAAGGAAGTTAAAAGAAATTTACAAAGAAATTTTATTTATTGTATGATCAAAGAATCTGTTCTATCTGCATTTATTTACATATCTTAGGATTTTAAGTCATCTTTTATGTAAAGGATAGCAATTCCTCTAATGGAGATATTTTATTATGCCTTAACACCATTTGATCCTGAATGGTTATTAAGAGATTCAGAATAAGAAAAAGAACTTATTTTAAAATAAGCTTAATAATATAGATTATAGAAATAATAACATTTAAGTACTATTCCTAACAGACATTCAAGATTTCCTGGATTATTTGTTACTAAAAGAGTTCTCTCTTAATCTGGATAGATAAGTAGTTAACCATTTCATTAACATTAAGTAAATAAATTAGCAAATTAACGATAAAAACCTGAAGTTAGAGCACTTATATCAAAATAAAAAACTATTTTTGTAAAGCCTCTAACTATTGATCTTTATGATGCAGAGAAAGAGAAAAGCTTTAAAGAAGAATTAAGATATTCAACTATAGATTTCTTAATTCATTGTTTTAGTAAATTAATTGATCAAGCTTTTATTGAAATGAATAAAGAGATTGTAGATTCTGATGATAAAGTTCATTATTTTGTTTTGATTTCACATTTCTTAAAATTTATTAGATTTCATTGTAAATAAAATAAAGAAGATAATCAAGGATAATTATCATCAGAATTTGTTTCTGTTTAAGCAGCACTTTAAATTACTTAATTTAATTTTATTTATAGTAATTTAATTAATGAAAGTACTTAACTTAGAAAGAAGAATTTCAATTATAGAATTTTCTTTGCTGTTATTAATGTTCTTTTTGAATTTCTTATGATTGTTAGAGAATTATCACTTTCAGTTGAATAAACAGATAGAAGAAATAGTTAGATATTGTTATAAACTATTGTTACTTAAGACATAGCTAAGGCTATATAAATTGGATATGGATATTGTCAATTTGGATTATTTAATGATTAAATGTTATCTACTTTAGTTAAATTGACAGCTTTATATTATGATCTATTAGAATTACATACATAAGGAAAAGCATGGTCAATAAGAACAAATAAATTATTAAAAAAGAAAATAAAAAAATAATAAAATAAAGCAAATAAAGGAAGAAAAAGAAAATAAGATTAACCTAATGAAGAAGATAATGATTTTATTGAAAAAGGTCCAGATGAAGAAAATCCAATGAGAGAAGAAGAAGATGATGATGAAAATGAAGAAGAAGATGATGAAAATGAAACTGAAGATGATTAACCTATTTATAAAGAAAGAAGATGTAATTTTGTTTCAGAATTTGCAATCGTAGTCGATTATAAAGTATTGGAAAAATATTTCTATTTAATTAAAGAAGAGTATATTAATAATTATTATTATTATTAGCAAATTATTAAGAAATTCATCAGAACTTAATATTGCAATTTATAAATATTTTAAAAGAATTGTTGATACTCTAAAAGCAGATTGGATCTTTTTTTAATTAGATTTTCTATATGTAATCAATTCAATCATATAAAATAAATAATTAACAGTAATTATATTTCATATTTATTAGTATAAAAGTGAATTCTTAAACTTAATCTAATTATTTAGAAGAATAGGAATAAGCTTTGTTTAACTATTCAAAGTTAATAGATTAATGAGTGTAGAAATTCTTTTTAGATTTCCTAATGCTGCAACTAAAGATTCTATACTTAAAAATTATTAAGATTCAGTTGCAGAAGGAGATACTAATTAAGATAATTATTAATATGAAGGGCCTAAAAAGAAAGTTATCTGGACTTAAAAGGAGGATAAAATTTTAATTGAAAATTATGAAAAATATAAGGATTGTGAATCACCTGAAGAATAATTGAGTCTATTACTCAGTTAAAATGGTTTCACTATTAAATCTCCTGCAGAAATTAGAAAGAGAATTAGAAAATTTAGATTGGAAGAAGGAAATGAAAGAGCAATTGCATTATATCAATAATAATACGAAATGATTTCTATGAAGAAGGTTGAAATAATGGCTAAGAGTGTTAAGAGTCTATTATAAGAAGTAGGAGAAGAAAGTTTAAATTTGTTTTTCAATAACTTGTTTTCAACACTATAAAATTATATTGATTATAGAGGATAGGAGTAATAAATATATTATATATATTAAGATCTATTGAAATGCCAATTCCACCTTTAGATAAATTATAATTTGAGTATTTTGAAAAAGGATCTGTTTAGGCTATATTTTTGGGTTTGGATCTGAAACCTCCATCTTAAGGGGAAATTTATTGGAGATTATAAACACACACTTTTCATGCAGAAATTAATGAAATGAGAAGCACTCTTAATAAGTATCTTGAAAAGGCTAAAAAAATTGATGATGATTAAATTATTGAAGAATTTCAACCCTTGTAAATTAATTCATAGAAGAAATAATCAGATTCAAAAAAAAAAGTAGTTGAAAATATACCTACTTATGCTGAAGATGAATTTGATGATGAAAAAGAGAAATAAGTATCAGATAAGAAGGTAGTAGAAAAGAAAATGAAATTAAATAAAAAATAAAAAGAATTAGATTCAGAGGAAGAAAGAGAAATATATGAAAAATATATGGAATAGTAGGCTCAAAATGAATAAATACAAAAAGATGTAGAAAATAAAAGTAAAGATAATTACGATGATATTTTTGATTGACTTTTGTATTTTTTTTCTTTTAATTAAGTACAATATTATAACAATAAATACTATTATTTTATAATTTAAATTAAATAAAGTAAAATAAAGAATATTTTACTTTTCTAATCTTCTTCTAAGATTATATCAAGTAAAGAACTTGTACAATTTGATATAGAGTATTATAAAAATAATATTTTATGCTTAATCACAAATGATAATTATGGATTAAACATTCTAAGTACTTTAAAAAGGGTTGTTAAATATTAGTCAAATTAGCTTAAACTGTTAGTTTTGATAAGAAATAAATGCTGAAAGATAAATCAAAGTTCTTTTAAATAAATTATTGTTTAATTTACTAATAGTTGCTTAATCTTAGATGTGAAAACCAAAAAATTTACTTGAGTACTAGAATAATTATAAACTCATCAACTACTCTTATTCCTCATTATCTCTAATTTATTTATCATTATAATAATTTTTCATAATATAATTGATATGTTTCAATTTTCCTGGTTTTAATTTTTTTTATAAGGAAATTTCTCTAATTTATTAATTGTATTCATGTTCATTTATATTGATGAGTTACAAAACAAATGTATAAATATTAATTGAGATGAAATTAATTGTATAGGTTGACTTAAACATTTATATAAGAGATTTTATCCCTTTATAAAAATTCTTTAAGGTGTGGATGATGAATAATGAGATGATTATAGTTTAGTAAGTAATGTAGGATGGTTTTTATATTATAAATTACTAATGTTAAAATCATGCATTATGTGCAAATTTGGACAATTTATCAATTATGAGGCTGAATATTAAAATCTAGATTGTAAATGCTTTGAAATTTTGAATGATGGGAAAATTACAGGAAATGAACAATGTGATGATATTGCTATTCAAATTATATTCTATATGATAGATGTCATTTATGCTTATTTTGACAAATGTTTTTTAATTACTTCTTCATAAGTCAATTTAGACTTTATCAGTATTTATTTTAACTGCATGAATCATTAAATATAATTTTTTCTTTTTTAAGATCTAATTACCTATATTTAGATACAGATTTAAAATAGAAAACACTGTTGCAATTATGCGAATCCAAGACATTTTATTTTCAAAATAGTAAATCTACATATAATAAGAAAATTTTTTTATTTATCAAACTTCATAGAATGGAAGATATAGAAAAGTAATTAATTTTTATCCTTAGTCCTATTAATTTTTATATTGTCTAACTTGAAATTTTTTATTGGTTCAATTTATTGCTAATTCTGAAATAACTTATTTTTTAAGAATAATCAACTAGCTTTAATTATATAAAGCTATGTTTGTTAAAATAGCAACATTGGTTGTAAATATGCATTCTAAAATTAGCAAATGATTTACAAAACTCATCTTGCATCAAATTAAATTTTTAATCTTCTCTCTTTTTTGCCTTAATAAAACTAACAGCAAATTTTTATCGTTAAAAACAATCTTAAACTCTCAAGTTAAATTTTATGATGAATGAAAATGGAAATTTATTGGTTAATAATTTTGGCTTATGTTTTGTATAAATAGATTAATTGCGTTTCATATTTAAAAGTTTTAACTTTTAGCAATGGGTTGTCTCGAAACAATAATTTCTAAGAATCAAGTTTAAAGATTTCAAATAATCAAAATTTTTAGTCATGGCAAATTTAATATACTTAATCAATAGCAACACCTCCCTTGTTTCTTTTTATTTATTAATGCTAAACAATTTTATAATTTGATAAATAGATTATTTATCTTTAAAGCCTTAAATTAATGGATATATCTCTTTTTTGACTCTTATTTTATTAATCATATCAACGATTCCAAGAATTTACATCATTTCATTATTTAATGTTTCATAAAATGTGCATGATAAAGGTTTAATTATTTCATAAATATATCAAATATTTATCAATTCGCTTAATAGTCAGTATAACAAGATATATTAAGTGATATGTATCTATGAAATTAGTTAAAAATCAGAGCTATTAAAATTTTCAAATAATAGAATACTTAAAAATAATCAACAAAAAAACAATCATTTAGAATATTAATAATTTTAGATAATAAAAGTTTTATTTGGAAAATCTACATTTTAATTTAGTATATTTTCCTCATAAAACAGTAAATATTTATAAAAATGAGTTAAATTTTTCTTATTAATTTTCTGAAGAATTCTGTTAATTTATTTTAGAATCAAATTCTATTATTGTTAGCTTTTATTACATAAATAAAAATGATTAAAAACAATGAAGAAGTCATAGAAACTAATGAAAACGTCATCCGTAAATTTCTAAAATAAAAAATTGATACTTATTGTTTAGAAATAGAGTAGAATATCGAAGTATATGTCATTAATTTAATCTTTTAGTCTTCTTTCAATAGAATCGATGCATAACTTGATTAATTAATGAATGAATTACAAAAGCCCTTTAATTCAAATTTCCAATAATCTTAACAATCAATTCCACCTTTATAACATATTTTATTACCATTCACAGATTTTGGAAATTCAGAATTTGGTAATTAAATGATTCATTAAATAATACCATTAATTAAGGTTTAAATTGAAAATCAAATAAAAAAGAAAGAGTAATGTCTTCATTAAAGAATAAATTCATAATAATAATCATAAAATCCTAATTTAGAATTACACTAGATTTAAAACTAGTAATTTGAACTTTAATATGAAAATTTTAACATCCAATAAATTAATTCAACATAAACTCAAATATAATAATCAATTGAACTAGTTGATAAGTTATAGTAATTTAATCAAGTGAATCTAGAGGTTATGCAGGAAAAAGGTTAATAATTATTCCTATTTTAGCAAACAATTTAACTAAATTGAATTAGTTTGAAGATGCAATATAAGTGTATAAAGATATAATTCAAATTAATCCAGCACATGATATATCATATTAAAAAATAGGTATTCTATATTCTTAATAAATTAGCTGATATCTTAAGAGATTTAAAATCTTATTAATAAGCAAAAGAATTTTATGATTAATGCATTTCAATTAATGTAAATAATTCAAAAGCTTAATTTGGGAAAGGTTTAATAGAATATATTTATTTAGGCGAATGTTTAAGGGAGACTTATTAATATAATGAAGCCTTAAAATATTTTGTGAAAGCTATTTAAATTGACTCATCTTAATTAGAGTATTATATGAATTAGGGTAAAAGATAAAGATATATATTAATTAGGAGATTGTCTACTTAACTTAAATTAATATCAAGAAGCATTAGATGTTTATGATAAATGTTTAATAATAGATGCATTTAATGCTGAAGCATATGCAGGAAAAGGTTGGAATATATATTCTAAGATTAAGGAACATCTTTAGTTTTGTTAGATAGAAAAGATGAAGCATTATAAAATTTATAATAATCATAAACATTATAAAATAATTCGACTTTAGGACTAAATGGGCTTGGTAACATGTAACAAATATTTTAGGGTTATATTATTTAGAGAGCTTGAATGATTATGAGAAAGCAATAGAATATCTTGATAAAGCTTTGACTGTCAATCCTTAATATTTATATTCTTTGCATAACAAAGGTATATTTAAATAAATTATTTAAAGGTAATTGTTTAAAAAGTTTTGGTTAATTTGAATAAGCTATTGAATGGTATGATAAAGCTTTGGCTATCAATCCTTAAAATATAAATTCTTTAGATTGCAAAGGTAAAATTAAATAAATTATTTAAAGGTTGTTGCTTAGGTAGTTTGGGTCAATTTGAATAAGCTATTGAATGGTATGATAAAGCGTTGGCTATCAATCCTTAATACTTAGATTCTTTGAATGGCAAAGGTAAGTTTAAATAAATTATTTAAAGGTTGTTGCTTATATAGTTTGGGTTAATTTGTTAAATTCTTTAAATGGCAAAGGTAAGTTTAAATAAATTATTTAAAGGTTGTTGCTTATATAGTTTGGGTTAATTTGAATAAGCTATTGAATGGTATGATAAAGCTTTGGCTATCAATCCTTAAAATATAAATTCTTTAGATTGCAAAGGTATTATTATTATCTATATTTTAAGAGCTTTGCCTTTAATATCTGAATAATTGATTGATTAATTTAAATTAATGATTTTTATATATAATTTTTATCAATTAAATACTTTTATATAACATTTTATTTATTTCTTTTATTTTTAATTTAAGAAAACCTTTATTAATATATTTTTAGTTATTAGACAAAAATACATTTTATTTTTACATTATAAATGGCATTAAGTTACTTTAGTATAGTAATTTATAACATGGTAATTGAATATATGGATGAATAATTCTTTTAATAATTTTACTCCTTATCATCACATTACATACCCGCCAATTTACTAATATGATTATAAACTTTTATCACTTATAAAGAAAATATATAAGTATTAATTACATATACTATTTTATAAAATAATGAAAGAATCTTTGATTAATTTTATTTACAAAACACTTTCTTAATTCATTTTTATCTCTACTAAAAGAATTTAATTTATAAGAAATCACAAAAATAATTACTAGTTTAAAAAAACTTTTATAGTTATAACTTAATGAGCCTTAATAGTTTAAAATTAAAATAAAGGGCATTTACTATATATAAATATTAAGAGATTTTAAATAAGAATATAATTTTAGAAATATACATATAATAATATTTTATTTCTATCTAATAAAACCAAAAGATAATCCAAGAGTTACTTTTAAAATAAAATTTTATTTTTAAACCAAATGCCTTTTTAGATTTTATTTCTTTGATCTAAATTTAACTAAGAATCATACATATAAATACTTATGACAAAAACCATAATTGAAAAAAAAATCAAATTTCAAATTTATATTCTTGTTTAGTATGGCAACCAATTTCTCCATATATATAATAAGGTTTGTTTATGAGATATTGATAAAAGAATAATGGATATGAAATTTTATGGAATCCTAGTATATTGGCAATTTCGAATTATCGATAATAATTATATATATTATTACTTATAGGAGAATATCGATTTTTAAATTAATTCTTTCTTTTATTTTTATAATTTAATTAAACTGTAATTGTAGTATCTAAATCAAAATTCAATAATCAAAATGAGTATGTACGCATATGAAAATTATTAAAATATTAGCATTTTTAATGATGTTGATACTTATTATTTATTATTGAAAAAAAAAGTCATAATAATATCAAATTCAAATTAAGATCAAGTTCTTTCTTTTCTAATTCTTTGATTATTTTAAATATAAAAAATAATGTATTAAGTATAAAAATTAAATAATTATTTTGATTTTAATTAAACTAAAATAATATCTTTTTTCTTGATAAACTCATTTAATACTAAATTGAAGAATTAAATAGGTCATGTTTATAAATATTTTTAAGTTATTGGAACGTTGGGTCTTAAATAAATTACTGTGATTTTAGAAAAATAATAGTAATAATTAAAATACGTCAATAATTATAACTTTTTACTGAATAATCAAATAATCAAATTATGATTATGTTACATAATTAAGTATCAGTTTTAATAAAGTGATCAGGCAAAAAATTAAAATATCATTTTAAAAAGTTGGCTGGATAAACTATCTTGAATAGCTTTTGTTTGCTATTAATCTGATTTAAATGAATATAATTAGGACAACTAATGCTTTATCTTTTAGAGGATTGATAAGTTCTATTATAAACATTATTCTTTTGGATCTATTTAGTTGTTCCCTAATATAATTATTTGATAAGGATTAAATCAAAAACTTATGAAATTATCAATTATACTATATTTCACAATTTAAAACTTAATTATATAATCACAAATAGTATTTAGATTGATTTATTTTTAATTTGAAAATTGTATTAAATTACAAATAAATTATTTATTTTATTATAATAATTATATATAATAATCTGGATCTATTAATATTTTGACAAACAATTATATCAATCAGAATATCATCCTGGATTTTGATCATAATTTTTATATATATATAACAAAGTCAAATTACTACACTTCATATAATAAGGCATAGTTAAGGTGGGTGTAAATGATTGCGATAATTTTGAGATCCTCCAAAAATGATGGGATTGATCTGAGTAATGACTTCTAAGAATTCTATGAATTTAACTTTCCAATCCAGAATTTAATTTTAGATTGTAATTTCATCCTTTTCCTATTCACATTTTTATGAAGCTTTTTCTCTTTTTTCTTTAGTAGTTTAAGCTTTCCTTAAAAATTAGTTTCAATGTTTAATAAAATGCTTGACTTTCCAAGTTCCTTCTAATAAGAAATCCTTTAAATAAGAGAAATTTCAATCAACAATTAATTTGAAAAAAGTTTTATTAAATTTAATTAGGATAAACTCCTTCATAATTTCTCTAAGTTATATAATAATATTTTAGTTCAAATTATCAATTTATTACTTCATTTTAACTTTTTTTAATTCCAAATAAGCGAATTATAAATAAATTATCCATAAATTCTCTTAATGATGAACAAGATTAAAAGGATATAAACAATAATAATGTTTAAATCTAAAAAAATTAAAATTTGTATAGATTTTTTCAATTTCCCATATATTCTAATTTTTCAGATGTTTATTTTAATGTTGCATTTACATTTCCATATTCATAATTAAGTGCAACTATATAATTATTAAATACTTAAGATCTATCCTTAAACCATTTCTTAAAAAAATAACTTAAAAAATTATGATAGTTGTAAATTAATGAACAAAGAAATATTTTCATTATTTTTTTATTTTAAAATAATCCAAGTGGAATTAATATTTATTAATAAACTTGTTTTAAATATTTAATAATAATATTACTAAGATGAAATCTTTTTTGAAGCTATCCTCTTCTAGAATAATAATCAGTTCTAATATCTTTCTAATCATTTAATTACCTGCTGATTGAAATACATTTATCTTCTTTATATAGAATCGATTTCATTCCTTTTTTACCCCAAATAATTGAGATATCTTCTTATTAACCAAAATTTAATTTTAATTTATATTATATTTAGATCTTTAAAAGATTATTCATTAAAATTCAGAATTATCAAACATCTTATTCACAATTGAGATGCACCAAATTAGATATAAGTACTATTTTTTAGACTTTAAGGGATGATTGATTCTAATTAGATTGAATTAAAACAATGGACCTTATAATATAATAATAGTAGAGTTTAAAATAGGGAAATTAAAGATTTACTTTACAATTTTGTTGTATACGTTATTACATTTAGATATAAACAATTAACAATTGAAAGCTTGATAATAAAAGGAAATGGAAAAAGTTAGAAAAAAGTAATTTGATATTATACAGAAGATGATTTCTTTATGTTATATTATTAAAATAAATAACTTCATCTAAGACATGCAATTAATACCATTAAGATATGTGCAAATAGATACACTATATCTATATAAATTATCATTGATCCTATGATATAATCATCAATGGACAATTTGTGAGTCTAATACATATAGTTTATAAATATATTACACTTCCCCCCAATATTAATTAAGTATCATATATTAAGTAAGCACCAAATAGAAGACAACAAAGTAACGAATAGAGAAGATTAATAACATTTTAATAGTAAATACCAGCCATAATTCCAAAAAGTAATAAAGATGTTATACACATAAATAATAGAGCTCCTTTAGTAGTAAAATCTGACTTAGTTTTGCAAGCGTATATTGTTAAACCTATTACAGCAGCCAATGATAAACCAGCAGCCATCAGAACAATAAATCCTACATAGAATACTTAAAATTACCTCCATTTTCACTATATCTATCAAATACATAACTGCAAAGATTTGATATTAAATAACCTTCACAGAATGTAAAAATAAAAAGTAAAATGTAGTTGTATGGCACTCTCCAAGCAAATTTGGGAATGCAAAAGAGTAGTAATTCTACAAATATTGATATTCCTAAAGCCAAATAAGCAAATCCATTATGCTATAATTAGAACCTCCTATAATCAAGTGACAAATAAGAGATTAAACACATGATCATGGTTAGAAATAATTAAATAATCATAATTGAATAGACCTTCTTATTTAAAATACAATACTTTTTTTATGAATCCAGTTCTCTCATTCCCAATAAGTTATTTGTATGTATCATTCTTAGCATACCATCGAGATTCATTTTAAGAACTAGTATCATCCTCAATAGCCACTTATACATGTTAAGGATACTGAACACTCCCTCTTGGTTCACTAATTTTTGTAGCCATGTATTTCAACTCTTGATGATCCTTTTAAGGTTCTGCATGATACTTTCCATAATCTATGGGGCTAATTTGGTCATCTTGTTAATTTTCAATCATTGATTAATAAAATATTTAATATCAAAACTGAAAAACTGCTGTATCACTATTCAATTAGCTATAAAACTATAAATTTAATCATAATACTGATTCTTGTGTTTTCATTATATAAATAGATTAGGTGATCTAAAATTTCTGTTTTCTTTTAAAAATATTTACACTATTTCAATTTTAATTATCCATGCAATTTTAAATATATTATATCCCAAACATATGCAATAATCTAATTTGAAATTAACTATTTTATTTATAGTTTATTAATAAATTTGGATGGTTGTTTGAAAGCATATTTTAATTTAATTGTTTTTACCACCATTATGAGAGTATAAATTAAAAATTGATATAATAAAAAAATTTATTAAAAAAACCATCAAATTAAATACTTCTTTATAATTTATTTCTTTTAACTTAGTCTAATGTAGATAATATTTATATGGAGAAATTAGTTAGTTTTTATTTCTGATTAAATGATTTATAATAAGATATTATAATTTTTATAGATTTTAAATAATATATACAAGATATCTTTTTAATAGCACAAATTACTTGATTAAATTAAAAAGTTAAGTTTATATAAAGATATAAGGAATTAGAAAAAGTAATATATTTATTCTTCTTATAAATATTACTTAAGTTAATTAAAATATGAATTTATTTAAATGAGAGTGTAAAATATAAATATATATTTAAGGAGATTCAAATTAAAAATAATAATTGATTGGTTAAAATTATTTTATGTTTAGATTTAATATCAAAAATACTAAAAAATGTTATAGTTTCAATTATCTTATTTAATAATTTGGATGTTTTTAATTATATTTACAGAAATCCTATATATTATACAACAGATAATTGATATAAGATAGATAGTGTAGATAATTATGCATTATATTATATTTCTTTTAAATAATTTGAGTAAAGTCCGTTTTTATTAATATTAATAAAATAATGAAAGCTATCCTCATATTAGGATTGTTAGTTTTTGGAATTACTGCTGTAGAATTAGAAGCAGGAGTGCCAATTTTACTAAAAGAGATTAAAGCAATCAAAACTGATCATACTGAATTCACATTTTTATTAGATTTAGAACTTAGTCAAGGAGGAAAGGTTTCTGAAGTAGTTGCTTTAGTAGGTGATTTATTAGAGTAAATGAAGAGAGATCAATTAAATGATGATCTTGAATATGCTCATGTATATAATTGATAATATATATTTGTTTAGAGAACAACTACACTTGGATTGGATATTGAATGGCTTATTATTGTTTTAAGAAATCTTACAAAAGAGAGATAAGATAAAAATAATTAATTAAGTGAACTCAATTAAGTTCTTGTTGGATTATAATAGTAAATGGATGCAATTACAGAATAATTAAATATTTTAAATGGAAAGGAAGAATAACTTAGATAAACAAGAGCCTAAGAAGCTGCTTCATATTAAGCTAGATAAGAGAATAATGGTAAAGTATTAGCAGCTTTAAATGAAATAATTCCAAAATTATAAGTTGCAGTATTTGATTAAGAAGGAAAATCATTATTATAAACAGAATAATTTGAAATTGTTGAAAAAATCAAGAGAGAATTGGGACATAATCATCCAATTGCAATAATGGTTGCAATGACAACTAAATTTGATGTTCCAACAGTCAAAAGAATCATTGAGAAATTAGAACATATTAGAAATGCAGTAATTGCCTTAATGTAATAAGAAGATGAATAAGAGACTTAAAGCTAAGTATAATATTAATTTAAATAATTTAAGATCACTTTCTAAACATAAATTCAAGAGATTGCTGAATTAAGAGAGAGATTCTCAAAAGACTTTGAAGTCACATCATAATTAATAAAGAAGAGAACCAATGATAAAGTAAATGTATATTTAATAAATAGGTTCTTTTAGAGAAAAGATTGACAATAATTAATAGAGATTTGAGTTTGACTGAATAATTACTTATATAGACTAGAGAATATAAAGAATAATATGATGCTGCTTATGCTGTTAGAAAAGGAAAAAGGTATTAGTTTAATCTTATATATTTAGAATTTCTGAAATAAAAACAGTTTAATAGGCTTATGATTTAGTAGATAATCATGCTAAAAAACATAAGTGATGATTTATAATAAAATATATATTACAATAATAATGTTGATAATGAATAATCTTATAATTATAGATATTTATAAATTTTAATTTATGTGCTTACCCTTAAAGTTTATTCAATTGTTTATCAGAATAAATTGCTTTTGTTTCATTATTTTGGGGATTGTGTTGATCTCTTAAGTATTTATGACTTTGAGTGAAGGTGTAGGCAATGATGGAAATGTATTCAATTAAGAATTATAATCTTAGGGAATTGTATTTACATTTTCAGTAGGACTAGCTGTTATTATAGTAGGAGCATCTGGATTATTAAGTTCATATTGTCCAAACTTTTGTATCATTTTTATTTATTCTTGCTTTATCATTTTTATTGGAGTTTTGACAGCCTATATTACAATCTCATTAACTATTTTAAAAAATTAATTGTTAAGTAATATATTTGATTGTAAAACATCTTAATTACCAAATGCTTAAAAAACAAAGGAGTAAATAATATGGGCAGAAACTCAATTTTGTAAATATGATTGTATTTGTTATATTGAGAAAATATAAGATTGGAATTCTGATTATTTGGAAAATAATCGCATACATTATACAACTAATAAATAAATAAGTGATATAACTTAATATTAAAAATGTAAAAAATGGATTAAAATTGATGGGGCTTCATATACTTATATAGCATATTTAGAAGAAAAATATAATTGTTCAGGATGGTGCAAATCTCATCCAGTCTATCTATTTTCAAACATCAATAATGGAATTCCGTATTTATATATTTAATATAAGAAAAGATGCTTGTTATCCATACTTTGAAAAAGAGTACGAATATTATGTGAATAAATCTTATATAGATTATTTAATAGTGGATTTTCTCTATTTATTTAATTTATGTTTTGCCATTTGTTAATGCTATTAGACAAGTAGGAATAAAAAATCTAGAATATATCCTTAGATTCTTTATGAACTTGCACCATAATGAATATTGTTAACTGTACTTTGTATATAAAAAATAAGAATAAATTTTTATTTATTGAATTAGGTTATTAATATCTTTTTGAATAATATTATTTATTTATACAAATTATTCACATAAATGTATTTCTATGATTATAACCCCATCTTGATAGCTCAATTTTCTTGTATAGTAATGAGCTTATTGTCAGTTGTTGGAGTCATCATAGTATTTATATTAGGAAAAGGTTGGAGATATTTCATTGTTATGTAAATTTTAAAATTTATAATTAGCCTCTTCTTTACTCAAATCATTAGTATGCTATTTTTCTATATACCTTAAGTACTAACACCTTTCATTTTTAAAGATGAAAATAGTTTGAGTGAAAATAGCAATAATGATTTCTGTTAATTTAAATCTGATCAAGATAATAGACAATATTGCATAAAAGAAACATGTATTATTATAATATTCTATATGAGTTTGCTAATTGTAAGGGTACTTCATTAATTCATCTTTTTTGGCATCTACATTGATTTCCTTGTATTCATCCTATATCATTTAATAAACATTAAATCCAAATTCTTAAATTGGAAAAAAAGTTAAATAAATTTATTGGATACATTTTGGAATTGGAATATTCACATTTGCTATATGTTTACCAATGCTATTTGGTGCAAAATATAATCATTATGGAACCTCTTGGGGTCAAGAATTAATATATTATGTTTGCAATCTATAAATTGGATCAGATGATATATTTACATAAATTGTATTTTGGTTATAAACATCCATTACAATTGTAATGATTATAATTGGAATTATATTTCATTGTTCAGTGAAAAAATTGAAATCAAAAATTAGAACTAAATTTGTTAATGAATTTGATTCATGTTCCTCATTAAATCTCTATATATTACCTATAACTTTACTTATATTTTGGACAATTAATATTTTATAGAAACTAATTGATTTTAAAACAGATTACATAAAAGAATCAGGATATGTAATATAAACAATTTGGTTCTTCCCTTAATTATTATTAGCATTATAAGGATTTAATTATGCCTCTCTATTTTTTTATGCATTCTATTTATAATTAGTACCTAACCTTCCAAAGTCATTACAAAGCACTTATTTATTTTTTGCTAGAATAAGTTTTTATAATTGTATATATGGGAAAATTTCAGTATTAAATTTAAATAAATATTAGGAATCTAAAATAAGAAAAGATTCTCTTCTTTTTGATGCTGATTCTGCAAAAGATAGTACATCATCTTATATATAAAAAGATGATTCATCAACAAATAGATGATAAATATATAGATACTAATTGATTTTATATTCAAATAAACAATTATTTTATTTTTTTAACTTTTGTTACTTCATCATCTTCTAAATTATTAACTATTTCTGTTATTGAAGATAATTATGGTGTTTTCATTAAATCATTACTCACTTTTTCTCTTCTTTAATTTTAAGCTTTTGATGATGATCTTTTTATTAATATAGATTAAGGTGAGATCTTTGAATCTTCAAGATTAGTTTTATCTTTAAGTGCAGAAACATTAAAAGGTTTTCTATTTTAAGTTATTAATATTTTCTTTTCTTCCACTTTTCTAAATTCTATAGGATCATATCCAATTCTTTTCTCTATTTATTTATCATATTTAGTTTTGAAAAATATTGCTAAATCTAATAAATCTTAATATCTTGCTTTTGATAAATTTTAAATCTATAATTTGAAGTAAAATTTACATCAAAAGTCTTTGAAATATTAAGTTTTGTAAAAGCTTCAGCAAGTGTCTTAAAGTTTTTGATAAATTCTACTTCAGTATTAGCTTTCCAAACTACTTTATTTGGTTATATTGAATTAGGGTAGAAGTATTCAAAAATTTAACAAAATATACAACCTGTACCAAGTGCTTCTAATTAAGTAATGGTTAACTTATAAATGCAATTAAATAATTACTTTAAATGTATCATTTATCCATTTGATCAATTCATTTTTGGATGTTGTCCAATTAGTAGTTGCTGACATAAAATTTAAAAATTATAATAATTTCAATATCACTTCATATTTAATTTTAGAAAATTTAATAAATCTCTGTGTATACTTCATAGATACATTTTTAATCAAATTATATAATACTAAATGAAATCTAATATCTATTTAACAAAAAGTGTAGAAATAAAGTAGAAATGAGAGTTTCCAAAATTTATAAAAAAGATGATAAAATAAATAACTAGAATTCCAAAATATCTTTATTTTAACATAAATTTATGATAAATATTGAATAACTACTTTAATTTAAGGAGCTTGAATATATTAATGATTTTTTATTTATAATTTTCATAATTTTGCATCTTAGTACATTTTCTCAATTTCATTAATCCACTTTTATTCAACTACTCTTCTTTTTAATTTGAGAGTTGGAGTCAATTCTCCTCCATCAACACTAAAATCACTAGGAATAAGTGTCCATTTTCTAATATATTAGGCTTTGGAAATGACTCTAAAAGTGGTATTCTAAAAATGATTACCTGGTATTTGCATCATCTATAAGTTTTTATAAATAATTTGAAATGATGGGGTCATTCTTAGCTTCTTCAAAAGTCACTGCTTTTGAACCAAGTTACTAGAAAACTTAAATAACATCATCAAGTAATTTATTAGTTGGTCTAAATATTATTATAAAATAAATATTACGTTCCATCAGATTGTAATTAATATTTTAAAGTTAATAAAATTGTTAGATATTTTCTTTTATCACCAATAACCATACAATTAGATATTATAGGAATTGTCTTTTTGACTTCATTTTCAATCAAAACAGGTGCCACATTTTCTCCACCTGCAGTAATAATTAATTCTTTAATTCTTCCAGTAATAGTTAGATTACCTTTATTATCTAATTTACCTATATCACCAGAATGTAACCATCTATCCTTATCAATAGTATTTCTAGTTGATTCTTCATCTTTAAAGTATCCCATAAAGATATGTCTTCCTCTATAACATATCTCTCCATTTCCATCTTAATCTGGCTAATCTATTTTCAACTCTGTTCCTTCCATAGTCTTTCCAGTACTATTCATAAAGAAACCATCAAATTTATCAAAGTGTATAGGATCTGCTAAAGTTGTAACACCTCCACATTCACTCATTCCGTAAGCATTGATTAAATACATATTCAAAGATAAAAAATACTCTCTTATAACAGGTGATAAAGGAGCTGCTCCAAAAATCATATATTTAGCTTAATCTAATCCCAATGCCTTTTTAACATTACTATAAACTAATTTATCAGCCAATCCAAAACATAGAGGAGGTTTTAATCCATGAGTTTAAGCAAAAGTTCCCTCTTTTCCAATAGATTTGGCCCATGTTGCAATCTTTGTTTTGATTGCTCCATTAGATTTGGCAACCAATTACATTTAATCATATATCTTTTCCCATACTCTTGGTACACTAAAGAAAACAGTTGGTCTTACTTCCTTAAGAGTATTAATTAAAGAACCAGATAAAGCATCTGGATTAGCAAAATAAATATGTGCACCCCAACGACAACTTCCAATTATATCAATCAATTATCCTGCAACATGACTTAATGGAAGATAACTCACAATTCTCATCACTTCAGAATCTGCAAATTAATATTTCTTTCTTTATTGTGTTACTGTAAAAATGTAATTATCATGAGATAACATAACACCTTTAGGATTTCCAGTTGTACCTGATGTGTAAATTAATGTTACACAATTTCCAGGATGTAATTTTGAAACTCTTTCTATTACTTAATTTAATAATTCTGGTTTCTTTCCAAATTCTAAAAAATCTTTCCATTTAAATATTTATGATCTTCTTTATTCACTAATTCCATCTTTTGGTATCTCATCATTATACATTACTACACCTTTTAATTTTGGCAATTTATCCCATATTTATAAATATTTATTTAATTATTCTCTAGTATCTACTACTACAAGTTCACATTCTGAATGTTCTGATACATAAAAACAAGCATCTGGATTATTACTATTATATTATATTAAGATTTTACGTAGTATAAATACCAACTGGTAAATTGTGAGAATGTATACTACCCATGAAAGAGATGAACCATTCAGGAGCATTGAAACCAATTATGTTAACTGCACTCATCTCACTTATTCCATATGCTATCAATGCCTTTGCAAATTATAATGATTCATTATAATAATCTTAATATGTTCTTGTTATCCTAATCATATATCAATTATACAATATTACCATTTATTATTCCTCTTTACACTTAAAGCTGGTAGCTTTGCAAATTAAGTGCAATCTATTTTAAATTGTTCCGGAAGAGTTATTGGTACTTCACTTCCTGCTCCTGATTTTCTCACTCTTAAAGGCAACTCCATTCTATAATTAGTAGTCCATAATATATTTTTATGAGGGTCTTTTGGATCAAATACTTATAGAATGTGTTTCATTCCCTCCTCAGATATGTACACTTACTCTTCCATAAAGATTTTAATAATAAATGATTTTGCAATTACATACTATTGTTGTTAATTAATATCTTACATAATAGCAAACACTATAATGTTGTTTCTATAAAATAATAATCAATTTTCATTAAGATTTTATAAGACGTCATTTTGAATGTATCCTTAATGCTCTGACATTATAATTTATTTATTTTGTTATCACTTATAATTTAAATATTCCATTATATGAATTATAATTATTGTTAAATAATATTATTCTTATCTGTCAACTTTATATAAATAATTTTAATTAGATTAATTTGAAAAGATAATACTGAGTTTAAGAATTCATATAAAAATAGTTATTATATTAAAGAATAATATTAATAAAATACTTGATTAATTTCGTTAAAAATAATAAATCAATCACGTTCTTTTTCCTTTGCTAAAAATCTATCAAATTCTTATTTAAATTATTATAATGTTTATAGTTCATCCTTTATAAAATTTAAATATTTTTCTATTTTTTAATTATCTATTTTTTTTTCTTTTTTCCTATTTCTCTATTGTTCTGTCACATTATCACTATCTTTACCAGATAATAGAATCCTTTTAACAATTTTATTTCTTTATTTTAAAATATCTTTCATATTTTAGATTCCATGAATAACTTATATATATTCTTTTTAAGTAGCTTCATTTTAATTTTATGTTCCTTCTATTTCTTTATGTTTTTAATCATTTTCATCATTAATTTATTAAATAGCTAATTTCAATTTATTATATTTAGCATTAAATTCATAGGTTTCAGCTTATATTTTACTATTTAACTTATTATTTAAATGATATAATATACTTCATTAAATTATTAATTAATCTAATCTTTTTAGTTTTCTCTCAATTCTCTATCTTTTTTAAATTCTTCTTCCTTCTTCTTTAATCTTTCATAACGATCAATTAATTCTTTTATAGCATTTTCATCATCATTTTAACCTGTTTCCAATTCTTTTGATTTAGATATCACTTTCTTAAAAAATAATTCATATTATTAATGATTCTTTCTTCTAACTTCTAATTAATTGACTTCTTCTCTAGGAATACATTAATTTTGATTACTATAACTTAGCTAATTCATTTAATGCTTATGCCTTTTCTTATTCCTTGGCTAATGTAATTTTCTATTCCTTAGCATACCTTTCATCATCTTATCTTTTTTTACGATCATTTAACATCACAACTGAATCTTTCTAACTTTCTAAATCTTAATTCATTCTTTTTTATTCATCATTAAATTTCTATGCCTCAAAAGCTAATTACTCTTAAGTTTCTTCCATCTTTTTCTTTCTATCTTTATATTCTAAATCGACAGTTCTTTCTTTCTATTATACTTTTAATAGTCTAGTATTTTAGGATTCCTCTTCTAACCTCACTAAAAAACATCAACAAGAATGAGGATACTTTCTTCTAATCGTTTCTTATTCTATTGCATTTCTTTTTCAATCTTTTTGAATCTTTAGGGATTGAAAACTTACAAATTTTATCCATATGACATTTTATATTTATTATTTATATTGACAATATTAATTTAAAAATGTTATAATAATAATTATACTTCAATATTAAAGATGTATTTTAATATTTAATCATGCAAGTCCTTCTTCCTCTAATTTCATTGGAATAATTTCACTATTTACAAATCTTGCTATTTCTCTATAATTGTAATATCTCATCAAATTTTTTATTTCCTATATTCATAATAATAAATAATCTACTTCCGAACTTTTATCTATAATTGATAACATCATATCACAAATTTCAATATTCTTTTTAATAATTTATTTTTCTCTCATTGTCAACATAATAATATGTCTTCTAAATTCAGGAGTTTAAGGATCATTCAATCTTCTTTAATCATCCTCAATAGTACTAGCAAAATTAGCTAATTCAGAAACCAATAATTCTTTAAATGCTTTAAATGTTGCTTTTTCTAATTCTATTGTTTTTGGTATTGTATGCCATCCTGGCCAAAATTAATTATAATTTTAAACATCCTCTTCTAATTTTAAGAAATCATCTAATTTAGATATTTAAGCAAATCTAACAGTTGCCAATGATTGTCTAAATGTATCATGATCAGTTTCATTAACTAATCTATTTCCCCAACAAATATTTCCTCCAGTTAAATCAACTTTCATATTAAACATTCTATCATTTCTATCTAAACAAACATCAAAATCAAATTAATTCATTGGATTTGTAAGACTAGCAAATCCATAATTCATAAAAAAGTATTTATTTGACCATTAACCATAATTATAAAATAATTCCTCTCCTTTTTAGATATTTCTAATTGCTTACATAAAGAATCCATCTGCATCAGGAGAATATCCATATTATAAAAATCCATTATTATCATGATTTATAAAATCTAAAATATAAATTTTATTTATAATGTACCAGCCAATGGTACCAATAATTATTGTTATTCATTCTCTCCTATATAAACAGGGAAACTTCGAGATATAGTAAGAATTCTAAATTTAGCAAAATCATTATAAGTATATCCATATCTTTAAAATTCTTTTACAGCCTCTTTTAAATTTTCATATTCCTCTTTGAATATTTTTCTTTGATTCATTACAGTAAATAAAGTTGGTGATCCCTTTAGTAATGCATCTTATTCTTCATCAAAATAAGTTGGAAATCCACTAACATCTTTTGGCAATACATCAATATAAGGTTTCCAAAATGAATTTTATCTATTTAAATCAAATAATCAATATACCTTCTATTCTCTTAGAGTAAATGATTAACAAAATATGTTTGAATATTGTTAGGAATATAATTAAGTTGAATCATTTTTCTGTTAATAAGACAACTTTTTTTGACTTCTTCTAATGAAAGATAATGAGTGCGTGGTATAAAGAGTACCCACTCACCTTATCTTATAAATTGAGAAGCCCTCAGTGTTCTATAACCTTCGCTCTTGACTTCTATTTAAACTTTAGACACTTCTGCTTTGCCATCCTATAACCACTAAATAAGATTTTTATATGGATCCTTAATTATGGATATATAAAGATAATACTGGATCATCATAAGTTTATCGTTTTGATTTGGACTTAAGTTCATAGTCTGAATCATCTTAAGTCAACGATTATACAAGAGCTATTGCTAGAACACATGTTTAAAGTAACATAATTATTAAAATATTCTAGAAACATACGTATACATTTTATATATTAATATTTATGTTTTACCAATTAGCATTCTCTATTTTCATTATCTATACTTAAGCAAAAGAGGAAAATGATTTGCATGTTGTATTTGATAAGAATTCTAAACAATTCTTTGAAAAAAATGAAATATCTATGATCTTCTTTTACACTCCTTAATGTGGACATTGTGAAAGATTCCAACCTGAAGTAGAAAAAGCAGCAAAGTAATTAAAAGAAGAAGGTTTTGTTTTTGCCAAAGTAGATGGTCATAATTATAAAGATATTGCTAAATAATTTGAAGTCAATGGATTTCCATCTGTCATCTTATCTTAAGATCATGGCAAAAAATATAAAAAATTTGAAGGACCCAGAACTAGTGATAGTGTTATTATGTGGATGTATGAATAACTCAATGAAGGAACCAAAGAATTAAAAACTATTTAATAAATCAAAGACCAGATATCTAAAAGTTAATTGATGTATCTGTATATGGCTTAAAATGATGAAGACAGAGGTTTTCGAAGATATAAAGATTATAGTCATGCATATGGAAATTTAGAATTTTATCACACTTTTTTAGAAAACGCATAATAAGAATTAGGATTTAGTCCTACAGATTCTTTAGTGGCTTACAAGAAATATGATAAATCTCCTGTAGTTTATTAACCAAAATAAATTAAAGTATCTGATTTAAAGGCTTTTATTGAAACCAATTAATTTTAGAGACTTCATGAATATAATGAAGATATTGCTAAGAAGATATTTAAACAAGATAGATCTACATTAATACTATTAATTGATGAAACATAAATGAAAGATAGGAATGCTCATGATGCACTTAAATCTATTAGTCTTGATCATCCTCATGAAGATCATTTATTATTTGTCAAATGTAGTATAACAAATTAATTATTCCCTGAACTCTAAAAATAAATTGGTGATTTTACTGGAACACCTGCTTTATTTGGATTACAAAAATATGGAGTCTATAAATATAAATTTAATTAAGCATTTACTAAATAGAATCTAGATTAATTTATACTTGATTTCAAAAATGGAAAAGCTCCAAAACATTATAAATCTTAAAAATTAGATAATTCTTTTTATTCAGAAAATGTTGAAATTCTTACAGGTAATTCATATTAAAAAGTTATAAATTCATCAGAAGATTGGGTCATTTTCTATTATAATTCATTTGATTCTGAACAGTAATTAATTTATTTTATATTAGTCTATCCCTTTTAAAAGAATTTGCTGAAATTTCTAAGTTTATTTCATAAATAAGCAAAGTCAAATTTGCTATTGCAGATGTAACTCAAAATGAATTCAGTGATTTCTCAGATCCTACTGATATTTATAAGATTAGATTATATAAAGGAAATAAAAGTTACACTAAATTTATACAAAAAGTTAATATAATATAAAGGGAAAGATTAATAAATTTTATTAAAGAACACTCTAATCATGAATTCAATGATGATCGTAAAAATAATCATAGAGATGATTTGTGAAATAGATTATTTTATATATTTATATAATAAATTTGATTTTTCATTTTGTTTTAAATTGGACATATTCATAAATAAGAAGTGGCCAAGCATCTAATTTTAATTTAAATTAATACCATTTTCATCGAATTTTGTATAATCACTTCCTATTGTTTCAAAGAATTTCCACACTTAACACCATAAATCAAAACTAACTTTTGTTGTATTTTAAAATTCTGCTGGTTTTGCTTTACAAAATTATATGAAATCAATAATTTCCTTGAATTATTCATTTAATAATGAATCCCAAAGTGCTAGTAATTATTTAAATAACAATTACTGATTGCCTCTGTAAATCTTATTACATTCTTTCCTTATGACATTACTTTAAAGAAATAACTATATAATTTTCTATATTTATTTTCTTTTTATATTTTCTATCTTAATTAAGGAACAAGATTCTTCAAATCCTTGATACTCTAACATCTGATAATATACAATTTAATTTTACTTTAAACGAATCATACCCAATAGGAATTCTTCCAATTAAAAAACTGCTCCTTTTTAACCACCAAATTTGTATGTAATATACAATTATAAAATTTAATCATCCTAAATTCCTACATCTTTCATAAATTTTGTATATGAATCATTTTATGCATCCTTATATTAAATTAATCCATCAATAGCATATTTTGAAAATATTGATGATAAGCTTTGAATTTGTTTATCTAGATTTGCATATTCCTTCTGGGCCCTTCTCACTCGATCATAATGTCCTGCCTATTTTAACAAATATCTTGCAAATCTTCTCGATATGCCAAGTTATTTTGATACAGCTATTTCATCCTAATCTTCTACTTGCCTAAATTTTATATCATCATAATTGTACATTTGTGTATGTTTAGAAGAATAAAAATAATTTTTATTTTTTATTTAAATAATCTGCAAATATATATATATCAATCATATTTAATAAAAAAGCTACTATTAATTATAAATAGTATTAGTCAGTTTTAAAAATAACCTTAACAAAATTTGTTAGTCAGAAGATTAAACAATAAAAAATAAAATAAATACTCATTATCTTTAATTCTACTATATCAAATATTAAATAATGGAAGATATTAGGAGGTTGATAAGAAGGATATGGATTCGAAACTGACTTAATAAATTAATAGAAATTTAAGAAAATTATGTAGGCTTTAATTTTCCTTAAGAGAGATTGAATTAAATTAACAAAAAAATAATAATTAATCATAAAAATAGCAGGATAAGTTCATTAATCATTTAAAAAAATACCAATAATTTTATTTACATATTTCTCAAATATTTTTAAATTATTACAAAATAGTATAAGAAAATAACAAAATTTATTACACATTTAATTTAGGTACAATAGAAATGTTTTAAACAAACATTCTAGTCATCAGATAACTTTGTAGTAATATTACAAATAATAGTAATTTGAGTTAGTAAGTAGTGTAAATCAAAGCTCAAACTAGATCAAAAATATTAAAAGAGCTTACTATTATTATAAAGAATAAATATATGATTATTAATTATTTTATTATCAGTATATAAATATGGATTAATTAAAATTAAGTAATAAATATATAAAATTTATATAATAAAAAAATGAAAAGAACTTCATTGTTTGAGGATGACAAATCAAATCTGGATAAGATTTAACACTCATTTAAAATAATGTTTTTCGAAATAGTACATAACCTTATCTTAGGAGATAATTTTCCATTCTTTATTTATGTATTTTTTATACTTATTGAAAGTTTATAAGTATTCCATTTTTTTTTCACTGATGAAGTATGTTTAATAATTTAATTATTTAGTTTTCTTCGCTTTGGAAAGTGGAATCATGGACATCTGCTCTCAACTCTTTTTTTAGTTATTTTATGATATAGCCTTATTTGAAAAATTTGAGTTTCTAAACGTATATTTTAGTGAATTATATTGTTATGGGATTAATTATGCTCCTATTAATAGTTTTATTATTCATAGCTTTAAAGTCAGCAAGTTTAGGTAGAATGAATGGGACTTTAATGATTTTAAAAATATTTTTTGAAGTATTAAATTATGTTTTATTCATGCCCATATTGTAATTGTTTTTAACGATATTTAATTGTGATAACTCAACTCATATTCATAAGATATATAAGGATTAATAATGTTATAATGGAAATTATTTATTACACGTTTTATTATGTTGTATTGCTTCTATTATATTGATAGCAGTAAGTACATTAGTTACATTAATGTTTTTTGAATCTAGATTTTAGATTAATAATCCTTAATGTAAAGTCACAGGTAGAGAAGATTTGATATTTCTAATATTTAAAGTAGTTATGGTTCTATGTTTTGCAATATTGGATGTACAAAATTAAAGATTATTGATTATTATAATCTTAACACTCTTCTCTATTAAATTATTTCACTCTTTTAATAAATCCAGCATTTACTTAAACATCTACTTTGCCAAATTATTAAATGGTTAACATATGATCATCTTATGGACTATGATGATGGTTGTATTAGGTTTAATATTAGAAAATACAGATTATGATGGAGCACCTTAATTATGGGTTATATGTACTCCATTGTTATTAATAATAATATTGGTGCGTAAAGAATATAGATATGAAGTAATGATGGTAGATTCAAATAAATTTGATTCATTAGATCAATCTTTGTAATTATTATAATATTTAACAAAATTGGTTGGATATTATGATAAAGATGAAAGTATAGCATCATTATTAGATGGATTTGTGGAATATCATAAAGTAACTTGCAAAAGAGATGATTGTCCTTGTTCACCAAAAAATATGAATGATAAAAGAATTGAGAAATTTAAAAAGGGTGTAAAAGATTTATCAATGAAATCCTAATATGTCATATTAATTTATATTGTTGAAAAGATATATGTATTAAGTTTAACTCGTTATCCTAATTGTATTGAGTTAAGAATATCACATGCATTATTTTTGTATGAAAAAATGTAATCAACCATTTAAGCATTGTAAGAATTAGCCTTGGCAGAATAAGAAAAACCTTATTTAGATTAATAATTCTTAATTTTTAGATTACGTAAAATAATAGAAGAATAAATGTTTGACTCTGGGAATCTGACAAATGTAAATGAATTTACAGCAGAAAATAATTTAAGAGAAATTAAAATGTTAATAGAAAAATCTACTTAATTACATTTAGATTTTTGGATAAAATTAAGAGAAGATACACCAGATTTAGGTAAATTGTATGAAGTAGGATTAAGAATGTTATATGTTGATAAAGTCTTGGATGATTAATGGAAAAGAATTATGAAAATTAATTTTGATATGCCACCAACATTATTAATGATGTATTCCAGATATTTGATAGATGTACTTAATGATAGAGAAGAAGCAGAAGATGTTGTTGAAAGATTAAAGAATTTATAAACATTTGACATGGATCGTGGAAAAATAATTAATAATTTAAAAGATTTTGTTAATGAATCCACAGCTTTAATAAGTATTTCAGCTGAAGATGGAAATTTTAGTAGAATTTTAGGTTTAAATTAATCATGTGCTAAAACTTTTGGATATAATAAATCAGAATTACTTGATAGAAAAATTAATGTTTTAATGCCAAATATTTATGCTCAATATCATGATCAATTTTTAGAAGGCTATACATAAAATCAAGAGAGTAGAGTCTTAAATAGAGAAAGACTTTTAATAGGGAAACATAAATCTGGATATATTTTTCCATTCTTTATTTATGTTAGATATATTCCTTCATTGATTAATGGTTCTTAATTCTTTGCAGCCATAAAACAAGAAAGATATTTTAAAAATTAAGCTTATATGATAGTTAATAGTTTTGATATGTGCATTGAAAATATTAGTGCTCAATTTATAAGTCTATTTCATATTGATCTCAATTATATATCAAAAAAGAAAACTTAAGTTTCTGATCTAATACCATAATTTGAAGAATTCAAATAAGAACTTATGAGTAAATAAGGTTATGAAACTACTGTTTAATATAAGAGTAGAGATTAATTTATTTAGTAATAGTTTTAAGTTTATGTGAGTGAAATTAATATTTGTGTGAATAGATTTATGAATAATTAAAATAAAGAAGGAAATATAGTATAAACTAATCTTACACTTAATGTTCCATAGTCTTAACATCATAAAAAGGATGAAAGATAAGCTTAATTATTTGGTTACATAATTAAATTAGAATAAATTAGAGTTGAAAAATCTATTTTGTAAACTCCTTCTGAACATGGTCCTGCTTCAGCTAGAAAACAATTGAATTCAGCATAAAAATTTCTATTTTAATTTGATTCAAAAGAAATACCTGGAATGAAAGAAAAAATTGAATAATTAAAAAAATAATATAAAAAAGACAATAATACTAAACTTCCTGATTAATATGTTTATAAATTTATAGGAGAGTATATATCTGATTAAAATTTTTAGATGTCTGCTATTTCAGTATCAAAATAAGATGAAACTTATGAATATTCAGTAAAAAATGATGATGAAAAAACTCCATCATCTAAATTAGATGATAAAAATAATGATTTATCTTTAGGAATAAAAACTATGATATTGATAGGAGGATAATTATTTGATTCAGAAGAATATAAAAATATAGACATTGAAGAGGAAGAAGATGGTTAATCAAAAATAGTAGGATAAATGCCATCAAAATAGGAAGAAGATTAAGAATAGGATAATGGAAATGCTAATGTCTATAAATCTAAAAAGACTTTTGTTTAATTTTTAAAAGAAAGCAAAAGTGCAAATTAATCAAGTTTAACATGTTTTAGATGGAATGCTGCACTTCTTATCATTTTCTTAGGAGTTTTAGGCCTTCTAAATTATATTTTAACTTAATAATTGTTTTTTGGAGTATATGATGGTTATAAAAATGTCATTAATAGTAATTAAAGAGTTGCATTAGGTTAAAGAATTTTATGGTAAACAGTTGAATTATATCTATTAAATTAGATAAATCCATATGTTGATTAAACTAAAAATATTGCAGATTAAAGATAAAGTTTAAATTAGAGTATTTCAAATTTATAAGAACTTCAATTTATTTTATAATCAGCAGTTGTAGAAGGAGATTAAATTGATTTAATTAGAACTAATTCTGTAAAAATGACTGGAAGAGATTAAAGTGGAACTCTATCAACTTAATTGGTGGATTTAAATTAAGGAACTGCTTAGATTTTATCAAAAGCCTTAGAATTATTATAAACTTATAATCCAGAATCATAATTTTTTGTTAGTTATAATTTACTTAATAATTATTTTGAAGCTGTAGTATAGAGTGCAAATATTTATGGATCTTAATTGAGAGATAAACTGAATGGATCATCCATAGTAATTACTCTATTTATTGTTGCTTGTGCTTTTGCTGTAGTATCAGTACCATTGATTGCTTGTATGTTTAGTTTGGTAAGTCAAAATTAAGAGATTATTATGAAGCTATTTTTATAAATTTAAATTACCAAAGTTAAGAAATTGGTGAATATTTGTGAAGGATTTTTCAATTCACTTTAAGTAGGTGAAGAAGATGATGAATTGCACAGAGATAATGAAGGATTTATGGATGAGGATGAAGTTTAGGATGAAGATGAGGAGTATTTGGAAAGACACAAAAAGAGAAAGAAATATAGATATGATTTAAAAAATAAGCGCAACTTTTATCTTAAATTTGCTATTTCAATGGTAATGTTATTAGGATATTTTTTAACTCATTTTTTAATTGGAGATTATCTATAAAATGCCTTTAGTTCATTAATAGATGAAATAGAAGCTACAAGTTAATTAGTACCTAACATTACATTTTCTAATAATGTAATAAGATAGATGATCATTGATCCCACATTTGAAGTTAAAGGAAGCTCATCTTATCTCATCTCTTCCACTTTTGTAAAAGAATTATATGATCTTAATACTAAAATCTAAAAGGAACACTCTTCAAATATATAATATCATAATCCCACATATAACACTCATTTTGATTCTTTAATGAAATCAGGTGCATGTTCGTATCTATTTTCAATTATAGATATTGATATTAATACCTGTTAATCATTTATTGAAGGCATCATTGATTAATCTTTATCATTAGCTCTCTCAAGATATTTTGAAGATATTAGATCACAATTACAAGAGTATAATAACATTATAAAAGATCCTTCACATACAATAAGTGGAACTCTTTATAATTTTACATCCAATTCAACCTACAATAAAGCATTATCTCTACTTTACACAAATACTTAAATGAATGAAATTGGTAAGTTAATATGATTTAATTTTAGATATTTTATAAGATCTATATCTAAGGCAAATCTTTTCATATACAACAGACTTATTTTTGTCTTGTGTACAATAAGATGTTGATACAAATACAACTACATCAGTTGCAATATTTATAGTATTTTTAGTTGTTTTAGTTTTGATTTATCTTTTCTTTTGGTGGCCAACTGCTACTAAAATAAATAATGAAGTAAAATTATTATATCTAATATTATTTAGATTAAGAAAACAACTTTATTATTAGCCAATATCCCTTTAAGTATAATAAAGCGAAGTAAAGCAATAAGAGAGTATTTAAATAGAATGCATGAAATTGAATGATTCTATAGAAGTTTATAATTTCATTTAAATTCTCTAATTATCCTTCCCATATATATCAACCTTGATAATTTTCTTAAATTACTATTTTTTTGCTTAAAAGTGAGAGATTACAAGATTAAAAAAATGTAAAATTTTTTTTAATAATATTTAAATTATTTCAATATAATAAACACATCAACATTTTAGAGGTTTATTTATTTAAATTATATTTTCATAATATAAAAAAGAATAAAATTAACTAAAATTGAAAGTTAGCTAATGCAATTATTAATAATTTCAATTTTGATTTAAAAAGCTTCTCATAATTCTTTCAAAAAAATCATTAGTGAAGAGCGAATATGTAGGTAAAATTTATACGAATTGCACAATTTGTTTAGAGTTATTAATAAACATATAAGATAATTTTGGTGTCCATATTAGGATTATGAATATAATCAATACTATATAACAAAAATTTATTATCTAATTATTAATAAAATATTTACATATAAAATTTATACTAATTAAACTGTCAAATCTTTTAATTCCTAAACAAATTATGTGTTTACATCCTTAATTATTTGTGATAAAATAAAGACACCATCTAATTCATTATATACTATTGTAAGTCGTTTAGTGAATTTATTAATCTCTATTTCTTTTGCAATCAAATTTTAAGCATAAATTAATACTGCTTTTAAACCTAATTACATATTTTAATTAAATATTTATGAACAAATAGATTTACTTTTTTCTTCTATGTTTTTAGGAATAAAGTTACACAAATTAGATACTTATAATTGTTCATAATAATCTGAAAATTTTTAAGTTACTAATATTCTAAATTAGAATAAATTTTTACTTAGAAAAATCTTTTTCTTTTGAATCAAATTAAGCAGTATTATTCAAAGCCAATATTATTCTTTAATAAACATATTCAAAATCCTCTTAGGTTAAATAAAATAATCTTTTTCTCTCAATCAAAATTTCACGTTATGCAAACATAGCTGGAAAATCAACACCTAAATTTGCAAATCCTGTTAAATATAATGTAGTTTCTGGATACTTTTATAAAAAGTTCTTTTATAAAAAGTAAATTGAAAAATGATTGAATGAAAATAAAATGTAAATAGTTGATAAAAAAAAACCATATTTTAATAGAGAATTTGTTGTAATTTTTTAAAATTTTATTTTTGATTGGTTTTCATAACCTTAAAATTATTAAAATTACTATTCCTTTAATTCCATATCTAATCTATATTAAAACTTGAATGAATTATCTATCTTAAGTTGATTTAAAAATGATTAATATTTCTTAATTTCAAGTTCCAACTCCCTTTCATCAATATATTACACTAAATTGATACATTGAATTAGTCTCCTGTCTATAATTTGATGCATAATAAATATTAAAAGTAACAAAAATAACATAAGAGATTAATTAATAGCTAAAATTGTCTCAATTTAATCTTAAATTAAGTTTGCTCTTAATAGTGTTTCAGATATTACATCTAGATTCAATTATTAAGCTATATCATTTAATACTTTATAGTTTTTATAACTATAAAAAACTTGTGGAGTATCAATAGCAACAGTTTTTTCAATTTTATAATTCATTTTAAGTGTATATTAAAAATTTAATAGAATCTAAATAGCTGTTCTTAAAGTAATATTATATTATTCATTTTTGTATGTATCTAAGTATTAATAAGCATATATATGTTTAATTTACAATAAGGCCTACAATTCTTTTTTGAACAATACTGATTATATATTTTAATTCAATTAATCATATCCTAAATCTAAATTAGATAATGCAAAATGAGTTCTATTTGTATATTCTTCTAAAGTAATTTATTTTTCATTCAATTAGTTTTTATAATTAAATAAAGTCCATCTAGTGACAAGGAACAATTCCATTGGTTAAAATATTAAATTTTTGATTTCCAATAAATTGACATCTTCTGCTAATGTAACCAGGGCATTATTTGTTAATTACTAAATATATAAAGTTTAAATACTATTATCATGAATATCATTTGAAGTAGGCCTATTAGAAACATGATAGCAATAATAAAGTTGTGTAATCTATTATAAGGAATAAATTATAAAAATTTGTTATAAAGTTCATATTTTCTATAAAATTTGGAATTTCTAAATTATTTTAATGAAGAGACTTAAGATTAGACATCATAAAATTAAGCTTATTGTTCTTCTTAAAATTGAGATTTCTTAAATTGAGATTAAAATCTTTTTGCAACTCTTTAAAATTTTACTAAAGATACTTCTTCATCTCTAGGTGTAAATATTTATTATTTTGCTATAGTTTTTTCATCTATGTAAATATAATTTTATTTATTGTGGTTATCACTCTAATTATCTGAAAATTCATAAGGATCCATAATCATATTATTTTCTAATTCATAAGGAATCATATCAAATGTATTTTTATCTAAAACCTATTCTTCAATAAATTCTTCATTTTTTTTGATTAATTATTTTTTAAAATTATCAAATTATATTATCATATATAACATTTTCTCTTCATGTAATTTAACTGTAATATTGACATCACAATAATAATTCATTTCAGTTTTTTAATCAGCAAAATTATTAGCACTTAAGATTTAATCAGACTACATTACAATCATGTTCTCTAAATAACAACTTTATGTAATTTAAGTAACAGATGGTATAAATTTATCAATCTATTAACCTATTTTAAAATATTTGCTTAAATTAACAAAATCACTAAAATCTGCACTCATTGAAGTAATTTAATAGTTTTGATTTATTATTACTGTTTTAGTTTATAAAAGTGTAGGTTAAAATAAACAAACAAAGTCTACTTCATCAGTATAAAAAATATCAATAGCAAATTAAACATTTTCTATATAATTTTCACTAGCAATATAATTATTATTTAGATTTCTAACAAATTTTGATTAGCCATCAGTAACAAATTTATCTACTAATAATGAATGCCATTCTCTAACACCAACAGGAATCAGATCATCAAGGTTTCTATTGCAAAAAGTCTTAGGAGCATTACTAGATATTGATTTAATTATAAGCTTATTATTTTAATAGTTTGCAACCAAATAGATTAACTTAGATAACATTGAATCATTAAATTTTATTTATGTTTCTTATGATGTTGAGAAACTACTTTATATCTATTAAGCTTTAAGCAAATCATTTACAATTTCAGAATAAAAAAATACTAATAATGATTAGACCATCATACTATTTTATTAATTATAGTATTATTCTAATTAACGACTTATAGAATTAACTTTATCAGTATAAATCATCAATTGATTAAAATTAATATCTTTAAAGTTTTGAAGTAAAAATAACTTGTTTTGTATTAAATTATTTAATGAATTTGAAAGCATTATATTATGTTAATCATTTTTCATTAATTGTTAACAAGCACCTTTTAAGGCTTGATTAGGCTTAGATATTTTAATAATAATTTAATCAATACATAATCTCATTTATTGATTACATTTTGCCTATCTCATAACCCCTAGATTCTTTAAATTATTTAATATTATAAAACACTAAAAAACTTTCCCTTCTTCAAGTAATATAGAAGCTTTTAATATAGGATCATCAATATTATGATATGAAAATTATTGCTGAAGTATAATTTTTAGTAAAAACGGTACTAACACTAACGTGAATAAATCTTAATAATGAATATAATTAATTATTCCAAATATAATAGTGACCAAATGAGATGAAGCTACTATTTTTCTAATTATACTATTTCTATAGTTATTATGATAAACTATTATAATTAATTAAAAACATGACCTGATTAAAGCTAATATTTATAACACAATTTAATCAAATTGAAATAAGTAAAAATAAATTAGCAGTATATTTAATATAAATTCTAAAATATTTAAGTAATTAGAGTAAGGGACTTAAAAATTAATTGTATTTACAGTGAGAGTTCCTTATACAAATAAAACATCCAAAAATTATTATATGCTTATACATAATCCAATAGTTAGTCCGAATTAATCTTCCGTCTATTCAAGTACAAAATTCAACAATGAAGTTTTCAATAATGTATTAATTAAACTAGTCAGTGAAGCTCCATACAAATTTTGATTAAATAAAAATACTAGCCATAGAACAATAAATGCTAGCATAAAAAAGGCCAAGAATTCAATCTTTATTATCAGTTAAGGTCTTGCAATAAGTACCAATATGTATATCCACGATTTTTCACTCCTTTAAAAGAGATATGATAGATTAATTAACGAATGTTGTAATAACAAAATATTGACTAAATGATCAGGGAGGATATAGGCCTTGTTTTCAAATTCTAATAGTTTGTCAAGAAACTTTAAAATAAATTAGTTTTTCTTAAACATATTAATAAAGGTGTATTAATATTGATTAACTCAATTATAAACTATATAATCGTAAGTAATAATTTCGAGTATTAATAAATTTTAAATTAAGCTTTTATTATATACTTGATGAATTCACTCTTAAGTTTGTGTACCTTACTACCCTTCATTAGTTTATTCTTCTTTTTGTTCATTGTTATTTTGAGATTATTAATTTTATTGTACATTATCTTCTTATTTCTAATATATAATATAATATTGATACATTATTTTATATATTTGATTGTTCAACAATAATTGTAGTATTATTTAAAGAATGAAAAGCTTATGCTAATTAATCTGGTTATAATCTGGTAGCAGCAATTAACTTTCCTTTTACATCTTTTTCTTTTTATTGAGTTGCCTATAATTTATGTACCATTTAAAGTTCCTCAATTTCTAATTATTTGATATGTTTTTCTTTTTCTTCATTTTCTTAAATTGTTTTGACTTTTTCTTTCTCCATCTCTTACTTTATTTTGTATCTTTTTTCATTTAATTTTTCTCGAATTAAAACCTCAGATAAATTTTACTCTTATTTTCTTAAAGCTGCTTTTAATTTTTAATTTTCATGCCACTTTGTTTATTCCTCTATAAACTTAAATTGTTCATATTTTAAAAACTTTCTAAAATTTTAAGCTTCATCATGTTTATATTATCTAAATTCTTGTTTGACTTTTTTCAATTAATTTCGTTCTATGGTTGTTTTAATATATAGTTCTTTATTTCGTTCATTACCAATAGATTATTCTGTCAATTATTTTGAATCATTTTATGCATTTCTATTATAGATTACATTTTTTTATATTTTTTGCTGTTTCTATAATGAATAAATATTTATTAGTTACTTTTAGTTATGCAGCCACTTTCTATTTATAAACATCTGATGTTAATTATTCTGTTAATATAATTCTTTTCGTTAATTTTCCTTCTTCATTTCTAAGTTATCTTATTCTATTTTCTACACTTTATGCCTATAATTCCAGTTCTTTTTTTCTTCTTTTTACTTCATTTAATGTTACTTCTTCAGAATAATGTAATGAATGAAGTTATTAACTTTAAGATATCCTAGGTAACATTTAATAAATTAATATTAATTGACAATTTCATTCCCATCAACTAATATACATATTTTATAAGCAAAAATAATAATAAAAAGTTCGTTGAAATGAAAAACATATTATCGAAAAAGCATTTCCCTTAGGGACATTTTTCTTAAGCATCAGCTTAATTTAAACTTAATTAATGTTAATTATATGTAAAATAACCTGAGAAAGCTCATTTTAACAAAAATGTAAAACTATATATAAAATGATTTATTAGGCAACTAGTGTTGAATTAGGTTTGGCTAAGTAAAATAAGAGTTAAATAAGAATTAATTAATGTAAATATGAATCTTCACTCTAATATATGATGCCAAAGAAAGAAGAAAATTATAAGTAAGAATTTAAATAATTTATCCATAGATATAGAAGGAGGCTTTCTCCATCTAGGAATAAAAGCAAAAGAGATTTATTAAGTCATTCTGTAGATTTTTTAAAGCCTTCCAATATATAAAGAGATTGTTCATTTGACAATTTTCATAAGAAAACTAGCCAATCTGGATTTTTTAAGAGGCCTTAAGTCTCCATATCCTTAAATAGAATTAAAGAAAATGAAGCAGCCAATAGAATGTTTGATTATTAGAATAAGGAAAATCTGATATGCACTTTAATTAACTAATAAATATAGAGAAATCCAATAACTGGAAATGGGTTGCCAGAGACTTGCAAAACTGGTATAAAATGCAAAGTTTCAAAGAAATCCATAATGGATGAAATTCTATTTTAAGTAAGTGTAATTATTAACCTTTAGAATAGGGATTTAGATGGCAGAAAGAAGTGGGATATTCAATTGTGATTAGTTATAATTATTTGGTATTATACATTTGGTTCTCTAAAACATATTATTATTTATCATCTAGATTATCTAAATATTATAATATATTAATTAAATAATGCATAATTTTCTGTTTGGAAATAGACTTTAAACTTACTCTCCCTTTAGTCCTTTTGGTTCTACTAAAAACTCTAAACCAGGCATAATAACAAAGATAAAAAACAAGATTTAAGATTTATTTCAACCTACAATTAACCCATGTAGTACAATTTAACGGATACAATGCTATAATGAATAAAATTTAGAATCAGAACTATCTCATTAATTTAAAAATAATCTTGTAATTGTAGATCACATTATACCAAATAATGAGTAAAATCTAACTTCAAAAAGAAAGTCCCTCTATCCCTTTGATTTATATTACAAGGAACTTGCCCAAAAACAAAATTAAAGTTCAGAAGAATCCTAAAACAATAAAGTTATCAGAATAAAAGATTAGTCACCTTATCTTACCAAAACCAAGAAATAAATGAAGTTTAAAAAAAATCATGCTAAAATTGAAAAATCTAGTAAAATGGAAGGTAATTTTTATTTCTATTAACAAATAGCCTACTAATAATAGAGAGACTTTGATTTTAATAAAAAATCTTAGAATTAAAATATTGAATCAAACTAAGAAAATTCCTCAAGTTTAATATCCAGTAATAAAATTAAAAAAAAGGTTTGTTTCAAAGATAGCATCGAAACTACTATTCCTTAAGATTAATAAAATGAATAGGCAAATGGATAATTGCATCAAAAAAGTTAATTTGAAATTTAATCTTTTCCAATCATTAAATAAAATTTACAAATCAATTGTTAATAATTGAATGATTAAAAATTGTAGATCTTTGAAACTCAAAATGTACACGTTTGCAAAAATGTTAACTTCAAATAAATTATTTAAGAAAATTAATATTTTTCAAGTTCTACTGGTACTAATACTAAAGGAGAAACTTCGGTGGCCTTAATGAATATAGAACACATTTCCTAATCTTAAAAAACTGATTCCTAAATCTTAGAGGAGAAAAGTTCAAATGATAGCTTTATTGAAATTAAAAATAAGCTTTTTTCTATTTTTAATCCTGAAGTTGGTGTAAAAAGTGATTTTGATAAAAAAAAAGAATTAGAATAAAATGAATACCAAGATAATAAAAGTACAAATTAAAATTAGATATCTTTAGAAACATCAGAATAATAACAATAATAATAATAATAATAACAACAACAATAATAATAATAATAATAATAATAAAATATAAAATAAAGATAATTAGTATTAGATTCAAAAATTATAAACTTGCAAATTTAATGCAATCGTTAAAACCTAATTGACATTAAAAATGAACAACAAAAATTGAATTCCCATTAATTGGGTTAATAACAAGAAATTTAGTTCAGTTAAGATGATAGTATCAATAATCATAGATTTGACAATATATTCAAATCTGATAAATAAGAGTTGAAATTGGAAAATAATTAAAATCTATTGGAGATAACTAAGGATGAAATGTTATAATAACCATCAATTCAAAAAAAAATACTAATTCAAAAATAAATAGATGAAAAACTTGAGACTCCATAATCTTAAAATACATAATTATCAATGAATTATGAAAGTACACCAAAAACTTCAAAGATCATTTAAGAAAATGATCAATAGAAAGAATTTAGCCTAAAATAGAACCAAAATATATAGTAAAAAAATCCATTTTTAGATACAAATTCTCATATCAGCTCAGATTAAGTAAGTTAATATTTTTTTTAAGGGTTTTTAACAGGAAATTAATAATTTCCTTAACAATCCTAACCATTGATTAAAAATCAAAATTTTCTAGATTTATTTAAGATGTAAACCAATAATTAACTTTTCAATTTTAATATTCCTTAAGATAATTAAGGACATCAAGCTTAAACATAAAACTTATGTAACTCATAGAATATATCTTAAAAGAATGATTAATGTTTAATTTATAAGCAAATGAAAATCATTGATCAAATACCATACTCAGAGTAATTCAATGTAACCTAACAAAATAATTTTCATTAACCAATATCAAATTAGTATTCACCAAATTTTGAATAATAATATTAATGCCAACCTGTCGCCTTTTAGTAATCTTAATCAAGTAATCCATTGATTAATTACTAAGCACCTATTTAATAAATGAACCTATATCCTAAAATGCAGTAATGTTCATATCAAATATCAAGCATTAATTTATTTTAATCTAATTCCTCTTTGTCAAACTCCAATCCAAATGGTTGCTAAGAAGAAGGCAGAATGAATCATATTTATACTAAACAAGATGTACTATCTTTTTTTCAAGATACTAATAAGAAATAGGATTAAAGTAATTAATAAAGTATAACTTTAGATTTATTTGTTATTGATTCCGTTTAAAGTAGTAATTCATAAAGTAATTCTTAATCTTAAAACTTAAATAACAGTTTTACAAGGGGATACAAAAAAAAACAACGTATTAATAATAACTGAAATGATTTTTAATAATGAATAATTATATATATATATAAAGGATATATCACTTTTATTAAAAATTGTATAATTAAGAATTAATGATGAAATCTTCATTCTTTTGAAACTCTAACATTCCTTTATTATACTGTTCTGATAATTATCCAATTTCATTATTAAATACAATAAAGTTAGGATCTAATTTTTTCTTTTGTTTTTATTATTATTCTTTTTCAAATTAACAAGTAATCTTTTTATTTTCTAAATCTTAATGATAAATTGGATAATTCAAATCTTAAAATTCCTAATTTATTTAAGTGATAAATTCTAATTATTTATAATCAATTTCAGGATCTCTTGTTTATTCATTTTGATGTATTGGTATAGGTTCATCTTAATTTGCTTATATTTCTTAATCAAATTCTGGTAATTAATATTCTTCTTTTTGTTAATTTTAAATTCTTTCAGCAACATTCTCTATTTTGCTATGTAATTTTTAATCTAATAAGATTTCTATTAATTCCTATTTATTCAATAGTCCTTTACGAGTGGCTTTTATTTTTATTACAAATTCCTTGAATGGTTACCAATTAATTTCAAAAATATCAATAAATATATTATAATCTTTAAAATAAGAAAGAAGCTCTTCCTTAGAAATGTATCCTGTTTTTTATTTATCTATTTATTAAAATATTTTAGTAATTAAGAAATTGAAATTTTTCTTAAAGATTTTCTAATCCATTTTAACTTTTTCATCTAGAATTTAATAAAATAACATCTATTATTTTTTCTTTCTCTTTTCTTATTCTCTTTTCATAATAATTGACTATGATTCTTAATCTAATTTGATTTCTTCTTAAGGTTTAATATAATCTTCAACTAATTCAAATTGATTTTATTATTTTTGTTTAACCCAATTATCTTTTTTTGTTACTAAATCAAACTCTTTTTATTCTTTACTTTCAAGACCTCTTTACATTTTATTCGATAATTCTTTTTTTATTTAATAATGTTCAAACTTTTATTGATATATCTTTTTTGCTTTAATTTCAGATTCCTTAATAGGTTCTGGTTTCTTAAGATAAGGTTCATATTTTGACACAATTCTATTAACAAAATCATCAAGTCTCTTATCTTCTTTTTCCTTCTTTTCTTATTCTATTTATTATTTAGTCTTTATAACTGGTTTCTTAAATAACTTTGCATCTTGTCTTTTTCTTTCTTCACGATTATATTTTTTTTCAAATTGTTCAGCTTTTTAATTAATAACTTTAACATCTTCATTAATTTTTTTGACTTGCTTATTAACCTATTTTAAATATTCTTAAGTTGGGATTTCAGGTTGATAAGGTGGATAAATATAATTTTATTTAGGTATATCCTCAATTTCCTCTAATACAGGTTTTCTTGATTCTTTAATGATCTATAATTTAGCTTATATCATTTTCGTATTAGTTGCACATTAAGCCAATTTTTCTGAAACAACTTAATTTAACATTGTTGTGAATTTTGATTATAAAATTTAATACAAATGTCTGAAGCATACAAAAAATAGAAGATAGATTCATTTGATTATTATGATCCTCCAGAGAATTATTAACCACCTGTATAATAATTGGATTAGAGCAAAGTGATTGAGGCATACAAAACTTTGATTATGTTGAAAAATCATATGTTTAAAGTGAATCTTCTACTTTCTCATGAGGAAGAGAATACAACTATAGCAGAATTAAAAAATATTAAAGATGAACTCTTATTAGCAAAGGAGGCACAAGAGAAAGAAATAGCATCATTATAAAAAACATAAGACAATTTATTTAGTGTAAATAGACTCAATGGTGAAGATATTGATAAATTAGCTAAAGCATACCATGAATAAGATAGAAAATGGTATAATGCAAAGCTTATTTAAATTGATACAGAAGAATAAGAAGCAGACATCTAATTTATTGGTTATTAAGAAGTGGTGAAAATGCATGCCATTTTTATTAAAGTTCAACCTATTCCAGATAATAAATTATTTACAGTAGGATAATAATGTGAAGCAATATATTCTTCAGATGGTCGATATTATTTAGGAACAATCGAAAAAGTAACAGAAGAAGGATATCATATAAGATTTAAGAAAAATTCAAATAGAGAAATTGTACCTTTGATTTATTTGAGGGAAGCTAAGAAATAGTTAAATGATTCTAAAAAAATGAATTTTGAAGAAATGGATGAATTTCAAGTACCAGATAATTTAAAATATCTACCCACTGATAATGAATAACAAAGATAAGCTAAAAAGAAGAAAATAAAAGCAATGAAACAAACATTTAAATTATCTAAAATTACTAAATATGCACAAGAGAAATAATCATCTTGGTAGTCTTTCAGCTAAAAAATTTCAACTCTCAAACCAGATCTTGGATAAAAGGCAGAAACTATTTATAGATAAAAATGTGATTAGTTGAAAGAATGATAAATAAATATATATTTATATATATATAATTTAATTTGTGATTAATGAAAAAAAAACTTGATTCACAAATATAAGCACTTGTTCAATCTGGTATCAATGAACACATTCGTTCAATATTTGTGATGATTGGAGATAGAAGCAAATATTAGGTTGCAACAATGCATTAATTGTTAAGCAAACTGAGTATGATTTAAAAGCCAAAAGTATTGTGGTGTTATAAGAAAGTAAAAATTTACTAATAAACTTTAAGGATTTGGGATTTACAACTCACAAAAAGAAAAGAGAATCTGAAATTAAGAACTAATAAATGAAGGAAGAGACTTAATTAAATGAACCATTCAATCTATTTCTCTCATCCAATGAAATTAGATATTGTTATTATGCTGAAACATAAAAGGTTTTAGGAAATACATATAATATGTTAATTCTATAAGATTTTGAAGCATTAACTCCAAATATACTATGCAGAACAGTTGAAACTATTGCAGGTGGAGGAATTATCCTTTTTCTCATTAAAACTATGTCTTCATTAAAACAATTATATTCTTTAACTATGGATATTCATTCTAGATTAAGAACTCCTAGTTTTAAAGAAATCTAACCTAGATTTAATGAACGATTCATTATAAGTTTGAGTAGATGTTCCAGATGTCTATTTGTAGATGATGAATTAAATCTATTACCAGTTTCCTCAATTGCCTTAGAAAAAATTGAGCAAGGAATTCCTATCAATAATAATTAAGTAGCTGAATTTGCTTAAACAGTTCCTAATGAAATTGCTTAAAAATTGATCAAAAATTGTAAAACATTAGACTAAGCCAAAATTATCTTAGGACTTATTGATTCTTTATAAGAAAAAGTCTTTAGATATACCATATCTATAAGTGCTGCCAGAGGTAGAGGAAAATCAGCAGCTATTGGTATGGCTGCTGCTGCTGCTCTCAAATTAGGATTTAGTAATATATTCGTTACAGCACCTTCTCCAGAAAATTTAGTTACTTTCTTTGAATTTCTAGTTTAGAGTTTGGAGACTTTAGATTTTAGATAGAATCAACACTTTGATGTAATATAATCTACCAATCCTGATTTTAATAATGCAGTCATTCGAGTGAATGCATATAAAACACATAGGCAATTTGTTTAATATATTCAACCATAAGACTTTTTAAAGGTAGCTAACAATGCTGATTTGGTATTTTGTGATGAAGCAGCTGCAATTCCAATATAATTTGTTAAGTCTATGTTTGGAAGTCACACATTAGTGCTTTCTAGTACTATAAATGGATATGAGGGAACAGGCAGATCCCTATCATTAAAGTTGTTATAAAAATTAAGAGAAAATAAATAGACAGGTTAAGCACGTTTATTAAAAGAATTATAAATGAATGATCCAATTAGATACAGTAATAAAGATATAGTGGAGAAATGGCTTTATGAATTATTATTATTAGATGCAAGTGATGCACCTAAATTACAAAAAGGATTACCACATCCAAATGATTGCGAATTGTATTTATGTAATAGAGATACTTTATTTTCATCACAAAAAACAAGTGAAAAATTTCTATTTAATTTAATGTCCTTGTTTATATCATCACATTATAAGAATTCACCTAATGATTTATAATTATTATCAGATGCACCAGCTCATGCAGTATTTGTATTATTAGGTCCATTACCTACAGATAAAACTATGCCAGATATATTATGTGCTGTGTAAGTGTGTTTCGAAGGAGCAATTCCAAAGGATTTAGTTGATTAAGTCACAAACTAATAAAAACCATCAGGAGATTTAATTCCATGGACTTTAAGTAAGTATTATTTGGATAATTAATTCCCTTAATATTCAGGAGTAAGAGTAATTAGAATAGCAACTCATCCAAATGCATAAAAAATGGGTTATGGAAGCAAGGCAATGGAATTATTAAATAGATTTTGTAAAGGTGAAATTTTAGATCCCTCTGCTTAATTAATACATATAGATTTTAGAGAATAAGCAACAGCAGATGATGAAAAAGATTAATCAATTTAACCAAAGAAAAAGTTACCACCTCTTTTAAAAAAATTAAGTGAAGTATATCCACCTTAAATTGATTACTTGGGTGTTTCTTTTGGATTAACTTAAGAACTTTACAAATTTTGGAGTAAGAATTAATTTAGTCCTGCTTATTTAAGTTTAAGAAAGAATGATACAACAGGAGAATATACATGTATTGTCTTGAAATCAGTAAAGGAAGAGGGAACTGGTATAGATAATTTATGCAAAGCTTATAGTAATGATTTTAGGAATAGATTCATTAATTTATTAGGATATGATTTTAAAGATTTGGAACCATATCTTTGTATTGATATTTTAAAAGCAAATGTTACAACAGCTAATGTTGATGAAGATATTGAGATAGCAAAAGATGACAAAATCATTACAAAAGAAGAACTTAAATAATAATTAAGTTTAAGTGATTATGCTAGACTAGAAAACTATTGTAAAAGTATGGCAGACTTTTATTTAATCTTAGATATATTGCCAGCAATTTGCAAGTAATAATATTATACTATTTAATAAGAATTTTCTTTGCTTAAAAATGTGGTAAAGCTATTAGAATGAGCAGAACTTAAGCAGCTTTATTGTTAGGAATGGGATTACAATTTAAGAATATTGAATTAGCTAGTGAGTAAGTAGATAATGCAGTGAATTAATCATTGCCTTTATTTAATAAAGCAATGAGAAAGATGAGAAACTTTATCAAGATGGTTATAGATGATGAGTAATAATAAAAAACTTAATAAAAATAATAATAATAACCATCAAAATAAACAGTTATCTAACAAAAGAGAGGAAAAGTCAACTATTAAATAGATGGATAATTAGATTAAGAAGAAATTTAAAAGGATTTATAAGCTGGTGATGTAGTAACTTTGGGTAGATCTAAAGAATAAGCTTATATTAATTATAAAAAGAAAGTAAAACTTGGATGATTATTTTATATGTACAATAAATTATATATATATATTAAGAATTAACCTTATTAATATTTTAATGATTCAAATAATCTATATATATATATATAGTGTAATCATAGAGTTAGTATAAAAATTGTTAACTAAATGTACTTATAATTTATTTTATGATATTATTAATCAAAATTATTTTAGAGTTATAAATTATTGTACAAATATTAATTTTCTTATTTTAGTGATTTTTAATGTGAGTAAATATATTATTTTCATATAATTGGATTTTCAATAATTAAATCTTGATTAAATAATAGACAATTTATATATTAATAATCAATCTTCTTCTTGTATAGACAATCCTTATAAACTAGACTTTATAGCATTCAACTGTTTAGAATTGATTTAAGGATTTTTCTCTAGAATAGTTTGACAACGCTTCCAGATCATGAATGCTGCTTTAGGTCTATTAAGTAATTTATTAGCATTGGCCATTTAATTTAATGAGAACACTAATTTAGAATGTTCTTAGCCACACAATTTCTCATAGATAAATAGGGCATTAGAGTGTTATTATATGGAAGCTTCATATTTACCAACATTGAATAAAGCACATCCAAGATTATTATAGGAGAGTGCTTGATATTAATTCAAAGGACCCAAAAGTACTTAACTGATTTCTCCGATCAATTAAAAGTAATGCATGGCTTGTTATTCCTAATTAATTATAATTAGGATACCTTTTTAGAGGAGAGTAAGAGACGCCCCTTTTCATTAATAGAATCTATGGTTTCAAAGTTATGCAATCCAAAGGCCTTTATCTTCATCTTATAGGCCTAATCATGATACTTTTATGCTTCTTGCACTAAATTCTAGCTAAAATTGATTTTTGCAACAAGTTCCATGGCAATAGCAATATCAGGATGATCACGTGGCAATAGCATCTCTCTTTGCTGTAAACAACTAACAACTAATTAACATTTGATTTGCATACTCTAATGCGAAATCTAATCCATATTTGCTTCTATCTGTATCCATATAAAGTCTAGCTTTAAGAAATAGAATGTTAGTTTTGAGTAAATCATTCTGATAGGATGGATTGAGTAGATTAGCCAATTGTTCAGCTTGATTTATTGAAACTTCAGCATCATCATAAAAACACCAAGCTCTTTGAGAATTGGCAATATTGATATAGATCTCAATTTTATAATGAATGAGTGAATTAGGCACAACATTCAAGAGGCTCTTCAACAAATGGATAGAATCAAGATATCTAATCTATCTAAGAGATAATTATGTACCGACAAAGCCAAAAATTGATTCTCTAATATGTGAGGACATTCAATATAAATAGGTTTATATTAGCAAAACCTTTCAAATAATAGAATGCACATTGTACACATTACTTTGAAATTTCCAATAAGCTTAATTTCAAAGCTACACTACCATATTCAGTATAGAAAGCAGCCAACATTTCAATGTTACATGCTCGTCTTTCGAATACTTTAAAATTAGGATCATATGCCTCAAGATCTGTACCTAATTGCTTGAGTTATTCATAGGCTTTTCTGTATTGTCCCTTGAAATGCAATTCCTAAATTTATTTTAATGATTGTTCCAAAACATTCATTTCTTTATAATTAAAATAATGTATTTATTGCATTCATTGTTTAATAATTAAAATATTGTCAATCAATTTGAATATGCTTCCTTTGTAAGTGTAATATATATCTAAAAATAATCCAGGTCCTTTGATTGTCAATTCTATTCCATCATCTAAATATTATTCAGCAAATCTTTGCAATTTCCCATAAATAGCAAATTTGAAAGGTAATTCTATGTTAGGTTAAGCAAATCCTACATCATATTAAATCTTATCTATTTCTATTTCAGCATGAGCCTTCTATAATAATTAAAGATATAATAAAATTTGATTCAAATGTTTTTATTACAAAAACTAAGGTAAATTCTCTTATTTGCATAACTTAAGATTTTCCAATAATTTTATAGTATCCTTTTGAAATTCTGCCTTTCCTTATATTTCCAAATTCATTTGATAAATAGCATTAGAAATACTTTCACTTAATTTATCAAATGATAAATCACTTTCAATTAATAACTCACATTCCTCTCTTTCTTATGATCTTTCCATTGTCTCTCTAATAAATTAACAGATCTCCATAAACTCTTACAACTCAACTTCATTAGCATATTTAAAAGTGATATATGCATAATGTTCATCTACATGATAACTAAGTGCAAATGTGGGCTTCAAAAAATCTCGAATTTATTTCCTAACATCTCGATTCTTTATTACACAAATGAAGTTAAAATAGTATATGTACTCTTACACCTTTCTTTGAATTCACTATCGGCAGTTTTTACATCTATGTTACTCTTCACTTTCAATTTGATTACTATCTCATAATCATCACTCTTAGTTTAACTGTAACATAATCTCAAACTCATATTCTTCTCCTTTACTCTTCCTAAAACTATCTTAAAATCATATTTATTTTCCTATTGATACATTTTTTAATTAACTGATTAACAATTTAAATGAAGGCTTTCCGCTATTAAGTTACTCTCAATATAAGCAAAGTAGAGCTCTCTGTTAAATTCCCCTGTACTTTATAAGTGATGTGGAAAAGAGGGCTCAATAAATGTTTGACTAGGACCAAAGAAAAAACTAAAAATATTTTCATTGTTAATGAGGTACTTACACTAGATTTCAATGTTGGTGAAAATACTTAAAAAAAGACTCATTTAATAGCTCTTTTAAATGTTGATGGGTAATCGAAATTAGCTGGAGTTGTTAATTTTAATATTAATGAAACTATGCCTATTGAAGGATAATGTGCATTAAATTTAGAAAGAAGTCCAGATCCAAATGCAAAAATCTATTTTACTTATTAAGTTGTTAATCTTGGAGAAACTGATCTAAGTGAAAGTCGTGCCAGTGAATCATTTCACTAAAAAACTCTTGCAGATTCTTTTGGTTTTGATAAAGAAAATTTAAATCAACGAATACTTAGTTAAAAGAAATCTTCGACTTAATAAATTTCTAATTATGAAGTTCTATTAACTAAGGAATTATATGAAAAGAGTCTTAAAGATCTTGATTAATAAAAGATTAAAAATAATCAATTACAAGATTAAGTTAAACAATTATCAAATGAAAAATCAACTTATACAGAAGAAGTTAAAAAGTTAAAAAATGAAATTATATAACTATAAAATGAAAATGAATATTTGGAAGAATAATTTGAATCATCAAAATAAGAAATTATTAAATTAAAAGAAAATGCACATTAAATAAATTAATGTCAAATTTAAATTGAAAAAATGAATCATGAAATTGAAAATTATAAAATTCAAAATTCTATTTTAGAAAATAAATATTAATAAACATTCAAAAAGGCTAAACAATTAGAAGAAAAAGTTGAATTTTCACATTTTAATAAAATTGAAAGATCAACTAATACTTAATTTCATGAAATTCCTGAATATGTTTAATAAAATACTACAATTTTACAATTAGATGAATAAGTTAAAGAATATAAAATAAAAAATGATAAAATAACATATGAATTGTAATTTACAAATAATAAGTTAAAAACTTTAGAACAAGAATTATCTTAATGTAAATGTTAAATAATATAATATTAAACTTAATAAAGTCAGTTAAAAGAATAATGTAATAGATTTGAAATTGAAAATACAAAATTAAAGATGTTGATTAAATAATTAGAATAAGATTAAAATAACAAAGATAAAGTATAAAATAAAAGCTAGATTGATTATTAAAAATAAGTAGATTAATTAAAAGATCAACTTTAATAGAATATAGAGAAGGTAATATTTAATATATTATTTTATATATAGTTAGAATAAGTCAATGATAAGTATCGATAAGCTAAGGAGAGAATTCAAAAATAAAATGATATAATTGAATAATAGAATGATGAACTCACCATGTAAAATATGACATTTCTTAAAGAGCTATAATTAATTGCAAAAAGGCAGGAATAATTTGGGATTGTTTGATATTTTTTACTTTTTAGTTATTTTTTGTTTATATATTAATTATCCGTTAAAAAATGCTTAAAGTCTCTAATAAATCTAGAAAGAATGAGTAATTGGAAACCATATAAGCAATAGAGAAATGCACAAGTATTAGTAATTGTTGTGTATTGTAGAAATAATGAAAGAAGATCGTTTATAATTAAGATAAATGGTAAAAGATGAAAATGTCAAATTAATTGAATTAATAGCCAAACATAAAAAAAAGAATGATTTAAATGATTTATAATAAGAACTTAGAAAGTTTTTAAAAGAAAAAAAAATATCTCCAGAAAAAGTTTAAGGAGCACCTGTAGTTTTAAGAAAAGTGAAATCAAAAGAGAGATATGAATGGAATACTTCTATGAGTTCAAATCCTTCAATAAGATCACCTAGCAGATCAAATTTAGATTTTAAGAAGAAATAGAAAGAAGAATCAAATAAAAAAATAGAATCTTAAAAAAAATTAGAGAATTAAAAAATAGAATAAAAAGAAAATGATGATTTAAAAATATTAGATGAAATTCAAGAAATTAAACCAGAATAATAAATTCTTATTTTTAATACAGCAAATTCAGTAGTAGATCCTTTTCATGAGGATTTAACACCTGTTAAAATGGAATTTTAGACTATTGTGTCTTAAACACCATTGAATTAAAGTGATTAAAGAAGTGAATGCATATTATAATATAATGCTGCTGAAATTTAACATTATATGTAATAAGATAAACATTATGTATCAAAAGAAACCTATATTATACCTTAATTGATTAGTTTAAATTATAAACAAATAGCACATCCTGATTATTAAAATTTGTTTACAGATTGGAAATCTCTTTTAAAACCTGAATTACCAAGATATCATTTGAAAGAGTGTTGTTTATTTGAGGAATAATAAAATTTAGAATAATCAAAATTAATAAATTTGAAAATTGATCAATCTCAAATAGTTAAGAGTTTAGAAATACGTGGAGTTACAGCAGAAGAATTATTTACATATTTGGTTCATCATCGATTTACTAAAAGATTGAATTAGTATTAATTAATAGAGAATGCTAAAATATCTATTCCAAATGCATAATTAGATTTAGAGTCTTTGTTCAAATTATCAGATCATGATGAAGATGGATGGATAAGTTTGGAAGAATTAGGTTAGACATTATAGGATACTTGTGTTGAGAAGGAGTAACATATGAATCCAATAAAAGAATTGTATAATAGATTAAGTGGAAAGGTGAATATGGAAAATTTTATAAATTTAATGAATGATCGAATTTAAGGGGAAATGTAATAGATTTTTTATATAAATATTTTAGACTTTATCATGAAATCGATTTATTTAGTAAGGGCTTCATTACTTATTGGGAGATGTATAATCATTATGAAGAAATTGAAAAGTTACTAAAATAATGATAATTTTTAATTATATTTAATGTTAAAGTCACTATTAAATGGATTTCTTAGTTTGCATCACTAAAATCATTAATTACTCTATTAAGATTTATACAAATATTCAACAGAAACTAATTCATTCAGCAATAATATGTATGTTTTAAGCAACACAAAAAATAAATTAAAATTTTCATTGGTTCTATTATCAAAAGTAAAGTCAATACATTTTTACTTACTTATGTCATTTACAACAATATCCTATGTGTCTTATTATTGGTAGAATATTACATAAGGATATTTAAACTATTTGGATAAACAATTTAAAGAATAATAAAAGAAATTAGAACCAAAACCTCCTATCACAGGATCTTCAATTGTTATCAATGAAGTATTAAGAAAGGAAAGTATAAATAAAATGTTGGGAGAGCTGATTGTAAGAATAGATAATAAATAATCAACTTAACATAATGTAGCAAAATAATTATGTAAATTGGGCAATATATCATTTTTATATGATAAGACCTTTGTTTTAACTAAAGATCTATTAATTCAATAGGTTTTTAATAATGATGATATATTCTTAAAATTTAGAGACTTGTTAATTAAAGTTTTGAATGATCAAAGAGCTTAAGTTGTTACTTTGATATGTGATTAATTAAGAACTAATGCAATGGATGTAGCAATAAGAAATTTAGCAAATTTATACAATCAAGAGGGATTTTAATAAGGATTATCAAATGCTTTGATAGGTGGATTATATACGTATTTAGATGATAGAAGTACTGTAACTGAGTTATTGAAATTATTATAAAAGAAGAAGTGAACCGCCGTTTTTTAAATTATAAATATTATAACAAAGTGTTATCATTTTAAACCAAAATTCGAGTATATTATAAAAATAATAATTTAAATTTGAAACACAAAAAATGATCATTTAAAATTAAGAATTGAGCGGCAACACTAAGACTTAAACATTCAATCCTCTCTCTAATATATAAGCAAATAAAGTAGTACTAAATTAGAATGAATGTGATGAGCCTCTTTTAAAACCAAACCCAAATAGATTTGTACTATTTCCTATTAAATACAATGATATTTGGAATATGTATAAATAACACAAAGCAAGTTTCTGGACAGCTGAAGAAATAGATTTATATTAAGTAAGAAAATTAAATAATTAAATTTTAGGATCTTAAAGATTGGGAAAAGCTTACTGCTGATGAAAAGCATTTTATTAAGTATGTTCTTGCCTTTTTTGCAGCAAGTGATGGTATTGTGAATGAAAACTTGGCCTAATAGTTTTGTACAGAAGTTCAAGTTCCAGAAGCTAGATGTTTCTATGGATTTTAGATAGCTATGGAAAATATTCATTCAGAAACTTATTCACTTTTAATTGATACATACATAACAGATGAAAATGAAAAGAACTATCTTCTTCATGCTATAGATAATGTGCCTGTTATACAAAAGAAGGCAATGTGGGCTATGAAATGGATAAATGATAATGATTCATTTGCTGAAAGATTAATTGCTTTTGCTGCTGTTGAAGGCATATTCTTTTCTGGTTCATTTTGTGCCATTTTCTGGATCAAAAAAAGATCATTAATGCCTGGACTAACTTTTTCTAATGAATTAATTTCAAGAGATGAAGGTCTTCATACAGACTTTGCTTGTCTTCTTTACAAACATTTAATCAATAAATTAAGTAATCAAAGAATTCATGAAATTATTTCATCTGCTGTTGAAATTGAAAAAGAATTTATTAGTGAAGCATTATCAGTTGAATTAATTGGAATGAATTCTAATTTGATGAAATAATATATTGAATTTGTTGCAGATAGATTAATATTTGCATTGGGTGCTCCTAAGATTTATAATGCAAAAAATCCATTTGAATGGATGGATATGATATCCTTATAAGGTAAAACTAATTTCTTCGAAAGAAGAGTTGGAGATTATTAAAAAGCTGGAGTTATGAGTAAAAAATAAGATAAAGTATTTACTATGGATGCTGACTTTTGATTAATTAACACTAATATATTTAAGTTATATATTCAAATTATAATTGTATATTTAATGTTGTAAAAGTACGTAAAAGAATAATACTTTGAAAATTTGAGAAAGTTCAAATATAACGGATAAAATTTCTCTATTTTATACAATTGGATCCTTGGAGATATTGCCTAATTTGTTGTAAGATATTAAGATATATTAATAGGTTGATCATTTACCTAAGACAGTTGCTCCAAATTTAATTACTATTACTGGATTTTGTACATTATTATCTAGTTATCTATTAAGTTTATATCTTAATCCAATGTTTGATTAAGGTCTACCTTAATGGGCTAGTTTGTACATAGCTTTGACTATTTTTATTTACTAAACTTTAGATAACGCAGATGGTAAATAAGCTAGAAGGATTTAACAATCAACTGCCTTGGGAATGCTAATGGATCATGGAAGTGATTGTACTGCAGCTTGGATAACTGGATAATTATATCTAAGTGCGTTTAAGATTGCTTTTACACCATTTTCAATGTTGGCTGCAATAGGAGTTGGATTTGGAGGTTTCTTTTTTGGAGTGTATTGTTAATAACATACAGGAGTATTTTAATTAGGAGTAATTAATGGAGTTGATGAAGGTCTTCCTGTTATTCAATTGTTCTTTTTGATAACAGCTATTAAATCTTCAGAATTTTGGTTAAATGAAATTGAAATACTCAATGGAATCAATTTATAATATAATACAATATTATTATTGATAACTATCATTGCATGCATAATTACTATAGCATAATTTTGTTATCCAGTGTTTAAGAAAATGAATTGGAATATCATTACAATCTTAAATAGTTTACATTTACCTATTGCAGTTGTATTCACATTTATTAATTTAATCTATTTGTCACCAACAAATGTTTTATCTAAATGGTTTCATATATATATGCTTACAATTGGATTATAATGGTCTAAAATTATCAATATTTGGCAATTAGCTATCATAACCAAAGAAGTAATTTAATAAAATATTATTATTATAGAATTTCAATCAATTTTCATTCACTTGGTTAATTACCCTAGGGGCTATCATATTAAATTTGTATTCTCATTATTTTACATCTGATGGGTTTTGTTATTTTGATGAAGTAGAATTGATTTTCTGCTTATTAGTCTTTTCACTTCTATCTTATTTTCATTGTATCTTGAGTATAGTAACACAATTATGTGAGATTTTAGACATACATGCTTTTAGTATCAAACATAAATTATGAAATATTAAATTATAAAATTATCATTATCAATAATGCTAATCATAGATAAAATTATTGCTATTTGGTAAAGCATTACTTTTGGAACCAAATTTGTTTTAATTTCTAGTATATTGTGCTGCATCCTTGACATCCTTAACAATAATTTACTATTTAATCTCTTAGTAGATATCCCTAATTTAACAATCTATTAATACGAATTATGGAGATTACTTATTCCATAATTCTTTCATGGTATATTTCAAATCAATTGAAAATAGGCAATATCTATAATCTAAGCATAAGTTTATTAGGATTTTTGGTTTGTGCAATTGAAGTTGAAAAAAATTATGGTACCATACCCTTTTTTTGTGATATATTCTTTAAGAATCTGATCATTTAAGTATTTAAAATTCATAAATAGATTATTTATGTTTTGTTATGCTTTTCACTTTCTTAATTAACTTTAGATGTTCAGGATACATAGTCTTTTGGCTTATGGAATATGACTTTTATTTATATGTTGAATAAGTATATTCTGTCTTTTTTTAATTTAGAGGACTTGCTGATTAGGATGATTATTAAAAGTTTCTCTGTTTTCCATTATATCTCCCATCAAAATATTATCCTCCAGCATTCTTTTTAATTATGAATTCAATTGAATATCCTAGATTAGATCTAATAGCAGCAACTCTGTTTGCATTTATTGAATATCAATTATTTGATGGTTTCATGATGAAATTATCAAAGGTAATTTTTAAGATTATAATTAAAGGGATTTGTGACAAAAATAGAATAATCATTTCCATTCAAATATATACAATCACGTTAAGATTTTATTACATGTGATTAAATTAATCATTCATTTAATATGAATGATGCAAAAATTGCAGAATACTAATTAGAGATAGGAATGATTTCAACAAGTGAATCTAGAGTATAAGATTAAAATTAGATTTGATAAACAATATTTAAATATATATATATATATATATATAAATTTATCTATTTAATATACTTAATGTGATTATCTAATACTCATTTTTTACCTCCACCACCAACATTAAATTTGAAGAAACAGATGTCTCCATCTTCCACAACATACTCTTTACCTTATTATCTATACTTTCCTTCAGCCTTAACTGCTGTAATAGATCCCAAACTTACAAAGTCTTCATACTTCATAACTTCAGCACAAATGAATCCTTTTTCAAAATCTGTATGGATAACTCCAGCAGCTTGAGGAGCTTTAGTTCCTGCTCTAATAGTCCAACATCTAACTTCATCTTCACCAGCAGTGAAAAAATAAATCAAATCTAATGCTTTATACCCAGTTTTAATGATTCTTGGCAACATTGATAATTTTTATCTCTCTTATGTTAAACTATTAGCTTGAAATCTTGATTTATTATAAAAGAGAATTACTCTTCAAAAATAGCTTTTTCTAAATCTGCACTATAAGGAATAATATCTCCTGGACAATTACCATCAACCCAATCTTTAATACCTTTCAACCATTTATTCTTTCTCGTCATAAAATCTTATTAACTTAAGTTCACCAAATAAACTACATTCTTAGCTGTAATGAAATAGTATTTATTCAATATTTCAATCTCTTTAAAATTCCAATCTCCTGTTCTTACCCATTTCTTATTATCTAATAATTATTTCACTTTATCCAAAACTTCTTTTTCTTCTCTAGCATCTTTATTGTTGTTTCTTTTAATTACATGTTCTGTTTCTGCTAATCTATTATTACAAAATTCTAAATCCTTCAACAACAATTCAGTTGATATAATATCCATATCTCTATTCAATATAATTATCTAATCTACCTAATTGGATCAACTGATAATTCAGTATGACAAACATTCTCATCTTCAAATGCTCTAACTACATGATAAATTCCATCACATTCTTTTATATGTGATAAGAAAGCATTTCCTAAACCTTCTCCCTTATGTGCCCCAGGTACTAAACTAATTTTATTATTTCAAATATCAATACCCAGCAATATCAACAATGCTCAATACAGCTTGAACTTCACTTTTTGGTTTGTGCATTTGACATAATTTAATAAATCTATCATCTGGAACAGGAACTTTAGCATTATTTGGATCTATTGTGCAGAATGGATAATTTTCTGCTGGAACATTCAATTTACATAAAGTATTAAATGTGGTCGATTTTCCTATGTTACATAAAATACATTTCTTACCCACATTTGCCATACCAACTATACCCATCTTAAGTGTATTACTAGGTCTTCCTAATTTATTCTTCTTTTCTTCTTGCTATTCTTTTTTAGGAGGCATTTAAATCTTAATATAAATGTATTTATTTTTTTTATTTATTTAATATATATATACTATCTTTAATTTAAACAGTGTATGTATATCATTAGAATTAGAATATATTTAATCATAATAATAATAAATGTTATGCCATAATACAGACCTAAGAATAATTTGGCTAGAATTATTAAATAGGTAATATAATATTAAACTCATTATCCTTTTGACAACAAATCAGATTATGATTGTTGTTATTTTAATGAATTTTGAGACTTTTTTCCGAAAATGACTTTTGAATCATAATTACTCTTAAACTAAATCTATGTCACTGGCTTTTCCTTCTAGAATTAAATACTACTCTTATAAGCACTCGAATTAAATTAAGTCCATTAATTTTAAATCTTTTCCTATGACACCCTCTAAGAATCGAGATAAAGATTCCCTATCTAAGGTTCATTTTTCAATTTTTCATTTTCCTCATTTAATGATACAATTTAACTCTTAAGTTAATCAATTTATTTATCTTTTCTATCTATTTCGAATTTGTGTTGTTTTTACAAATAATTGTATTTCTGCTAAACTATTTCTAATTGTTGTTTCATCTACATATGTTATTACTAAATATCAGCCAATTCTATCATAGCTTTTTATTCCCTATTATTTGCTTCTTGTATTTGTTATCTCAAATTCTGGAGTATGTCTTACCATTTAATAATTATTCAATACTTTCTCTTCTTTAATTCTATTCATATAGTATATCCTGATCTCTCTTTACACTCTCCAATTCTCCACTCTTCTATTTGAGTTCTCTTATTAATCTGTTTATGTCTTCCTTATATTTCTCTTCCATATCTTTACGTCTCTCATATTCTTATTAAAGACCCTAATACTCTTCTCTAGTAACTTAAAAACTTAAACAAAAATTATTCTTACTCATCATCATACTTTCACTTTGATTTGTTGGTCTATTTTCTTCACATTCAGCACTTTCAGACTTCCAAGTCTTTAACTTACTTAATATATTACTTCATTTTTTTTTAAATCATTTTAGAACGAATTAATACGATCATCTCTTATCTCAAATGTAGAATCTCTTTAAAATAATGCATTTATTTGCTCAACAGACATATACACAGGTTGATTGTTCATATATTAAATATATTATATATAATTTATTTCTGTATTACAATATCAAACAACAACAAAAATATTATTCCAAATTTTCTTTTAATTTAATTTTTTAAGAAATAACTTTATTCTTGATTTCTTCTTCTGCGACTAAAATCCACCTTATCATAGTAAAACTTGTGATTTATATACTTTTAATTATAATATAAATTAAATTATCAAGTTTTAGTTATCATAACTAAGAATTCGTTTCATCAAATGGAATTAATTTATTAAAATAAAATACCAAATCTAATGTTAACGGAGTAACCAATAAATGTTATTCAGTGTACTTGATAAAGAAGTTTTTTTAGTATAATTACAAAAATTAATACTTATTTGACAGTCTTATCTGAAAAGTAAGATAATTGTCAAAATTATTAACACTTATTTCATTAAAAGTATTTAAAGAATACTCCATATCCTAAATTATGTTGAAAACTTAAATTAAGAAAATTTTAAAAAATTAAGCATAAGTCTTTAATTTTACTATCTTATTACCATTTAAATTCAAATTCACCTTTCCTGAAAAAATATAAGTATTTAATAATTTATTCAATAATTTTACAATATTTATTGTTTTTATTTTATATTAGCCTAGCATTAAAATAGACATGACTCCAAATTTAAATTACAAATTAAAAAAGTTTTTCTTACTATTAGAAAATTATTCTACTAATTGATTTGTTACAATTTATGGAACTTATTTTTTCTTATTATCCAATTTTGGATTCTCTAAAATTAAAATCAAACTATTATCAGTATTGAATTGACAAAGTCTGATTTTTATTTTTGTTCTTTTCGCAATTGCAAGACAATTTCCGCTTAAATTTGTGTAATCATGAATTATCCATTTCTCTAATGCTCTATCGCCTACCTTACAATTTCTTACAAAATTCCTAATATTACAACCATAACACAAATTTTGATTGTAACCCAAAAATTACTACTCTTAATTTACTTAATGCACATCTATTTAGAGCTTCTTTTCATTATAAATAATTTTTGTAAAAGGTTTATTGATTAAAGTTTATAATTGATAATTGATTGTATCTTCTTTGTAATTCATTAAAAATTACTACCTTTGTGCTCTATTACATATATATAACACACTTATTAAAAATACTGCAGTAGTTATAGTAAGACCCAAACCTACCAAATCAAATCTACCTGCATACAAGGTAGTCGCAACTAGTCTGAATATTAAATGAAATATAACAGATGGACAACTTAAATAAAAATCTGTAGCAAAATATGTTACTGCCTAAATCAAAGAAAAGCTACTTCCATATAAATAGTATTCTTAACCATCTATATTGCTAGCTGTAAAATTTAATTACAGTAATAAGATATAAGCATTTTCTATTGTCATTATTTTCTATGTTAGAAAATCCTTTTTATATACAATGTAAAAACTGATTATGGTTAGGGCAACAAAAGTGATATTGATAAATGGTATTTCAAAGGATTCCCTTGTTGTTACTTTAATTATCTGAATTGTATTCAATAATAATGACATTAAAAGGAGACCAAAATGGAGAGGCTTGAGTGATTTTTAAATCGACTGTTTTTAATATTTTAATTCAATATCTGCAGCCTTAAATTATAATGTAAGTTTATTCATTAAGTCCATTTTTTTATTGTTATTAACACAAAAAATTATTTTATAGTGTCAATCATAAATAACTGTTGAGTTAAATAACATAAAAATAAATTCGATTAAGACGCTTGAGTACTTTTTCTGATTTAGTTTTTTTAGTTTCTTTTATTAAACATTGTATTAGATTAGATATTTTTTTAATTATATTAGAAACGATTACCATTAATTAATAAAATGGAAAGAAATTAATTTTGAGTATTTACATAACTTTAAATATATAATACTTTTCATACAAAGCTTAATTTTAATTTTTATAATTAATTAATGTATTTATTTGAATTGAGAAAATGAATGTTAAAAAAGATCTATCTTTANCTAATGCTCTATCGCCTACCTTACAATTTCTTACAAAATTCCTAATATTACAACCATAACACAAATTTTGATTGTAACCCAAAAATTACTACTCTTAATTTACTTAATGCACATCTATTTAGAGCTTCTTTTCATTATAAATAATTTTTGTAAAAGGTTTATTGATTAAAGTTTATAATTGATAATTGATTGTATCTTCTTTGTAATTCATTAAAAATTACTACCTTTGTGCTCTATTACATATATATAACACACTTATTAAAAATACTGCAGTAGTTATAGTAAGACCCAAACCTACCAAATCAAATCTACCTGCATACAAGGTAGTCGCAACTAGTCTGAATATTAAATGAAATATAACAGATGGACAACTTAAATAAAAATCTGTAGCAAAATATGTTACTGCCTAAATCAAAGAAAAGCTACTTCCATATAAATAGTATTCTTAACCATCTATATTGCTAGCTGTAAAATTTAATTACAGTAATAAGATATAAGCATTTTCTATTGTCATTATTTTCTATGTTAGAAAATCCTTTTTATATACAATGTAAAAACTGATTATGGTTAGGGCAACAAAAGTGATATTGATAAATGGTATTTCAAAGGATTCCCTTGTTGTTACTTTAATTATCTGAATTGTATTCAATAATAATGACATTAAAAGGAGACCAAAATGGAGAGGCTTGAGTGATTTTTAAATCGACTGTTTTTAATATTTTAATTCAATATCTGCAGCCTTAAATTATAATGTAAGTTTATTCATTAAGTCCATTTTTTTATTGTTATTAACACAAAAAATTATTTTATAGTGTCAATCATAAATAACTGTTGAGTTAAATAACATAAAAATAAATTCGATTAAGACGCTTGAGTACTTTTTCTGATTTAGTTTTTTTAGTTTCTTTTATTAAACATTGTATTAGATTAGATATTTTTTTAATTATATTAGAAACGATTACCATTAATTAATAAAATGGAAAGAAATTAATTTTGAGTATTTACATAACTTTAAATATATAATACTTTTCATACAAAGCTTAATTTTAATTTTTATAATTAATTAATGTATTTATTTGAATTGAGAAAATGAATGTTAAAAAAGATCTATCTTTATAATTTATATACATTTTTTAATATTCATACTCAAGTAAGTCATTATATAGATAATATATAATAATATCATAAATATTTTAGTTAGTCATCTTTTAATAATACTATATTTGATAAGTGAAGCTCTTATTATTTTCTCTTTTTGTATGATATCATTAGGCATATAAGATTTGTATATTTTCCTATAGAATTGAAAAGATTTATTCAATTGATTAACTAAATACATTTCTGCTATTGTTATAAAAACAAGTAATTAAAATACTACCATGACAATCAACAACACTAGTATAAGAGTAAAGTATTGATCAATTAGATCCCCTAGATCATTAGACCAAGAAGTTAGTAAAGCTTTAAAGGCAGATTTAACATAATCTATGGCTACATTATATTACCAAATAGTTTCCAAATTTATCTATCCAAATCGACTTTCCTTATTTAAAACATAATCTAAAAATAAATGAATTATTACCTTCAGTCACAGATGAATATAATTAATTAAATGCAACTACTCCTTATTTTAGTTTACCATTCAGAATAGTCTAACAATCTTCAGCAGCTACTTAACTCAAATAAGAATTTTCTTAAAGATATTAACATAAATTGCCAAAATAAATAGATTAAAAACTTGTATAATATGTTCCATAATTAGGATCTTCAATAGAAGGAGTACTTTTGATATCAGTAATTTATTCTTCTAAAATTGTCTAAATTTGTTATAAGCAATTTTAATTATATTGATCAGGATTGAAATATTTCTCTTTGACTGAAACCAATAAAAGTTAACTATCACTGAAATCTTAAATGGAATCAGAACCTGTAGTAATTAATAGTGTAATTTATTATGAGGAATTGCTCAATGTTAAGAAGAATACTAAGGATGCAGAAGATGAAAATAAAACATATAAGATATAGATTAAAGACATTTTAATAGTTAATTTTTTAAGTAATTACTTTTCAAGAATCTACTTATCCTTTCTTTTAGTAAGGTTTTAGTCTTCAACTTCATTAATAAGTAAGAAATTTTATTATTATTAGAAATTAGTTTTAGTATTAATTTATAGTTTTTTATCATTTAATTGTAGTATGCCAGATATTTCATCATCTTTATTTAATATGTATTAAAATTAAGTTTAAACAAATTATTATTATTTGACAATTTTATTTAAATCGTTTTTTTTAATCATTATAAACATTTTTAATACTGCTTTAAAAGTCTAACAAATCCATAAAATAATAAGTAATAATCCAAAGAATCCAATTATAAATATACAAGATTCCAAAATTAATATAATGATCACAAAATCTGACATTGAACTAGCTTTATTAATAAGAATATCTTCTAAAATCATAACAGCATTATTAAATTCTAAATATAAAGTTGGAACAGTAACATTTCTCATATATTTAACCAAAGAATTTGATTCATTTAATTTAATCAATTCCTCAGCAGATAAAATAGATACTTAATGTTCAACAAGAATTATCTTTGTAAATACATCCTTATAATCTAAAATAATAGGCACATTTTGAATTTAAGTAATAGTTTAATCAGTAATAGAATTACTATGAAATATTGATTCATCTAAAAAAGTTTCTTATAAATTAAGATCTCTAATTTGTAATTTTAAATATTCATATCCTTAATCAATTTATAAAGTTTGATAAGTAAAGAATTTATCTTAAGTATCAAGAGACACTCCTTCTACTAGTAAATTCTTAAAATCAGCATTTTTATAGAGTAATAAATCCATAACTGTATCATAGGCTTCAATAATATAGGTTTACATTTGAGATAATTGTAAAATACGAGCAGATTAAGTTTTAATTGGTAAAAAGTCCTAGTATATAATAATAATAATAAGTTTACTGAATAAGGTTTAAGAAAATATGTTATTAAATTTAATGTTAATATTGTAACATACATAAAACGTAGAAACCAAGTAAGATATGAAATTTTAACTAGTAATTTTCTAGGTTTATTATTATCCTCTTTTCTAAATATATTATCAAGAACATTTAAAGAGAAACTTTAAGTACCTTATTACATTTTAAATTAATTTTAAAAAGTTTCCCAATTAATCATTTTTGGTTATCCTTTAAAATCTACTAGAGCATCTTTTTCTTCCTAATCTTCCAAATTATCTTCTTTTTATAATTAATATCCCAATCCATTTGATTTAGATGCTACTTTGATTTTAACATTAGAATTGGTTGGAGATGATTATGGTTAATGAGGTGAAACAATTTTACTTTCTCCATCACTAGTCATGGTTAAGAATTTAGCACCATCATTATTTTATATACTTTTAAGTCTTGACATTTCTAAGATTTATAATAAATATATATAGAATACCTCTAGATAATCCTTTATTTAATATCATATAAGATTATTTACGAACATTTTAACGAATTTTATTTTTGAGTATTTCTGAAATGTTAGAAACTTTCATGATTCCAATTCGTTCATCTCTTATTTTATAAAATGAGATTGTGCAAATAATTTTAAATGATTTAACTTTTTATTAATCTTTTAAGATATCTTAATATATCTCTTTGATTAAATCATAATAACCTCTATCTTCATCATTCTTTCTTCTTTCAGCTGCTTTTTAAAACATTAATCTAGCTCTTTTCTTAAATTCTCTTTATTATGTACCTTATTTAACAAATAATTTTTTATCATTAACTTTAGATTTCCCTTTATCTTTTTCTCTTTCTTTATCTTATTTTTCTTCTAATTTAACATGCTTGAATTATAAATAAATAAATAAATACATCATCTTATTATTTCTTGATTTAATAAAGTTTATATTTAGATTCTGTATAGTGTTTACATGCAGCTAAAAACTTATCTGATAATTTCATATGAAAAGATATAGGTTCTCCATTATTTACTTTACCATCTAAAACAAATTATCCTTTCTATTTAATAATTTCATCTTTGCTCATATTATCATCACTTGCATCTCCTCCTCCACTTGCATGGGCATTATTATCAAATTTAGTTTAAATTCTTTTATAATTACTTTAAAATTATGTTTCATACATTTTTTTAATTTATTCATCAACTTTCTTATTTTATTATTCATTTATATCTTTTTACATTTCAGAATATTAATCAATTTAATGTTTAAAGTCTTAAACATCATTTTTCTCACTAACATTACTAGTTTATTATAAAAATTATTTATTATCATCTGGAACATCTAAAGATTGCATTTATAAATAATTTGATGAGAGATCAACATCAGAATGTAATGCATTTGTACTTTTACCAGGTATTAAATTATTAGAACCTGAATTTGTCATATTAACTTATATTTTAAATTATCCTGGTATATTATTAACACGTTTAATAGATTTACCTAATGGTTCATCTTTTTTCTTTTTAATTTTTTGCATACCAAATAATTCTAAATCAGTCTCTTCATTAATTAATTAACATGCTCTACTAAATTATATTAATTTAGGTGCAAATAACAATATATTTATTAATGTTTAAATTTTCTATTTTTAAAATAATGATTAATCTATTTATAATGATTAAATCACATTAGGAGTCATACCATTTATTTCCCAATCTTAATTCAATATTATTACATCATGTTTTTTTTCATTATTTAAATCAGTTGGTCTAATCATTACTACAAATTATGATTATCCATTTAAATCTATATAAAGTTTTAGAAACTTTTAAGCAGTGAACATATAACCACTTTTATGTATACAATATACTTTTCTTTATGAATATAATGAATGTCCTCTACCTGTTAATTTATAATCATTTAATAAAGATGGATGTACCTTTGAATAAATATCAGGCATTAATTATGTTATTTAAAATTTATTAGATATTTCTTCATTTGTATATCCAAATATTTTTGTAAATTATTTATTTACTTTAATAATTAGAGCATCAGGATCATCAGTAGTTTAGATAATACATGCTTTTTTATCAAATATAATTTTCTTGCTTTTTATATCTATTTTATCCATATCCAATTTTTATTCTTAATCTGATTTAACACTAGCTATATCTTCTTCTAAATTATTTTCTTATACTTCTTCAGAAAATATATCATTTTCATTAACAGATAATCCTTAAAAATTATCTAATATTTTATTTTTTAATTTCTTATTTTATATATATAAAGTAAACCAAGCATAATAAAATTTCCATTTTTTTTTGAAATCCAAATAATTCTATATTTATACCCATAAATTATTTGTTTATTCAATCTTTTCAAATTAACTTTTAAGTAATTCATCCAATTCCTATAAATCTATTACTTCTTTCTATAAACATTTCCAAAATGCACAATTTTATATCATTATATGATTAATATTCTATTTTATTGTTTCTATTAAATCTTCTATAAATAAAGCATTCTATATTTCTAATTTCTCTCTATAACTTTCTTAATTTCTATGTTTTATATATCTTATAATTTTCATTTTTAATTAATATGCTTTATATCTATTTATAACAAATAAAAACCGTTTTTCTAATCCATTCAAAATATGTAATGAAATTTAATGATTTTGAAATTTAAAGAACATATAACGAGCATAAAGTAATTATAATTCAATAGAATTTGGATTATCCATTAATTTAGTTTCAATCCATGATTTTATTAGAAACTTTACAAATATATTTTTATAAATAAGCCAATCATCTAACATTACTTCTTTCTTTTTCTTAGAATCAAATGTTTTCTTCTTTTTACAAAAACATCTCCCTTCTCCCTATATTATTGTATGTCTACATTCTTATTCCATATGTCTTTATAAAATGCCTTTAAAATATAAATCTACATTTATATCTTAATTAGTAACTTCAAGTAATGAATTTACAATAAAAACTTATCTTGAAAAATCTGTATCACTAGCTCTCTCATAATCAATATCTTCATAATTAGAATTTCTTAAATTGTAAATAAAACAACAAACTAAAAATATAAAAGACAAAGTAAAAAAAAGACTAAAATTTTCAAATTATTGTTCTACTGTATTATAACGATATAATTCATCTATCATCATTGAAAAACTAGATGACACCATTATTATTAATAATACTAAAAATGTATTACGTGTAATTGAAGTGGCAAAAGCCATATATCCACTATAGAATAAACAATTTAAAAGAAAAAATGAATATCCTAAAAATATACAGATCATCATAATCCATAAATAAGAATAATCATTAGAACTAAATAGAATTTTATTAATACCTAAATGAAATTAAAAAAGCTTAAAAAGCTCTAAATATATGAAACATAGCTAAATAGAGTGAATTTTCTGTATTAAAACAATCCTTCTTTTAACTACTATCATTATGGAAGAATACACTCAAAAAAAATATGTTGAAAACTCCAAAAAACACTCTGATGTAATATTAATTAATACCCTAATGCTGATATAACTATTAATATTTTTCTCTCTGAACTCATTGAACAATCTAAAGAAGGACCACATACTATATTCTCAAAAAAGACTACTAAGGCTGGATAATGGAATATCCAAATGTACCATTCAGATAATTATACAAATTTCTAAATAGTACATATATTACTTTCCCAATAAACTTTTTTCTTACTCTATAATCATCTGATTGTAGTATGTAAAGAATGAAATATAATAAGGTATTACCTATTGTGGCAAGTAAAAATATGGATAACATTATATAATTTATTGTAATGTCTTGTCTTAGTAAACCTTGAATGTCAAAGTAGGTACCAGAATCTATTATTTAATCAAGAATTGTTGACTCAGATTTATAATGAAGATTTATCACGTTCTTATATCTGAATATACTGATTAAGGTACTATCGAATTTAACTCATTATATGATGGATAAAGGCAACTATAAGCATTATTATGGCCTTTGTATATGATGCTTATTTTAATTTCAAAAGATCATTAAACAATTTGAAATGTTCTTCCAAACCTTTTCCACTACGCTTCTTCTCTAACTCCTTCTCTTATTATTATAGAGTGGGTATCACTTATTCTTTATCCATTCAATTTATTAAATAAATATAATTATTTATGCAAGAGTGGTGTACAATTGAGTCTGACCCTGGAGTTTTCACTGAGCTCATCAATGCAATTGGAGTTTAAGGAGTTCAAGTAGAAGAGATCTATGATCTAAATGATGAATAATAGATAGCATAAATGCAACCAATTTATGGATTCATATTCTTATTCAGATGGACAAGTAAGGGTGAAAAAAGAGAATGTCTTAAAATTTATGATCAAGATCTCTTCTTTGCAAATTAAGTCATTTAAAATGCATGTGCAACCCAAGCCATCATTTCTATATTACTTAATTGCCCATAAATTGAAATTGGAGAAGCACTTAAAAATTATAAAGTAATACACAATTTAATCATCCAGGAATTTGTTATTGCTTTAGATCCTAAAGAAAGAGGCAATTGTTTAGGAGCTGTAGATGTCATTAAGACTGCTCACAATAGCTTTGCTAGACCTGAACCCTTCATTTTCTCTAATGATAAGAAAAAAGCTAAAGTAAGTGTCCCACTTTTGATTCTAGGAAGGTGATGATGTATTTCACTTTGTCTCTTATATCCCTTTCAAAGGAAAAGTATATGAATTAGATGGTCTCCAAGAAGGACCCATTTTGATAGGTGAATATCAAGATGATTGGATTGTCAGAGCAAAAGAAGCTATCTTAAATAGGATTTAACATTACTAAGAAAAAGAAACTGCCTTTACTTTATTAGCTGTCAATTAATGTAGAAGATTCAAAGTATCATCCATAAATAATTTAGGCTAACAAAATAATTGAATAATCATAAAATGAAATATTCTTGAGTCTCAAAACTTTGGAATTCATAGGAGTAGATTTAACAGAAGAATAAAAATAATTATTACTTCAAATTTCAAATTAATAAGTAAATTATATAATACTATTATAAATTTAAGAATATTGAATAAGAATTACTACAAGAATCTTAATAAGAATTATTGAATAGATTAACTCTTGCCAAAAATAGAATTTAAGAAGCATAAATTACTCTTAGCGAGGAAAATGCAAAGTTTTAAAAATATAAAGTACTTCTTCCCAAGTTATCACTCTTAGGAAGAAAATTCCAGAAGGAAACACAACTATATTCCATTCATTTTAGAACTTTTTAAGATGGCTCAACGAAAAGGTCAACTTGAAGGATTATTGGAGAAAGCATAATAAAAGTAATAATAAAAGTTATAACAATAAATGAAAAAATGATATTTAAATTTTTATTATATGAGCATAATATATTTTGAAAAAATTTAATTAATTTTGCTTATATATTTTTTGAATAATTTATCTATGTATTCATTAAATTATAAATGTTAAACAAGTATAAATATCAAATAAATTTATTTTCTCTTAATTTTAATCTAACTTTATTGATTTAATCTTAAATTTAATCCAATTCTTGTTCAAGTTATTCCCTTTTTCTTCTTTCCAAAGCACTTTTTGATATATTAATCTTTTTATTTAATTCACTTTCTAAAGTTTATTTCTTTATTGTTAATTCATTTAATTAATTTGTTAATTGCAATTCTAAATCCTTTTATTATTAAGTACGAAAATCAGATGGAAAATTTAAAATTCCTCCTTAATTATAAGTTATTTATTATGGATCTTATTTACCATTTTATTATTTGATTTAAGATTAAACTAACATCTAATTGAATTATTTAAGACTGTTCTATTTTTTAAATTAAGTGTAAGCATTTATTAAATTATCATTTTCTTGCAATCCTTCATGTTTAGAAGCATTCTAATTTACATTCTGAAGAATTTATTATTCACTACTATTTGATTAATTACTATATACACTATTCATCATATTTGTGGCTTCTCGAAATTAAAATTATTAACTTTGTTTTTTCTAAATTTATTAATACTATTCAAATTGTTATAATAATGATTTAAATTATTTATCTAACATAACCTATAAGTTATATAAATAAATATACATTTTATTATTAAACATTTCTAGTTTCTTTTTCAAGTAGATCAATTCTAATATATGCTTCATTCAATCTTAAATTTGAATCCTCTAATTTCACTTCTGTTTCTTTTACTTTAACTTCTAGATTAAAACACTAGTTTTTATAATGATTGACCTATTATTTAGCTTCGTGTAATTCTATTAATTTTGAGTCATAATCTATAGGAACTTAAAAATTTTGTAGATGTTGTGTAAATTATTATTGCAATTATTATTAGATTTTTTATTACATAGATTGAAGTTACTATTGTTATTAATTTTATTATTGTTAATATTTTTGACTTTGATTTTGTATTTCATCCATTGCTTACATATATTTTTCAAATATTTCATCTCTTTCCTATTATAATAAATTGACAATCTTGTTATACTAAGTTATTATTAGATTGATAAGAATTGATTGTTCAAGAATCTTTTCATCTCTTATTTTCATATCTTCATCTTTATCTATAACCATCTACTTTAAGTTTTGGAGGTTTTATTCATAAAATGAAATTAGTTAAATTTAAACAGCTTCCTTGTTGTATACTTTTGCTTTGCTGTCAGAATTTGAAATGAAATTATTATTAAATTATTCAATAGGTTCGGTAATCTGTTTTTATCCACTAAAGAATTTTCGTTATTATTCAGTTTTATTCCCAACTTTATCTGAATAGATTTAAAATAAGTTATCCATAGGTTTATAAGGAGATGAACCTCCTTAGCTTAAACATTCAATATAATTTCCATCAACATCATCCATTTTGAATTTTTATTTATATAAAGATAATTATATATAATCAATCTCTCAATTTTAACAGTGTCATAGATACAAATAAAATCAATCTAAATTCTTTGGTTTACCATATTCCCATAATCCTTCTCTTCTAACTCCCTCAGCATTAATTATAATTCCATCTCCATGCTATTTGCCATCCTACCAATATCCTTCATATCTTTTCCCACTTGCCCAAGTGAATACTCCATAACCATTCTTTTTATCATCTGCATATTCTCCTTTATAACTTTTACCATCCTTCCAAATACATTCTCCTTGACCTTTAATAATTTCTATAATTCTAAATACCATGCATTTTATTATTTAACCATTATCCCTTATATTATTTACCATCTTTCCATGTATAACAACCATATCCACAAATTTCATTATTCTCAAAGTTCCCTTCATATTTAGAACCATCTTAAAATTACATATATCCTTGTCCATGTCTTTTTCCCTCTTTGTAAGTTCCTTTATATTCAGTACCATCAGGCCATGTTTCTTATCCTTCTCCATCCTAAAGATCGTATTTCCATTATCCTACATACTTTACTCCTCTAAAATGAATGAAAACTCCATGACCATGAGCCATATCATTCTTCCATTCTCCTTCATATGAATCACCATTAACATGCACTAATTTTCCTATTCCTTATGCTTTGTCTTAAACAAAATCTCCTTCAAAGTAACTGCCATCTTTCCAAATGAATTTTCCTTTACCATCTTTTTACTAATTTAACCATTCTCCCTCATAACTAAGCTAGTTCATAAACTCTACATATTCCCTGATTTCATTGTTACAGGAGTTAAATGAATTCGGCTTCCATTATTAGATTTTGCTATTTCTTCCCTAAACTCTGGGAGTGGTAGGTTATCATCTCAATTAGATTTTAAATTAAACCTTCTTAAATATTTCTCCATTTTGGAAATGATTATTATTATTCACATTTATCATCCTCTGGTTTATCAGTATTTGGTTGATATACCTCTGGATTATTCGATTCTTGTTCTTCATTAATTATATCTTAATGTTAATGACATCTACAAGCATTCCCCATTATTTAATGATTTGTTATAAATTTTATTGTATTAATAACTAAATTTTTCTTGAATTCTATTTAGATCTAATATATACATATAAATATTTGATTTCAATAATAGTTACAATATAGCTAATCAATTAAAAAAACTTAAAGAATTCAAAATTTGTATGATAGTATTAATTATATGTATATTATTTTAACTTTAATTCAAATTCTAATTAAAATTTCTATAAATTCTAGAATTACAATTTATATTATAGATTTTTAACAATTTTTATAGAATCATTTAATTAATGAGTATGAATTAAATAAGAAAATAATATTATTTATAAGAATCCTTTGTATTCTTTATATATATTTATTTAATTAAATTAATATAGATGTGTAAACAATTGAAAACAAATTTGTACTTTTTTATAAATTCTAGAAATTTTATGTGTTAATTTTATAAGTTTAGTATGTTGATTAATGATAGGGAATATTTAATTAAGGTAATTTTAGAAAATGAAAGGTTTGCAGAATAGATTACGCTGATGCAATTGTTCTAAATTTATTTAAAATTGAATTTATAATTAATTAAATGAAACAATCAGTTCAAAGATATTCTGTGAAAATACCTAAACATGATGTTATTGATAAGAAAGTATACTATACAATAAGTGTATATAACTTGGAAGGAGGTTAACCTAAAGAGATAAAAAAAAGATATTCTGAATTAGAGTCCATGCATTAAAAAATATTAGAATGGATTCATATATTCAAAATAAAGATTCCAATGATAAATTTTCCTAAAAAGAAGTTTTTGTTTCATACAAATTAGAGTGAAGAAAGCATTATTAAACGAGTAAACTTTGATTGTATTTAAAGAGAGGAGAATTATAATAATATCTGAATGAAATTCTTGCCTGTCCAGAATTACATTGTTTAGGAGTAATTGAAGAGATGCTTCCTAAAGATCCTAAAATAGGTACATAGAAATAAAATGATTAACCTGTTGATAGAAGATGGCAAGAAATACAATAACTCAAAGAATCCTATTTAGCAAAACATGGAGATTCAATATTTTCATTGCCTCAAAAAAAAATTGAGTTACAAAACAAGTATTAACTTCTAATATTTCTAGATAGTAATATATATTTAAATTTGAAGATCATATAATATTTGATGATTCTGCATTATATACAATCTAAGTAACAGATACTATTACAAACAAAAGTTGGAAATTTACTTAGCGCTTTTAAGACTTAAGAGATTATCATAGGCAATTAAAAAGTATTCATCTTGATATTCCTTTGCCTAATTTTCCTGAGAAAAAATTAGTAAATATCTCAGATGCTACTGATTTACGTGAGAGAAAATCTTAGTTACAAGACTATTTAAATCGAATTTTTGGGTATTAAATCAATCATATAATAGCTATTAAACAATAGTCGAAAGTGATATTATGGTATTTTTCATTGCAAAAAGTTAACTAGATGGTAATGAAATAGGCTGTCGATCTAAAGGAACTTCTTAAACCACTTTAGAAGTAATTATAATTAAATATGTAAAGAACTCTAGTATAAAATCGAAAAGCCAAACTACAATTGAATAATATGATGATGATCACAAATAACCTCGAAAAATTACATGTTGAATTTTTTTTATTTATTACTAATATGATATAATATTAATCCATTTAATAGTAATTATTATTATTCCTATTTTCATATTTCAAATTTACAAATCTAATATTATTAATTCTATCTAACAATTCATATCTTATTTCATGACTCTTAAAATATATATTATTCATAAAAGTCTAATAATTAATATTCATATATATATATATAAATTATTAATAACTATGAAATTATCATATGCACTTTATAATCACTTGTCATCTTTAAAAGTGTTTGAAACAATTAAGCAAGCCAATAAAAATCCTATAATTTTAACAGAATCATAATAAAACTTAATTGAAAATGGAATTGCAGTAGGCAAGTTAGTTAAATCTATACATAATTTAAAATAAGAGATTTCATAAAGGTATTAAACATCCATATTATGAGAACTCTGACTCCAATAGTTCAATTAGATTAGCTAAAACAAATAACTACAGCATCAACAAAGTTATATAATTGGAACATAATCATAAATGCAATAAATTAATTGTAAATACCTAATGACATAAATAATGATATTAAAAAATTGATATTGATGGGAGATGTTTAAGTAATTGAAGATACTTTAAATTAATTATTTGATTTCTATCTAAAAATGCAATAAGTCAGATTAAGTAAATCAAAAACATCCCCAATTCATAGAAATAGAATTTTATCTGAATAATAACCATAAGGTTAAGGTTATAACCATTTAAACCTTAGTTAATCATAAGAGTAAATTTAAATATCTGATTCAAATACATTAGAATACTTTACATAATTATTGTCAAAATGGTTAAATTTGTAATACAAATAGGTAATATCATTATATGCAGAAAACTTTAAATTTTGGGCATAAATTGTTACAAAAGGAGTTCAAAGAGTTTATGAACCAATAATCTCAATTTATAAAGATATCTTTTTATCTGTTGAACATCTATAAAATCTGATTTCTATGGAAAAAGATAAAGCATTAGCTTTTTCATTAAATCTCTTAAAACCAGGATTGATTTCTAAATCACCTGAAGTATGTATTGAAACAATAAAAACCCTTGGAAATTTTGTTATATAAGCTTATAATAATAAGATTTCATATAAAGAAGATATATATTAATGGTATGTTGAATCATGTTTTTAAACAACACTTTTATCAATAAAAAGACATCCATAATTAGTAGATTCTTTGGTTGATTTAATGATATTATTTTGTAAATTTCATTTAGTTGATCTTTTTACTTCAATTTTGAAATAACATAGTGCAAATAATATAGAAATGTTAATAAATGTTGAGAAATTATTTAATTCACTTACACCTGACTATATTTTAGAAATTTAATCTATGGGTATAATGTAACAATGGTTAGAATAAGGTTTAGAAATTTTTGAAAATACAAATACTTTAAAATCAGATGAAAAAATATGTATTTTAAGACTCATTCATAATATTTGGCTAAAAAATCAATATTAATAATATTAAGAAAGAGTGCATAATGTTTTTAAAATAGCAACAACAGATCCAAGAGAATGTGTAGCTATATTTTCAATATAATTTTTATTTTCTGCTTTAGAGTATTTTGGAAAAAATAAAATTCCAGAAGCTCCAATTTTATATAAAATGTAAAAACATATTTATATATAGAATTGCCATTTAGCTTGTAGAATTAACAAATGAAAATTTAGTACATTTTATATTGTAAAATCTATTAATAGTTTTTTAAACTATGCCTACAATTCCTTTATCTATAGTTCTTGATCCATTTATTGTAAATTTACAAGAGAAAACATATCCTAGTTTATTTGTTTTTAATTTTCTTGGAAATGTTGCTAATAATCCAAATTTAACAACTAAATCATAAATATAATTGATGGATTTATTATCTAAAATAGCTATTTATGATACATTACATTATCGTATTGCATCTTAAATATTTCTTTAAATGGTTACAAATACATAAAATACACCAAGTACTTAAGAATTTGTATAAAAATTTGTTAAAATAAGTCTTGCTGTCTATTTTTCTGTACATAAAAAATCTGATAAAAAAAAACCAAATTAATAAATTGTAGATAAATAAAGAAAAGCTTAAATAATTGAAGTTTTAAAAAGTTTAGTATAAATTAATAATGAAAATATTAATTTAGTAATTAAAATGATGGCTGGCCATACAAATTTATAATTCAAAATGATATCTAAATAAAATAAAGGACTATAAATACTTTTATCTTTACTTGGTGATATAAATGAAATTATGTAATAAGTTGAATTAGAATATTAAGAAGCTTAAACTAATAAATAAATCTATTCAGAATCATCTGTTAAAGAAGTATAATAGGTTTAAGAGAATTTAAAGAAATTCTCCAAAATTAAACTTACAAAAGAAGAACAATATCATTTGGCTAGTTTAAGAATGCCAAAAGAAACTGATCCTAAAGTTATTAATGATATTTCTACTATAAAAAAATAATATTAAGAGAAACAATTAGAAAAAGAGATATCAAAGTTTACTTAAGAAGAATAATTAAAATAGAAAAAAGAAAAATTGAGAAGATAATTAGAGAAAAGATAAATTGAATAAGGAATTGCATCTTTGAATTAAAAAGATGTAACTGTTAAGTTATTATTTCCTGATGGTAGTAGACAAACTGAATTAGCTAAAGAAAAGAAACATGGATTAGTAACATTTGAATTATTAGATTTGAATTTAGAGGAAGAGATAGAAAAATTAATGGTAGAATAGATTCTAAGAAAATATACTAAAGTTTTTAGATATATTTTTACAAAATATGCTAATACTTGTTTATAAGGAATGAAATAACCTAATTCTTTTGATTAATATTAATAGAGGACTGAAAGTATAAATATTGCAGAAATAAGTAAATTTATTCATGATTATGAAATTGCCATATCAATTGAAAATGTATAAGCTTTAGCAAGGTAAGTAGGAACTTAAATTTTACATAATAAAACTGAATTTAAAGAATTTGATTAAATAGGTTTTAATTAATTTGTGATTTAATTATCTATAGTATTATCTAAGAATAAATTAGCAGATATACAACCATATTAATGTTTAATTAAATTTATTAATCATTTAAGAAGTGTGACTGCTTCCAAAGGATAGAGTACAGCTTTATTTGATGATCCAGAATCTTAATATTTTATGGAGAATGATGTATATATCATTACAACTTTAGATTATTAAAGAATTCAATTAACAATTACTAATAGATCCAAATTATGAATTACCATAAGGATATAAGAAGATTACAACTTTTGAAATTCAATTCTCATATGAAATGCCTGTACTTGATGATAATGTTCATGTACCATATTAAATTCTTAATGATTTATTAAGAGATGCTTTGGGGTATATAAAATTATAATTTAAATAGAATTAATATTATTGAACCAATTTCTAAAAAAGTAATTGTGTTTAAGGCTAAACCTGATGCTTTTGGATATATTTAATCTAAATTGTAATAAGAACCTACAGATGATTAATTTAAAATTAAACATAAAAAAACAAAGGAAGTTAATATAAGTTTATAAAAGAAAAAAGTTCTTGAAATTGAACCTAAAAGGGAATTATCATTAAATATGAAATTGGCTATTGCTAAATGTAATCTTAAAGATAAATTCATTGCTGAAAATGTTGCTAATCTACTTGATGATATGATATTTGCAATAGAACATAATAAATAATAAGCTACAAGATAAAATTAAATTATTAATAGAGTTTTAGAAGATAAAAAATAATAATAATTAGAATAGGAATTATAAGAATAGAAAAAAGAATAATTGAGAAAGTAAAGAGAAAAAGAAATTAAAGATAAATTAAAAGAAGAAAGAGAAAAGTAGAAATAATTATAACAATCATTAGAAAAAGAAAGATTAGAAAAAAATAAAACTGAAAATAATTTGAAAAAAGAATAATTAGATAAACGTATGAATTATCTAACTGAATAGAAATAAAAAGTATATATTATTTTATATATATATAGATCAAAGAAAAAAATGAGAAAGAAAAAGAAGAATAATTGAGAAGAATATTAGAAGAAAAAGATAAAAAAGAAAAAGAAATTTAAATGAAGAAACATAATTTTTAAGAGTTCAATTAAAAATAAATAACAAAATTAAAAGAAATAATATCATAAGGATAAAACAAATAATAATAATCAGAAAAAGAAAAATAAGATTAATTGAAAAAATAAAAATATTTACTAGAATAAGCAAGATCAAAAATATTAACTTAAAATTAATCAAGAATATAAGAATAAAAGAATTTAGAAAAAGAGATTGAGAATAAATTTAAATCTACATCATATCAAAAAATAATAGAGAAATATTAATTTGGATTGAATTCTCTATTCTAATTCTTAATTAAAGAGACATTTCTACCAATTGGTTAACCATCTTCAAGAGAATAAATTACTTTTAAGACTTTTGCCTGGTTTACAGATAGATTTAATCTCTGTCCTGAAATTGTATCTAAAGATGATGTTCTATAACTTTTTAGATATTTAACTAGATCTAAAGAAGTTATAGATGGTATACCACCAGGAATGAATTACGATGAATTTTTATAAGCATTACATAGAATTTCAATTAAAGGAAGTGTTATATTTAATAAAGTTGCAGTTAATGTAAAATCTTAAAAAGGAAAACTTGATATCAAAACTATTAAATAGATTGTAGAAGCAGAACAAATTGTTGATCAAGAACCTTAAAGTCAATCACCAAAAGCAGAATCTATAGTAATAGAGACTCCTTTAAGAAATAAATCTAAATCTAATTATCTTGAGTCATCTAAAATATTGAAAGAATAATAAATATTTTTCCAATAATCAAATGAATAGACATTTGAATCATTAATTCTATATTTAGATGTGAGCAATGATAAAAATTAATTAGATTAAAGATTTAGAAAAACATTAGAAGAAAGAAAAGTTCCAACTAAATTGAGAAGAAAAAGTAATTATAATATTTATTTTAGTTTTGACTGAAAAGCTTGGAATTTAGAATTGATTTAATGATATTTTATAAAAGATTAAATATATTTATATATATCTAAATCTATTCATAAAATAAGATAAAATATCATATATAATGTATATATATATTTTGTTANAAGAAGAATAATTGAGAAGAATATTAGAAGAAAAAGATAAAAAAGAAAAAGAAATTTAAATGAAGAAACATAATTTTTAAGAGTTCAATTAAAAATAAATAACAAAATTAAAAGAAATAATATCATAAGGATAAAACAAATAATAATAATCAGAAAAAGAAAAATAAGATTAATTGAAAAAATAAAAATATTTACTAGAATAAGCAAGATCAAAAATATTAACTTAAAATTAATCAAGAATATAAGAATAAAAGAATTTAGAAAAAGAGATTGAGAATAAATTTAAATCTACATCATATCAAAAAATAATAGAGAAATATTAATTTGGATTGAATTCTCTATTCTAATTCTTAATTAAAGAGACATTTCTACCAATTGGTTAACCATCTTCAAGAGAATAAATTACTTTTAAGACTTTTGCCTGGTTTACAGATAGATTTAATCTCTGTCCTGAAATTGTATCTAAAGATGATGTTCTATAACTTTTTAGATATTTAACTAGATCTAAAGAAGTTATAGATGGTATACCACCAGGAATGAATTACGATGAATTTTTATAAGCATTACATAGAATTTCAATTAAAGGAAGTGTTATATTTAATAAAGTTGCAGTTAATGTAAAATCTTAAAAAGGAAAACTTGATATCAAAACTATTAAATAGATTGTAGAAGCAGAACAAATTGTTGATCAAGAACCTTAAAGTCAATCACCAAAAGCAGAATCTATAGTAATAGAGACTCCTTTAAGAAATAAATCTAAATCTAATTATCTTGAGTCATCTAAAATATTGAAAGAATAATAAATATTTTTCCAATAATCAAATGAATAGACATTTGAATCATTAATTCTATATTTAGATGTGAGCAATGATAAAAATTAATTAGATTAAAGATTTAGAAAAACATTAGAAGAAAGAAAAGTTCCAACTAAATTGAGAAGAAAAAGTAATTATAATATTTATTTTAGTTTTGACTGAAAAGCTTGGAATTTAGAATTGATTTAATGATATTTTATAAAAGATTAAATATATTTATATATATCTAAATCTATTCATAAAATAAGATAAAATATCATATATAATGTATATATATATTTTGTTATAGAATGAATATTCAATTATAATTATAATAATGTTAATAAAAATAAATTAAATTACATTAATAAATAATAAAATTTTATACAATAGTGATCTAATCTATAATCTAATGCTTAAAAGCATATTATTCTAAAATTATTATCGCTTTACAATTTTATTATTATTATCTAATTGTATTTAATAATATTATTTATTCTATTTTTTATATTAATTTATATTTATACTAGAATCACATGGTTGCATAAGTAAAATATAACATATTTTATAAATAAAGAGTGATCTAAGTGAAAAGTCTTTAAGTCATAACCAAATATCAGATTCACTAAAAAAAGTATAATCAATTTTATAATTTATCCAATTTTTGTTTTAATTCAGAAGATTAAATTTAAGAGTTCATCCCATATTATTTAATTTTCATTCAATTAAAATTCTCTATAAATATTATAGATTAAAATAAAATATCAATTCAAAGAAAAAATATATGGAAAAGCGAGATTAAAATATAAATTTTAATTTGAAAAAAAATGTAAACCATAATCTTATCAACATATTAAAATATAAATAAGAAAAATAAATAGGGTCATGCAAATCAAGTAAAATTTATAAACTATATAATCATTCAGTAATTTTTTAAGATCAATAAATAATAAACATATTTTTTTTAATTAGATCTTAAAGAAATGGAAGTTTAGTTATTTGATTAATCATAATTTTTTATTTAACATAGAAAATTATTTAAATTTGATATCAAATAATTAATACCATAAATTTCTTACAATAATAGATGCTAGTACTAATGAGACTAAATTGATTGTATTGAATTATGAATAAAAAAAACGGATTTAAATTAATTATTAATTATTAATTAAATTACCATGAAGTTGGTCATCTTGATTCTGATTCTTACAATATTTAGTACCTAAGCTCAAACATAACTTAGAGGCAAGAACAAATTTGGTATGGTTGGCCATAATTAAGACTAGAGTAGAACGATGAATTAATAGAAATGAATAATTAATATACCCCAGAACTATAAGAATATTCATTATTTGTGCAATTAACTAAGCCCTTATATGAAACTGCACCGATGGATGTTATGTTGCTAAACCATGAAATGGAAATAGCTAGAATGATGGGTACACAAGGAGTAACTTTGAGGAATTATGTACTTGAAGAATCACCATTTAGTCCTGCTTGGTGACTAATGTTTAAGGACTTCATTTGATATTTCCTATTTCATATAGAATCAATATCGTAAAACCATATTATTTTCAAACTACATAAAAGTCAGTTTGTAATCATATTTATTTTTCTTATACAAAGAATAAAATGATTGGAGAGACAAATAATCTATTTTCTATTTAATTTATTGACTAAATATTCTTGTAATTAATAGCTTAAAATTATAGAAACTAATAATTATATAATTTAAAGCAATTTAATGAAATTAAAAAGTCATGCTTATCTTATAATAGTAGCTGTATTTTAAGATAAGTCATTTAATACAAATAATAATAATATGAAATATTTTGAATAGCAACACAATTATTAGTGATTAAATTAAAAATTAAGATAGAATAGCAAGAGTAGCTTAAAATTTGAGAATAAAAAATGAATTAGCTCAACGTCATTCTCAAATAAAACCGAACTTAATCTATTTTTACTAGTAATTATTTATTTTATCAGTTTTATTATTAAAATTTAGTAAATTATCAAAAGCCATAAATAGCCTTTAAATGGGGGAAACTAATTAGATAAGAATATTGATAGATAAATTTATATAAATAAGTGTTAGAAATTGAATGTTTGAAAATGAGATCTAATAAAAATTGTATTCAACAAAATATTAATTAAATTGAGAATGGATCATTGAAATTTATATTTTATAAGTGAAACAAAAAATAGATAAGTTAAAATTCAGTAAATCATAGCATTAAGATATTAGATAAGTATTTGAATTTAGATAGATTTAAAAATATTTTAATTTGATTGGATATATGTTGATAGTTAATCATGATTATCTATAAATATATAATAAATAAAATGATTTCTTTGATGTTGATATTTATTGATTATTTAAAATGAATAATAATATAAGATAATAATTAGAGTAAATGAATAAAGGAAATTCTAAAAAGAGAACTTCTTCATTCAATAAATAACCAATCATCTATACACATGATAGATGTGATACCTAATAGAAGCAATTTTATTGTCCAAAATCTAAAAAAGATGTTAAAAATCTAATAAGCGATACTAAATTGAAATCATCTTATGAGAATACAATGGTTATAATGCCTTAAAATGTATCATTTAAAAATGTGTTAACAGAATTGGCTCATAAATCTGCTAAGAAATATATTAAAAAACATATGAAAAAAACACCAAGTACTTCTTTACATACTCCTGCTGACTTTACCATTAGAAAAACTGAATAATAATCATACTTAATGAAGCAATAATAATCAATTATTCATTAACAATCTTAATAAACTTCTTATAGATCTTTATTGTAACATAATAAGAGAAATTAATGGATTGATCTAATTAATCAAAAGAGTTCAAATTATATATAATCAGATCAAATATCAACTACAGAATACAAGTATTAAATATTTTATATTAGAACATAATTGGATATAATGACAACAAATAATTTAGATTGGAAATATCCATATACATGTTATAAAGAATAGAGAATTCATAGAGATGTGTCTCATATAGAAAATTTAGAATTTGATTGTTGGAAAGAGTTATTAATGAATCGATTAATATTACGCTAAGCTAAATGAGTTTAGTTAACTAATTATAGGTCAACTTATTCTGAATTATTTATAGAATTTTTATTCTGATATAGTGTTATTCATAATATTTCTCGAATCCCTAATTTAAAATAAAATTTTTAAATAATTAAAAATGTCTGACGACGAAAATCAATTTGAGCAAGGAAATGCTGGATCATCCCATACCTACACAGAAAGTGCAGGATCATTAAAAAAAGGAGGATATGTCATGCTCAAAGGACATCCTTGCAAGATTACAGATGTTTCAACATCTAAAGCAGGAAAACATGGTCATGCTAAAGTATTTCTATATTATTCATATTTTTTTAGGCATCCATTGTTGGAAAAGATATCTTCACAAATAAGACTTATGAAGATTCAGCACCAACATCTCATAATATTGATGTTCCATTTGTTACTAAAAAGGAATATACTTTAATGGATATTCAAGGTGATGGCTTTGTCATTCTTATGAATGAAGATGGATCAACAAAGGAAGATCTTAAATTACCTGAAACTGAAGATGATTTCAACTTGGTTAAAGAAATTAGAGAATAATTTGAAGCTGGAAAGTATATATTTATATTTATATTTAGGGATTTGTTAATTGCTGTCCTTTCAGCTATGGGAGAAGAGAAAATTGTTAGTTGCAGAGAAGCTTAAGATAAATGATTTACATTAAATACATTAGTAAATATTTTATTGTAAATATATTATCATTAATTTGCTACATCTTTAAAAAATGGATGTTTAAGTGCATCTTAAGCACTGATTCTCTTTTCAGGATTATATTATAACATTGAACTAAAACATTATATAGATTTTCTTACTTTAATAAATCTAAATAATTATCTAAATCTTTTATTTAACTAAATTTTTATCTGAGATTTTATTTTTTATATTTAGAGAGTTCCTTAAATATTTATTTATTATCGAAAGGAACTCTACTTGTAAAGTATTCTACATCTTTTGAACTTAAACTACCCATCACCTTTAATATTGCAAATAATTGATCTCCTTCACTTTTACCTTTAAAAAGAGCTTCTTTTATTACTAATTCTCCCATTATACAACCTAATGCCCAAATATCTACTGAAACACCATATTTTGTTAAACATAATATCAATTCAGGTGCACGATAATAACGAGAAACTATATAAGGAGTATTTTGACTTGAGGAAGTAATCAATTTAGAACTTCCAAAATCACACAATTTGACTTCTTCTTTATTATTTATCAGAACATTCTCACTATTGATTTAAGTAATTAGTTTTACGGCTTTAGATCACGATGGACAATTCCTTTTTAGTGAATGAATTATAATCCTTTTAAAATCTAATATATGTAACATTTTATTGTCAATTCTGAAAATGTTTTTCCTTATTTGATAAAACTTTAAATTTTATTTTCAAGATTATCCTCCATATATTCAAATACTATATTTTGAATTAATTTCCCCGCCTCATTTCTTGAATAGAAAAAATCCTAGATTTGATGAATTTTATACAAGAATCTTAACTATATGTTCACATTCTTTAACTTCAAACAATATTTCATATTCTCTACTAAGAAGAGTTCCAACCTTTTCAATTCTTTTTAGAGCAACTTTTTATTTTCTATTATGATCATAGGCTTCAAAAACATAACCTAATTTTAGCTATTATACATACCAAAGCTTCCTGAACCAGCTACTCTTATTATGTCAAATGATGGTAATTTTTAGTGATTCAAACTCATATAATTAATAATTCTATTTTATTATAACTTATTCTTTAATTTTGAATAATTATAACATTCATAATATATACATATAAAAAGAATATCATTTAAATTTATTATCATACCATTTTCTTAAATTAAAAGATTGTTATTTTGCTAAATAATTAAAAGTGTATTTTTCAGATTCTTTATATCGATTTTTATATTATAATGTATTATTTATCTACTCAAGACCTTTAATTACATTATTGACATTATTGTATGGCATATACTCTTAAAAAATTTTAATTTAATCTATATTGATATGATGGAATTGAAACTTTGTCTCAAATTCTTAAACCATATCCTTATTTTATTCTTTATATGTAGATTCTTCACCTTATATGAGAAATTTAGAAGGAGTAGTTTTTTTTTTTTCAAAATTTTCTTTAGATGTAAGAATTTAAATTTGCCTATCTGAAGGAATCATTTCCTTATCTGAATTAACAGTATTTGATATTGAAATCATTTAATGAGGTTTCTTTATTGATTTTTTTCTATAATTTATACGACTGTTGTAATCTGGAGACATATATCTAGATTATTCATCTTCTGAATTAATCTAACATTCTGATTAAAATTTATTGAGAGAATCTTGAATAGTATTCAACATTCTTCTAGTGTTTATTTTATCACCTTTTCTATGATAACCCATTCTCTTTTATGGATTCTTAATGATATTTGACTTTTTTATTATAGCTTCTAGATCAGGTTAATATGTGAGTAATGGACAATTAATATTGAGATGTGAACTTTTATTACAATGATTACAACTGAGCAAAATAGAGTTATAATTTGAATACAATAGAATTTTATCTTTGATATGATTAAATCTTTCCATGTCTTTTTTTTCATCTTTTATTAATTTTAAAAAGTTGGATCTATGAATTTATACTACTTCACTTTGTGTTCTACTGAAAGCACAAGTCTTTGTTGGAAAGCCTGTAAAAAATTAATATTCACCAAATGTCTATCCTTTAGTTACTGATTAAATAACTTATTGACTTTGTTCTTCACAAATATCAATAATTCCTTCTTTTACAAAATATCTCTAAATAAATATATTTATTACAAGGATTAATCATCAATTTCATATTAATGATAAATATATTCTTCTGGTTAAAACAGTAATCTTTTCATTTTTTATGTTAATGCATTTTATGTAATCTTCGAAAATTGATCTGAAAATATTTTAATAGATTTCATAATTTTTTCTGATATATTTTGATTTAATTCGAATCTTAAACCTTAAGGTAATTCAGAAATAGTTTTATTAATAAATTCAATCTTTTCATAATTCATATTAGCCATTTTATGTTTTAAATAATTACGAATTCTAATTTGTAATGAGAGATCAACTTAATTATGATTCATATAATTATTCAATTATAATATTGAACGTCTAAATTTAGTATAATATTTACTTTTAATTTTTATTTTGCTCATAGAGATTTCTTAAAATGATTCCTATTGAATTCATTGAATATGCAAATAAAAAACTAGAAAGCAACATCATTAAATTAAAAAATAACATCTCTATTTAATTTTCAGGAGTAATATCTCCATAACCTACAGTTGTAATTGTCATTGTTGCCCAATAAAATGATGTATTATATCTAATCCATACTGATTCATGTCTTATTTATCTTTAAATTAACCAAGTCAATTCATTAGTTTCACTAATTACTCCTACATAATGAAAGAGACAAGCCATAAAATGAGCAAAATAATATATTGATAAAATTAGAGTTAATAAATCTGCAGCATTACTAAGAGTATGTTTTAAATAAATATTTTCCATTTTAGTATTGGTTCTTTTTAATTTAATTAATACTATTATGTTTTACATAATCAACAATATTTATTTCGATGAATTAAATTCCTTAAGAATGTTTGGATAAATACCTATCCATAATAATAAAGAGATTATTTCAAATATAGCTTAATGATTGATATATTATTAAAGTATATGTTTTCTATCAATTATTACTTCTCCTTATTCTATATATGCTCTATTTATGGCCAAAATATTATCTATTATCAAATGTGTTATAAGTCCTATTATGATTTTTGGAAATGAGTATTCATCAAAAGAAAAACTTAATAAAAAAGGACAAATCCACAAAGCTAACAAACTAGCTAATAATGCTATTAAATCCCAAAAATACAAAAAAGGACTTTAAGGCAATAATATTGCTGATTATAATTTTGTTTAACCATATTCTATCTAGATAAATCAAAATAAATACTCTATAAAAATCGAAAGGTCTAGGGTTGAATATATTATTCTAATGATAAAATTTTGGTTTTCAAAGCATTTGGAAGGATATAAGAGTTCAAAAGCAAATTTTATTTGAATTTTTATATAAGTCTATTTTTTCTTACAAGTCTGGAGAATTACTCATTTTCATCTATTTTAGGGTTTATCTTTTACTCTAACTTAAGTTAATTATTCTAAGATGGATTGATTATTCTTGTTAATCTCTATAACCTCCGTTTGCTGCTTACAAAATAACGATTCGATTAAATATGAGGACTTTCAATAGATCTCAAGGATTCTTATGAATCCAAATGTTGTTTCTAATATTAAGTTAAATCAGGGATTTAAGTAATTTATGGACCAAAGATTTATAATTCTAAGTTAGCTTAATCCTCGATCATTATATAATTAATGTTATATATTTATTATTGTAAATAGTTGTCTCAAATATCAAATTAAGCAATCAACCTAATTCGTAAACTATTTAATTTCATTATTCTTCTAAAATATGTATATTTATAATAATATTTTTAATAATTCCATTCAACTTTTACAATTTTAAAATGGGCTGCTCTTTAAGAAAGTCTAAACCAAAGCAAAGAGATGATATAGATTAAATAGAACAATTGATATAATCAGATTGTCTAGGTATGGAATAAAATTTCATGCTTATCAAAAATCCAATTGTAATGAGAAGAAATTGCAGTAAAGAAAAGCAGAAATTATCAGATTCAAAACCTATATGATTATTAATTTTATATTCTTATCTTTCTAATTATTATAAATACTTTTATAACTCATCCTATAAAAAAGCTCCTATTTCTAACATTTAATCATCTTTTCTGAGAATCTTCTATAATATATTCTTAATTTTAAAACACTTCACTAACATTTGAACCATGATTCATCTATTGAATTATTATAATAGACCCTTTTGTACATATTTTACCAATCAACATTTTTTATATTTAAAATGCCTATCTAATTTTGATCCTATTTTAACAATTATATAATAAATTGTAATATATACTTTTATTGTATATTTGAATGAATTTAGAAAATTGGGTTTAAGAAATTAAGTATGACTTTTACTGATATTAAATTAAAATATAATTCTTTTTCTAATCTAAATGATAAATGATTATTATAGATTTAAATAAATTTTACTTCTAAATGTCCTGCAATATTTAAAAAAATATAAAACTTATACAGAAATAAATTATGCTTAAATCAATTATTAGAGTCTCATATTAGATAAGAATAAATTAATGTAACGCTTTTATAATAATTAAGAATTATAATAATTACTTATAGATTCATCACCAATTAAAGCATTATTTTGAAATAAATAAGATTAGACTCAAAAATATTTATGATAATTAAAATAATAAGTAGAATATTTAAACGACCAAAATGAATATCTTAGATTTGTTAATTCAATTATAAAAGCAAACTAAAAATTATAACGATCTCATATGAGGAATAATTTTTTACTTAATTTTCTATGAATTCTGTTTATAATGAAGCTAATTCAGAAACATTAAATGAATTATTTAGATCTTATATTGAATTTGATCCAAAACGAGGTCAAGCAATCCAGGAATTTTTAAAAGAGAAAGTATTCCATCTCACTTGATGTTAGAATGAATTTTTCACTTATGATAGATTTATTAATTATTGACTAATATCTAGATGTAATAGATAATGGTTAGATTCTAATGTTTGAATAAAGGTTTTTTTTTAATTTAAAACTTAGAGTCCTAATGTAAATAGTAAGAATTTTAGAATATCTGTATTGTAATATGAAAAGATTTCAATGATTAACAATAAAATTAAATAAGCTAAGATAATTCTTGTGGATTTTTTGAATTCTCAGGAACCTTAACTTTGATCTTGTAGATGATAGGTTTAATATCATATAGTTTTATTTAAAAAAAGGAGAATAGATAAACAGATTATAATTTTAATTTAGCATAATTAGAATATGAGAAATAAGTAGTTTGTTTAACATCATATAGATTGTAATTATAATAAAAATTAATATTTTTTTATATAATTTATAGTATATATAATAATACGAAATTAAAGTATCAATCAATTAAATATAATATTTAATTGATTTGAACTAATATTTAATTTAAAAAGCCCATTCTGCTTTTATTCTTTTTCTAAGTTTCTTGTTTTCTTTTAATAAAGCTATGTTGATAGAAATCAGTAAGCTTAATTAAATCATATATATAATATCCTATTAATGATTTATAGAGTAACAAGAAATCTGAATGTTAAGGATTCCATAGATCACATTATCCCCAAGGATATTGTCTCCCTTGTATTTTCTTGCCTTAATCATTGTAATATTCATAAGTAGAAGCAATAATCATAAAGGGAGAACACTATCCAAATTCTCCTTATTTGAGTTATTATTTGAATGATTCATCATTAATTTTGAGACAATCATAGATATCAATATTGAATTCTTTAAAAGTCTTATTGTATCTTTATTTTAATTCAAGAACTTCAGATTTTGTATATTAATCACCTCTGGCTAGGATTGGTATAACATTTACTAAGTTGGATAACTTTTGTAAATATAGAATATCCTCATTAAAGTATGCAGGTCCACTGAGAAAGTAAAGACATAAGTGAATCTATGGAATAATTATATAAATGTTTACTCTTTCATCATTTATTAAATTAGATATTTGAGAATATAGTGTTTTGTTAAGATATGCATACTTGTTTCTTCGAATTTATTTTTTAAACTTGAATAATATGTATAGATTACCTTTTAATTGATTAAATGCCTAATTTCTTTAAACCATTCTTTTTAGTTATTTTTTTAAAAACCTTTTGCATCAAAGATATTTAAATAAACAATTTAGTTTTCATATTCAATAACTCCCATAGATTCTTATACTTGATTAGTTTCAGAAATATTTCCCTGATATTGTCTAGCTATAGGTTTCTATATATAGTGTATTTTTGGAATTTACTTTATTTAATAAAGCATCAACGAATGTTGTTTTTCCAGTTCCACATTGTCCAGCAATCAATAAATTTAATGTGACTTGACTCTTTTAAGTTTCACAGACAATTGAGAATTGGTTTTTGTCAATATATGATTAAGTATAAGAACTTAAATGTAATGGATCTAAGAACTCTTTATTTTCAATTTTAGCACTTGGAATCCGTATTTCTTCTTATGAAGAGATAGGAAAAATAGATTTCCTTCAAGATTATTTCAAAAGTTACGTAGTATGACTGTTATCAAAGTCAATTTTTTTACAATGGCTTTGAGTAAATAAGAAACGTTTTTACATCCAATTACATTAGATATTTTCATCATTTGTAGTTGATTATTATGGAATTGGAGATGGACTTGAGAATAGATCAATCATTGTTATTATGTTTTATTTTATTTTCAAAATAACAATCACATTACAAAAATTATATTAAAAGTTGAAATTTGAAGATAATAAATTCGGTTTATGATCCTAGATACTAAATATAAAAAAAAGTGATAATCAAGAAAAAATTGAAATTTAGTTATTAAAATAAAAGAAAACAAAACAAAAAAAAAAGAAAGAAATAAATATTTTGTATTTATAAATAAATGAATAATTAATAATATTTAATATATAATAATGAATTAAGAAGAAATTTAAGAATTTTAGAAATTAAATTTTAAAATTTCTAAATTGTTATAATTAAATCAATAATTTCTATTTCTTTTTATTGTTGGTTATGATTTATCAATAGATTATTTTCTACCTCTTGTTTTTTATTTATCATTTTAAACTGTTGTTTTTGCATCAATTTCATAATCCATTCTATCAAATTTCTTTTTCTTCATTTTATCAGTTCCATGAAGCATTGAATTTAATTTAGGTTATGCTTTATACTTAAATTATGCTGGTTTAAGTTCTTGTTGTATTGAACATTTAGTTTTTCCAGTATAAGGACAACAAAATTCTTAGTTACAATTTGTTGGTTATGCTTATAATAAAAAATAAAAGCAATGATATCTATATTTCATAGATATTGGTAAACTTTTATGATTAGACTTATTTTAAACACAATCTAAACATAAATATTCTTCATCATCATGATAAAAATATAAAAATATTTCATGTTCACATTTAGAACATAATTATACTTCTTTACAACATTCAATTAATTAAGATGATGGTGGATCTATTAAATGTAATTTTCTATTTTCTTAATCAAAAAAATTTTATAATTCTAATTAAATTCTCTCTATTGTCATCTATGATAATGACTTTTCATGAATATATAAATCTAACATTAAATTCTTATATGGAATTACAGTTCTATAATTAATTTCTTTATTTAATTTATGTCTTTCACTCATTGCTTCAAGAGTCATATCATCTAATGCAACTTAATTCCATGCAGTATTAATAGTTTAACCTAAAGATCTAACCCAATGCAAACAACCAGCTCCTAATATTACAACATCACCTTTCTTTTATAAAGTGTATCTAAATGGTATTCCATTTTTTAAAAAGAATTCAGGTTCTTTAAACCATAAACCTTCATTTTTAAATATATCTGTATCATATAGTTCTAATACTTTTTATCTTAATTTTTAAACATTTTCATTATCTACAGTAATCCAAATACAATCAGCAGGACCATGATTAATATTAATAGCATTAACACTTAGATTTTCTTAATGTCCACCTGTCCAAACTCCATCTGTTTTTATATAAATTTAAGGTATATTGACACCATCTATTTCTTATCTTAAGTAACTTAATCCATCATTTTCACCTTAAGGTCTTAAACATTTTGGTAAGAACTATTTTAAATGATTTATTTCCTTATCCCATCCTTACATATTAACATTTACAGCAAATAATCTTTGATCTACTGAAAGTCCTTCTTTTTTTATAAATTTTGATGGATCATTAAGATAATCAACATAATCCATAATTTTCATTCCTTCTAATTGTTAATTGATTTTGCATGGTAAAAATGAATCATATCCAGGTTATTATACTCTGATATCAATGGTTTAATTACCATGATTCTATTTGAGAGCTTCAAAATTAAAAAACACATTTATCATTTCTAATGCTTTTGGATCTATTGTTAAAATACTTATTTGATGTTTTAACCAAGATAACTATTTCTCTTCATATATTTTTAACATTTCACTATAATTATAATAATACGGTTTTCCTATGCAAGAACCATCAACCATTGATTTGTATTCATAAACTATTACTTTACTCTAATAGAAACTTACCCAATCGTCCTCTTTTAAATAAGCAGGTAATTCTCTTTGACAAAATACCTTATTGTTAAATAATATAATATACCTTAACGAATCCTCCATCCTTCATAACTTGATCATATACTTATTGTCCATTAGCATATAGTAAGTTTCTCTCTTACAAAGAAAGTGGCAAATTATCCAATAAATATTTTTGCATTCTAAAATTTATCCTACTAAAATAATTAAATGTATTAATTATTAACAAATATTTGAAAATCAAGAAAATTACATACTGATCTCTTCCTTATAATAATTTACTCATATTATTAATAAACTAATTAATTATTTTCATATAAATCCTCCTTTTAAAAATTTTTTTAAAACTATATAATCTATTGAAAAGAACTTAACTTTTTTATAAACTTTTATAACGATTATCAATACTTAATTATATTACTTTGATAATTAAAAAAAAAGTCAATGCAATATTTCAATTAATTTATTTCATATTTTTATGTAAATAACAATGTTTTATTAATAGCAATATAATATATATGATTTAATCTTCAATAATAAAAATAATAATAATAATAAATTTATAATTCAAGAATTTCTTTAAATTTTATAATTGGTGATTTATAACATTTACATTAATTGTTAATAGATCCTTTTCATAGATATAAAGGTTAACCTATTATTCTCATTACTTAAATAAATTTAAATATGTTGACCATAATTATAATAATATTATATTTATAATGTCAAGTTTATTCAGAAGATAATTCATTAATAAATTGTTTTTTAAGTGTTGAATTATCATCACTAATTGTGAAATATTAAAATTTTTATTAAATTGCAATTGAATTAAATCTTAATTCTATTTGTAATCAATTTGATAAAGAAAGTTCAATTTTTATTCATACATTATAATCTATTGTTTTTAGCAAATACAATTTAATAGGTAAGTAGGATTGGATAATATAAAATATATTCATAAAGACAATATAAACACAAATACTATTCACAAATATAGAGGTCATGCTTGATAATCTGAATTTAATCTAAATCTCACTTTCTTTATACCATCCTATAATTTGAAAGTATAGTCTGATATTTCTTCAAATTAATGTTTTACAGGTGAAAGACTCTTAGTTTGATTATCAACAGACTCTTTTTCTCTTTTTTCATAAAAAGCTTCCATTGAGTTCAGTGACCTGACGTATGCTTCTTTACTAATCAATGTACTAGTGTGCAATAAAGTTTTAGTCCATTCCTTAGTAGTTGCCAAAGAACCAACTTAACTTAACTCTTTTCTATGGATTTATGATTGATTTTTTAATTTGATCTCATCTTTTGTTTTTGGAGTCCATATAAGAAGTTCCCCATATTTTGTACACAAAGTATCATTTTCCTGATTATCTACCATAATATTACTAATTGAAGAATCCATTTAAAGATATCAATGAATTCTGTTTTTTTAAATGAAAATTATTATTAAAGTGGTAAGAAAACATAAAATCTATTAATAATTTCAAAAAGTTACTTCACCAATTATAATAATGCTATCCATAAGATTGATTTGAGTGTTAATGAATATTTTATTATCAACACTCAATATTTTTATTGATTATTAACTTATTATTCTTAGTTAGTATATTATTGCTGAATGAGATGAATCAAGATGGAAATTAATAATAAATATAATGAATTGTGCAAAATTTATATGATTTGATTAGTTCTATATTTATTTTTCTACATATACCATAATAAAATATTAAAGCATTAATATCTATGAAAAATTTATACATTGTTGCCTTGTTAAGTATTTCACTTCTTTCATTATAATTGTACAATACAGAATAATTGACAGATGAATACTCTAAATGGAAATAACATCATCAAAAATTATATTAAGGAGTTGAGGACACTTATAGAAAATAAATATTCCACCAGAATTTATAAATTGTCAATGAACACAATGCTAGATTTAATTAAGGATTAGAAAACTTTGAAATTGAAGCCAACTAATTTGCTGACTTAACATTTGATGAATTCTCATCACTTTATTTATATTCTTCATATCCAGATTAGGAATATATAAATAACAAATATTAGAAAACAACATAGAAATAAAATAAATCAATTAAGGCTGATATACTTGATCATTATGATTGGTCAACAACAATATAGGATTATTCTTAACCATACAATCAAGGAAAATGTCTAGGATCTTGGGCTTTTGCTGTGGCTGGATCTATAGAATCTGCCTTATATCTTGGAACCTATGAATAAATATCTCCTTAATATTTGATAAATTGTGTTCCTTAGACTAATCCTTGTTTAGAAGGAAGTGTAAAGAATACTTGGGATTGGGTTACTGATAATTAAAATTATCTAGATTTAGAAGTAAATGTTGTTTATACTGGAACAAAAGGAGCTTGTATTCCATCTATGGATAATATCTAGGTACTAAATGGATATGAGATGCTAAATAAAGATTAATTTGTTTAAGACTCAGATTATTATTAAGCATTATAAGAACATATTGTTGTGTAAATTATATATTTATCATAAGTTCTCCACTTTCAGTTTCCAGCATTTATTTCCAATTATATAAAAAGGGTGTTTATGACAAACCTTGTGGAGACAATTTAAATTATGATGCTTTGGTTGTAGGATATGATGCTAGAACAGATTAAGGCTCATTGCCCTTTTATAAATTGAAGATGTCTTGGAGTCCTAATTATGGAGAGTAAGGATATGTTAGAATAGCCATGGCAAACAAATGTATTTATGAGAAATAATCATATGCAAACAAAGCTTGAAATTATACATTAATAGCAATTTCCATAATTTATAAATACATATTATTGTGAATCAAATTTATTATTATTAATTCTAAATTTTTTGTTGTTTTTGTTAAATTAAAGAATCACAAAAATTGATTAATTTGTTTTTAGAATCATTAAAAGATATAATATAATAATTATCATTCAATGAATTTTTTAATTACTCAATTAATTCAGAAACTAAATTACTGTATTTTAATTGATATGATTATACTAAAATTATTATTAATGCACACTTTCTATAATTATGATCTTAATCCACTTTAATTTTTATTAATTTAAGTATAAATTATATTGTATTCTATATTAAATAGTAGCATAAGCAAATATATTATTATATTAAATTTAATTTGATACATTAGTATATTTAGATATTATAATGGAAATCATATTTATTATTAAATTTATTCGATAAAGAATTAAAATTTTTAGCAATAAATTGTAGGAGGTTTAATATATAATATTAATATTATTGTGTAATTTTTTATTCATATTTATATTGTCATAATAATCTCAATTTTATTCATGATTTTTACATTAATAAGGTCTTTTCGATTAGCTAATAGATTCTTTAGCCAAAATCAGAAGATCTTATTGCTGTGATCAGATATTAATCTTATCTCAAAATGTCTATCAAAGGTTACAAAATATTATGATTTGACATAATAATCATTTTCTTGATAACATAATTTCCAAATGGATTGATAGATAAGTTCACAAAGGTTGCTCTATATAAATAAATATATTATAATACAATCCATTAATTTATGATTTAGAAATAAGTATAGAGATGATGTGCTATTTCAATTCATTTGTAGATGCTTCCACAACCTTTTCAACTGTATTACTGGCATATTTGTTCATACACAATTTCTCAAAATTTGATAATACAAAATTGATAACAAGTGGTTAATAATTTGAATTTTTGATAGCAAATTATAAGATGTGATTTCCGAACTCTTATTCACATAGATTTTATTGATGTTATAAGCATGTAGTAATTATTTTATCAGTTTGAATGGGAGAAAATAATTCAAGAGCTTTCAACAATATTTTACATCCATATTAAGATGAACATAAAAATAAAGTTGAATCTTCAATTGGTTATAAGAAAAACTCTATCTTTTCTTTTTATAATACTTCCAAGCATTTTAGAATCACATAATTACCACTTGAATCATAAAGTAATGATTTCACTTAGAGTCTGATTGAGTCAATAAATTAGTTTTGTAAACTTTCATTATTGGAAATGATTTCAATAATCTTTTAAATAACTCTACAACCAAAATTATTCTTTGATAATTCATAAGCATGAGGTCTGATTTTATTGAACAATCTCTATTATTAAATTGGAGTTCCTAATTTATAGTAGAGAATATATAAATACCTTTTTCGAATATCTTTTACATTACATAATTTCCAAAAACGTCTTTAGAAAATTAAACACATGATCTTTCAACTTTGTTAAAAATCAATTCTCTTTGATCTGGTTTTCCATGTTCAAATATCTTTTAAACTTTTCTTGATAATACTTAATTTCCACACATATTGTCCTAATTAATATAGATATAAATAAATTACTAAATCATTTGTCAATTGAATATCATCATTTATTTCATGTAAAGGTTGTCTTTCTTATTAATATCCAGTAAAACTTATTCCATTTTATAGCTATTAATAATTAAATCCAGGTTAATAAATTCCTTATGGTCTTAATAATCCTGGAGAATAAGGGACTTAATAATCAACAAATCTATTATTTTGTTTATATTAGTATCCATTTCCTATTTTACTGTAATTTATTGAACTTTCTTATGTTGAAAATGATGGTCCGTCAAAACTAATTGACACACTTTATCTATCATCTTATCTTGAAAATTTGAAATGATTTAATGGACAATAAGGATACAGAGCTCTATTAGACATTGGACTTTAGGCAAGATCAGATCCCAAAGAAATCTGTTCGAATGATCTATTAAAACTATCAAAATAATGTTTTTCTGATGTAGAAACCTATATAAATTAGATAATTATATTACATTCTCAATTACGCTATCACTTTCAAAGCTTTATTTGCGTAAAGGACTATTATTATTAGAAAAAACTTCTTCGTAATCATCATCTAAGGTAACTAAAATATTACTTTTTAAAATAGATCCTAATAAATCATCCTCTGCTTCATATACTTTTGCTGACATATTTAAATGTTTGATATAAATATTACTTAAATTTAATGAAAAATCAAGAAAAATATAAATACAGAATATTTAGTTATTATTTGCTCATTTTTAATTATCATATTCTCATTTAATATGCTCTGTATCTAAAATATATTTTACATATATAATTACTTATTCAATCTTAGTAAAATCTAAATATTTCATTCAATAAAGATCATTTTAGAGGGAAATGATAATTAAAAATTATTGTTATTCTATTGAAATGCTATTAAACTTTGATGCATATTTTTATAGAATACACTAAGGAATTCAATTAATTATCATTTGAAATCGCTTTTAAAGAAAGTGATTACCTCTTAGAGTCATTTAAAGCTTGTTAATATATAAACAAATTAGGTATATAAAAAAAAATTAATTGTTTTTAATATGTAACCATATTTCTTTCAGGGTGACCAATAGTTTGCATTTCAACTAGATTCGGATATCCAAAGTAAAATTATTATAAGATTTATTCAAGAATATATGCCATATTAGAATTACAATGAATTTGCTTATCTGTCCTAGTTCTCTTATCCTGCCACATTCCCTGGATATTCAGTTGATTGCTTTCCTGATAATGAAGTCATACATTAACAAAAATACAAAAAAAATAAGAAGATTAAGTAAACATTTAACCACTATACAAAGGAATACTGATTCTTTAGGATTACTTCCTAAAACTCTTGACTTTGCTAAGCAAACAGTTGAAGAGCCTACTCATTCTCAATTATAGATAGATTAAATGTATTTAATTCATTTATATATTCATAGATCTAAATAAATCACTCCTTATTCGATTTTTCATTGCATTTAAGGAGCTCCTATGCCCAAATTATAATCAGATATCATTTCAAATCAAGAAGCACAAGGATCACAAGAAGGATCTTAACAAACTTAAAAATAAAAAGGTTAACATCAATCAACTAAGAAACCAAAAAAAGAACACATTAACACTGGACATTGGTCTACAGAAGAGCATACCACTTACATAGGCTTTCTTTAATAGTATGAAAGTATTATGACTTCTTCTATGATGAAAAAAACCTCTAAAATATTCAAATAAATGAGCGAACTAATAGGCACAAGAACTCCTAGTTAATGCAGAAGCCACCATTAAAAATTTAATCCATATGCTTTAAGGGGAGAAAATGGAAAACGTTTACCTCGCACTGAAAGAAGTAGAGCTGGAAGAAAAAAGAAAAATCCATCAAGTGATATTCCAAAGGCAGGTTAGTAATTTCTATTAATATCATAGAAGAAGTCAATATTCAATAACACCATTTTGATTAGGAATAATTAATGATGATGTATGATAAACATTTACTTCATCAAATGCCTTATGATTAATGGAATCCCTATTATGAAATGCATTAAAATATCAAAAAAGAAGAGGATTAAGATTAAGAATAACAAAATAGTTAATAAATATAATTAAATAATTAATAAGAATATGAAGAATTCGTTAGACTTAATTATCAAAAGCAATTGGATTTCATAGAAGGCCATAATTCAATTGTCAATGAATATTGAAATAACTATGATTAATAACATTGTATAATATATATATATACAAATTATTCTAATTTTAAATATTTTTTTATTGAAGTAAAATAAATAAATATACTTATTTATTGAATCTATCTCTTTAATTTTAGAAGTTGGTTAAAAAATGATAAAATAAATTCTAAATAACATTATATATATAATATGTAAAATTTAATTTAAATAACTAAACAAATTTTAGACATTCTTTAACAAAAGATTGAATTGTTTTTAAAATAGTATTTGATCTTTAGTATTATTAAAATAGAATAAAAATTAGATTAATCTTCATTTCTTATGAAGTTAAATTTCAAAAGTATATTATAAATAAAATTATCAAAAATTGAATTGTATAGAATATATTAATATATATAAATATATATGAATTGTCTATTTTATTCAATTACTTATACAAGTAGATTTTTCCAGTGTATAAACATTGGGTTCAACTTCATCCACAATTTGTTCTTAACTTTAATCTAATTATGACCTTTAAGTTTCACTTTAGAGATCTAATTCAACTTATTAAACATTTTCAGTAAAAATAACTCCATCAAGATTTCTTTTAATCCATGGTGCTTCTGGTTTATTTTCCACATCAATAGACTATGCTCATACATATAAAATATTTAAATTACTTAGATGCATTATAATAATTATTGATCAAATCCAGGTTTCATACAAGGAGAAGGTAATTTAGGTAAGCAAAAAGATAATCTAGTTACTGCATTCCCAACTTTAAATTTAGGAAATAATTCACATAATCTATTATTCTCTTGAAAAAGTGTAGTCCTCTAAATTTGTTAGGAGTCTATAGCATCTCTAAATTACATGATTCCTTAAGTAAATGTCTAAGGTAATAATTTACTCAAATCTTCAAGCAATAATTTTCCTTCAGGTTTTAAATTATTCTATCTATAATAATAATTATTACTAAAATTGTGGCAATAGCAACATTGTATTAATATTCATACATATTATAAGGACGATCTTAGAATTCTAGATCATTCAGTTTAATTATCATTCTTTAAGATCCCTCTGATGAATCTGATTGAACATTTGAAGTCATTTCTTCTCTTTATTATTATTTCATTAATTCATAAGAATCATTCCAATTATCAATAGCTTTTATATAATTACCTTAATAAAATTTCATGACTCCTCTATAAAATAATAAATCTGATTTCATAAATAAATACCCTTCAATTTCAAAATTTAGAATTTATTTTAATTTTTTTGAAGCCTATCTAAAATTTATAGATTTATTTTTAGATTAATAATTAGCATAATTAGAAATTAATATTGATTCTTTTATATTTTATTCTATAGCAATTTTTAATGCATTCAAGCATTCTTTATCAATTAACCATCTTTTATCACTTGTAATTTCATAAATTCTATTTAAATCTACAAAAGCATTATTAAGATCTTTTTCAATAATAAAACACATAGCTCTATAACTCAATAATTAAACATTATTTTATAATTCAGGAGAATGAGAATAAGTTTTTATAGCATTTAAATGAGAACCAAGATGAAATGATAAATTACCTGCCCATAGATAAATTTATGGATCTGTAGGATTTGTTGAAATATAAATTTACAAATCCTCAAAAGCTTCAGTTCTATTTCCTAATTAGGTATTTACTTTTGCTCTGTTCAAATATACTTCAGCATACTTTGGATCCCAATTTATTGCCACAGTAAAATCAATTAATGCTTATTATGGATTATCTAGACATGCTTAAACCAAACCTCTTGCATATAATATTTTGGAATTTCGTTCCTCATTATTTTCTATGGCAATTGTTAGATCTTACAAAGCCAATTCTAATTAACCGAAATAGAATCGTATTATTCCTCTATGATATAATAGTTTTGAATTGTTATCATTTAATGTTACTGCTTTATCAAGATATTTTAAAGCTTTTTTTATATATTTATCTTTTCCATTCATTTGTAGCTTGTTGACAAATTAAATTAAAGTTAAAGCTTTATAAAAATGTGGTTCCATTTTACCAGGAAATATTTATGAAGCCTTCTGAAAAAACTATTAAGATTTGTCAAATTAATTTTATTATGACATCACTATTCCTTCACAAATAATCATATTATATAGTTATGTTGGTTCTAAAGGATAAAATCTTTATATATAATTAAAATCTTTTAGAGCATTTTGATATTTATTTACACATATGAAACCTAAATATATAATATATTATTAATACCATAGGCTCTATAAAGAAAAATAAGTTTCTTTATGAACTCTCCCAATTATTACTTATTTATTAATTCAGTTAAAACTATAATGGCATCCTTGTATTTACGTTTCATTAAAAATATTACTCCTTCTGTAAATTATTTAAGATCCATAAGTGATGTTTTATCTACATCTAAATGATCTTACCTCTATAAAGTATAGTAAGCAGAATAGAAATCTTTCTAATCAATCTTTATTTTGGCTATTTCTATTAAAGATTTCATTACAGCTTTTCTACTATTATTCTCAGTTATTGATTATTCAAAACTTAAAATTGCTTCATTAAATTTCCCTTTCTTCATAAATACTTATCCTTTTAAATAAAGTGCTTATGAATTATTAGAATCTTTAATTAAAATCTTATTAATAATATCCAAAGCTTTATCTAATTATTATAATTCTAAGTAACATATAATCTTTCTAATCAATACTTGTTGATTATCAGGTATACCTTCATAAATAATAAGTGCTTCAAAAATCTTTCCACATTATCTTAAGCAATCACCCTTTCCTAAAGTTCCTTAAAACATTTGCATATCCTTTTCTAATGTTGATGCAATCATAAAGTCATGCATAGCCAATTTGTATTTTTTTAATTTCATTAATAGCTTTCCTTTTTATAATACAGCATCATAATAAACTGGAGATTAGTTTGCATTGTTTTTCAATAGAAAATCTTTCAAAATTGATATTGCTTCTATATAATTGCCTATCTTTCTTAAAGAGATAGCTTAAAGAACCTAAGCATTTCCATTTAAATCTCCTAATTGTCTACATTTTTAAAAATTATTTATAGCTTTTTCATATTGATGATTTTGCATATATATTGTCCCTTTAAGAAATGCAATTTATTATTAGTAATCTTAATTGATATGAAGTGAATCAATTTCTTCTAATTCTTTCATTGCTTCTTCTAATCTTTATGCTTTAATCAACCTTTCACAAGTTTATAGAATATTGGGTATTGGATTTATAAAGAACTTTTAAATCTAACAGTTATCACTTGTCGTACTGCTTATCATTGTTTTACTAAAATAGTTTATTTGACTTACGTTTATAGAGATAATTTTCTAGTAGATGTTTATATTGTTTTTAAGTTTTTGGAATTATAAGAAAAATTTAAAGAGGCTTTATGATTTTATATTGAAATAATTTTTCTAGGATTGGAAATGTTATGCTATTTTCTTTTGTAATCATCATTCCTTGAACAAACATTTCTTTAATCCAAGCTTTCTGTTTTAAGATTACTACATCTTAAGGTATTTTAATATTATCTTCCTTCATACATAGAAGGAGTCACACTTTTTCTTTTTGGTGATATGCTTTATCTAACTATCATGAATTTGTTTAGTTAAAATATAAAAATTTAAAATTTGATATCTAATTAGCAACTTTATTCATCATAACTCTATCATCCAATATTCACATAATCTTAACATATTCTATTCAACATATTGTTCGTTCTTATTTTATATTCTTTAGTATAATTTGGATGATTAATATATATTATAAAATATTTAAATCCGTAATTGTTACAAGCAAAAATAATATTAAACAAATAAATAGAAAAACAAAATTGTATCTAAATAATCTTTGAATAAATCAAAAGTGCAGAAAATAAAGATTGTAAATGAATAAATGGAAATTATAAAAAAAAAGATAGGTAAATGAATTACAAATAAAATTAATACTCTAAAGATTTTAATGAAAATGTCTTTTCAAAATTATTTTCTTAATAGAATAATAGAATACATAAGCGTTAATATTTTCTATTAATATAGATCAATAATCCTATGCTTCATCAAGTAATAATTTAGAAATGAAATATAATCTTATAAATGTATTTAAATTTTTGATTAATATGGGATAACATAACATTTTTTATCTAAATACTTTGATGCAGAGGTGTTATAATAAAGATTTATATATTAAATCAACCTAGAAAAATGATTATGATTATTAGTTGTATATGGATCTAATAAAAAGAGTCTGTGTAAAATTGAGTTATGTCAAACAAAAGTATTTAAAAATCACTTAAGTAATTTAATAGTATATTAGTAGACTTTAACTATTTTTATAGGATTTGAAATAAAAAGATTTTGTCGAAGAAATATTAAAGAAAATTATAATATATAGTAAAATATCACAAATTATCAATAGTTTATAATAATTATATTGGAAATATTTCAAATATATAATTAGATTATAGAGTTGGAAGTTAAGTTTTTTAGTGAAATTTAAATTATAATTAATTATTAATATAATAAAATGTGCATTCCTTTTTAATCGATTCCACCACCTACTTAAGGAACAAAAAAAGCAGTTTAGATGTTATAAATTTTAGGTTTAAGTTAATTTGTTGTTGGGTTGATTAAATTATTTGTATTGCAATAAATGACAGGATTTTATGAGTTCTTTACTATTTTCATACTATATATGGCATGGGCATAATTAAATTATTGTAATTGTGTGATTGCTGTATTTTACTTCTTATAAAATGTATTTAAATCCTTTATATATAGTTATTGATGATATTTATATTTTTTGGTATGAATGTTGAATTGAGCATTTCATTTTTCTAACCTACAAAAATAGGAATTACATATTTTATTTTCTTTTTTTATTATATAGGGGCTTGTTTTGTAGCATTTTTGGCTTACAGAGAATTCAAAATATTACAATATGATTAAATGGGAGGATTGATCCAAACAGATCAATAAAGTGATTAGACATAAAATAACAATCAATAATAATAATATTAATAGTAATAATACTATAATTAGACAGTTTAACCTTAATAATAAGCACAAAGAGGGTAGTTTTAAGCATTTTAAGGAAGAGGAGTGCAAATAGGTTGAAATTTATATAAATAGATTATATATAGAAAAATTCATTATTATCATTTATAAGATAGATGTACAAAAATTGTATTTATTTTATAAATTAACTTCCTCATTTTCATTAGTTCTCATTCTTGAATAAATAGAATTATGAAAATAGCAAATTTATTATTTCCTTTGAATTATGAACTTCTTCTTTCTACTTTAAAATTATAATTACAAACCCAATTTGTGTTTTTATCAATATTTATTCTTTATTTATAGATGATTAGGTATTGTTTGTTTTAGTTTTTAATTAGTATCCATCTTCAAAATAGTCAAGATTAATATTTTTTTTAATTTTCTTCTTTGTCTTTGTTATCTTTTATTTATATTTTATTCCTAATAAAATCTACTCAAAGTTTCCCATAAAATAACTCATTCAAACTTATTATTGAAGAAAACATGGTTTTCATTATTTTGTTTTCACTCCTCTAAAAATAGAATAATTATAAATTATAAATTTATTTATCATGTGTTATTAGTTAAAGATTTCGAATTATCTTTATTATTAGAATTGTTAATATTTTGATTGCAAATAGAACAATAAAGAAAATTAAAGAAATTTCTAATAATATCTATTAAATTATAAATAATATTATTGAATGGATAATGAAAGAATAGGTATATGTGAATTTGATGATAAATGTTAAATTTAAAATTGTAAGAATTTGCATGCCTCTGATTAAGGGTACTTTTATAAGGTTTAGTTGGAAAAAGCAAAACATTAAATTGTATTATGATTTCAATATTAAGAAATGTAATAAAAATTGCTAAAACTTTAATTTGTGTTTAGATGTTCATGAAAATGAAAGGTTGTTCATATAATGTTAAAAGAATTGCAATGATTCAGATTGTATTTTTACACATGAAACAAATATTCTATAAAATGAAGAAAACTTATAAAAAGCTGACAAATATAAAGAATAGGGAAATGAATTATATAAAAGAGGAGAATACTAAAAAGCAATAGCAATTTTTGATAAGGCAATTGTAATACAAATAATTATAATATTAAGAATTACAATAATTAAATGTCTGTCCTTTATTCAAATAAAGCATTATGCTATAAGAAATTAAAACTTTGGAAAGAAGTCAATGAATTATCTATTTAAGCTTTATAATTAGATCAATATAATTTTAGAGCAAAATATTTAGAAGCCATTTCCATAGTAGAACTCTAAAAATAAAAGCCAAGTGCATCGATATTATAAATCTTAAGAAATTAATTAGAAATCCTTTAATTCAGTACATATTTTATAAAAATATTTTAGTTGAATATGAAGCCATAAATAGATAAGTGTAATCATTTATAAATTTGAGCAATGAGAAAAATAAAATTGAAATCTTCATTGAATTATTAAAAAAGTCAGAAGATGAATTAAATTTAGTAAAATATATTGAAAATTCATAATTACCTGAGTAATAAAAAGAGTATATTATTAAATTTCTTTGGTCTAAGATTGTAAAATAGTAAACTTACTTATAATAAAATGAACATGAGGATGATATTCCTGATTATTTAACTTGTCCAATCACATTTGAAAGCTTTAGTGATCCTATATTAGTTGATAGTGGATAAACTTATGAAAGATTAGCTATTGAGAATCATACAAAAAAAAATGGTTATTTTGATCCTTGTACTAGAAAGGGATTGAAACCTTATTATATAACTAATTTGTAAATACTATGGGCTGTTCAAGATTTAAAAAAAAAGAAATAATTTCATTAATAAACTAAAGAAGCCATATAATTTGAATGATCTCATTAAAAATTAATATATATTATAAGTATGTAATAGAATATTTATTTCATTATTATTGTTGTTTTATGTAGTAAGAAATCATTAATTTATTCAACTGAAATTATCTTTCTGAGTAGATATTGATTTATTTGTTAAAAATTTTAATATTATTTTTTAAATAGTTGTTAAAAGGGAATGGCTAATAAAAAGACGACTAAAGAGAATAATAATTAATCTTTTTAAGTAGACAATAATGAAAAAATGCCAAGCTTTATGCATTCATTATTTGATTCAGATGAAAAAAGTATAATTGCAGAAAAATCAAATGAAAGAAGCAAAAAATCTGAAAAAAAAAAAGTAGAAAGAATTTCAGCAATTTAAGTATAAAAAGCAAGGGATAAACTATAAAAGAGAAATAAACCAATGTCAAAAGTCTTATAAGAAATTAGATAACTATAAGCATCAAGTGTATTAGTTTGCCGCCGAGCAGGATTTTAAAGATTTGTAAGGTAGACAGGAATAAAGGTATCAGATGAACTTGGGTTTAAAGAATTTAGATATTCTAGTAAATCTTTAGAATGTCTATAAACATTAACTGAATAATATATGGTTGATTTATTTGAAGATTCAGTATAATGTACTTTTCATGCAAAAAGAGTAACATTAATGGCAAAAGATTTAAATTTAACAGCAAGAATACGAGGAATAGAGTAGCCACTTCAAGAAATAAGAAATCTTAAACTTCATTGATAAATTTAATTATTATAAATAAATATAATTACTAACTTTATTACTTTGTCTCATTATCAAATTTGCTATGAAATGCTACATACTAGATAATGAATATTAGAATTGGTTCAACTAATGTATTTAATATAATACTTGATTTGAAATGTGTATAATTTTAATATAAAGTCATAAGGGTTGATTATGAAAAGTGTATATATGACAATAGGAAATGAGTAATAAAGAGATTATTTGTAAAATTAATTAGATATTAAAAAATGATAAAATAATATAAATAATGACGAAGTATTAAGTTATCTCTTAAAGAATTTAATAAATTGAAATTATCAATTATATAATGTAAGATTGTCATAAATAATAAAAAATAGCTATATGTATGGTAGGATTGCCAGCTAGAGGGAAGACTTATATATCAAGGAAACTACATAGATATTTAAATTGGTTAGGTTATAATTGTAAGGTTTTCAACATTGGAAATTATAGAAGAGAAATTTGTGGGACAGAATGTGATAAGAACTTTTTTGATTCAAAAAATGAATAAGTATATTGAGCATTAATTAGGCAACTAAAGCAAGAAATGAATGTGCTTCGATGGCATTGAATGATTTGATTAATTATTTAAATAGTGATGGAGAAATTGCTATTTTTGATGGGACAAACACAACAAAACAGAGAAGAAATATGGTTTAATGTTAGTTATTATAATAATGCCAAAATGTTTAAACTCTATGGATAGAATCTATTTGTGATGATGTAGAAGTAATTTAAAATAATATCAAATTAACCAAACTTAATAATCCAGATTATATTTCAATGAGTCCTGAAGAGGCTACAAAAGATTTTTTAGGAAGAATTAAAATGTATGAAGAGGTTTATCAAAAGATAGATTTAGATGAGAAATTATCATTTATTAAATTAATAAATATTGGGGAAGATGTATCATATTGATATTTATTTATAAGATTTAAATTCATAAAGTAAAAGGATATTTGTTATCAAAAATTATTTCATACTTAATGAATCTTCACACATATCCAAGACCAATTTATTTAACTAGACATGGTGGAAGCATATTTAATTAAGAAAATAGAGTAGGTGGAGATTGTGATTTATCATAATAAGGAATCTAATATTCACAATAATTAGGTAAATTTTTATTTGAAGAATTTCCAAATTAAGAATAAAGAGATCAAATTCATTGTTTAACTTCAACAATGAAAAGAGCTACTCATACAGCTGATATTGTTTGCAATATTCTTAAAATTAACTATTTATAATTAAAGACTTTAGATGAAATTAATGTAGGTATCTGTGATGGCTTAACTTATACTTAAATTGCAATTCAATTTCCTGAAGATTTTGCTGTAATTTTTATATTATTAATTTGAATAGGAAAGAAAAGTGAATAAATTAACTTACAGATATTCAAGAGGAGAGTCTTATTTAGATTTGATTAGTAGGATTGAACCCATTATATATGAAATTGAAAGATCTAGAGAACCTGTATTAGTTATAGGACATTAGGCTATTTTAAGATCTCTTTATGCTTATTTTCATAGAAATGAGATATCAGAAGTTCTTCAATTAGAGATCCCAATTCATGTTGTTATAAAATTAACACCAGCTGCATATAATTGTGAAGAAATAAGAATAAAAATTGATCCAGACACTGGAGAAAGAAAATAAATTGAAGAAGACCTATAATTTACAAGATTCAACATATTAACCAAGAAAAAAAGCTATATCTTATTATGATGATATAATTAATTAATTTTATTATTACATTTTATCAATCAATATATTTATTTAATATTAAATTTGAAGGTGAAATAAATTGAATTAATGAAGAATGGTTTATACAATGAATTCATTTACTATTATTGAATGAATAATATCAAAATGCTCCCTTGAGTTATGATTTAACATAATCGGTGAATCTTGGTTAATTTAATAAATCCAAAGCTTAATGGGCAGCATTTAATTCCTTATTGTATTCTGCAACAGTGGCATTGTACACATCAGTTGCAAAGGCGTAGTCATCATTTTCTGCTTACAATTATCCATTCAAAGTATCCAAATCAGCATGTAAGACATCAATCAAATCAAGGGTTTATTCAATCTTGTCTAGAAATTAATAGTATGAAATTCAATACTTGCATTAGCCTCGATTTCAGCAGTCTTTACAACAACAGCTCTTTGGAATTCAGCATGTTCTTAGTTTAATTAGATAACTCTTGCTTCGAAGTCTTTTTATGCTTCAGCTTCGTCAGCAGTGAGTTGATTGAGTGAGTCAACCAATTAAACTCTCAAGTTGTTGAAGGCAGTAAGAATCTAAGAGAGATCTCATAAGAATTAGTTACTTCTCTAAGAGCACCTTAATCAGCAAAGTTTGCTTCAACTGCAATTTCTAAGAGAGTCTTGATGAAGGTTTAGAATGTGCTGTGTCTCTTAAGGGATTATTGGATTTTAGTCAAATTCTTTTAGACCTTTTAAATTTGAACAAGGGATGGTGATTCCAATTGACTTAATAATTATAAGGATTCATCAATAGCACTAATAGCTTCATTGTGCTCAGCAACTAAGGATTCAAATTCAGCATGATCATTAGCTCTTTAGACTGTAGCTTCATTAAGTGTTCTTCTGTTTTAAACAATGTTATCTTATAATTATTCAAGTTAAGCAGCAAATCTATCTCTTTATGGGATTAAAACATTATCATAGAAATCATGAGCATTGAAGACCTCTAAATTATATAGAGTTAATAAGGTTACCTCTTTCTTTATCTTAGATTTCTTATGAAAGTCTATTGACTTCTCTGTTGTGAACATCTGTTCTTCTTGCATATTAGTGATGGACTTCTGCTAATTCTTCATCTAATTCGTCAATCTAAACGAATTAATGAAAAAAGTAATTACAAGTTTAGCAATTTCAGTGTTTAATTCTGCAAGGATACCTCCTGTAGTTAAATGGAGTTCACCAAAGTTCAAAATGAAATTTCCCCAACCAGATTATTTGATTTAGGCAAAAGCTTTTTGGTCATGACTTGTCCAAACTGAGTTGGTAACATCTATTGCTGTAACGCTAAGGATAAGCAATGTGCAGACTGCTAATTTATACATTTATTGTTATTAATAATGAAGGCAACACCAGATAATTAGTGTTAAAAATTCCAAAAACGAATTTTATTTTTATATAATATATTTAATTATTATATATTCTTTCTCAGTATAGATCAAATGTTTAAATGAAATTGATAAATATATATAAAAAATCAAGTCAGAGATTGCGTATCTTTTCGATTCGCAACGTTTAGTTGTATTAATTCTAAAATGTAATGGTTTGTAGATTCTTATTAAGATTCTAATCTGTAGTATCTGTTTTTTTTATTTCTTAAAACTAATAAACTTAAAATAAAATAATATACATGTCCAATTAATTAAAGTCCATTATTATTATTGTAAAAACCAAATCCTCTAATTAATCCTTTATGAAATTGACCTTAGTAGTAACTACCATCACTCCATGTAAATATTCCGTCTCCTTCAAATTTATTATTTTGAAAGAATCCTTCATATCTGAAATTTTTTTTAAAAGATTTTATACTTGCATCCATCAGGAAACATTTATATGCCTCTCCCTTACTTCCTACTATTCCAAAATTACCCAAAATAAGTAGTACCGTCATTCTTTAGCTCTTATCCTTCTCCCTGAAGCTAATTGTTTATCCAGATTCCTTAAATAGATTAACAATGTTTATACCTTTTACAACTTTTTTTTCCGATTTAAACATACCAAAACCATTTGTAGTACCTTATAAGAAATAAGCTTCAAAACTACTATATTATTATAATAATTACATGTCTCCATTAAAATAAAACATGGTGCACACACCTTCCAGTAAGTCATTTTACCAAGTCCTAAGAAAACTTAAATATTCATTTATACCCTTTTAATAAATTTCCTATTTTAGGCCACAGTTAAATTCCTATTCCATGTTTTAAGCCACCTTCCATCAAACCAAAGTAAATGCTTTCATCATTTTATTTCGAAAATTAGAAGTTTGGGCTGGGTTTGAAATTTTCTAATTTTTATTTTATATGAACTGGCAATCCACTCAAAAACTCTATTAAACGAGAATCCAAAACTGGACTTTGACTTCTTGAAGTATCATCATCAGCTACAATTATTTTATTTCTTACTCTCACTCAAATGTAAAGATGCAAATTTCTAAATGAAATATTCCTATGATATCTATTAATTCATGTATATGTAATTATTGAGATATTATAATTAATGAAAAAAAAGAGAAAACATACTCTTAGTTTAATTTAATACGATAGAAATGTCATTAAAAATGATATTTCAAAAAATTCTAATCCTTCTATTAAGTAATACTGTAATCATTTACAAATATCACCATCATCCTATACATACGACATTTTCATCTTCCCCTAATTTCTGAACTTCATTCAAAGACTATTTACTTTGCCTTTTTTTTATTAGATTAACTTCTCATTATGATTAACCAGAATTTTTAATTATTATTAAATAAATAAATAATTTTCTTCGATAGAAACTTCTAAGCCATGATTCTAAAAACAAAAATTAATAGTTCATCGTGGCTTCATTGAAAAAACCTATTAAACCTCATAAGTCTGATAAATACACATTTATGATTACTTTAAAAAAAAATAAAATATTATTATATTCAAGATACAAATTCATCTTTAAAATTAGTTATTAAATAATATTTTTCCAAAAACCAATTCAAAATTTAATATTTCAAATATTTTGAAATTATTCCAGAATATTTAAGAATTTTAATCTGAAAAATCTTCCGAATATAACTCAATTTTGTTATTTCTTTTGTAAAATTCTAATAATTCAGTTTGAAATTGTGTAAATTCGTAAAATTTGATTATAATAAAGAATGTTTGCCAACTTAGAAGTATGAGAATAATATGTATTTTAAAAATAGAAAATTATATTTTTTACTACTTTCTAGAATTCAAATTGTAGTATAAAATAATAGCTATGTATGGAAAGAAATCAAATAAATATGCTTTAAAATATGCTTTATTTATATTTGATGATCATAAGGAAAATAATGTGAACTTCTAGAACATTTTAAATTTATTCTAATATAAAAATGTTATTTTATATATATATAATTGAAGTAAGAACAATAATCAAAAACTTGATAAAATGATTACACAAATCTTAATTTAAGATTGTATTACTTATTTTTAAGAGTTGGATACTTGATATTCTTAAAATAAATATAAATACAATAGATAAAAAAATATTAAGAAATTCTTAATCATTCTGGAGTTAATAATAATTTTTCTTGATTTATCTTATGATTAATTCTATGTCTTGAATACTCCTACTTTAATTTTTCTGCTTAATTAGTATTTGGCAAGGCTTTATAAAATCTTTCACATTCTTCACATTCATGTGCATCCATTTATTATCTTTCTTTTCTATTTTTAACGACTTCTCTAAAAACCTTTTCTTTTGGAAGCTCTACTTCAGTCTAAATAGAAAATTTCTTTTATTCATCATTAGTGTTTAATAATTTATATTTTTTGGATGATTGAGTTTATTTATCTTCAAATATTTCAAAAAAATTTGGTTATAAAAATTTAGCTGATTTTGGTTGATTATCAATAAGAAGTAAATCATTAAATTTTTACTATTTATTTTATTCAACTAAACTACCCACCATTTTCATAAGGGCTTAAAAAACAGTTGCTTAAGTATTGTGTAAAATGGATATATGACAAAATAATTGAAACACAGAATGATATGTAAAATCTAATTGATTAGCCTATTTAAGTATATTAATGTACTAATATTATATCAAGATGTTTTTACAAAGATGAATAAATGGATTTTTCTTTTTCCATAAATTCTTGAAATTAAGGAGCGAAAAACATTTATTTGATTTAAATTATATATTTAATCAATATTCAAAGTAAAAATCTAATAATTGTTAAGCCATTTCTTTAAGTTTCTTATTAACATCTAGAGAATACCTTTCTAAAGTTTATTTATATTATTAATTGCATATAATTGAAAAAAGTTATATGTTTGAACAACGAGCAATTGAATTAGAAATACATTTAAGTGCTAAATAATTGATTGTGACTTGAATATTAGATCCTAAAATATTAAACAATTATTCAATTATATATTAGGATCTTATTGCTAATTTTACTATATTTTCATCTCTTAAAAGTACATCTAATACATTAAGCACTTCAATTTATGCTTCAATAGATATATTGTATAATAATTTTACTAAATCATCAATTACTTATGGATAATAAGTATTATCTTTTTCAAAAATTGATAAGAATACTTAAGAAGAAGCTATTAATGTTTTTTCATGTCTATTCATATTTAATAATAAAATAGAAATTAATTCTGGATTCACAATTTGATAAAATTTATAATCTTCTGAATTATTTCTAATTTATTTGATAAAATAGTTAATTGTAATTATAAGATATTGACAAGATACATAATCTACAATTTATTATTTAAGAAAATATAATAAACATTTCCAAGGTCTTCTCCCTTCATCATCTAATTAATTAATAGTATCCCAATAAAACTAAAATTATCCAGAAAATTTCTAAATGATTTATGGGAAGATTCGTGCTGATAATGATATTTAACTATTTCGAGATTCTATGACTTCTTTACAACATAGAACATATATCTATTTAAGACAAAGAAAGGGAGTATTTTATGATATTGATAATATGTAAAGAAACTCCCAATACATAAAATTTTTATGATCCATTTATTTTCCATTGATGTAATTTATGAATTACATTAATCTATCAGTTTATGTTTGATCAAAAAAGATATGTTAAATTATGATTGGTTCACTACATAGAGTGCACATCAAAAGTAAAGTCATATTTAGATCTAAGTTTGGAGATTTTAGTAATTCATAAACATTTTTATTGATTAGATTGATTTTATTCTAAATATCAATTTCCTATATTAAATAGATTAGTTTTTCAATTTTGGAATTGGTTGGATTATGTAGAATTTCTTATATCTAATTTTCAATCTGATTTGTAAAATTGAGCTCAAATTAGATTAAGTTATTATATTGTAAAAATTGATGATTTTGAGGGATAATGGATGCTCTTTTGAGTTTAAATTACTTTTCTAATGATTATTTACGAATTTGGATTCTAAATTGTTCTCTCCTAGTTAAAATAATGTCATTCATTATATTAATAATGTCATATTCACAAGTACATTTTAGTGATATGTAATCTACCTTCATAAGTAATTATATGGAGATGGAGGAGCCAGTATAAGAGAAAGAATAGTAACTTAATTGGTGTCAACGTACATTTGGTCCTCTAAAGAAAGGTGGAATAAGAATGAGTATTATCAGTTTACTTGCTCCATGTTTGGGTGTAGGTATGTTGGGTTTGCCATGTATAAAAATATGAATTGTATTTTAGATAGAGCAAAAGAATAAGGACTTTTAATTGAATTGTTTTTGATTGCACTTTGTGGAATAATTTCATGTATATCAATGCACATTTTGAGTTGGAGTTCAGGTGATTTACAATGTTCATCTTTTAGTGAACTTATTCAAATGAGTTTAGGAAATAAGATGAAAAGATTATTTGAAATATTAACTATTTGTTAATGTCTATTGGGAATAACATAAATCTAGATTTCTTTTCAATTATTTATATATGAACTTTTCAGATATTTTGAGATAGTTGTTGATTAAAGAGAATTGGCAATAATAGTATAATTAATATTCATAATACCAAACCTATTGATATCTTTTCAGAAAACTCTATATAAATTGAGATATTTTTCATTAATAGGAGTAATATCTGTAATATATATAACATTCCTAACTTCATTTGATTATTTTGTTAGAGGTTCATATAAAGATGATATTAAAATAAAATTGATAGATTTGGATTTTAATATTTTTACAACTTTTGCAATGACATTTTTTTGTTATTTATGTCATTTGTTTGTATTTCCAATAAGAAAGGAATTATATAATCCAACAATCTCAAGATAATCAAAAATATGGATAAGATAATCCTTTATTTGTTATATAGTTTATTCACTAATATGTATAAGTGGTTATTTAAGATTTGGGGATGATACTAAATTTTGGATTATTAATAATTATCATGGAGATTTCTTTTTTATAGGTAAATTAGGTATGGCTTGTGCTTTATTCTTTGCTGTTCCTTTAAATATATTAGCATGCAGATAAATTATACATGATATGTTATTATCTGATGAAATGGAATACTAACTCAAACATAAAAGTTTGAGGATCTAAGCTTAAGATGGAAAGATTACTTTTGAAGTAGATAGTGTTGATTCTTTTAGATCAAAGATTCATATATATTCAACATTAGTACTACAATTTGGTAGTGCTATACTTGCTTTAATTTTACCTGATATTAAGTAATAAATATATATTATATTTTAAGTCGTTATATTACTTTAATAGGAGGACTTTTAGGTACAACTATAGTCTGTCTTATACCTGTTTTGATTTATCTTAGAGAATATAGAGATAAATTGAATTATTTTATAGTTATTTTGGAATTGATGGGAGTTATATTTGGTTGGATTGGTGCTGTTTATGGTTAATTTTGATATCAATTTATTATATATATATATAATTTTAAGATAATTTGATTATCTATAATAATTAATTTTAAGTTTGATTCTCAACATTATTAATTATATAATTAATCTAATGATTTATGATGCCAAAATAATAGGAGTAGAGACTCATTCTGATAATGTTTTATACAAATTACGTATAATAAATTCACAAACATTTGAACAAAGGGATATTAGAGTGAAGTATAGTTTTTTATCAGATTTACATTAACAATTGCAAGATTTAAATCCAGATTATTAAGTATAATTATGTTTCAATTTTTAAGTTACCATAATTTCCAAAGAAAGAATTCTTTTAATCCATTTTTAGAGAAAATAAGTTTATTAAACAAAGTGAATAAATGATTGCAGAATATATATCCTAATTAATAAAATCACCACCTCCTTTATATAAACTATTATATGAGTTTTTACGGGATGGAGCAGATGCTATTAGATAAAAAGAATTATCAAAAGAAATCACTTCTAGATCAGAACTATTAAAATTGATTAAAACAGAAAAAGTACTTAAAAAATCATTATTTGGTAAAACTAAACTTTGTACATTCTAAGGAATTAAAGTGATATTGCATAAATTCTATGTTCTAAAACATGAAAGTGAATAATTATTTAGCCATTATTTTAATACACATTTATATTTTACAGATTTCACTTTTATTTGTAAAGTAATACATATATTCTTTTTACATTAAAAACTCAATTTTATGGATAGTATGTTTGGATCAAGTAAATAACCAAGATCATGTAAAAAGTAGCATTTTGCACATGTATTCTAGTATATGCATAAATAAGATGTTGTCAAATTATATTCTATTGAAATGTATGAAGGATAAAATCTAGATGAAATTATCAAAGATAAAAGAATCAAAAAGATTCCATTCTCTAATATTGAACTTTGGAATTTAATTTAAAAGTTATTGGATGCATTACTTTCCCTTCATAATAATTATTGTTATAATAATAGAATAACTGCAACATCTATTATTATTAATTAAGATAATCTTAAATTAACTGGAATACAAGAACCTAATGAAAAATATAAAGATAAATATATAATTGATGGATATGCCTTTAGAACTGATCAAGAATATGATACCATTTATTTTCCACCTGAAAAACTGAATTCCTCTTAATATAATCCTAAATTGTCTGATAGTTGGTAATTTGGAGTCTGTATTGTCAAAGCAGCACTCCTTTCTACTAATAAAGAATTAGATGGGATTCATTAATCAAATATAGTTCATGAATTAATTTCATAAATTAAAAATTAATATGGGTAATCAATTTATTTTTAATTTAGATAAGTGATGAAATAGGCAATATCTTAATGTTAAGTTTGAAAAATTCCATTCAACAAAGAGCTTCAATAAAAGAACTACATTCCTTAGCTTTTCAAAGTTATGTCATACCATTTTAAAGGGTTTTCTTGAATTAAACTTAAGATTCACATGTGACTTTTATTAGACTAAATTCTATAAATACAAAAGAATAACTAAGACTTACAGATTAGCTTTCTAAATCTACTATGTTATCAATAAAAATTAATTTATATAATCAGGATGTTGATAATAAAGAATTTGATAAATTAATGTAATTATTAGGAGATTTTGCAATAATTAGAGACATTGAAATAATATTAAATAAGTATAAATATTATATTATAATATATTAGAACAAGGAATGTTAATATTAGTAGTGTTCTGAGTAGTTTAGCATCTATAAAATCTTTGATAAATTTAAATTTAGATTTAAAGGGAATATAGATAGATTAAAATGATATTATATATGGAATCTAAATATTGAAATAAATGAGTTTGATGAAACGTTTAACTTTAGATTGTTCTAGTATGGATTTTATCAATTTTCTGAAAGCAGAATTAGATGAAAAAACAAAAATGATTTTTTATTATGAATCATAATTAATTTGATAATTTCATAGCAGTTCAACTGATTTGATAGCATTATGTCTTGATTATTTTCTATTTTTAATTTAATTCAACATTGATGTAACAGATTACATTTATTCCATAACACTTGACATCTATAATAATATAAATATAATATTACATCTGAAGAAAGTCTTTCTATTCTTTTAGAATCCTCTTCTTCTTCTGATTTAAGACCTTATAATTCTCTAGCTTTATTAAATGGAAACCAAGTCAAATCCTTTTTCTATATTTTCTCCCACACATACTATTCTATACCTGTATAATCTGTGGGATCTTTGTATTTTAAATAAGCCATAAAAAAAACATAATTCCACATGTAATGATTAACTTTGATATGATAATCAAATCCTTAACCCATTGATGAACTATCTGATAATCTATCAAAGGTTGTCTTGAGATTACCACAAATAAAACATTTATCTTCAATATCTCTTATTTTATTGCTTTCTTCTTCTCTTAATGATCCAAATGTATCAATAATAATTCCTGCAACTATATTCACCATAATAATCACTAAAAATATATTAGATGTATTATCAAATACAAATCTTCCTAATTGATATTTCTCTACTTTATCTTCATCTTCTAAATCTGATAAATATCCTCCTACACCACCATTTGCCTTAAATGTCCAATCAAATGTGAAAAGGAAACAAAAAAGAGTTGATTAACATTTACCTTTATAATCTTCAAAGAAAAATGTATAAGCAATTAGACCATATACATATACTAAAATAATAAATAAAACCAATGTAAGACCCAATTATTATTTTGGTTCCCAAACTGATCTGATAACATTTTTTAAAGTAGGATATCTAATCAATATCTCTGTTAAATGAAAACTAAAAAAAAATGGATGTAAAACTGTTCCAATAACAGCTAAAGCTCCATATGCCAAATAATAAACAACTTCTATTTCTTTTAAAATATAAAAAAGAACTGCCAATAATTTAAAAATCTTATAAATCAATTAAATTGGCCAATAAGTAAATTTATCTTCAAATGGTAATTTTGTTTTCCAAGCTTTTCTAATTATTAAAGGGGCATTCTTAAATAAAAAGAAGGATACAACAAATATTGAACAACAAGCCATTATAGTACCACATATAAGAAAGATATTTCTAGTTTATTATGGAGAATATTTCTCATCTCTAAATAATCTAAAATCTGTTAGTCTATTACCAGAATCATTCTTTGCAAATGATCCTATTATGAAAAGATTTAACAATAAAGTAAATAAGAATGCCAAGTCTTTCCATAATTTAACATAATTAGCAAATAAGGCTAAAAATTTTTATCTCTAAAAGATTCTTCTTAATTATTCCTCATGTTCACAAATTTCTATTAATCTTTCTGATTCTTAAACTAAAAATTAAACTTTTGATTTTGTAGATGATCTATCTACATTTTCATGAAATTCAACCTTTTATTCTTTAGGTAGATTATTAGTATAAGGCAGTAATATAAAATAAACTATTTCAATCTCATTATTTCTAACTACTTCTATTGATGCACTATTTTTATAAAAGAAATCAAATGCTCTCTTAGCTTATTTTAATTTCTCTGCCTTCTTTTCTTCTTTCTATTCTGCATGTTTCTCTTTTTTTTATTTGTCCTATTAATCAGGTCCTTAATTTTAATTAGCTATTTATTTTTATGCTTCCTTCTTTATTTGATTCATTAAATCAATCCAACTATTTGCAAAAGACATAACAAAACTAACTAATTAACCTATTATATTATCACCAAATAGTAAATCCTCCAATGCTCCTTTATCTTATTTTAACTTTTTTCTTGTATTAGCTCTGTACATTTAAACAAATGGATTTTCAGCATTTTTATCTGATTCCATATAATAACACATTAAGAAATATATATAAAATCCTTTTTGTAAAATTAATTCATCTTTTCCATCTTCATTCTCTTTTGGATCTTCCTTTATACGATCTAAAACTTCAATCTAATATCCTTCTTTACATTATTTTTCATATTTATCAAATGATTTAACTAGATGTTTTTATAAAAGTGTAGGTGTAATATGTCTCATGATTCTTTTGATAATAGGATTAGAATCTGATATTTCTCTCATTTCAATTAATGATAAAATTAATATTAAACATTTTGTTTACATTCTTTCAATTTACCATGCCTTTAAATCTGATCCATTTTATTATTTTTAATATCTACATGTTTTATACTTATTATTTTAAGTTTTAGTAGTTCTAAGATTAGAACCCATAGTCTGAGCTTTGCCAGCAGATTTCTTTTCTTTTCTAGAACCAAATAAATCAGATGCAATTTCAAAAAATTTAGAATCTGCAACAGCTACTTAATTTTCAGGACATGGTCCTTAAACTAATTCATTTAAAGTATCTAAACATAAAACCATATTATCATATTATGCTTTATCCTTATAATAATAGGTTAATAATAATTCAGCAACTTAATTGATCATATTATAAGAATTTCTAGAATTTGATTATTGACGAATATAATTTTATAAATCCAAATAATGACCTTCACAACAATTTTATAGAAACTTTAATACTTGATTAAGTAATAATTCTAATTCTTATTATTATTACATTTCTTAAATATTTGGTTCATCTTATTATTAAAATTAATTTTATAATTGATCTTCATTTTTTTTATCCTTAGCTTTTATAGTAATTTGTTTAATTTAAGCTTAAATAACATTATTTAATCTACTAAAAATGACTTCACTTTTAGGATAAGTCTTCATAAATTCAGAAATAGTTTTTTAAACTTTATTATTTCCTCCAGAAAGAAGAGTATTTATAAACATAAGAAAATGTCTTAACATTTCACTATCTAATGTTGTTGATTCACTTAATACAGTCAATACCATTCTTGTAGCTCCTAATTTATTAAATAGATTTTGCATTTCTTCCATTTCATTGTTTTCTCCTTCAACTTCAAGTTCTCCTTAATTTTCTTCTTTAGATTTTCCTTCAATTAATTTTCTTAATACACTTAATAATGTAATAATAGTTTTGTTATTCTAATTATTATTTAATGCATAACTCAAAAAATTAATAAATTTCTTTATTAATATAGTTCTTTCAACTTTTAAAACCTTATCATTCTTTTCATTCTTATTATCATTTGATCCTCCAAAATATTACTCAAATATAAGAATAGCTTCTGATAATTTTTATATTTCAGCTTAAATTTATATCTTAGTTTTATCTGCCAAACATAAATGACTAATAAATTCTTCCCATGCTAATGCAATCTTTTCTACATCTTCAGTTTTAAATTCCATTTCAATTATTGGTTATTCATCTTTTTATTTCTTATTAGATTTTTACCAAAATTACATTACTCCAGCACCTTCAGATTTAACATAATTATTATTATTTTAAAATATAGTTTTTGGTACAGGATTATCTCCATGACTTTATTAAATGGCATTTTAATTTAAATTTATAATTGGTTCTAATTATTCAGTTTAAAAATTATCATTAGCACCAGCATCTATATTAGACATAACTGATCTAAGATTATGATATTCACCTAGATCTTCCCATTTTTATTATTAATTTTATAATGAAATACAACATCTACCCATTTCTGTTGTTTAAAAAAATGAAAAAAATCCAGTTAAACTTTGAACATGTCTCTTTCTAGTAATGTACTTTCCTAATTATATCATTGCCTATGATAATAATTTAGCAAATGAAAGTAATTATGATATATCTTTTTATTCTTAATCATGAGCTTCATCATCTTCTTCCAATCTAGTTGTTAAATTTTTACGATTTAAATAAGTTGTAAATAATGGTAATACTGCATCTGTTAAAAAATCAAAATATTTAGTGTAAGATAGATCAATTGATAATTATTCTAATCTTTTTATTTCAAAATCTGTTATTCTCATTATATCATTCTAAATATCTTTAGCTACATTATGACTCTTTTCACTTGTAATATGAACATTCATTAAAAATATCCATAATTATTTTTTAATTAAACCATATCCTTAATCTTATATAGATGGATTTTTTGATGTAAGTGAATCTTATTTACATATTAAAGAGATCAAATATTATAAACTAAATTTCTTTTTTAATTTTGCAACATTAATTGTAAAATTGTCTTTTTAATCTCCTTCTATCACTTATATATATGCACATTATAATAACAAATCTAATAATTTAGTATGATATCTAAATGGTTAATTTATTGGAGGAGGATGAGCTAAATCATTTAAGAAATCAGATTAATGTAATTAGATTTCTCCATCAAATATAAATTCATTTCTTTCTGTATATAATAATTCTTCTTTCTCTAAAAATGTATTTAAAACTAATAATTGATTATCAAAAAGATATTTGTTTCCTTATTTTATTATTGTTAAAAAGAAATCCAAATATTAAGCTTTCCTTCCATTTTAATATATTGCTTCTACAAATTTATGAAAAACTTTATCATTTTTATTTATAGATGATAACATTTTTTAATTATCTTTATAGATTTCACATATCAATGGAATTTAACCTACTTCAATATGAATAAATTCAAAACTTGATAGATTTTAAGATAGTAAAATTTAATTTTCATGATTATTTCTACAAAAATAAGTTAAAAATTAAAATGCATAAATAAATAATTATGCTAATCTTTATTTTTTTTGAATATTTTTATTATTTTCTAAATGAAAATCTAAAGATTATAATTGATCTCTTATTAAATTTAAAATAGGCTCATAGATTTTTAATGCATTCATTAAATTCTACTTTTCAGGATCAATTTCTTAAGTAGATGACATAATTCTAGCACCTATTTGAGTATCTTTAAAAAATCCTTATCTAAAATTATCTATAATTTCAAGTGTTTCATCTAAATCTTCATATTTTGAATTCTTCATGAAATCTGTTAACCATACTTCTGATCTATCTATTAATTAATTTAATCTATAAACATGTTCACTCAAATATTCATATAATTTACTTTTAATAGGATCACTAATCAATTATAATTTTAATAAATTATTACATAATTCCTCTCTCTAATTAAATAATCTCATTATTATTGCTAAACATCGTTTTTCTAATTCTTCTTCATGAATTTATGAAAAATTTGTAAATAAAAATGGTAATACAACTCCAATAGGATTTGATATTTTTGTTATATCTTCTTAAGGTAAATTAAGTGAAAAATATTAATCTAAATCATAAATGAGCATTATATTTTATGTGAATATTTTAAATTCTTCAGATTCAAGTTTAGTTTCTGCCAATTTATTCAAAAAATTTAAAGCTCCAATACCAAATGCATCTTTTTATTCTTCTTTTTCATCTATATCTTTTATACCAGTCTTAGCTATATTTGGAAGTAAACCCAATAAATTTAAATCAGTTTTACTTTATACAAATTATTATATTTTAAGAAAATCAATTTCTGAATCTTACATACCTACAAGTAATTCTTCTTTTTCTTTAGTTAATTTAGTTTATTATAATCCATCTTACATTTTCTCTATAATTTATTTTTTAAAAAAAGATAGTACATTTAACATTAAATAATTTTATCTCATATCTAAGAATCTGTCCATAATATTACATAAAGTTAATTTAATTTTAATTTCCAATTAATTTGATCCAGATTCCTCTCTTATTAAGATTGTACTTTATAATTCATTCTCTAATTTAATAAATCCTCTCATCAATGGATTAGTATACATTTAAACATCATCAACAATTCCATCATCTATTTATTCTTCATCTTCAGTATCTGATTTTTATTCTTCATCAGATCCAAAAATATTATTTAAATTCAAATTCATTGGATTAGCCATATTTATTAAATTAGCTCCTAAATTTAATGGATTATTATCTTTTCTTTATTTTCTTTAATTAATTTCATTTTTTTATTATTTATACACACTTCTCATTAATTATAATTATTTAAAATCATAAAAAAAGAAATGTACTACAATATCAATTATTTATTAATAATAATAATTTGGTTCTTTATCTAATAATGTAAATACATCTAATTCTAATACTAATTACATCATTTAACATGAATTATATAATAATTCATTAATTAATAAACTTTTTTCATCATTACCTTCTAATACATCATAATCTTTATTATTTTCCCCATTATCCTTTTAATCTAAAGCATGAACAATCTGATTCCTAACATCTTATAAATATCTAAATAAATCTTCTATTAATGGTTTATATAAATCCATATGTTAATTTTCTGCAACTTAATCAATTCCTTTATATAAATTACAATATTTAGGTAATTATACTCTATTTAAAGGATCATGATCAATATAAAGACTCATTGCAATTTTACATAATGCAGCTTAAAGTACTGTATATGTTTTATTACCATCATCTTACCAAATATTTTAAAATAAGAAATCTTTACTAAAATATTATTCTAATTCTTATTTCCATAAATAATTTCTACCAAAAGAAACATGTGCATAGAATTATAATTATTCATTAATAAAATACATTTCTTTAGGATCATTTTATAATTTAAAAGGTATAATTAATTTACCATCTTTTAATGAAATTTTATCTGGATCTTCTTTATCTTTAATTAATGCAATTTTTTTATGATTATGTTTCTTTAATAATTTATATATAGCTTCTTAATTTTAATTAATCCCTTAATTATTATAAACACACATTTCTCTTAAAAAAGTTAGATAATCTGCTTTATGAGGTTGATCATCATTTTCTAATAAATTTAAAAAGAAAATAAGAAAATTATTTTAAACTTTATGATGTTAAACTTACATCTTTTCTTCTTCTGGTTCAAAAAAATCTTATTCTTTTGGATTATAATCAATCTTCATATTAGCTGATAATTAACTTAACAATTCTTGATTATTACCAATAATAGATATCATACATTTAATGGCTTCTGGAATATATCTACAATGATCTAAAAAATGTCCTATTAAATCAAAAGTATATTTTTCATTCTCTTGATTTTATTTACAAATAGATATAAGTAAAGTATATATAGATTAATTCATATTAATTTTAAAAGCAACATAAGCTAATAATTCATGATCCTTTAAACCTTATTTTTTATTAGATTATTCAGTATTACTCATTTTCTCTTATTATTATTATGTATCTTACATTTAAATAATCATAAATCTACGACTCCATAATACTAAATCTTCAGGTTTCAATTATTAAACTAAAATCTTTACTAATAAATCAATATAATATTATTCTTTTAATAATTTCTATCTAAATTAATTGATAGTTCCATATTTTTATTCAGGAGTAGAATTATATAATCTATTATTACAAAAATCATTAATATCTTCAATACATTATTTAGTTGTTTATATTTTTAATAAATGATCTTTTAATACTTCCTTATCATTACCATCATTCTCCCATTTTAATCTTGAAACATCATCTAAATAATTCATTAATGTCTTAACACAACTTAATACAAATGATATTTCCCATACATCATTACTACTACTAGCATATAATTTGAATACACTTTAATCTGTTTTATGTTATTCTTAATGTAATACTGGTGTATGCTTTTATGATTTACCACATTAAATATCCACCCAATAATTATTATTAATCTCTTATACTTAATTCTCATGACATATATATGCATAATTCCCTCTTGTTACTGATTTCTCTCTCAATTAAATATTCTTCAATTAACTAAAATAAAATAATGTCTATGCAGTTCTTTATTTCTCCAAATAAAATCTTTCTATTGTTCCTGCCAAATATAATCCAGATGCAAAATGTTTGAATCGATATTTCTTATCAAATATTACTATTCCTCCTTCTTTATAATCTTCTGCCTCTATAATCCACATTGAATGAGTATCACCAGTATATTCATCATAACTCTCCTTTGTTGATCCACTAAGTACATTTAATTCTACATTTTCTACTCCCAACCATTCAACCAAATTAAAAGAATGAAAATTCTTCTAATCTACTGGCTTCCCTTTTCTAGTTGCTGCTATTGTTGTATTTGTTTCACTATGATGTAACCATATTACATCACCACATTTTAAACAACCTGATGTCTCTGGTACATAATCAGAATATACAGATATCCTCCATTATGTTTAATTCTCTTCATCTAATGAAGCATTCACTTCTCTTTTTATTATATCTTTTTCATTTCTATATACTTATAAATCTTCATCACTTTTCTATTTCTTTTTAGTTTTTCCATAATTACCCATTTCTTAAGATGCATGTAAAAATGTTAATTTATTCATTAATGAAGTTGCTCTCACTATATACACTATATCACTTGCATAAATTACTTACTCTCCTTCCTTTTAATATTTATAAGCTGGTAATATTTTAAATAAAGATGCATCACTTGGTAATTCATCAAGAGTTATTTTATAATTTGAACTCTCCACTCTTGCTTCCTTTTAATGACATGCTAAAAATTTTGAAGATGCTAAATGCAACAATTAAATATGAGATTTATACGAAACCTTATGAGATTTGCACTAACAATAATTATGACCAATATACTTTTTCGAAAGTGTCTAAATTGTATTTGAATTCCTATAACAATTTTTATGAAAAAGATTATATCTATTCTTTAGACATCATTGTTTTCTCATCTACTTTCTACTATTTTTAAATCCCATCTAAAATATTTTGAATTGCAGGTTAAGTCTCTTCTTCTTATTCTTCACCCTACAATTCTTTCAAAATTTCCTATTTCGTATTGTTAGTGAATTTTGGGAATATTTAAAATAGTGTGTTAAAATAAGGCCTGCTTTTCATTTTACCCAAATTTTTTGCAGCCACTACATCGATATGATGCTTAAGATAAATACTTTTAAAATACAAAGTTCTTTAAACAAACAGAACGCTTCACAAAACCATCCGCTGTAATAAATGAGTGGTCATCTTAAACATGAGAAATTGAAATCACAGATCCATAAGTCAAATAATTAAGATCTTCTTGTTTCATCAGACTTAATAAATATAAAAAATAAATTAATAAATAGATTAAATATAATCAAATTTAACATAACAAAACATGATTAATGTTCAAGAATTCATATTCTCTTATATTATATTTATATTCTATCTTTCTTATTTTAAATAAAGTATCAATTTATATTCATCTAAAATAAACTATTTTCTCTATATATACCCCATAAGAAATTAAATTAATTAATCTTATACATTTATACTATATTTTGAANTATCTTTTTCATTTCTATATACTTATAAATCTTCATCACTTTTCTATTTCTTTTTAGTTTTTCCATAATTACCCATTTCTTAAGATGCATGTAAAAATGTTAATTTATTCATTAATGAAGTTGCTCTCACTATATACACTATATCACTTGCATAAATTACTTACTCTCCTTCCTTTTAATATTTATAAGCTGGTAATATTTTAAATAAAGATGCATCACTTGGTAATTCATCAAGAGTTATTTTATAATTTGAACTCTCCACTCTTGCTTCCTTTTAATGACATGCTAAAAATTTTGAAGATGCTAAATGCAACAATTAAATATGAGATTTATACGAAACCTTATGAGATTTGCACTAACAATAATTATGACCAATATACTTTTTCGAAAGTGTCTAAATTGTATTTGAATTCCTATAACAATTTTTATGAAAAAGATTATATCTATTCTTTAGACATCATTGTTTTCTCATCTACTTTCTACTATTTTTAAATCCCATCTAAAATATTTTGAATTGCAGGTTAAGTCTCTTCTTCTTATTCTTCACCCTACAATTCTTTCAAAATTTCCTATTTCGTATTGTTAGTGAATTTTGGGAATATTTAAAATAGTGTGTTAAAATAAGGCCTGCTTTTCATTTTACCCAAATTTTTTGCAGCCACTACATCGATATGATGCTTAAGATAAATACTTTTAAAATACAAAGTTCTTTAAACAAACAGAACGCTTCACAAAACCATCCGCTGTAATAAATGAGTGGTCATCTTAAACATGAGAAATTGAAATCACAGATCCATAAGTCAAATAATTAAGATCTTCTTGTTTCATCAGACTTAATAAATATAAAAAATAAATTAATAAATAGATTAAATATAATCAAATTTAACATAACAAAACATGATTAATGTTCAAGAATTCATATTCTCTTATATTATATTTATATTCTATCTTTCTTATTTTAAATAAAGTATCAATTTATATTCATCTAAAATAAACTATTTTCTCTATATATACCCCATAAGAAATTAAATTAATTAATCTTATACATTTATACTATATTTTGAACTTAATTATAGTCTTTCTCTTAATAGACTATAATAAAATTCATATTTTTTGAATAAATGATTTTCTCTTTCAATTTAATTAACTAATTATATCATCTTAATATGAGTAGTATTAATTGAGATGTATAGTACTAATTTACAATTAAAGAATTTATAAATTTTATCTCATAAACCTATATAATAAATTCATTTATTTTTGTCTTATAATATCAACTATCTTCTATTTAATTTGTGTTAGTATAATTTAGTTTGAAGAAAAAGACTATCAAATAGTTGATCCAATCATTAATAGTCTATTTTCAATCATTATCTAATTTCCTTCAGTTGATAGAAAAATAAATTTATAGGGTTCAACTTAAGATAATTTACAAGTTCAATAATATCAAACACAACTTAGATCAATATAAAAGATTTATATTTAAGTTCTTATCAATTATTAATAACGCCTTTTTTCTAGAGTAAATGAATATTAATCTTTAATATTTCAGGAATTGTTGTCAATACATTAATATTAATATAAATATAAATATTAAAATAATATAATTTATACACTTTCAGACATTCTCGATTAGAAATGGAATAAAATCCTTATGATTTTAATACACTATTATACATTTTATTAAATTTGAGGATATTAATAAAATAATTGATTTACTCAGATTTATATTATTCTTAAAATCAATATTTTTAAACTATGATTATTGATATTTAATTGATATTAATTAGAAGTAATATATAATTAGTTTTAAGATTATCAAAAAAAACATTTAATTGTATTATTTTGAAATGTGAATATCAATAATATAATTTAAAATGTATAAATTTTTGAATATTTGACATTCTGCTTAATTAAATTAAATGTAAAATATTTAATATTTATTTTAGAATAAAAACATTATATAGTCTATATTATATATGAAATTATTTATTAAATCTATAAATAAATAATGTATTGTCTTAGACATTAAATAGTATAATAAAGAATGGATTTATTTGATCAATTTTTAGGTGTGTTTTTACATTAATTTGATGATTATTTATTGCAATATTTTTGAGTATTAAATGATTAATTATTAAACCAAATTATGAACCCGTTTTTTAGATAATTAAAATAAAAAAAAAATGAGAGCACTCATCACAATTTGCTTAGTGGCTGCTGTATTTGCCGCAGATACAAACAAATTTGCTGTCCTCCTCCAAACTGGTACAAGAGGAAATGATGCTGTTGAATCAGTATACAATCTCTTGAGAGATCTCAAGACAGAGAATGTTAATGTCTAAGCTGCTGCAGACAAAAAGAATAATACTGATGAGGGTAAGCTTTATTTTATTATATCTTTATAGAAATCTTTTCATAAGTTATTGGTGACTTGACAAATGTCGCTTCCCTCAATAAATAATAATGGGAATCCCTTGGTGCAGTTAGAGGTGATGTTGAAGCCTAAATTAGGGTATGATTATTTAATAATTTCTCAAAGGATGGATATTAATGGTTGTCCTGGGCTGAAGCCAGACTTGCTGAAATTGAAAGAAGAAATGCATAACTCTAAGATTAAAGATGTTGGGCCAATGGACTTTTCGTCAGATCCCTTGCTGATCATGCTGATGCCGTAGCAATTGTTTAACTTTTACAATAAGATGTTGCTGGATATCTTACAAATAATGCTGGAGTCGAACTCGTTGAAAAAGCCTAAACAATCGCTGACAAATTATCTGCCTACAGTCACCTCTTCTAATAAGATGCCCTCTAGAAATTCTAATCACTTGCTGAAGTTAAAAGAGAAGGAACAACTGGAGAATAAGTCCTTAACATCTTATAAGATTTATAAGTAGAATTAGAATCAACACTTGCCACACTTTAAGAATAAGAAATCCACGCTGCCTTTGCTCTTGCCAAATACGTTTCAGATACAAATGCTGAAGTCGCATGGTTGAACTCAGAACATGAAAGAAGAACAGGTCTTGTTGAAAAATTAGAAACCGTATTAATTTGCCTTTATTTTTATAGTAACTCCCAGCTGTTTTAGCCCAATAAGCTAAAGCCCTTAAATTATGGAAAGATTCATTAAACGCTGTTGCTGGTGCCACTGCTGATTTGGAAGAAAAGAGAGAATTCTATGCTTCAGAAACTGCTAGAAGATAAGGTAAATATGGCAATTTTACATATTTTTAGAGGAAAATGCTATCATTGATGTCGTTATCCAACTCTTCAAAGATTAAGTTAGATCATTAGCTTCATAAACATCCCTTAATAGACATTGATGGGAATATTCATATAAGAATTTATCTTAATTCATTCATTCATTCCATTTGTTTCTTATCTTATTTATTAATAAAACAGAGAGATAAAGAATATGTTTCTAAAAAATTATTATATAATATATAAACATTAAGTTTAAAATTATAAAAAATTACTCAAAAATATTTCTCATTTTTTTAATCTTTACAAGCTTTTCTTTAAGAAATTTTATTTTTTCAATAGTTGACTATTGATTTAATTAATATTTCTATCAGGGGATGATTCATTCGAGAGGAATCTATCAAATTATTACTTGTATTCTTTTTGTTTATTTACATATTGAAAGAATGAATTTTGAGTTGAATTTTTTGATAAGGATTATGGTTTATTATTGTTTGTTTTAAAGAAGAATGTTGTATTTGCTTAATTGTTAATAGTTGATTTAGTAGTAGAAGCATGAATATCAAATTTACTAATATTAGCTTTGTCTATTTCATTAGTTGGTGGGAATATTTCGAAACTGCTTTTTTGTATGAATTACTATTTTTTAGGTTAAGAACTTTCTATTTATAAATATGGAGTATAAGTAGGAACAAAGGGTATTCTAGGTTAATAATCATTTATGTCTTTAATGGAACTCATGGTTTCTTTTCTTTGATCTAAGACATATTTGAGTTCTAGAAAATTCTTAAATAATGCATCGACTTTGACATTTTTTTAAAAATATTCTTTTGGAGGATATGTAAGATTATGTTATTCAATTATGTTATGTCTATGAGATCTTTAGATTTTGTTATCTAATTTTTGTTCACCATCCGACTCAAGATCTTTGAGTCTTTACATAAAATTAATATCGCCTAATTAGGATTTCATGATGGGATGATTAATAATTTTAGGTTTTTCGAATCCTAAACTAGTTCTATGTAAGGCAGAGGCAAGAGAAGGTGAAATTGAATTAATATCAATTTTCATTCTTCTTAAAGGAGGTGATTTAAATTATTGTCTAACTTAATATTATGTTTCTTCTTCAACAATTTAAAGTTTCTTATGTTTATTTGGTGGTTTAAATATACCTGATAGAGTTTAAGCAAATTCTGATCCTTCATCACTTTCTAATTTAGTGAATTCAACAGGACGACCAAAAAATTTAGTGGGTTTAACATATTATGGTGGTGGAGCTGTTTTTTTTGTATAATCTAAGAATTTATCTGTAAAGTATTTTTTGAGGTTAGATTCAATATACTGATCAGATACTATTACTCCATTTAGTGTGAAGGTTATAATGTGGTAACAATCTAAATGAATCCTTTCATTATTCTTTGTATGTAATTCATTTAGATTTTATTGGTAATAAAAACTCTTTTAGGCTATATAGGTGGCACAAAATATTAAAAGATTTAGATTTTCAACTTTAGGATTTTGTACAATATTCATAAGAGCTATATAAGCACTCTTAAGTTTATCATTGCTTTACTATTTTTTGTAAAATGCAATAAGACAATTGTAGCATTCATTTGTAAAAGTTTCAAATTGTTATGTATAGAATGTATCGATTGGCTTTGTTATAAGTATACCTTAATTGATAAAATCTAAAATAGCTTATTTCATATAAAATTAATATGTAAAAGCATTTAGAGTTAGTGTAATCAATGACTCAACCAAAATTAGAAGCATCTAATCCTTGGTTAGTTGCAGGAATCCTCAGAACTTAACTATAGAATGTACTTTATAATAAGGATCAATTCAAAGAGATTGATGAAGAATTTAAAGATTTTGGAAAATTGTGCAATGAAGTACTTTATGAATTTAGTGTGGATGCAGAGTTGAATCCACCTAAATTAATTAAATAGGATGTGTATGGGAATGTAGTTGATAAATTAGTATTAGGTGAAGGTTGGAAAAAGGAAAAAGAATATGCTGCAAAAGTAATAATATGATCTAAATAGTGTGGAATAGTAGCAATGGCATATGAAAATAAATATGGTATTTGGAATAGACTAATATAATTATTGAGATTGTAATTGTACTAACCAGTGTCTGGATTATTTGTAAGATATTAATTGATTCTTAAATTAATAGGGGTGTCCTTTAGCTATGACAGATGGTGCAGCATACTTACTTAAATAATGGTTAATCAATCCAACCACTTAATGTTAAGAAACTCTTAAATTAGTACGATAAGGATTTGAAAATTTAACATCAAGAGATCCATCTAAATTTTGGACTTCTGGACAATGGATGACTGAGAAAGATGGTGGATCAGATGTCACTAATTCAACTACTACAATTGCTATACATTAAGGAGGTAATAAATACAAATTATATGGATATAAATGGTTTTCATCAGCAACTGATAGTGAAATGACGTATTTGTATAATCTAAATAATTAGATTGGCTTTGGCAAGAATAGTACCAGAAAAAAATATAGAAGATTTCAGAAAATATCCATTATCATTATTTATAATGAGAGTGAAAAAGGATGATGGTTCTTTGAATAATATAAGAATTATGACAATGAAAGATAAAATGGGTACTAGATAATTACCAACAGCAGAATTATTGCTTTAAGGAAGTGAAGCATTTTTAATTAGTGAAGAAGGCAAAGGTGTAAAAGGAATAAGTCATATGTTAAATGTAACTAGATTGTATAATGCATCTTCAGCTATTGGATCTATGAATAGATTATATTCAATAGTAGTTAATTATTCTTTGAAAAGAAAAGCTTTTGGATAAGTTTTAATAGAAAAACCTGCTCATTAAGCAATGCTTACTAAATTCAATCTGAATGTCAGAGCATGTAGTTTATTCTATTTCAAAGTGGCATAATTATTCTCTAAAATATAAAATAATGTTGCTTCAAAAGATGATGAGGAAATGTTTAGAATATTAACTCCATTGTTAAAATTATATACTGCAAAAATCTGTATGTATTGGATGAGTGAGGGTATTGAAGCCTTAGGTGCTTTAGGATACATGGAAAATAGTTATATCCCTTTAATGTTAAGAGATGCTTAAGTACTTACAATTTGGGAAGGTACAACAAATGTTTTATGTTTGGATTTCTTAAGAGCTCTCAAATCTAATGATAAAAATGATCCTCTTCAGAAACTTGATGTCTATGCAAGATTCCATACACATGTTATGATGACTTAATTATCAGCTGATACATAATTACCAGAAACCAGGAAGACTTTTATACCCTACATAGCTAAAATGACTATCAATCACAATGGAGTCATTGCTGAATTATCTAATATATTATAAGGATCTATAAAGTACTCAGAAATGAGAATTAGAGATCTCTGCTTTATGTATTAGATTAATAATAAATAATAAGTTTATGTGAATCATTTGTAGGAGGATAGATGTTAGAATTGATTTCAAAAAATGGAAGAGAAGAAGATATCATCAGTTTTGAATTATGGGTTGAATAAATGTAATCATATACAACTACTTGGTCTATTACACCCAAAGCATTTGAAATTCTAGTAAAAGAAAATATAATCAAATCCAAATTATGATATATTAATAGATTTCTTAATATATATCAATCAAATGGTGAATAATCATATTCTGCCTTATTATGCATTACGAGTTAATCTCCCACAAAATAAAAACTGTCTGATTTTGTCTAAAATGGATTATTAATCATTTCTTGTCTCTATAATTAATAATCCTAATTCCTTACCATTGCCTCATTTATCTCTGGAATAGTGTATATGTGTTCCCAAGTGTTAGTCGAGTTGGGTATACAAAAAGGAAATTGAAATTCGTAGCTTCTTAATAAATTATCTCTAAAATAATGTCTCTCTATTATAGTAAAATTTTTGATAGGTTTGTCTCCTACTGAAAATGTCAATTAAGCACCAACAGTCTTCAATTCAAAGAATTAAGGTCCGAAATGATATTTAATACGTCTAGCTTCATCTTGATATTCTGGAGGTAGATTTTCTATAATAAATCAATATTAAATTTACCTATTGACTCCTCATCTTGATCTCTTTCCACTTCGAATAGTGTCTGTCCAGAATCCATGTCTCTTATTCTAAATTTCAAGAATTGAATATTGAAAATATTTGCACTTACTGGACACAGAAAACTAATATGTAAATATATTAAATACTCTTGTGTGATTCCATTCAGATTTCTAACATATGCAGGAGTCACTTACTGCATTAGATTTAAATTTTTATTATATTATTATTATTTACTATCAATAATATCATTTAAAACATATTCACTTTAAAGGAGACATCTCTATTGATTCTATTTTTAATTCTAAACTGAACCCAACCCATTTAACACTCCTTACTAAACTTAAATAACAATATAAATATGAATCCAATAAACCTATTAAACTCCCAAAACCAAATGAAATTATTGGCCATACTGTTGCATCTACTTTAAATTAATTAATCATTGCTGGCTATTCTATCTAATATTAATTTTTACCATTCCCCAACACACAGCTACCAAAAATGGATACAAAAATAATAAAAATATTTGCTTATTTTCTGCTAAACATTTACTTCCAAGATGATCATAAAGTTCCTTTATCACTAAAGTAAATATTATTGCATTATAAACAAATGTTGACCATATAGGTACATCTTAAAAAACCAAAATAAAATATCTAATTTTTGGTTTATTTGAATTAAATGAACACATGCTCATTGGAAATGCTGCTGAAACTCCATAAGCATCAAATGCAAATGGTCTTCATCACTTCATAATTATATTTATTTACAATAATGACATTATTAAAGGAAACAAAAATCCTATCATCGAATATACCATCTTACGATATGTTCGATCTCCATATTTAACTGTTCTGTAAAGATTATTTGCTATTAAAGTTGTCCATGCTGTACTTGCCAATAAAGAATATTATAATAATGCAGCTTATCCATAACATATGATTGGATAATCACTCAATTTAAATTCTTAGTTGTCTATCACTAGAAATGCTACTGCAGATGAAAATAATAAAATCTATTATATTAGGTCGAATATTATGATATGTATAACTATTTTTAATTGATCTGTTCTCAACACATTAAATTTCCAATAACAATATATTACAAAAGAGCATCCAATTATTGAAAGACCTCCCAAAATCAATATTTCTATTGCAATAAATAATTGAGGCATCGAATTAATTATTAATAATTAATATTGTATTGTCACATTCAAACATGCATTATCATGTAATTATATTTGTACATATAAATAATTATTTTTTTTAATTGATGAATCCTAATTACAATGAAATTCTAAAATAGATTATGGATTTTAAATAAGAAGGAATAAGGACACTCATATCTGGTTTACTTGTTAAATTGGTAATTTAATCTATTATTATAGATTATTGGACTCTTTTTTGCATGGCCAATTTTATAATCATATCATGAAATCTTAATTGGATATAAGGACCTTAATCATTAATACATTCTATATATAAGTTATGCTCTTATGATTTTAATCATGAATTTATTCATACCTCATACTGACTTCTTCCTTAAGAAATTAGGACCTCAAACTTTAATTTGCTTATTTGTTTGTTTAATTGGAATGTCATTCATGTTAATTGCTATTTTTGATTAAGTATAAATATCTAAAAGAATCAATTTAGAATTGGGTCATTCATTTGTTACTACAATTATTTATCATTGCCCCTTCTGTTGGAATTCTATACTCAACACCATTTCTCATATCTTGGAGATACTTTGTTAAATAGAAATGTATATTTATTATTATTATATTTTATTAGAACACTTAAATTCTATGTTCCAAATATTCATTGGATAAGGTGCTTTTTTAGCATTAAGAATATTTGAATCTAATTAAGCAAATCAATTAAAATTGTATTTTGATAATGAACAATATTTTTGTGGAGAATGCTTCAATCTTTAAACTAGGCAATCCCTTAGAAGTCTCACAATATGGGTTTTTATTTTAGGAATTGTAGCAGCACTCTTAGTAAAATAACTAGATGGAGATTTAGCTGATAGTGTTGTGGATTATGATCTACTTGCATTTGTTCATTTAGATCTTAAATAATAATAAGACAGCAGGTATTCATAAGATGAGAGCCATCAATCATTAGATTAATCTATCACATTTACCTAATCCTTATCCACTAAACCATTTTAAATCATGTCCATTTTAGTAGTATCATCATCTCTCTTGCCTTATTTAATATTCTGTTAATATTAGAGAATTCAATCAGCCTTAGGAATAAGCTATACTTAATCAAATATCTCTTTTTTAATATCAATCTTGTTATATGGATTTATGAGATAGGTTTATAACTATTTTATCTCAGATTGGCCATACAAACTTGTCGTTAAAGGATTAGTCTAAATGAATGTATTCACAATTATCATCTATTTTAGATGCTCTTAATTCTAATATTTATTGCTTCGCTTTGGTTTCATAATCCTTTGTTAATTAACATATTGTGTTCAATTTATGTAGTTTCCATAGCCCTTTTGTTCTCAGTTATTAGTAATTCCATTCCTAAAATTTTTGGATCTATGGCAAGTCAAGGAGTATTCTCCTTCATGTTGACCCTTATGGGGTTGAGTGCTGTTATTTCAAATTCTATTTCTTACTTTTTTCCTTAAGAGGTATATCAATAAATATGTTTAGACAATAAAAAATATGTTATTTTACTTTTCCATTATAGTATTTTTTTGTTAAATGGTTGTGTATAGAATTGCTAATTGAATTTTATTAAATTATATACAATAATTTCAGAATTAAATACTAACTGATTGCAATATATATATTATTCAAATTTATGTATTACACTCCATCTAGACCTGCTGACAATGACAAATAACCTACACGTCATTAAAGGCCTCCAGGTTAGAATCCTCAATATCTTCAAAAATAACCTGAAGATCCACGCAGACTTGATGATTATCATGGAAATCCTCAAGAGCGTCCCCCTCCATAACAAAGGCCCCCATATTAAGAACAAGGTCTGGATAGAGGCCCTTAACCACAAAGGCAATTCGAACACCCATAAGATCGACCTTAACCTCCATATGGCAACATGGCTAGAGGATTTGAACGACCTCCTCCTGGTTTCAATCCTTAATTTCCTCCTCCACCTCCTGACAGATTTAATAATGCACCCTATGATCCAGTCTATGCAGATGATCGTTATTATCGACCAATATCAGCTCCTTATGGTAGCCCCTATGGTCCAAGGTAATAACCATACGGGGAACCTTCTCCTTAAGGTTTGAGAGGACCTGCTAGAGCATATGATCCAAGAAGAGTAGGACCACCTCAAGATTTTCGAGGTCCTCCACCTGATTATAGAGGATTACCTCCTCCTGATTTTCGTGATGTTCCTCCTGAATTTAGAGGAATTCCCCCTCCAGAATATAGAAGAATGCCACCTTAAAGTTATTAAGGGGGAGAGTACCGAAGAGGAATGCCAGAACCAATGGGTTATCGCGATGATTACAGTAGAGATGTTGCATCAAGAGGTCCAGATTACAGAGGAGGACCACCTCCTGATTTTAGGGGAGGACCACCTCCTGATTATAGAGGATTACCTCCACCTGGAGATTTCAGAGGTGGACCACCACCTGATTTTAGAAAACCTCCTCCTGATTATAGAGGAATGCCTCCTCATCAACCTGATTATAGAGGAATGCCTCCTCCTCCACCTGATTATAGAGGAATGCCTCCTCCTCCACCTGAATATAGAGGGATGCCTCCTGCAAATTATAGGGGACCTCCTCCTGAATATGGGAGAGGTATGGATCCAAGAGGATTACCACCTCCAGGCGAGTATAGAAGAGCACCTGGATATCCTCAAAGAGGAGCACCATCCAATGAGATTTATAGAGGAGATTATCCTCCTTAATATTAAAGAGGAGGAGATTAAGTTTACAGAGGAGGACCTGGTGGAAGAGATTTTGAACCAAGACGACCTTTGTCACCTTAATCACAAAGAAGAGATCATGGATACAATGAATTTAGTTCACCATAATAGAGAATTAAGCAAGCTTGAATATTATATTAATATATATATTATACTTTGTTTAATCATGTTTAAGAAGGGTTAATTATGTAGAATTATAAAATTGATAAAATAATTCTAAAAAAAGAGAGACGAGATGCAAGAGAGTAAGAAGAGGAGTATTGAAAGTGGAGGAAGGTAAGTTAGATAGAGATGTAGGGGAGGTGGAGAAATTATTAATTATATAATAATATAGTGTAAAATGAGTATAAATGAAGAGCTCGATCCGTTTTTAAATTAATATTAAAAATGTAAAAAATAGCTCTCTTAGCTTTGGTTCTTGCTGTGACCGCTGCCAAGTTCGTTGACACCCACACAACTTTGGCTTAAATCAACTCTGACCCATTCGGCCATGTTGTATTGAGTGCCATAAAAGCCCATCTTTAAGCCTCAACCCCAGCCAATGAAGTTAATATGTTATTGAATGGTGTTGGTGCAGGACTTGTCTAAGACTAAAATGACCATGATCATGCTTTTGAACTTGACACAACAACAAACAACAGAGTTGATTCTATTTAATTAATCTTTAGATCGTTGAAGATTTGGAAAAGGAAATTTTGTATCACCAAAACTAAATTGCCTCAAATACCTAATTGAGAGATGACACAATTGAAGCACTTGCTGTATCTGAAGAAGATATCAGAGTGACAATTTCAGATATTGCTAACAACGAAGCTACCTATGCAAGAGAAGAAGCCACAAGAAACTAATAACACGAAACATTTGTCTCAAAAGTTGCTGCTATTGATGATGTGATTGATGCTATTGATGAAGCCGCTAAATTGATCCAACATTTGAGCCTTGGAGCATCTTTTGCTTAATTAAAGAGCAAATATGACACACTCCACAAGAAACTTTCAGATAATACATCCCACACTGCTTTATTATAAGTATGATTTATCAATCTAATTTAAATAGCCAGTCATCACTGCTCTTACTGAATTAGCTACCCATGGAGTTAACTAAAAGGCATTGACAAAGATTGCTTAACTCTTAAGTGAAATCAGATAATAATTAGTCTCAGAAAAAGCTGCCAAGACTGTATTTTAATATTTAATTATAATAGGATGTTGAAGATAGATAAGCTGCTCATTGGGCTGAATTCTCAGTTCATTTGTCTAATGAACACACCAGATTGGTTGAAAGAAAAGCTTAATTAGAAGTCTAAATCTAAGAATAAAAGGATACCATTGAAGATGCTTAATCATGGATCGAATTCCATACTCTTGAGTTGGAAAACAGTGAAGAAAGACTTGCTGGATAATAAGCATGGTATGCAGTCTAATCAGAAATCTATGAAACCTAAACTGCTGAAAGGTATTCTAACCATTCTAATCTGCTAGAACTGCCTAATAAGAAATTGTTGACAGACTCTAAGAGCACATCAGCGAGAAGTTATCCACAACTGCTCAATTTATTGCCAGCAGAAATTGATTTGATTATCAATACATCAATAAATAATTGGATAACATATGACAAATTAAATTCCTCTCTATCTGATAAAATGATCAAGACTTTGTTCCAAAAAATGGATTCGTTTCATAGTAATTGGAACAAAGGACTAAATTATAAATAAACTCATTCCAAATAGCCGATTTCCCACTCGATTAGAATCTAGTCTTATTTGCAATTAATAATCATTGTATCGTCTTCAAAACAAATAGGAAGAAGTTATATAGATTAAGATATATGAATCGACTAGCCAATTCAAAACAAAAATTGAAATCAATAAATATTATTGATCAATTTTGATTGGACAAGTTAGTTGGCAAATTGGATATGAAATTCACAATATAGTGTCCAAAGTAATGAAACAACTATTTAATGTATCAATTAAACATTCGAAGAAAATGGATTCTGAGTATGGAAAATATATAGTATATTCATGAAACTCAAATAAATCAAATGAATGTTACTTCAAACAAAGGAGATTGTATCATGCTTTAAAAGATATAAATTTTTTAGAAGGAGAGGACAATTACAAAATGCTTTGTTATTAATTGTGTGATAGTCTCTCTATTCCTTTTAAAAATTCTATTTTAGTAGCTTCAAACAAATAAATCTAATCATAATCTTTAAACTATTAAGATAATTAACTTAATGACGAAGAAGTCTTGTATCATAAAAACACCTAAAGTTGAAAAGATTACTGAAATTAGAAGTTTTTATGAAACTTATTAAAATGACCTTATTATCAATTTTAAGCATATCAATATTTTAATATGGTATTCAAATAATAATATAACATTTTCAAAAAATATCAAGAAGGCCTTGATCTATTTTTGATATTAAGAATTATAAAAAATATAAATTATAAAAATATACTTCAAACTATTTATCCTAATCATTAATTTTTTATTTTAAAACAAAAATTTATTTCCTTCTTTAGAATGCAATAATCATAATAAATAAAAATTAGATAAATCTATAATTCAACCTATTAAATTCAATGAACAGGGTTATTCCTAAAATATTTAATCTAGGATTAGCTGATTTAAATAAAATGCTATATAATTAAAATATTTAATTTATATAAGTAATAAGAGCAGAAATTTTAAAGATTATGTTTCATTACAATAAATTTTTATCAAATACTCAATTCAATATTGGTAACTAATTTATTGAAATAAAAGCTAAAAATTTGAGTATTATTAAATTCAGTAAGTTGATTTATAGAGTTTGTATATTATATAACAATCATTATAGATTTCTTTGGATTAAATAATTAGAAATAGTTTAATATTCAATATATTTATGCATTTTAAAAAATATTTAATTGAATTTAGGAAAGTTAAAAGGAATTTTATTAATTTTAATCTTAAGTTTGTTTATACTAATTTTACTATTAATATCCACATTAACATAATTAATAAAATTTATAAAGAGTTTTAATTATTTACAATAATTTTACAATATTAATATTATTCTAATGCATAATTAATAATTTTGTGAAGGAAGGAAAATTGACTTGGGATGGTTGACAGATGCAGTAAATGATTATTAGTCACTTCTTATAAAATCATTTAGATAATAATTTAAAGAGGAATAATAGAATTTGGCAAATAAGGAACTGATTACAGATGAGATGATTATGAGTCTTTGTTTAAGTGTTGATTAAAAGAAGGAGGAATTAATAATGTAAAAGAAGAGTAGTGTAACAGGTGGTTATTTGGATAGATTAGTGAGATTTGATAAGCATATTCTATAGTAACTTAAGGATCATAAACCTGTTAAATCATTCCCACTTTATTAAAGAGTGTTTGTTGAAACCAAAGCAGCTGATTAAAAGACTTGGTTCAACAAAAATGGTGATATGGCGAGATTACTTTTGGAATTTGAAAAAGGACATACTGGAGTTTATATATACAGAAAAGATAAAAATTAAGCAATAAAATGGTAAAGATATTTGATAATTGAAAAATTATTATAAGTGAAACCAACATTAGTAGTTAGATGTTTTGAATATTGTTATAAAGAATATGAGTATAAATTTACATTTACTTGGACATTAAAATATGCTTAACTTCTTGGTACTTATACAACATAAATGAATCAAATGAAAAAGTAAAAAGCTAAATTAGATGAAAACTTTTTGATCTCATTAGATAGATAAGTTATGAATTATCATATAAAAAAATGGTAAGCAAAGAGTGATAAATAATATAAAGAAGAATAGGATTATAAAGAGAAATTAAAATAATTATCATTAAAAGAATAAGAATAATTGAAAGCTACTGAATAATAGAGAGAATTAGAGAGATTAGCAAAAGAAAAGAGAAGATTAGAATTATTAAATTAAATGGTCACTTATTTAAAACCCAAGAATTATGAAATCAAGCGATTTTATAAATATTGGTAAGATAGAGCAATTCATATTCATCATAATAATCCATAGAAATTTATTATATCATTTGTAAGTATGTATATGTAAAGTAATACATAATTGATAAGACCTTAATTAGAAGTAAGATTTGTTTCTGAAGTATCTTTATAAAACAATTATTATAGAGGACAGAGAATACTAGAGATATAGAAAATTCTAAACTATTAGATGGTTTACAATATCATATTGAATAAAATCCTTATTATACAAAACGTTTACTTACTTAAATGAGTCAATAAAGAAGAAGAGATTTCACAACTTGGATTTTCAAAGATGGATTACTTGGAACATGTGGAAATACATCAATTACAGTAGAGAATTTTGGGTTTAAAGATTTTCTAGACCTATAAGTTATAGATACTATCAGTACTTATTCATTATCAATAAATAAGAAACTAATACAGCTTCAAAAGTTCTTAGAATATAATTATAGGATTTGTTTTAATTTCTCTATGAAGGTAGATCATTTTGGGTACAATTGGAATTTGGACCTTCTAAAATCTATGTAGAAATGGATGTATTGGAACATTCAAATTTAGATCCTATATTTTTAGATAGACTGAAATACATATAATTGAATGGCATTCTCAGAAAAATAGTTGTAAAGATAATTGATTAAAGAACTCCAGTAATATATATATATATCAAATTTATTTAAGATTCCAATTGTTGAAACTGTGAGATTTAGTCTTGAAGTTGATAAATATAGCTAAGAAATTTAAAATCTTTATTAGAGATTTTATATTGAAAATATTTGTTTATAACCATAATGTATACCTACAGCTTGGTTTTCTTTGTTAGATGGAATGGATAGAGTAGTTAAACCTATTACAGATATACTTAAAAGAAAGACCTAAGAATATGTGGATACTGGAGAAAATGTACTAATTTATAAATAATTAAAATAAACTCAAAATTTAGATCTACCTTTAGAAAAAGATATTAATGATTTTATAAGTAGATTACCTGTTAATTAAGCAAATTAACATAAATAATTTTAAGGAATGTTAATAACATTCTTAATTTATTGCAATCTTAGAGGAATCTAATTGAATGTATCAATACTCAATAATTTATTTACAATAGCAAGTAAATTTATTTGCATAACTCATTCTCACTTTTTCTATAAATTATCAAATCCTGTATTTGGTAATAAATTTGATTCAGAAGCTTAAGCATTTTGGCTTTTTGTCTCTTTCTTAGACTTAATGAGAAATATTCATTATCCATTAACAAAAGATGATTAAGTTTTTTGTCCTTAAGAAATAGTAATTTAATATTTAGAATTTCAACATACAAATTTAATTAAGCATTGTAAAGTTTATGATATTGCTATTGATAATATAATATATGATATTCTTTGTTGTTTCTACACTAATATTGTTTAATCTCTACCCTTATATAATATTTGGAGCTTAATCATAAGAAAAACATCTACAAATAAGAATGTCTATCTTATAGTATTGATTGTATTAATTGAAGAATTAGGAGAGAAATTATTGCTATGTTAAAATACAGAGGATTTTAAGAATGCTATTTCTTTAAAAGGTATTATAATTGTTATTTAATATAAGCTTAACTTATGGATATTCTATAATTAGAAGCAGCTTATTCAAATTGTGAATCAACTTTGAATAGAATTATAAATTCAGAACAATCCTTTCATTAATCAATTGAACATTCCAATATCCATGGACCATTAATATAAGATCAATGATTTATAAATATATAGTTTGTAATTAATTTAATTATATAATATTATATTTTTATATACTCTCATATAATGTAATAAAATTAATCATCATTTTTTATTTCTATTCTTTTCTTAAATTTATTGAATTTTATCATACAATAATTCAATATCTACTTAATCTATAAGTTTAGGTTCTTGAGCCCATTCACCTACTAAATATTCAACTCTTCCAATCATTTTAGTTCTTAATTCTCTATATTAAGTTTCATTTAATTGAATTGGTAATTCTCCTCCTATTTTTAAAGTTGTTCCTTTTTTGCCAACAAATAAAGTTTCAGTTGGTTCAATTTCTTCAATGAGTCCTTCAACATGTAAAGATTCAGCTACAGTCAATTACTATGCTAAATTTTAAATTTCTGGTAATTCTGGATTGAATCTAATTGATAAATTAGAATGAATTACTTTTATTCTTGAATTAAATCATCTCTTTCATTCTAAATTCCTAAAATAAGTTCTGCTCTTAAAGATTCTAATAGTTTCTTTTATGTATTAAAACTCATTTATAAATATTCCTTAAATTCATTTTCAGATAAAATCAAATCAGGATGATATATTTCTTCTAATGTTTCTTAGACTAATTCTTTAAACCATAAATCAATTGGTTGATAATTAAACCATTTCTTTTTCAATACTTTTTCTAAATCTTCTTTTTATTGTTAAAGTTCTTTTGGAGTAATTTCAACTTATCTTTCTGCAATTAAATCCAATTATTTAAGTTAATAATTTATTCCTATAATTAATCTCTTTTTCTTTTATGCTTTAAGTCCTTATATTTTACCATATATTTCTATTTCCTTTTTAGTAGCCAAATGAAGATCATCTCTAAAATTAACACGTCTCATAATTTAACCTCTTCTATATTTTGGTAAATTTTATCTATAAAATATACTCATTTTATGTGATTTACTTTCTATGGCACTATAAACATCATCAGGAGTAGTTTAACTAATAGGTTTTTCTTCTAATCCAGCAATTTAATTTTCATAATTAGTTTTAATCTTTAAACTTAATAAATTAGTATAAATTGCTTTAGATTTGAAACTTGGCCATTTAGTAGATTTAAGAGTCAAAATATAATCTAATAATTTATCTGATTCAACTAAAGTCTTTTATCTATATGTATTATATAATGTTGCGGCTGCTCTCAATTTATCATTCAAATAATCTAAGAGTTTTTCAAATTATTTAAAATTCTAAATTTAAAATCCATAATCTTATTAAAATTTCAAAACTTAAACTTCATAATTACCTCCTTATTTAAATAAACAATAAATTTCTTCTAATTTACATAATAATATATAGGAGAAAGTAAACATAAGATTACTTTCAATAACCTTAAAAGAATCTAAGGTTAATGATTCATTAATTTATTCATCTATTATTGGTAATTCATTTAAATGTTTAATTTTTTTCATTCTCATTCTATAAGTTTAAATCAATAATTATTCGAACATTATTTATAATGATTTAAACTCATCTGGACATCTAAAGAAATCTTCCATTATTTTACTTAAATTTTAATCACTTTTAATAAATTCTTCTATTGTAGATGGAATCTCTTCCTTTTATTTTAATTATTCTATTTCTTATTTCATTTAATTTATTAATTCCTCTTTATTTACTTATTCTATTGGTACTTTTTATAAATTAATAATTATTTCTTCTTTATTCTCTTTTAATTAATCTAATATCTCTTTAACTTCTTTCCCTTCTAAATACTCCTATATATTATTAAATTAATTAGATTATGTAACATTTTAAACAACATTCTTATAAAATTTATCTATTTATTAACTAAATTCTTAATAAAGATCTCCATATCTAGTTTCATAAAATTTATTTCTTATATCTCTAGCTCTAAATATTTAATCTGTTAATTCTTTATCAACTATTTTTTCTGGTAATTCATTTTCATAAAATGATTTTCTATCATCTTTTGGAAAAATCAGTAATCTTTACATTGATTTATTCCATGCTTATTATTTCTTTAAAATTTCAATTTCATCATAATCTTCTGTTAATTTGTTATTCAAAATAGAATTTCTTACTAATGAAAATAATTCTCTCTTTGGTTTTACAGATGCAATTCTAGCCACATTTCCATAACTATTAAATCTTGCTTAATTAGCCTTTTCAAAAAAAGAATTCATTGATTCCTCTAATAGAGATCCAAAATCCTTAATACCATTTAAATATTTTTATCTTTCTTCTATATATTTTTTAAGATTTTCTTCATATCCAACTATACTTTTCAATTTATCCATCTTCATTTTAACTTCCTTTTTCAATTAAGCAATTTCTACTCTCATTTTTCTTAAATCTGAAACTCTTATAGATCCATCCATTGAATGTGAATTATTCTTCATAAAAGCAGCTACATCAATTTCTTAATTAGCTCTATCAATTAATCCCTTTCTAAGATTTTACTCATTCAAAAAAACTCTAATATTCTCAGGATATTCAGAATAAAAGTCTCTTACTGGTTCAAGAGCATCAGGTAAATAATCAATAGAAGGACTAACATGACTGAAAAAAGAATCAATGTTATCAACTCTTTATTATTTCTCCATTAAACCACTATTAGCAAGATTTGAAGCTACATTATATTCAGCAACTAAACAATCTCTCCATTACCATTTCTCTGCCTCTCTTAATAATTTGAAAGTAAGTTCAAGAGATAATCTTGGTTATGCTTCTAATTCCTTTAAGATCTCTTAAGCAAATTAACTCTATTCAGATTTCAATTTATCCATAATCTCTTAAACACTCTCTCCACTGAAACATCTAGCAATCAAAGCCTTATCTAATTTAACTAAATTCTCTCTTGATATTATTCCCATTTCTTCTAGACTATCAATATTCATTGTCTTAAAATGAAGATATGGATTTGCTATTGTTTACTTAGGTTTATCATTCTATTAATTTAAAACATTCTCCTCTTAAAATCTTTTAAGTTTGTATAATAATTCTTATGCTACTAATTATGCATCTTCATTTTTCATTCTAATCATCATTTCTTCACTCAATTTTCTTAAGAATATCTATTATCCTTTTCTAAAACTTTAAATTTCACGTTTCACTTCTTTTGGGTACATTTAAAGAGTATTTGGTGTCTTATACTATTAAATTGTCTAATTGATATAATCAATAGCTTTATTTTTATCCTTCAAATTTCCATATATCAATTCCAAGTTTAATGCTTCTTCATTTTTTAACCATCTACCAGTCAAGGCATAATATAACCCCAATTAATCAGGCAATCTGGATAAATGAAATGAAGCACTAATACTCTTATATATATATATACCCTGCATGAGGTACAAACCCTCTATTAACATCATTAAATCGTATTCCTCCTTTTTAATCAAAAAATTAAAATGGAGTTGAACATGCTAAGGCTGCCATTGATCCACTAGCTTCTCCTGTTATAACAGGCATCAATATTTTATTGTATTTTCCAAAATAGACTGCCAAATTTTATATTTGTCTCATATATTCAATCTTCTCTTGTTATGATAAGTGTTATAAGTCTAATTTGTTATTAAAATTTGCATTACATTTCAAATCTGTTCCTTTAGATTAGCAATCTAACCAAATAATACTCACTGTTTCTTCTAAATCATAACTTTCCAAAAATCTATGAATTTGATTTAACATTGTTGGAGTCAAGATGTTATGCTTATGATAATGATTAAGTTTGGCAAACACCTATTATCCAAATTGCTCCCCTAACAAATGTGATTATTTGATTTCAGCATCGAATCTAATGACATTTTATGATCGAAGCACTTGAGTTGAGATATAGGAATACTTAATTTTAAGCATCATAAATAAAATCTTAATTAATCAAATCAATTTCTCAATACTAATACAGACCTCCAATATACACTTCAATAGCTCTGGTTTATAATTATAAATAAAAGGAACCTTCTTACTTAATTTATTTCTTTCATTTGAAGTTATCTCTTTTTTTATCTATTTATACTCCATCTTTTTATATCTATTCTAACAAGGAGACCTTCCTAATGAGCATCAAATAATGAATCATTCCATTTATAAGTATTTTTTATGATATTTATTTTCATGAATAATTTAGAGAAAACCTATCTTAATCAATTGTTTATTGGTCTTAACTTAAATCTGAATATGTTTTAAAATGATTAAACTAAGGATTACTAATAAGAGCTATTTATTTTAGATTATTGTTAAAAATTTTATGATTATTTAATTCAATATTATTATTAAAAATTTATTCTAAATCTTACGATAATAATTTATTATTCTAATTGAGATACTTATTTTAACCTCTTCTTATAGATTTTTTATTTAAAAATATTGTGATAGTAGGTTAAATTAATTTGAATTAATAATTTAGGTTATTAAATTATTTATTCTTTTTAAATGACTTCTATTTTAAATAGAATTGTAATTTCAAACATTCATAGATATCATAGAAGACATAGTATTTCACAATCATCTTGGAACTTAAAATAAATGATTATATCCATAATCTGTCTTATTTTAAATAGTTCCCTTTTATATTTTATAAACTTTTAAGTATGAACTTATACTATAACTTTGAATTTCTTGTAAAATACATAGAATTATTCTCCCTTGAAATATTTATAAGATAACTATAAAGTTTTTGTATTCTTTTTCTTAATTAACAGCTTGATTATTCTTTTGAAAATAATAAATAAGAACTTAATTTTATCATAAATACTATAAAATGTATTTTGGATCTTATACTTATAATTATTATTGCTATTACTTGAATCTAATTATAATATTGATAATAGTTTATAATTTTCTCATGTAAATTCTTATTTCCATTTGTATCCATAGGAACATTTGTTCAATTATACTTTTTATTTAGTTTCAGAAAAAAGACTCATTTTTTTTACACATCATGAGGGCTTTTCAAGATCCTTAAAATCATAATTCTTTGAAAAAATTATGAAATACGCAAAATTATGCTAAAGAAATCCACGTTTAATTCTTTATTTTGAATCCACCACTATAATACTAATAGATATAGTGTGAAGTGAAATATAAACTCTCCTAATCACCATCATGATCTATTGTGGGACTAATTAACAATTTGTATACTATTATAATCTCAAACTAAGCCTATATGACTTATACTATTAGAATCCTATTTAACTAATTAGAAATCTAATGGAGGATCAGATCTTACTTTGATTATTTATCATTATGTTTTATCTTTTATTAATATAATTTTTAATCTTATAAACTAATAAAGAGAAACAAATTACTGATTATCATAAACTTATACTTTTTGTTTTGCTCAATTCATTAACTTATAATTTTAACTTTTATATATATATAAATTAGATATATTTTTAGAAAACTATAACATAGATTTAATTTTTCTTAAATACTTGTAATATAACAAACCCTACGATTGAATTTTAAATTAACACATCCTAGATCTGTTAGATCCTATTTTTTTTATCATTATTTAATAATATATATATATATATTATTATTAAAGCTAAATCTAAAACAAATATAAAATCATAAAGGCAAAAAAAGTAATATTCATTTACTCCAATCTCTAAAATCAATCCATTGTAATTTATTGATTCCTAAATATTTTATTCTAGAGTTAGAATGTCTATTAATGAGTCTAATTATGATTTAAAAGAAATTACTTTTTCGCCATCTATATAACATTGTAACTGGAGATTGGTTTTTTTGTAGTTCTTTCATATCTATACTTATATAACTCTAAAAAAGATATCAATTTATTCTCTTTATTATTACCAACAGGCAATTATCCAGAATCTCCCCATATTGAATGTTCCTCTTATTCTTAATCATCCTCATAAAACCAACAATAAGATGAATTCAATTAATGTCTTTATTGATTTCTCTTTATTTTTGGGGAGAATTAAGAATCTATTTTACGTTCTGATAACATTCCTTCATAAATTTATGATGATAAAGATTATGATTTTTATTCTGATTTCAAAAACCTTTAGCTAGATGATTATTGTAAATCTAGATTGATTTATTCATATATTATGTCACTTTTAATCCTCAAATGCATCTACATTTATATTAAACCAATATTAAATAATAAAAATATAATTCTTGCCCTAATTTAGACCAAAATATCCTATTTAAATAAACAAAACTAGAAAATATATTGTTTGTTTTAATTGATTTACAAAAAATAAAATGGCATTTTTACAGTGAAACAATAATATTATAAAGTTAATGTGAAATAACATAAATCATTCATATTTTAACCTTCTTATTAACCTCTTCTCCAGTCATCCAAGATTAAATTTAATTCTAACATTTTACAAAAGTATCAAAATCAATATTATCTATTATGATCTAAAATCGCTCTTTATTGACTACAACAAAGGCACTTGGACTATTAGCTTATATTATCTAAACTATTCCACCAATCTAATCAGGATTTAATTATTTTAAATTGTTTGAAAATTCTACCTTCTCATTATGTGAAATAGTTTATTAAGTGTCCTCTTATACACCACTTTCTTCAGTAATCTTTTTCACTTTTACTGAGCTTTAAGGCAAATTAACTAATGGGAGATAATTTTTAACATATTTTTTAAAAGATTTTTCAAGTTTCTCAGATAATTTAGTAATCCACTAGAATAAAATGGATAATTACACTAGAAGGACCATTATACAACTTGCAATTGTCCCATATTTTTTAAATATCATCTAAGCATTCTTCTACATATTTGTATTCTGAATTTTATAATTTTTTCGAACACGTACCCAAGTCCATAGGTTTTTTTATTACTATCAAATAATCATGCAAACCAAGAGTTTTATGGTCAACAGGTGATCGAAATTCTAAACTATCATTTGAATCTATAAGTTATTCTAAAATTTGATTTAATTTTTTTAATTCCTCCTTATTTATGGGTGTTTGTGTTCCTTTGATCATTCAATAATTTTTTATTTATTTTTTGTTCAATTTTATTTCAAGATTAAATTCATGTTATAAAACTTAATAATCATATTTGATGAAAATAAATATAAGAAATCCATTTTTGATTGATTTTCTATTCTCCAAATGTTATATAAGAAAGAGAATCTTATTTAATTATTGAAATGAAATGTTTATTTTCTAATTTTAGTTTAATATTATTAGAAATAATTAATAAGTTTAATGATTCAGAATGTTTAAAATATAATAAAAATTTAATCAAAGGGGTTTATTGTTAGGATATATATTTAATTATTGATTAATAATTGTAGTTTTTTTTATTTTTAATTTTTTATATAAATATTAATTATTTACAATAATGTCTAAGTCAAATAAAGGATTAAATCAAAGTTAGGATGTATTAGCATAGGAATTGGATGCATAAAGAAGAGATAGAATGAAAGCAATATCGACTCATAAAAATATGAAGGATCGTCTTGATAGAATGTAATAATTGTTGCAATAGGTTATTAGGGAATAGGAAAGAGATAAATTTGGGATTGAGAATTTAATAGTGAAAAGGAATTTAACTGATGAAAAAAAAGAATTTATAGATTTGATTGAATTTCATAAAAAAGAAAAAGAGGAGTTAAGAGAAGAAAAATAAAAAATAGAGTACGAGTTTGGGGTATTACAAAGGAAAATGTTTGATATAGATGAAGATTATAGTAAGATGAAGTATTCATTCAACTAGAAAAAATGATGGATAAATAAAGACAACTCTTTGAGGCAGATAAATAACCATTACTTGATAAAATAAAGTTTTTGGAAGCCAGATTAGAAAAAATTGATGGTTTTCTTTAAACAAAGGCAGATTTAGAAAGTGAAAGAGAAAAACTGATAGAAACATTAGCATAAGAAAGGAAGGATAAATAGAGGGAATTGGCAGATAAGGAGAAAGAAAAAGTAAAGGAAACAAGTAAAGAAATTATTATGTATTGAATAGATCAATTAAGGAAAGAAATGGAAACTAAAGTTTAGGAAACTAAGTTATCAGAACGGGCATAATAAAAAGAATAATTGGAGACAACAACTAGATTAACAGTTTTATAAAATTATTAAATGACTACAGAATTAGATTATCAATCAAAATAGACAGCAAAATTATTGGGAAAAGATTCAAAATTATAAGAATAAGTAACAAGTTTAAAGAGAGATATAGAAATACATAAATAAGTTGAATAAGAATTAGCAAAGAGATCTCATTTTTCACAGAAATTAATTAAGAAATTGACAGCAAGGATAAAGGATTTAGAAGATTAATTAGAATAATAAAATATAGAACAGTAGGAATTAACTCCTTAATAGACTCTTTAAGAAATGGAAAAGATGAAAGAAACAGAGATTATTTAATTAGAAAAGAAAATAGCATAATTATAAAATGATAATGAAATATTGAGAAATGAGAATAATCATTTACTTACAAAATTAGATACAATAAGATTGGAGGAGAATAAATTTTCTAATTTATCAATTATTTTAGCAAGTAATTTAGAATATTTAAAGAATAATTCCAATGAAGAAATTAGTGAAGTTATTGATCTATAGGAATTGTAAATAATAATTTTTTATTATTTTTTAGAAGAGAAAAGAATATAAATGATTGGACATAAAATTAAAAAATAACAATAATGAGTATTTTGTTAATGTAAACATAACAATATTTGACAAAGAAAAATTTAAATTTATCAGATACTAATTAGATTAATATTAATAATACAATGACTGAGAATGTTACTATAGTAGATAATACAAATAAATCATTTTATTTTCCAAGTATTTCATAAATTTATTGTTTAGAAATAAAATAAGAAGAAGACCAAACATCCCAATTAAGCTTTAGGAAATTTTAAGGAGTACCACTCGATATTAGTAATTCAATTGTTAAAAATAACTTAAGAGATTGGGGAAAACAATCAGTATTATAGCAATCCAGTTAATTATTACGAAAATATAAGTTAAAATGATTGCAAATTTCTTTTTAAAATGATTAATTTTTTTTTTTTATACTTATCTTTTTAGGAATCCTAAGTTTGAAGATTATACAATATTATTAATATGATATTATATCAATACTAATTATTATATTTTGCCTTTATAAATGTGTTTAAAAATAAAATTTAACGTAAATTAATTTAATATCTGTTTGCAAATCTCTTTTTATACTTAAAATGTCAACGAATACAATCAAAATGTTACAATAACGTAATTTAGATGTAGAAGTCTCATGTTTTGAAGATAAATTACAAATATCCCCTTCGAAATAAAACAAGGAAAATTCACATCATATTAAAGCAAAGACTTGTGATATGAGTGATCTTATTAAAATGTTACATAAAGTAGAAATACAAAGTTCTTAATAAGGAGGTATTTATAATTTATAGTTTTTCATAAGACTAAATTGAGATAGAATAAGATAGTACTCCAAAGAAGTAAATTCAGCAAGGAAAAACTTGTAGATATATTCCCTTAAGGAGTGGATAAAAATAAACTTTAATAGAGGAATTCTAATATCTAGAAATGGAAGATGAAAACTAAGAGCCTTAAAAAGGTAGTGATTATAAAGATTAAGGAAATGTTTCTCTAAAGGATATCTATAAGATGCATGTTTTTGGACAACCTTTATAGAATGAATAATTACATTGGGAATCAAAAAATATCTTCAGATTTAATGATAATACTCCTTAAAAAAGAAATATTCTATAAGATATCAATCCTTCAGTATTGGAAACTTATAATAATTTGATCGAATATAGAGAATAGTTTCAAAATAATTAGGATTATCAATATAGTCATAGAAAAATAAATAAGGTACCATTTAAAGTTTTGGATGCTCCTCAATTATAAGATGATTTTTATTTGAATTTGATAGATTGGAGTTCATAAAATGTCTTATCAGTAGCTTTATAATCATGTGTTTATTTGTGGTCTGCCTATAATAATAGAGTGACTAAATTTTGTGATTTTGGTAATAATGATGTAGTCTGTTCATTGATTTGGAATCCAATGGGTAATCAATTAGCAATCGGCACTAATTCTGGAGAGATTCACATATATGATTAGGAAAAGATGAAGAGGATGTAGATAATAGAAGGACATTCAGCAAGAGTGGGATCATTAGCATGGAGTGGTCATGTATATATTTAATATAGATTTTAGACTCTTTGTTCTGGTTCTAAAGATAGATCAATAATATTACATGATCCAAGATAGAAAAAATAGACTGGTAAATTTGAAGGACATAAATAAGAAGTTTGTGGTTTAAAATGGTCACCAGATGAATAATAATTAGCCTCAGGTGGAAATGATAATAAATTATTTGTTTGGAGAATTGGTTCATAGATTCCATTAGCTAAATTTAGTCAACATCAAGCAGCTGTTAAAGCTATAGCTTGGTCACCTCATAGACATGGTTTATTATCATCTGGTGGTGGTACTGCAGATAGAACTATTCGATTCTTTAATACCTTGACCACTTAATAATTAGATTGGATAGACACTGGTTCATAAGTCTGTAATTTGATGTTCAGTAAAAATGTCAATGAATTTGTCTCCACTCATGGTTATAGTATGAATTAGATAGTCTGTTGGAAATATCCTACTTTATAGAAAGTATTTCATTGTATTAATTATAGGTCACTACTCTTATGGGACATACTTCAAGAGTTCTATTTTTAGCTATGTCACCAGATGGAGAAACTATTGTTACTGGTGCTGGTGATGAAACCCTTAGATTTTGGAATGCATTCCCAAAAAAAGAAGCAGCTTAACCAATAAATACTATCTTATTGCCTTAAATGATTAGATGAAATACTACTTTATATAAACAATAAACAAATTAAAACTATCAATATAGAATTCTCTGAATTCCTTCATTAAAAAATTTAGTATTTTAAAGAGTATCGATTACTTGTTTCCATTGTTTTCCTCCCCAATTTACTGTTATAAATAAAGCAGTCGCCTCACCACAAATATTATTTTGATTATCATAAACTTTTGCTTTTAAGAATACTTTCCTTCCTTGAACCTTTTCAACCTCACAACTTATTAAATAATCTTTATTTGTATGAATAGTTTAATTGAAATTTAATTGGAGTTTAGCAGTCACTGTAGGGATGAATCCAGTTGTCAAAAAGCTTAATTATCCAAATGCATTATCTATAAGAGTTGCCAATAATCCACTATGTACATCATTATTATTTCCTCTAACTTCATCTGCAGCATTAAATACAACATGAAGATGATGATTATTCTCAGATCTTTGAATATCTACATCCTTTGGTAAGTAAACTTTAAATAAATTGAATGCTTTGTCATTCTAAATAATCATATTATGAAGAAAGTGTCTATCTGGAGAATTGTGAAGTAAATCAATTATTTTTGGTTAAGAGTAGTTCTACTTTTAAATAAATTCTTGAAAACTATGAGATTCATCATATTAATTAGAATTCTGTAGCATCTTAATGTAAGGTTGAGATGAGTTTATCATATAGCCACAAACCCAAGCTGCACATAAAGCTATTGATTTTTACATTAAATGTTTATTTTTAGAATAGATTTGATAAATGATTTACGCTTTGACTTAAAATTTTCTATAGCGTATTATTTATATATTAGAACAATAAATATTATATTTTGATTTTGTTTAATGAGTAATTAACATATCATAACAATTTCTTTAGATTATTATACACTTTTTATAGATTGACAAATCATTAAGTTAATTAAGGAAGAATTTATTATGTTTATTGATAATCTCTAATTATAGTATTTCTCAATTAATTTGGCATATCACATTTTAATATTTTATGTACCCATCTTGTGAGTAATCTTCTAGCTTTGATTTCACACTTTTTAATTGTACCTGAACAACCTATTATTCTAATTTTTATTGGAACTCCTTTAAACATATTCATAAATATGAGAGTTGACCATATTATACTTTTATAATCCCTATTCACTCTCAAAATAAACAATCTTGAAACAGAATTCAAATATTTTACTATTCAATTTATTTAATCCTTACCTTAAAATGAAAATTGAATTTTTGCAGACCCAAAATCTCCAAAATGATATTATACTTGATCTCTAATCTCATTTAATAAATCTCTCTCTGAAAATTCTTTCTCTTGATTCTCTTAAATATATTCACATAAAAAGTATCGATTCTTAAACCTGACCATTTTTAATTTAATTATATATTGATTTATAAATACTCTCATAAATTTGCTTTGATACCTAAATTTTTCTTCAACTATTCTCCAACCTTAACTATGAATTCCTCTGTATTTACATATTTACTTCTTAATACACTAAATTATTATTTAAATAGTTTACTTATTATCATTATGTACAATAATGGCTAAATCCTTTGTCATTATTCCATTTTCTACTGTCTATATGACACTCTATTCCAAAGTTGTACAAAACTTGTGTAATTCTTTATTATTATCTAATTTGGCTCTATGTAATAGACCTCTTGTCCATGCAAAAATACTTGCAATAGAATTAGTTGATGTTTCTTTTCCTTATTGATGCATTCTGTAATGTCTAGTAACAGTTCCATGAGCAGCTTCTGCTTCTACTGATCCATCTGGACTAACTAAAACACTAGTCATCAATCCTAATGAACCATATCCTTAAGCTACAACATCTGATTAGACATCTCCATCATAATTCTTACATGCCCAAACAAAACCACCTTCACTTTTAATCATATATGCAACCATATCATCAATTAATCTATGTTCATACCATAATTTCTTTTATTCAAATGTTTATTTATAATCTTTATCATAAATTTCTTAAAAGATATCTTTAAATCTTCCATCATATTTCTTTAAAATAGTATTTTTAGTTGATAAATACAAAGGATAATTACGATCAATTGCATATTTGAAACATGAATGTGCAAAATCAATAATAGATTCATCAGTATTATACATACCCATTGAAATTCCCTTTCCTTCAAAATCATATACAGGGTATTTTGTGACTTTTCCTTGTTTATTTGTGAATACCATCTCTAATTTACCTGGCTCACTTATTAAAAAATCTGTAGCTCTGTATTAATCTCCAAATGCATGTCTTCCAATAATTATTGGTTCTTTCCAACCTGGCACTAATTTAGGGATATTTTTAATAATAATAGGTTCTCTAAACACTGTTCCATTAAGTATATTTCTTATTGTTCCATTTGGAGATTTCCACATTTATTTTAACTTGAATTCTTTGACTCTAGCTTCATCTGGTGTACTAAAGTAAAATATTTAAGATTTTACATGGTGGCACATTTAATTCCAACCTTATATTTTTTAATTGCATTAGCAGCATCAATAGTAACTTTATCATCTGTCTTGTCTCTATTTTCCATTCCAAGATCATAATAATCAATCTTCAAATCCAAGAATGGAAAGATCAAATACTTTTTGATTTGTTACCAAATGATCTAAATTATCAAAATTAATTACTCTAGTCATTTCATCTCCATCTAATTCTACTACAGGAGTTTAAACTTAGATCTTCATACTATTTAATAATATTTATCAATTAATTAATTAACGGAATGAATGTATATACAGGTTCATCTTTTGAAAAGACAATAAATAGAACTACAACACATTAATATTTAGTAAGAAAATATGGAAATAAATCGAATGAGTAATATTTCAATTTTGAAGAAATACTTAATTAAATTTAAGATGTTTTTTGTATGAGTTGTGAAAGTTATGTACCAACTGAATAAATTAACACTCATACACAAAATTGTAATGGAGAATATGATTAATATGAATAAGTAGATTCTTTGCAAGCTAAATTATAAAAATGTAATTTTCTTATAAATAAAATCAAAAAGATGCTAAAAACCTATTCATCTGATTAATAGTATATCATTTAATATTTATAAATGTTATGGAAATGCTGTAGTAACATAATCTTAGCTTCAGATTATAATATAGTTTCACAATCCTTAGATGATTTAGATTTATTTTAATAATACTTTGAAAATTAATAACAAGATATTGCTGTTGAATAAGTTATCCAATAAATTTTAACTATTATCAGTAAAATAATGCAATTTTCAGAAAGAAAAGCTAGAATTTTATAGAGCAATTAAAATAATGTGATCAATCATCTTAAAGAATCAATAGCTACATCATTAGCTAATGAAGGAGGATTGTAAAAGAAGCTTTAAGTTCATGAAAATTAACTAAATAGATATCGTAATCCTTTTGAAAATGTTTAAAACAATATTCATTAATCATTAAAAGATGATTTTTAATCCAGATTCAAATAAGTAAATAGATAGTCTCTTTCCCCAATTACTGAAACAAGTTTTGTTGAAAAAAGCAAAATAGGAAATTTAACACCAAGAATGGAGGAATCTATGTAAATATCTTCAACAATGTTTCATAAAACAGAAGCAGAGAAAAAAAATTAATTCTTTAAAATTGCTGCTTGCTTAAAAAAAAAATTTCCAAAAAAACAATCAGTGTAACAAGCATTAATCATTGCTTTATATGATACAGCAAATAAAAATAATATTTAGTAAAACTAATATGAAAATTACATAACCAACTTATATCAAAACATGTGATTAATTATTAATAATTTTATATATTTTAATTATGATATTTTTTTAATTTTGACATCAAATTGAAGTAGCATTTTTTTAGATTTTACAATTATTTACAAGTTTTTAAAAGAGGTACTCCTTATTATTTTTACATTTATAATGATTTACTTCTATAATTAGACTCATTCAATTTTAGTGTAATTTAATTAAGCTGCAGTCATTGCAAAAACATTTTTTCAATTCTTAAACATTTCTATTTTGATATCTAATTTATATTGGTAAGTAAAAAAATATTCACGTATTAAGTAGTGATTTGAATTTAATGATCAGAAATTAATATACTTATAAAAATTACAATGCATAAAAATTCTCAATGCTTTTTGTCAAAGAATATTATTTAATATACAACTTATCCTATCGAAACTTAATCTTTGAGATAATCATTTTGTGATTTTTTAATCTATGATGCTATTTCTTATTAAATGAATAGAGTAAAAATAACTTAATTTTTTTAGAATCTAATTAATTCAGACTATTAGTTTAATTCTTTAAAGTATTTTAAAATTACTAATTTATTCTATTTTATACGTAAATTTGATTTTTTTTAATTGAAATTTCTTTTTATTTATTATAATTTTTAAACAATTATATATTTATTCATTAAGGTTACCAGACATATACATAAGCATCGAATTATTGATCTTCTATCGAGTAATGATTTTTCTTAATTCCAACTCTATTGAAACCATTTTTTTGATAAAATCGAGCTGCCACCTCATTATAAACAACCATGTCTAAATATATGTATATTAGTGTTTTATTAGAGTCTAAGACTCTCTATTTTAACTAATCTATCATATATTCTGCGATTCCTCTTCCTCTAAACTCATTAATAACACCTATTGTCATAATATATAAAGCATTTTTTTATTAAAAGAGTGAACAAAACCATTATTTCCAGTTTAAATTCTATTGATATTTCGATTTACTCTATCTTGATTAATAAACCATAACTCCAATTATGTATTTCTCCTTTCGTCCTGAAGGAAATTTTATTTCAATCTCTGCTAAAAGAGAAGAAACATAGCCATTCAAAACAGCTGTATAAAATTGTTCAGTATAATTAATTGGGAACCACTCTTTCTAAAGCAATTTAAGCTATGCTATATCTCTCTTGGTTTGCACTGTTCTAAATTTAATATCTTTAAATCCTATGTCATCTATTTTAACATTTGCTAATACACTGTGTATCTCAGCTATATAACTAGAGTTATTTTTAGAGTTTGGTGGAAATGCTTAGCTCAATCTCTTATCTATTTATTGCATCGTTTTACTAGTTATTTATAAGGTTTGATTAAATCGTAAATAAATTTATTTCTAAAAATCAAAAAAGCAAGATGCTTTTATCTACATCTAAGTTGACATCTTCAAAGTTAGGAAAGTCACTATTATAGAGTCCTTAAAGATCTACTGTTAACTATCTTTAACAAGATCTCGATTCTCCATCTAGACAAAGAATTAAGTTATTATCTGATAAATGGAATCATATCCAAAATGGAATAGATAAGGATAAATTAGAAAAGAGAGAAGTTCTTGAAGAAAGAATTAAAATAATAGAAGATGTTCTTTCATCAGAGAAACCCAAAGACGAATAAAGATTTAAAGTCCTTAAGGATCAAGTATTAAAACTTCAAGATTAAGCTCACAATGAAAAATCAGAAAGAGAAGTATATATTTTAATTTAATCAGGCTTTTGATGACAAAAAAGAAAAAGATTTTAGAACTCTTTCTGATAATGTTGCTCTATCTTTTGATCAAGAAAGAAATAGCAGAGGGCAAGCTGAAACAAAACTATAAAAACAAATAGACGAAAGATTCTAATAAATTACACTTACAATTACAAGAAATACACATTAATATGAAGATAGAAGTTAAGTTAAAATTGCAGAGGTATTGCAATAAGTTCAATTAGTAAAAAACTAATTAGATTAAGAAAGGAGATCAAGGTATTTTTTTTATTATTTCTTATAGAGAAGAATCATCAGAATCTTTATCTGAATAAATCGATTCAGAAATTAATAAATTTTCAGATTAATTGCTAATTGAAAAGAAAGTAAGAGAAGAAACTTAAGGGAAAATCTTTAGAATGATAGAGGATGTTCATGGAAAATTATAATAAGATATAAATCTAGAAAGAAGAGAAAGAGAAGCTACAACTGAAGCTTTATTAAAATTATTAGAGGATGCATGCATTAAAATAGATAAAAATTTTAGATCCTATTGAGTTAAAATAAATAAAATTATTTCATAATATACATAAACATGTTTAAATTTTGAGTTAATATTAGAAATTAAAATTATTGTTTTTTATTTTCAAAAATATTGTTTAATCATATACTAGTGTAATTATTTATCTTCCATACTGGACCCTTACCTGTTTTTGTAAGAAAATTTTAAGTTTTGATCTAGTTTTTATTTTGAGAAGAATTCAAATTTTAAGGACTTACTTATTTAGTTTTTGTGGAATTAATTAATAATTATGGAGGGAAATAGCTTTTTGTAGTTATTGGTAAATCAAGAATCAGTTTTTATTTTGTATTTAAATTTTTTATAGGTTTTGAAGACTTTGATGGCTATTTCTATAAATTTGGCATAAATTTCAACATTTTTAAAGCTATTTTCTCTTAGTTTAAAGAAGAAAATTACATCAAAATATTCTTAAGTTGTTTAAAAAGATGAACCATTACATTTTGTATTACTATTAGATTTTGAAGCTTTTGGGAAAAAAAAACCATGATTTCTTTATTTTTTCTTCTTTTCTTTATTTTCATCAGTAAAGAACTCTTAAATAATTCTTTCTACTTAACGAGATTCATCATATTTAGGTTTTTCAATAAATTAATTAGATTAATCTATTGAGATTTTTCTGGTTATTCTCCTTTTATAAGGAAAAGAAGTATTTATCATCCTTACCTAAGAATTTTGGGTTTCTGGTCTTTCAACTATTTCATTTGCCATTTGATTAGTTGAGGAAGTATGTGCCTTTTTTATCTATGCAATTTGATATTATATTGAATTGTTTTGTTTATGCCAAGGACCAAAAAAATCTAGATCTTGAATAGAATCTAGAAATATAGTAAACGTTTTACCATCTTTATAATTTAAAGTTTCAAAAATTTGAGAGTCTCGACTAACTGGTTGTGTTTTTTACATATTTAATTATAAAATATAGCTTTAGTAATTTATAAAAAAATATTACAAAATACATATATAAACAAATCATTAACACAGATCATAAATTAAATGTTTCTAGTTCTAATTTCTAAGTTAACATTTAGTAAACGAACTGACCTTGAAAGATATAAATTAAAAAATTACCAAATTTATATTATTGTATTTCTTATAAGAGTTATTAGTTATTAGTAATTTTATAATATAATTCTTTTTGGATTTCTTAATCTGCAAATTTCAAAAAATTTTGTACAACATAATTTCCATATGCATTAGTAGATAAGCGGACAAATAAAACTTATTAATTGTTTTAATTTAGTAATAGTTCCATAATTTTTAATTTAAATTAATTATTAGAGCATTTGATAGCACAATCAACAACATTACTAAAATTAATTTAATTAAATTACCTTCCAAATTTATTTAAACTATATTCTTCTAATTTTTCCATAATGATTTATTAAATTTAATTTTTGATTATAAATGGTCCATCCTTCAATAACTATTGAATTATGTAATTTCCATATTAGGAAATACAAAGTTCATAAGCTAAGTTCATTATTTCAATTAAAATTTTCATTTATCTTTCTGGATGATTACTAGATATTGAGACAGCTTTTTAAATTATTCTACAACCAAAAGAATTAATCACAAGTTTATTAACTTATCCTTCAATCCCATCTAAGACCCATTAGCTAATATCATTCTCCATTAATTAGATCAATTTCTAAACAACATGATTTCCGTGTTAATCAATTACTAACTCTCTAACTCTTGTTTTAAAAGTATCAAATAAATTTGGAAAATCTGGTGTATTATGGGCATTTTGTAGTAATTTTTGTAACACCCTACATCCATATGGATGAAATGCTAATTATGAAGAATGTGGTTATAAAAAGATCAGTATTTTTTATTATTGGAGTGGAGTTCCTATTATTATCAAAAATATTACCAAATTCAAGAAGATTTTAGATGACATAATTTCCAAACACATCTTTTGAGAGAGATAAAAGCCCTTTTTCAAGCTTATTAAAGATTTATTCTTTAATAGCTTGAGAACTTTCTTAAAAGGCTTTTTGAATGCATCTAGCCCCATTTTAATCTTTACATTTAGATATCTTTAATAGAAGTGAAATTAGATACTAAATCTCCATCTAAGGAAGTTTCATCAACTGTATTAAATTGTACTGTATTATCAAAGGATTTTAGTTTTGATGCTGAATTTGGAGCACTTTATTAGACAGGAACTTTAGTGAGTCGTAAATCTAAATCATAAGAACTTAACTAATTAAGATTAAAAACTTTTGTTTTTGCTGCACTTGAGGTGAATATACTTTAGGGTAATAGATTGGAGATTGATTGTAATTCTAATTAATTTGGAGTGCAGGAGGTCTATTTGAAGAATATGTTTTTTTGATCTTGCCAACATTTTCAAAACTGTCTAAAATTTGGAGAGAATTAAGATACCATCTAAAAGATCTCCTATCATATCCTTTTCATCTGGATCTTGATTCATTTGTAGTTTTGAAAGTGATTAAATATATAAATTAATAAATATTAAAGAGATAAGTGGATAAACAATGAAAAAAATTAATATATAAATTTCAAGTGATATATAATTAATATTTATTAATAAAATTATATTATCTTCATTACATCATCTACCATAATTTTAACAAGAAATATTTAATTAAATCATAGAGAAAGATAATTAAATAAAACTTACATTTTTAATATATAAATATATTTAATAATGGGTATGTGTTAAAATAAGGAATCAGAATACACATAAAAAAAACCAAATTTTAAATGTGATGTTCCAGAAGAAGAAGATGAAGATGAGAAAATAGGAGAAGCTACACAATTATCCATTGAAGGTGAGACTGTCACTTCCAATTAGAAATTATCATTATAGGATTTTGAATTAATTAAGGTTATTGGTAGAGGATCATTTGGAAAAGTATTACTAGTTAAAAAGCTTAATGATCAAAAACTATTTGCAGTAAAAATTTTGAAAAAAAAAATGTTATCTATGAAAAAATTTCATGATTAAGCAATTTAGGAAAGGAAAATCTTGTCATTGATAAATAGTCCTTTTATGGTGAAGTTGCATTATGCTTTCTAAAGTCCTTCACGTTTATATATGGTTATGGACTTTATGTAAGGAGGAGAACTCTTTCTTCATCTCAGAAAGAATTCTAAATTCCCTGAAGAATGGGTTTAATTTTATGCTGCTGAGCTTTTGGTTGCTATAGATTTACTTCATTCATCAAATATCATTTATAGAGATTTAAAACCAGAAAATATTTTATTGGACAAAAGTGGTCATATAGTTCTAACAGATTTTGGGTTATCAAAATTGGGATTTGAGAAAAACGAATTGACTTATACATTTTGTGGAACACCTGAATATGTAGCCCCAGAAATTCTTTATAGTAAAAATTAAATAAACTTTACATAGAAAGGGGGCACACATTTGCTGTTGATTTTTACAGTTATGGAGCTTTGATTTATGAAATGCTTTGTGGTATTCCTCCTCATTATTCAAAAAATAAAAAAGAGATGTTATAAAATAGATGTGAAAAACCTCTTGAAATGAAATCTTGTTTTTCATTTTATGCAGCGTCTTTATTAAAAGGATTATTAACCAAAGATGTATTAACTAAAAGTCTATGAGTAGCCAGGATTGAGATTAGGGTCACATGGAATTAAAGAAATAAAAAAACATAACTTTTTTAATGGAATTAATTGGTAATTGGTTGAACAACGAAAATTGCAACCACCTATCATTCCATATATTTAAAATGTTTAGGATTTATCTAATTTTGATACAGCTTTTCTGTAATAACCTATAGTTGACACTCCAGAATCTAAATAAAATGAAAATTTTGTTGGATTCACATATTATTAATAAATGTGATTTAAATAATAACAAAGTTTGTTATATAATAATATATTATAATACTTCATAATATTCAACCTTATTCTTAACCTACTTATAATTCTAATTCAGCTATTCTTCTTTGGAGACCAAGTAATTATTATTAAAGTGCAGTCTTTTCACCTTTCAAAGCAGTAATTTGTTGCTGTAATCTTGAATTTTCAGCCTTTTAATGAGCAAAATGTCTAAAGTTGATATTGAAACAGAATACCTTTTCATTTCCTCTTCTATTCTCATGAGTTCATTAGTAAGTGTTTTTTTGACATCCTATGTTTTCATACTCAAAACAGACTCTAAAGTATCCTTTTCTGATTTGAGAATTTGGACTTCCTTTTTATGGAAATTCATTTCATCTTAAATTCCTTTTATTGTTTCCTTTAATTTGATATATCAATTTACCTCTAAACTCATAAGTTTGCCCTTTAAAGATGCTGGGTTTTATGATCCTGCAAAACTCTATCCAGTTTAGCCCATATCATTTTTGGACAATGTGTTTCCTGCAGCAGACTTAAATGCATTGCTCATTATTAAAATTATTAAATATAATTTATATATAAAATATACCAATTGACATACATGTACTTTACATAATTATAATATATTTTATCACCAATCTTTATCAGCTTTTGCTGCATCACCTTATTGTTCCTATTCTTCTCCATCACCTTCTTATTTAACTTAGTTATCTGCAACTCCCAATTAATCATTGGTAATTTCCTTATGATAGAACAAATCAACCAAAACATCCCATTCTTCATCTATTATTATGGCTTATTTTAATACCTTGTCTCAATTCTCCTCTTAAGATCTTAACTTCTCTGGCTAACAACCAATAGATCATTGAAATTGCTTTTGTTTCTCTATTTCCAACTGGAATTGGGATATCGACATATTACAAGAGGTTATCTGAATTGCATAAAGCAATAACTGGAATATTAACGTAAGATGCTTCAACAATGGCTTATTTATCCTAAGAAAATCTTAATTCAAATATATATACCAAATGTGGATCTGTGACAATCAATAATTGTGGTTCTTAGAATTTTCCACTGGCACTGTTAGATTGATTTGTCAATGTACCTGGTGTCCATCTTGATGATCTAGTTGAGCTAGCATTAGTATAGTGAGCAAATTTAATGACTGCTCTTTATCCAATTGGTCTTGATGAAACAACCTTAAATACTCATTATTTATAATACCATGACATCTTGAGGTTAATCAACTGCAGCAATAACTCTGGCAGCTAATTTAATATGCTACCAGGTTTCTTCTAAATTGAGGATGTATGCACCATTATCACTTCTATGTGAAACATATCTCTTCATATCAAATTGGAGTTGTTTTGTTCCAATGTGGCACTAAAAGGAATCATATATATAATATTCTTACTTATGAAGCAATCAATCTCTTAATGTCTTATTCTTTTCTGCTCATGCAATCAAATATAAATATCTATTTTTTTAAATATTTAACAAATCTCAATTATTTCTTAATCAATTATATCTAACATAGTTTTTGTTCATCTAAATACTTATTCTTAATCCTTTAGAATTAAAATGCTACATACAAAACATAACAAAAAAAAACAACTAATACCTTTCTTACAATAATTATAACAAATTTAAAATTAATATATAATATTTTTTCATTTTTCTCTTATTATTATTATTAATTCATTTTGTTAAGAATGTAAAAATGAACTTAATTAATTAATTGGGGGTATGTTATTTGTTTAAATTTTAATAATCATATAAAAATGAAGAAATAAAAATAATTAGAAATATAATTTGTTTATATAGTTTATGATTACATTATTTTATTTCATATTTGAGTTGCAATCCACATTAAAGCCCATTATAAAATTGAAATTCCATTATTTTAATCTTGAGTATCACTATTTTGGTTTTGAGTATCATTATTATTTGTATTTTGAGTAGCATTATTATTTGTATTTTGAGTAGCATTATTATTTGTATTTTGAGTAGCATTATTATTTGTATTTTGAGTAGCATTATTTTAATCTTGAGTATCACTATTTGGGTTGTATTTAAATCTATCCACAAGACTACATTATTTACATTTTGATGTAGAAGATTACCATGTATAATGAGTCATTCCAAATTAAAAACACTTATGAAGATCAAATGTTTCAAAATCTTTCTCACTGACTTCATTGCATTTACTATTGGACCAAATACATGGTATGAATAACTCATTTGTAATATCGTAGATAAAATCTTTACATTCTGATTCTTAAGTGATCTAGTTGCACTCTTTTGGTATACACTATTATGAATTAATATCATAATAGCAAAATCCATTACAATAAGAGATTGCAGACTATTTATCAGGCATCTATTATTCTAATTCTGAACAAGTTGGAAGGGCACCATATTTCTTGCATTTTAAGTCCTTATCTATACGACAGCTGTTTCCGTATCCATCTGTAATATTACAAGTTTCTGGGGTATAAGATGAACAGTCTAAATTTTCTATTTTTTTGCCGCATCCTTATGTAGACATAGAGCAGCTTAAAGGATAGCAATTACTGATCTAAGTACAGTCTTGTGGTTTGCATTAATTATCTTACCACATACATTCTATTTCTTAATATTCACCTATAAATTGTCCAAGGCATGATTGATAAGTTGTCAATTCAGTACATTGATAGGTATAATTTTCACAAGAATTTGTACTTTGATTCCATTTACAACGATTTAAGGTATCAAATGGAGTACAAAATTGTTCATTTGTATATTTGCACTGAAATTCTACACAATTGGATCCATTAATAGAGCAAAAAGGTGGAACAGGACAAAATTGGGCATCATATTCGCTACATTCGCATCTTTATTTAATTGGGAATTTGACACAATTATCAAGGGCCACAAATAAAAAAAGTAGGAGCAAAATATGTCTATTCATCTATAATAATTTTTGTTTGAAAAAATTCATCTTTATAAATACTCTACTTCTTATTAATTCTGAAATCAATTTTCAATTAAAAAGTATGAATATAAGATTATTATTTATTATCATAAAAAATACTAAGAAAGGAAAGAATTGAAATATTTGATATTATAAATAATATTATTNATTAAAGCCCATTATAAAATTGAAATTCCATTATTTTAATCTTGAGTATCACTATTTTGGTTTTGAGTATCATTATTATTTGTATTTTGAGTAGCATTATTATTTGTATTTTGAGTAGCATTATTATTTGTATTTTGAGTAGCATTATTATTTGTATTTTGAGTAGCATTATTTTAATCTTGAGTATCACTATTTGGGTTGTATTTAAATCTATCCACAAGACTACATTATTTACATTTTGATGTAGAAGATTACCATGTATAATGAGTCATTCCAAATTAAAAACACTTATGAAGATCAAATGTTTCAAAATCTTTCTCACTGACTTCATTGCATTTACTATTGGACCAAATACATGGTATGAATAACTCATTTGTAATATCGTAGATAAAATCTTTACATTCTGATTCTTAAGTGATCTAGTTGCACTCTTTTGGTATACACTATTATGAATTAATATCATAATAGCAAAATCCATTACAATAAGAGATTGCAGACTATTTATCAGGCATCTATTATTCTAATTCTGAACAAGTTGGAAGGGCACCATATTTCTTGCATTTTAAGTCCTTATCTATACGACAGCTGTTTCCGTATCCATCTGTAATATTACAAGTTTCTGGGGTATAAGATGAACAGTCTAAATTTTCTATTTTTTTGCCGCATCCTTATGTAGACATAGAGCAGCTTAAAGGATAGCAATTACTGATCTAAGTACAGTCTTGTGGTTTGCATTAATTATCTTACCACATACATTCTATTTCTTAATATTCACCTATAAATTGTCCAAGGCATGATTGATAAGTTGTCAATTCAGTACATTGATAGGTATAATTTTCACAAGAATTTGTACTTTGATTCCATTTACAACGATTTAAGGTATCAAATGGAGTACAAAATTGTTCATTTGTATATTTGCACTGAAATTCTACACAATTGGATCCATTAATAGAGCAAAAAGGTGGAACAGGACAAAATTGGGCATCATATTCGCTACATTCGCATCTTTATTTAATTGGGAATTTGACACAATTATCAAGGGCCACAAATAAAAAAAGTAGGAGCAAAATATGTCTATTCATCTATAATAATTTTTGTTTGAAAAAATTCATCTTTATAAATACTCTACTTCTTATTAATTCTGAAATCAATTTTCAATTAAAAAGTATGAATATAAGATTATTATTTATTATCATAAAAAATACTAAGAAAGGAAAGAATTGAAATATTTGATATTATAAATAATA